CACGACTATCATTCAGGAAGTTGAGATGAAAAAGGCGAAGACCAACTGGGAGCGTTTCTCAAGGAGCCAAACATCACATACAGGACCATCAGCGCCCACACCTATTATCGACCAAGCACCTCCATTCTACAAAAAGAGTAGAAAACAAGAAATGCGCCATGGCTCACGCGCCCGGTCAAGGAGAAGGCAGAAATGGCAGAGGACAAAGTAAGAACTTTTTAGCGTCATCTTCAGTTATATCCAGCCACTTGTATTGACTTCTATTGCTTCTGTACTAATATTATTCTTCATAACATTGGCGCGTTTATTTCTAGATTCCGATCCCGGACGGATCAAACAGATCGATACGTACCCCAAACGGTCAACCTCGAGAACGCCAGCCCCGTCGAGGACATAGAATTGTCTGGTCTGAAACCATCAACCCCTCGACCATACAAGCCAAAGGATCCCACTACCACCAACGAACAAGCTGCCACTGCCCCTGTAGCCAAGAAAAAGAAGAAGAAGAAGCATCTTGACTATCACCAGGACAAGCCTGGTTATGCTGCTCTGAAGAAGTCATTCAAGTCTGTTTTCGCCACTGTCACTCTTACCACTGGATCAGTCAAGGGGTGCCTGAAACGAGCTACCGATCTCACCCCAGCGAACGTCGACATGGTTGCTCAGAGACTTGATATGGCTGTGTCTATCGTCAATACTGCCAAGCATTTTGTCTACAAGATGCTCGAAATGCGGATCCTTGGAGAGCTACTCTCTAGTTCGCCGCCGACGTCCTTTCTGGAGGATATTCTGGATTCAGACTGGGCAGAGATTGTTATTGGGAATCTGTTGTCGTTTGTTCTCCGAGATTCGACAAAAGCACTAGGACCTACAGCCAACAAGCCAAAGTCGAAGGAAGCACAGGCGGAGGCAGTGTCGATTTTTGCGGCCTTCAAGGGGTTCCATCCGGGATTCAAGGCTGTTAACCCATCCAGCATACCCCTCGGTGTTGTCATCGATGATCTGGCGCCCAAGATCTGTTTGGCTATGAAGTTGCATTACAAGAAGCTCCCACAGACTATACGCACAAAGGTACTAATCGCCCAATTCGTTGATGAAGCGCCATTGATAATTGGAGAGAGTGTATTGCATATTCTAATACTGTGCCTTTTTTTCTTTTTGCAATAAAATAGATGGAGAAGCTGGAGTTCGATCCCGCCCTACTTCCAAAAGTCGAACAGGAGGATGAAGACAAACCTGGTGATGACGGCACTACTCTAGACGATGACGGTACTATTCTAGACGATGATGCCGATGATGAGAACCCCAGGAAAAAGTCGAAAAAAATTGTCTATCAGCCTGGACACATCCGATCATGCTGGAACTATCTCATGGCACTTCCAGCGGCAAACCGACCACGTTTCTGTACCCAGTCCAAGATGGCAGACAGCTTTATCGACATTAGGGAGGAGGGACTGATGCGTATCCTTTGGGGAAGAGATGCAGGTCAAGTCGGATTGATTTGGAGCGGCAGCCCTCATAGCCACGACTGGGCCAACCTACAAGTCAATACGTCATTCGGGAACCTCATCAAGATGCTTTTCATTGGAGATCGAAATACGGTTCGGCTCGCAAACAAACAACAAACAACATACGGGAAACGAAGTGCTACAATGAGTGAACTCAAGGCTGCCCACCCCACCATCTATGACCAAGGACCACTTGCACGACACCTGACAGATCGAATTAACTATTACCGAACCCGACACAATGCATCCATCTCGGCCGGATCGTCGTCATCGTCCTCAGCATCTGCAGTGCCGCCGCCTTCCAACCCCCCACTATTGCCGACCCCTCCTCACATCCAAGGCGCACAGTCTTCCTTTCGGTATGCATTGAACAATTTCATCCGCACGGACGGCCATCAGCTGCAACTTTTGGCCTATGACCTCACCAAGAGTCGGCAGGCGCCGGGTCGTAAGGAGTTTCTACGACGTATCGAGAACCAGTACCCAACCCGACAGTCGATAATTGAAGCATTCGGTCAAGACTTGGAGTCGGTGGCGGTGATTGGCATCGATCCAGGCGAAGTCGTGAGCGGTGCGTTCTGTGTGCGTCTCGATGACAAAACTGTGGTCAACTTGTTGGTAAAGCGCGCATCACTGTATCAGCCAACACTCGCCTTCAGAGCATGGGAACAGGAATGGAGGCGACAACACCCAGCAGCCGGTCCCGCAGATAATGTCGACGCGAGCCTTTGGACGAGGAAGACGGATGACAAGAACAGGGCAACTTTTCTACCTTCGATGCATGATCTTGAGAATGCGCTCCATTCAACAAAATACGACTCAGAGGACGCCCTCAAATCCGCGCAACGGCAGTATTTCGAGTTGGAACCGATCATTCATGGATTCTACTCATCGTCGGACTGGAAGAAGGCCGTATACCAACATAGAATGGCAAAGTTGTCAGAGATGGACATGGCGGTGGCAGGCGTGCTCCGACTTGTGAAAGAAGCATTGAAGAGTAACCCAATGGGAGGGCGTAGGGTCCTCTTCGCGTTGGGAAACGCGACTTTTCGGACAGGGTTCAACCTTACATCGGTCCACACGACGTTCTTGCGCAGACTACAGCAGAAGGTAATAATGAGAAAGGAGAGAGTAGAAAGACGATGTACGGGTGGTCGTATCTACTAGTATCGTATGTCCCTTCAATACCATGGCGATCTGGATACACAAGTATATTAATTCATTTGTCCTTTTTAAAATTGATAGAGCATGGCCCTTGGGTACAAGGTAGCGTTAGTGGATGAATATCTTACATCTACAATGTGCCCAACCTGCGTTTCCAAGGGTGAGACGACAAGACTTGCTAAGCCCTCGATGAGAACCTGTGCGTGTGTGAAATGCAGGCGGTGGATTCACCGAGACTTGGTGGGTGCGCACAACATTGCTATCATCGGCAAGCATTACCTTAAGCATCTCGGACGCCCCCCTTCCCTTGCAAGACCGTCGCCGCAAAGCCCATAACCTCTATAGATTGAAACTATAGTTTTTTTATCCTAGTCTGTCAATGACTAATGACGGACGAAGGGATAAGTAGTAGAGCGTTATCAGAACGCAGAATGGTGATCCAATTGCCTTTCTTGCAATCGTCAACTCTAACAAGCCCACTGCATAAACGATAGACGTACCACTACATGATGACGCAGGCTCGCAAGACGATGGCTACGTTTCCAAACTCAGAGATAGCCTTCCACAGTTCATTTGAGACGACGAACAAGGACCAAAGCTGGAACGATGCCTCTGTCTATGTCCCTCCAACAAACTCAGCACCAGCAGCTACCCGACCATAGAGAGGAACAGGTCGTTGTTTAAAACTCCTTATTTTAATGCACAGTACTTAATATTTCACAAACCTCATAATAAAGAACGAGATCCCTAGGAATGAAGCGTGGTGAACAAGGTTCAAAATATGTCGATCGTCGCCATGTGCAACCGGTGACTCTGTACAATTGAGCTCACGTGAAGACGAAGGGCGAATGGTGGCGATGGTGATGATGACTCAGCCACTGGTCTCTGGCGATCGCATGGCATTGGGATAGAACGAATAAGCAGGTGAATACGTGTAACATGCAGTCGTAGTGAAGTAGAAAAGGTTCGTCTCAATTTGCTCCGATATTTGCAACAAAACAAGCAGGAAAAGATCCCGGTTCCAGGATGGATCCTCAATCGGCCATCAATCACCATGCGATGTGTAAGAAGACCTATCAACGAGAGATCTCGTACTGCACCAGGTCAACAAGAACCACTTCACTCATTCACTTCTTCCTTCTCCTTGCTAGACCCTCCTAAGAGTTTACGCACGGTGTGTTGGTAAAGCCACAGTATTGCATGCCCCACATATTCGTTTGTTCACCTCCACTCAGTGTTGTTCCTCTTCTTTCTTTCACTCAACTTTTTTCTCTTTTTTTATACCTACCTCTTCCTCCCATGCAATGGTCCTATTGTGTTGTTGACATACCCCTCTTCTTGCACCACAATAACCTCTATACCCTCAAACATACTTTTTTTTACCCCTACATACCCATCCCTTATCCCTTCGTTTCATACATTTTCTGTAAGTCGGAAGACATGCCCGTGATCCACATGGTTTAGAGGCAGTTGGAATAGTGAAGGAAATCCACACTTTTTCCTGCACGCAGTGACCAATAACCACAAACAATTCAATTACCTTTGTCCCCACCTCCCGTACGCTTCTCGTCAGCCAGCCATTCTCAACAGCTTTTTCAACCGATGGCGTTGATTCTTTGTGTTTAGTGTCTTGCCGTGTGTTTGTGCGCGTGGGTGTTTGTGTGGGGGGGCGAATTGTGGCCAGCTGTTGTTGTTTTTGGGCGGCTGACATTGATCATCGCCCCCCTTTTTTATGTTTCTCTCGCTCGCAGCACACAATGCCAGATGTCCTATTTCTTTGCTTCTTTGCCATTTTCTCTCCTCCTTCCTTCTCTCTTCCGTTACTCTTCTCGACATTCATTCCTCACGTCCTCCCCTGTCCTCCCCTCCGCTAATGTAAATGCCCATTCACCACTCCATGCACAACTTACTTTTTGAGCGTAACTATACGTTTAGATTATTTTCGCCCTGGAACGTGTGAGAGCCCGTAGTAACGAAAGAAATGCAGAACAGGAAAATGCAGAGTGACCAGTCAGGAACACAGGAAGCAGACAAAAAGTGACGCCTACATATCATACTGCGTGGATATTCATGCTCACACGGTGTATTCTTCTTTGTCGCTTCATGTCCTCATAGGAACCCATTGACACTGACGACTCGACCTTAGGACAACTAAAGAACACATATTCAAAAGATACACCAAATCAAAAGGACGACTGCAAATCCCCTTACCCACAACAACTACGAACCAGTGCTGAGGACCATAATTGAAGCAAATCCACTCCCAGCAACCAACGCCCAACACACGCAGCGACAGGCGAAGGAATCGACAAAAACAAAAAGACTAAAATGCTGTCCAACTCGAGAGAGACACGGCCGATATCGGCTTTGATCTCTGTTTCGTCCATCGCCGACCTCACGCTCTCTGGCGACACAGAGGATGTCACAGGTAACGAAATTTACATGCCTGGTGTTCTTTTATGAGGCAGGGCGGGCGGACACGATGCTTGCAATTTGCTCGTGTGAGTGTTTTTGTGTGGGTATGCAGTATCGGAAAATATGGGAAACAATTGAAGGAACTGGAAGCAACTTGGCCTCCTTCTCTCTCCTTTTCTTTTTATCTCTCTCTCTCTCTCCTTCCGCCTCTTATGAACAGAAAGTGGAAACCAGGAACGAAAGGGAATTTAATCAGTGAAAGGGGAGGGCTCATCTGTTCGTCATAGTCTGCCCCTGTGCCCCTGTCTCCTATATTATACGGCCATAGGACAGATGACACCTTTTTCTCTCTCGCATTTGTGTTCCTATTTGGATTAAGGAGAGGCGAGAGAGTATGTGGTCACGACGACGACAACGGAATGGGTTTCTACTTTGCATCGGACAAGCTAGCATATGGCTGTAATGACCGACTGGACAGAATACCTAACTGCACTATTCCAAACTTTCGCGTACGGTGTACAATTAGGCATGAAAGGACGTATCCGACTAACTCGCGATGATGGAGCCAGGGGTGGTCGGTGGATGGATCAGTCCCGAAAGCAGGTGCAGGCATACGACTATCTATGTCACATTGGTGAAGCAAAAGAGTAAGTGCTCCCTGATGTCTCTCTGCGCATATGCTAAAGCCCCTGTGTTGAGAATATGGCTTCCCTGCCCCCCCTCCAGTATTAACACGTTTGCGTTCGACTGTATGATAGATGGATCGAGGCTTGTATCTGCGAGGAGATCGACGCCATCACGACCTTGGAGGAGAGTCTTCGGAATGGTGTTGTTCTGGCCAAGCTAGCCCGGTACTTCGACCCACCCTCAGTCAGAAAGATCTTCGAGCACCCTGTCCTCCAGTACAAACACTCGGACAACATCAATTGCCTTTTCAAAGCCATGCGCAAACTAAAGCTTCCAGAGGTATGTAAAACATCTTCCAGAGCTGGATACAGGTGCTTATGTATGTATCAGCTTGAATCCTAATTCTTTTTCCATGATACTCTCTCTCTACTACGACTAGATCTTCATTTTTGAGCTCACAGATCTCTATGACAAAAAAAACATCCCCAAGGTCATCTATTGCATCCACGCGCTCAGTCATATGCTCGCAACTCGAGGTATGGCTCCCAACATCAAAAACCTGGTCGGAGAGCTCCAGTTCACCGATGCTGAGATTCACGCAACCCGTCAGGGGCTGGACGCTGCAGGTATCTCGATGCCCAGTTTCGGCAACATTGGATCCGCTCTTGCCAAGGAACTCAAAGGACCTGTCGAGAGTGGTGTTGCCAGACAGACTATTATTGAGGAGGAGGAACCTGAACCATTGGAAGAAATAATTGAACCAGAACCTGAGACTTTGCTTTCGAACCAAGAACTGCGGGACCTCTTCTGGGGCAACAACACGGATTCGATTGTGCGCTGCCAACAACTTCTCCGGGGGGCATTGGAACGCAAGAGGTTCTTGGCCCGCCGCAACCTTCATTATGACATGGAGGAGTTCTTGATCACTCTCCAGGCCCAGGGACGTGGGGAGTTGGCAAGACGACGCTATAGAGCGCGACTGGATGAACTATACGAATTCGAACCAGAAGTCGTCAAAGTAACTTACAAACTGCTTCAGCCGCTTGTGTGTTGTCATAACTTTCTGGATGATATGACAGAAATCGGACATGCTCTTTCTGACACTATCTTGTTCCTATGATTATGTAGATTCAAGCCCACATGCGGGGATTCTTGCAGCGGAAAAAAATTGCAGAGAGACAACAGTTCTATAGAGACAACATGGAGAGCATCGTCAAGGTGCAAAGTGTCTTCCGAGCCAAGGCAGCAGGAGACGCCTACCGCAGCCTGAGTAAGCCCAAGTGCCTTGACGAACTACATTGGCCTACATGCCGCTGTTACTTGTACTGTTGATTACTTACAACGGCTCTTTTTTGGGTGTCATCTCTATTAGCCACGGGAGCAAACCCGCCCATCTCGACACTCAAGACATTTTTGCACCTCTTGAACGACAGCGATTTCGACTTTGAGGAAGAACTGGAGCTTGAGAACCGGCGTCAGAGTGTTGTCCGTCGCATCCGTGAGAACACCCAATCAGATGCCCAGTTGAACGAACTCGATATCAAAATTGCGCTTCTGGTTCAGAACCACATCACCCTCGACGAGGTCCTCAAGACGACCTCGTCCCTCACCAAGAAGAAGCAGCAACGCCGTATGTCGATGCCCATCTCTGCGACCAGCAACCCCTTCACCCTCAAGTCGTTGGACCGGGAGAGTCGCGATCGGCTGGTCCTCTACCAGCAGCTGTTCTATCTGTTGCAGACCCAGCCTACCTACTTCAGTAAGCTGTTCTTCATGATGTCCAAGACGGGGCTCTTCTCGGACAGGATCAAGAAGCAGATTGAGGGTGTTGTCTTGACCCTCTTTGGATATGCCCAGAACTCGCGCGAGGAATACCTATTGCTCAAGCTGTTCAAGGTACCTTTGCCCTTTCTCTGCTGGTGACAGTGACTTCCTTTACGTGTTGCATGCAATTGCAAAATGCTAACAGGCTTGGTTCTCGTTTTATGCACCCATTTTGTAGCAATCGATCTTTGAGGAAGTGGAGCAGATCTTGAACGTGAACGACTTTATGCGAGGCAACTTCATGTTTGTCAAGATGGTCATGATCTACGTTCGTGGGGCCAAGGAGCGTCGCTACCTCCGTGATCTCTTGGGACCACTTGTCCGACAGGTCCTCGAGGACGACTTTTTGGACTTGGAGAGTGATCCTCTCATGGTAATTACCCTTTTTTTCTATGGCACTTCCTGAACTTCTGTATGCCCTCACTTTGTAACCCCCGTTCTCACCCCAACGTTACTTCTCGTACAACATGCATGCATAGATCTACAAAGCCAGTATCAATAACGAGGAATTGCGAACCGGTCGCCCTTCAGATCGCCCATTGCACATCGACCACACCGAAGCCCTGAACGACCCCGAAACCCGTACGACGTTTATCCGTCACTTGCAGGAACTCCGTCTTCGCACAGAGATGTTCTTGGATGCCATCTTGGAGAGTTTGCCCAGGATGCCCTATGGTATCCGTTACATTGCCAAGGAGGTCGGAAACGCCCTCCGGTCAAAGTTCCCTCATGAGTCCGAGGAGAGCATCACCAAGGCTGTTGGTAACCTGATCTATTACCGATACCTCAACCCCGCCATCGTGTAAGCCTCAACCCTGTTAACGCCTCTGTACTTCCTTCGTTGAGAGTCATGTCTGTCCCGAATTGTTAATGACTTAACTTTTTTTGTTCTTTTGTACCTCTAGTGCGCCAGAAGGTTTCGATGTTATTGAGGGAGTTGTGAGCCCCATGCAGCGAAAGAACTTGGCTGAGATCTCCAAGATGCTGAACCAGATCTCCGTCGGAAAGCTGTTTGCAGACGACAATGTCTACCTGAAGCCCCTCAACGAATATGTTGGCTACGCTGGTCTCCGTTTCGCCAAGTACTTCAAGAACGGTAAACACTGCACCCTTGGCAGATGTGTGTTATCTCCTACGCTCCATGTGCCATTGAGTGATTTTCTAACCAACCTTTTTTTGTATCATTCATTAGTTGTGGAGGTTGCGGAGCCAGAGATGCAGTTTGAGGTGAACCAGTATATCGACCAGGTGAACACCATCCGCCCAACAGTCTACATGTCCCCCTTCGAGATCTTCACCATGCACGCCATGTTGATCGACAAGATCGACATCCTCGCACCCGAACTGGACGACCCTCTCCGCGTGATCCTCTCCGAACTCAACAACCCACCCTCGGGCTTTGAAGAACACTCGCAGGGTCATGGCGAAGTCTGTCTCACTCTCCAGAACCGATTCACGGCCAACTTGGACGATCCCGATATGGACCTCAAGCACCTCTTTGTCGAGACCAAGCGGTACATTCTGAGCATCATCCGTATCCAGTCTGGTCGCAACTTGATGGAGATTCTTGAACGCCGCGTGACGGTCCATGAGGAGCAGGCCTGGGAAGACCTCAAGGCGACAGAGATGAAGAGACAGCGGCAACATCATCAGCGGCGGCTTGAGAATGGGTCCGAGTCGTCGTTGAACGAGTCAAGTCAGTGGCGGTCTGCGTCGGGTCCCAATATGGTTGATATGAACGCGATGCGGTTTATCGAACTCAAACAACGCGCCATTGACGGGATCCTGCAGTTGGAATCGACGGGCAAGGTCACCAGGAAGAACGGGTACCAGGACATGATCAACGCGATCGCGGTCGATATCCGGACAAAGCACCGTCGTCGGATCCAACGTGAGGTAGAACTGGCTCAAGTCAAGCAGACCCTGTCCAACCTTAACGAGAAGAGGCATTTCTTGGAGAGCCAGATCAAGTCCTACCACGACTATGTCGAGTCCTGCATGACAAATATCACCACCAAGAAGGGCAAGAAGCAACGCTACATCATGCCCTTCACCAAACAATACTTCCATATTCGAAACCTCCAACGCCACGGAAAAGTCCCGCAATTCGGATCTTTCAAGTATACTGCCCAGCGGTTGTTTGAGAAGGGTGTCCTGTTGAACCTCGACGGTGTTAGTCCCAAGCAATACTCTCAAATCTCATTGACAATCTCCTGTGACGAGCCTGGGCTGTTCCAGATCGAGGCTGAGACGTCGATTATGATGGTTCGTTTGCCTGTGTCGACAATGGAGTTGCGACTGGAGGATCTGTTACAGTGCCAGTTCAACAATATCCAGATCATGAGCCTCTTTGATGATATGGCCAAGGTGAACGTCAACCTGCTCCTCTTCCTTGTCAACAAGAAGTAAGTTCCCCTCCCTTCTCTTTGGTCTCTCTTTTCTCTATTGGTCACGGTCCTTAAACGCGTTTGTGGTTTACTTTTTGCTAATCGTCTCATGTTTTTCTTTTTTCTACAATAGGTTCTACATCTAGACATTCGGAACCAGGATGCAACCACCAACAACAATAACACAAACATAAAAACTCCTCCCTCCCTCCTTCCCTCCCTTTCTTAATAATAAAAACTACACCAAAATACGAAGCCATTGTTCATTTTGTTATATTTCAAAAGAGAGTGAGGGATGTGGTATGCTACTTTTTATGTTGTGCCGGTTATGGTTTTTTTTTTTTTTTGTTCCATCCTTTTTTTTTTTTGTCTCAGTTGAATCCGTTGACTTCCATGGGCATATCATGAACAATTGGCGATAGCGACTTCCAGTTATCGAAAAGACTTTGGCTCGACTTCATCTGCTCGTGTACATAGGTCTGGTACATTCCTGCGATCAATGAATGGCTCTTGTGGTAATATGTGATCTCCATCCACAGCGTATGTTGCAGAAGCACTGCTCTTTGTCCCTGAATCTCTAGCTCTGCGCGATCCTATGAGAGTGAATGAAGGAAAAAGTGGTTGAAAAAAAAAAAAAAAAAAAAAAAGTTGAGACAATAGTTCGCATTATTACCATTATACTTTCACACACCATGCGCCGATGGAAAACAAAAAAAAAATCTGGGATAACTTACAGAGTTGATGTTGTTGGTGACCTTCTCGATCTGAGCATCATACAACCCTATCGACGCAGAATTAGATCCTGTCACTCCTCCTCCATTTGCATTTCCTGATGCTCCTCCTCCTCCACCAGCAGCATTGGTCGCAGAAGTCCTCAGCGTCTTGAGTTTCGCCTCGTTCGACGCAATCCGCTTCTTCAACATCTCGGCCATATTACCCTCCCGGATTCGATCCCGCCGCTGGAAGAGCTCCCGGACAGAGATCAACAGGTCCCGGTGTCGCTTCAGACTTTCTATCATCCCCTGTTGTGCTGCACGGGCCTGGATGTCTATCAATGTCGAGGCTTGGCTAAAATGAGTTCCAATCTTGCCGTATGCTTGGCTGAGCTGTCCGCAGTTATAACAATCGTCAACGTGGCATTGCTTCTCACAGTCTGCCAATGCTCTGTGGTATATGATGGATGAGCCAAGTTGCATGCATGAATATTAGGTCAGCTGTCATAGATCAAGCAAGATATCAACACACACACAGAAAAAAAATGAAACGAAAAGAGAAAAAACACGTACCCAACGGCGAGACTGAAACGGGTATAATCGGCCGCACTGGCCTCTGAACGCTTCTGGATCCGGTCTAGGGTTGCCACCATGGTACGGTAGTACTCGATCGATGCCGGCAATCGTCTCTTGACCGCTTCTACCTCCAACTCCAATGTCATCGGGATCTGTTTCGACAAGGACGACGCAATCGGCAGTCTCGTCGTGAACTCGTCTTCTGTGGAAACTACAATATCTTTTCTCCAGATCGCCAATTCCTATTACATTCGACGAAACAAAAAAGAGCGTGTGAGTTAGTTTCGCACAGACCGGCAAAGGTTACAAAGAACACCATTAGAGCCATGTTCACCACGTACCACCGGCTCTGTCAAAAATGACACTACGAGAGGATCACTCCTCAGGACGGGGTGTCGGACCAACGCGTTCATAAATCTCGTGAGTCCACGGATTCTTCGTTCCAAGAATATCTCGTCCGCAACTATTTCATTTCAGGGGGATAAAAGGAAATGAAATGTCTCGTTAATAAAGAGTCGCATGAAAATGAACGACAGGAAGAAAATGAAAGGGCCAAACCACAGTTGTATGAACACTTTACTTCCTATCCTTTTGGGTGGCAGGTTGGGAAGGATCCTGAACGGGAATCTCTTTGCGAGGACTTCCAGCAGCCACCAAAAGTCACTGTATCTCCTGATCACCGTCGTTTGTCGATTCTATCGTTGGCAATTGCAAAAGAAGAGACATTAGTACCTCGGCTCAAATAAGCTATCCACTGCTATATCCAAAAGGCTAGTTTGATCCAGTCAAAGCAAGTACCTTGGATTCAACAATGTAGTTGACGTGTTTGAACAAGAACACGCCCTCTTTTTCGGGCGCAAAGCTGATACGGATAACATCAAGATTCAGGAACCATTGATACATCTCCTTGCGTGTCGCTTCGGGATCTGCTGACTGAGGCAGGATCTCGGTCGCTCTGATCGGAGGGGAAGCCAAATAGGATGGTGCTGGAGGATAGCCATTGCCTTTGGGGGTTGAAATGGTCGAGTTTCTCCATGGATCTGAAACAGTTGTATCCGAATGGATGGGATGGTGTCGAGGCACCACTGGCGTGGTTGGGTACAAGGTTGAATCGTTCGAACTCCCGAAATCGATCGATTCTAGCCCTGGCAGGTGTGGGATCGGCAAGTCTAAACGAGACGCAGCCCATAGGTTGCACCAAAAAAGAAAAAGAGAGTTGGTTGGAGAAAAAAAAGTAAATAAACAACTGAGCTTTGATTGTGAGAGCACAACGAGAGAAAAAAAAATCGCCGCTCTGATATGTCATCCTTAGTTGTCGCATGCTCCATTGCTCGATGCGGTTGGTGCGCCAATTTCCTTTCTTCTTTCCTTCCTACTTTCTCTCTTTCGTTGTTCATGCTTTCCATTATTATTTTTCCTGCAAAAGATAAAACCGCTTGATCCTCTTACCTTCTCGGTGGGCAATCAGGTTCTCGACCGTGAGATCCATGTTCTTTTGTGCCATTGCTACAAGCGCCAAGGTCACACTGCATTCTCCCTTGGAGATCCTGGATTGCGTCGGCGTCACCACGATATTAAGTATCTATCATTCGCGAACAAGAAAAGGCATATACCCCGTCAATCTCTCTTCAAAGACTACGCAACTGTCCGATGCTTGCTTCCCGTATGTCCTAGGTACATCTCGTTTCGTCCTCTCAGTTTACCTGGTTGACGGTCCCGTGTGGCAATCCAGACACGGCGATAATTTTGTTGAGTGCCGAGACGGTAATCCTACCGCCAACGGGTTGTGCAAGATCGAACGCTGTGGTATAGATGGTTGGCAGAGGCATTCCAGCTATATTTTCACAATTGGAAAAGACGTGTGAAAAGTAGCACAGCAGAGTGGGAAATCGTTAGTTGTGTTGCTGTATAAGTGTCAAGTAGGGACCCAAGTACGCTAAAAACCACACTGGCTACAACAACAGCATCAAACCAAACAACTCTCTCTCTCTCTTGAGAATGTCCGTCAATTATTCATATCACTAAAGCAAGAGATATGAAGGTAGGTAGAATTTGGCGGTGGTGGAAGGGGAAGTAAAAAAGGCGTACAGAGAATACTGCTGAGGTCCATAGGGTCGAGTCCTCCTCGCGCGGTATTGGTGCCCCAGGGGTCATTGACTTCGAATGTCGGTGCGGAGAATGAAGCGACCATGGCGTCGGTGGGGTCTTGGACGGTGTTCATGGTTGCCGTGAAAGTGTAGGGAGAGAAGTCGGTGTGTGCGGTGAGAGAGGGAGGATGAGAGAGGTGAGAAGGAGAGTGGGAAAGTGATGAGCGAAAAGGGAAGAAGGAAAAGAAATAGAGACGGGAAAGAGAGATGAGGGCGATCTGTTCAGACACGAGCAAGAAGGGAAAAAGGAAAGGAAGGGGAAAGAGCAAAGGGGAAGAAAGGGAAAAAAGGGAAGAAATGGTAAATCCTGCTGGAAAACGCAGACAAGTGGCATATAGATGTCCCTATCCATCCTCCCCTCTTTTCCTTCCACCCCTATCAATTGTCTCTCTCTCTCCCTCTCTCTCTTCTTGAATCCATTCCAGTCTTACACTCTTCCTTTGCTTTCTTTATTACAATTGCCCTTCACCAGGGTGTATTCGAGCTGCAAGTGGAAAGGAAGAGAGTGTCTGTTGCCTTTATGTTCGAATAGAAATTATTTCTGATCCCTCAGTCAGTGATACCCACAGAGTTATTAATGATGGTGCCTGGATGGGGATCGACCTTCTGCCGATTGTCAGTCTTTCTCTGGCAGAAAGAAAGCGGGGGGACCATTCTCTTTGAAATGCCCACACCCAGTTTCTCATTTACGATAACTCCATTCTCCCTTGACGGACAGGGCCTGCGAGACGGCTAATTAATAACAACAACAACATTGGTTTGCAGGTATGAAAACTGCTCGATTGGATTGAACAGAGCAAAGGCCAAGTCAACAACCCCTGATGGCTCTTGTCCAAGAAATGCTCATTTGTTTCTTCTCTTCAACCCCTAGCAGATAGCACGAAAAAGAAATGAAAGGGCCGTTGAGTTTTTCATTATTGATAAAAGCCCATGGATGGTTGGACCCATTTTGGCTTCTTATCCAATCCACTCCAAAGCCTGACTGCATTATCATTACTGTTGTTGTTTGCTCGACAGAAAAAATGGAGCAAGCGAGCACACGACACAAAAAATCGACTTCACTGCTTTCTTTGCACCAAACACAAGCCGTTACACGAAACGCACGTGTAGACTAAGACTAGAAGCATGAACCAAAGAAGAACGAAAGTAGTTCTTTTCACACTCAATCCATAGGGACAAATCTATATGCATTCGAACAGCTTATGCGCATTGCTACTCCAATGGTCGTTTTTCTTTGTTGATGTCTTGTTTTATTTATGTTGTCTATCTACAGCCAAAGAGAAAGGAATATGGGGATGGGGGATGGGATGAAAGGAATGATTTTAGTGCTGCTCAGGGTAGTGCTCCTCCAACCATCTCTCAGAGTCGAGGGCGGCCATGCATCCAGTTCCGGCAGAGGTGACGGCTTGGCGGTACTTCTTGTCCTGGACATCACCGGCAGCAAAGACACCGGGGATGTTGGTCTCGGTCGAGCCAGGGATGGTCTTGATGTAACCATCCTCATCCAAGTTCAACTGACCCTTGAACAGGGCAGTGGCGGGGACGTGGCCAATGGCGTAGAAGAGACCGTTGACATCCAACGAGCGGGTCTCCTTGGTGACGGTGTCCTGGAGGACGAGAGAGCCGAGCAACTTGCCGTCACCCTTGCACTCGATAGGGGCGGTGTTGTAGAGAATGGTGACCTTGGGGTGGCTCGAGAGACGGTTGGCCATGACCTTGGAGGCACGAAGCTTGTCACGGCGGACCAAAACGTAGACGTGCGAGGCTGAAGTGGACAGAGTGGACAAGTACAAGCACAAGCAGGTACAGAAGAAGAGCGGAGATAAAAAATAAAATAAAAAGACATGGGCGTTAGTGCGTTGCGAGCAATGGGAGTTTACAACGATTCGCGACATGGTATTTTCAATCTGATAAGAGTAACAAATAAACAAAAATATAGAGATAATTATCTCATCCCATACAACTAACAACTAATAAGTGAGTAAGGGATACATACCATACTTGGTGAGGTAGACGGCCTCCTCAGCGGCGGAGTCACCGCCTCCAACGACAGCCAAGGGCTTGTTTCTGAAGATAGGGACAGCACCATCGCAGACAGCGCAGGCGGAGATACCGGCCTGCCAGTAGGTCTCCTCGCCGGGCAAGTTCATGCGCTTGGCAGAGGCACCAGTGGCAATGATGACAGAGTTGGCGGTATCGGTAGGCTCCTCGTTGTCCTCCTCGCCCTCGCGCCAGAGCTTGATGGGCTGGGTAGTCAAGTCGACCTTGCCGATGGTCTCGGTGTGGATCTCGGTTCCGAAACGGACAGACTGCTCACGGAACTTGTCCATCATCTCACCACCCATGATTCCCTCAGGAAAACCTGCATATGTGAACGAACGAATAGGAGATTAGTGCGTGAATATGAAAGTGGACGACAACTGCGCAATTCTACGGAATGTGTAGAATGTGAATCCCAATTCCCCTAGATAAAATAGATCTCAACAAATGCCTCTCCCTTTAATCCTGAAAAGAAAAGGGCATTTTTTGGACGGTGGAACGCACAACTCCATCAAGACAGCAAAGTGTAACAAAAAAAGTCGCAGCTCGGTCAAGGAAAAGAAAGGGACGGTTGATCGACCCAGTCAATTCATTCCCCGCGCAAACAAAAAAAGAACGAACAAAAAAGAAAAAATAAAACCAGGCGCTTATTCTTTCTCATAAAATGTGGTGGCGTCATGGTGATCTTTGAGGGTCAACCTTGTCGATGTAGGGTCTCCAGATTACACTTGTCAGTCGATTTGCCCTGTCCTATCCTGTCCTGTCCTGTCCCGTATCGGTCCGATCCATTGAACTCTCGCACCGTTCTGTTCCGGTACCATGTCTGCTATCACTCTCCTTCTTTCTTTTGTCTCTTCTGGCGCAGTGCAGCATCGTTTGCTGACATCCTTGTATTGATAATACAAAGTCAAAGTGCGTCGTCCATTTTCATTATTATTTTTTTGTTTGGTGCCTGCACTTTTGCTCCTCTTTGACTTCTTCTTCCTCAGCCATCATTCCCAACCGATCAATTGCACGTTGTTACAGCAACCTAAACTCAGGAGAAAATAAGAGAGCGAGGACGGTACCTGGGTAGTTCTCGACGTCGGTGGTGGTGGTGAGCTGTCCACCGGGAGCGAAACCGTTGGCCATCATGCCCTCGAACATGACGGGCATGAGGTTGGCACGGGCAAGGTAAACGGCAGCGGTGTGGCCGGCAGGGCCGGATCCAATGATGATCACCTTGGAGTGGGTAGGAGTCTTGGAAGCAGGCTGCATGGTTGAAAAGGGTTGTTTGGAGGAAGAGTCTGCACCGACGACGGAGGAGGCAAGCGAAGCAGAGGTTAGAATGGCTGAAGCAGACGCAATCAATACTAAAGACGAGTTCCTCTTCTTGTTGTTGCTGTTGTTGTTGTTGTTGTTGTTGTTGTAACTCTTTTGACCGATGGAAGAAGTCAAAGTAGATTGCTGCAGATCAGCTGCTGCGCTGTGAAAAAAAGATGGAGCGGTTGAGGCGAATGCAGCGAAAAGAGGGCGGGGCCGAAGCAGTGCAGTGAAGGGACGCGACGGGAGTGCTTTGCAGCGCAGGTGGCGAGCGAGAGAAAGCGTTGAGGTTGCAAGGACCATCGACAAGCAATGTGCGAAGTGTGCAAGAGAGTGTGATTGTGGTTGAGATTCAAAAAGTAAAAGATGGGGCACTCATCAGGGGCAGCAAGAGAAAATTATTCTTTGGAAATAAGAAAAACTAAAAAAAAAAGAAGAAAAAGCACAACTTGATATCCATAGCGTAGCGAATGTTGCTGTTGTTGTTGAAGATGATTATGGGGACAGCAATACAATTAGAGGATGTCGCTTCCTTGGTGATGCTTACATTAGTTTGGGAGAAGGGGAGGGTGTAAAGGAAAGATAAAAGTACGGTTGAAGGAAAAAGAAGAGAAAAGAAGAGATAACCTTCTTCTATGCCCTTTTATTTCACTTTCGAGGGCCGTTGAGGTCTGCTTTTTTGAGTTCTAGTCACGTGCGATATCATAATTTTATCTTTGATACTTCTTTTTGATCCTTCTCTTGATCCTTCTCGCCCCTTCGCAACTCATAACTGCTAAGCCTAAGGTAAAGGATGACAAACAAACCGCACTCGCCCAAATGACGATAGTTCTGCGAAATCGGATTGGAAAATGTCCAACTCGTCCAAGGGAATATCGATTTGTTGCGATTGGTCATACATCCTCACTCTTCATCTTAATCAACCACTCCTCTAGCTTGCCGTCGCAAATCTCATTCGATCGATCTCGTATGTATAAAAAAAAGGTATCCATTCTTGCTTTTCGGCGAATATCATCCCGATGGGACGCGTCACATCCCCTTTGTCACTTCTTATGTATCCGCCTTGGTACCCGACGGAGTCGATCGGCCAGTGCACACCCACGTTATTTGTTGTTTCTTGTGCAACCTATCTCAATGATTGGATCTTTGCGAGTGACAACACTGTCGACAATTCATAACATTTCATTTACACTCTCGCAGCGATCATCCCCGAGCAAATGACATGTATAGAGAGGAAATAGATTGGATGCACTATCGAAGTGAAATTCTATAATAGAGAAGCTGACACGCTAATTGGTGCTTCTAGGGCGAATCGGTGGTCTGTTCGCCAAGGATACCGTCGACTGTGACACCATACTCCATCTGGGTCAAACCGCGAGGGTTCTCGGGCATCCATGACAAAACATACAGTCCTGCTGCCTTAGCTCTGAACTTGATCTCGATACCTTCACTCGATTCAGGGCAGTCTGACAAGTTGTAGAACTTTGTAGGCACAACACTATATGGATCCAAAGAACATAAGAGTGTCAGTAAGTGAGAAAAAAATGAGTGCAGTTCACAGCCAACTAAGAGAAATACTTACATAGTGCCGCTGTCAGCCTTCTCGCCAAACTCAAAGCGCGCAACAGTAAAGTTGAGTCCATCACAGGCAGCGCGGATACCCTTCACACGGAATTTGATGAGGACCTCAGGCTCGCGCTCAACATCCTCGTCCGCTACCACGATCTCATACTCGCAAGGTTTTCCATGTGACAGGGTCGAAAACATCTGATAGATGCCGTCCTGGGGCTGAGGCATGACAAAATCCATGATCGAGTTGGCCGATGCTGTTGAAGACGAGCGAGGGCGCAGGTAGGTGGGCACAGCCAGGAGATTGCCGTTCGATACAGGCGCCTTTGGGACGGGCTTGATGTTGTTAATAATCTCAGAGGGGACGCATCCTCCAGGCATATGATTGCAAGTACATGCTCCGCCCAAAAAGTCCGGGAGATTCTCAGGGTCAATATGAGCGAGCAACACTGACTTGTAGTCCTTTCCAAGAATGTGAATCTTTTCAATGACTATAAAGGTGTGAATGGTTAGCAACAAGAACAAGAATTAGCATAAGGAGGTAGAGGAGCGAACAACTACAAAAAAAAAAAAAAAAAGCCTTATCCTCACCACCGGGGTCGAGCCACTTCTTGATCATAGAGTACACCTTGACGAAGACAAAGGGACTGTTGACGATGAACAACTTTCCAAGACGTTCGGGATATGCCTTCTGATCCATGTCGGTTAATGAACGGAGCATGTTCAATCCCTCCATGTGCAACTCTAAATAACCGTGAGAGAATAGCGTACAAAGAGATGCGGTTTAGTGCAGAGTTGGAGCCCACCAGAAGTAAATTAATAATGTTCCCAGCATAAATTCGCTTCTCAATGCTCTCGTAAATCGATAAACGCCAGTTAGTCACCACTTACGATGGAAGCCCATGCCAGTGCAGTCGAAAATAACGGTCTCCTTGTCGATGACCTTGTCGTCCGTTCCAAAGCGCTCCTCACACTCAGGCATGATGGTGTTGTGGACGAATTCCGTGCAGCGGATATGGTAGTCGACCAACTCAGGTGTTGTAACATTCTTGGCCAGACCTTTGACGTTGTGTTGGCCCTATTAAAAATACAAGAATGGATCAAATGAAAAAGAGGTGTGAGTCTTAAAGTCGTTTTGCAACATTTCACCCTGTTGTGTCGCAACTGCCATGCTTGTCCCTGGTGTTATGCAAATAGGAAAGAGACTGTCCACGCCATTAACCCGACAAGTTGTTATCTCCTTGTTTCTCCTTTTTTTTTTCTTCATTCTTTCTCGGTCGGTGCCACTCCCCAATAGAAAAGAATCATTTCGTCTGTGCTCTGAAAAAGAATGTTATAATTACCATGCGCTCGATATAGATTGGACGGCCAGCCTTATCCCATTTGTGGAGACAGCTGCCTCCCATGTACTTTTGAAGACGGACAGCATGCTCGGGGACATTAGGCTGTCCAGCCTCGATGTTGGCATCGGGAACAGAGTTCCAGCCGCGGACAGCGTACATGACACCGTTCGAGTTCTTGGGTCCTGGAATAGGCAGATCATCGACCTTGTTGGCAGTTCTCCAGTCCAATGAGGCGAGCAGCTGCGTCTTTGCTCCGTTCTAATCGATTTGTGAATGATGAAGAAAGGAAAAAGAGTGGTGAGAACAATGAGGGGAATAGAGTTCACGATCTTGGTTATTTTTGGGCAAAAAATCCCTGGGGAGTTGGATCCATGACACCGGTTGAATAACCAACCACCACTCAGAACAGTCCTTTTGTATTCCTGTGGCTGTCGGCTGTTTTGTTTCCAAAGGTTCATCTCCAGTGCCCATTTCGTATTTGATTTCGAGCTTTGGTTCAGCCCTTCTCGTTACTCATTTGCGCGATAACGAGCCGTCCACCGAAATTGCTGTAACACACTTCTCTGTTGTTGCTGTTGTTGATGATGACGATGATGTCCAGCTAAACATTCGCTATCCGTGTAATTATCGTCATTTGTTCCTTTGTTCGCCATCCCTGCCATATTCTTCAGCTCCTATGATTTGCTCGACTTACCAAGTCATAGCTTCTGGCAACGATGAACCGCATCAATTCCTACAAACAGATAACAAATGACAAGTCATAGAAAATAAAATGATGTCAGTATACCCGGATCGACAAAAAACATTGGACCAGAGACCAATTCCGTTTTGCTCCATTATCGAACGAACGGTAAGAAATAATGCAAAGCAAAGTGCGGGTCCGTGTTGAGGTATTGTAAGCCTATTCCATGAATACACTGTTTCCGCGATCTGCCAGGCTTGTCCATCGTAAGAGATTATGCGTGTTGTCGACGTCGTTGTTGCTTCCTGTTGCATTCAATTCTTTGATTGTTCGAGTCGATCGAGACCCACATCAGAAGGTAGAAAAAAGATAGAAAGTAACTTACCCCGTCATCATACTTGTCGCTATCGGCACCCAGGAGAACACGGAAGTTCTTGAGGGCCTCGACCTGCTTTGGCTCCTTGTAGGGGTGTTTTGAGCGGATGGAGGCGGCAGAGGTGCCTGTGGTTGAGGGTGGTGTTGACTGCATTGTGTGTTGTTTAGATGTGAGTGAATGAGTAAGTTGTGTTTGTTGGAAGAATGCGAATGGGAGAATGAGGATGAGAGAGAGTTGAGTGTGTAGATGAAGAAAGGAAGAGAAGGAAGAGAAGGAAGGAAAGGTAGTGGAAGTAGAGAACAAAAAGAAGGCGAAAGACAGGAAGACAGACAGCTAATAAAAGAAGGTAGTGTGAGGAAGGGGACACAGACATCGACATCGATTTAATTTGTTCGACTGACAGACCACTGACATCACATATTAGTGTTATCTCTTGCTCTCGCTCGCACACATTACATATATACATACTTGGCATTGTTCTTCCAGACACCCTCTTTCCTTCATTGCCATGCCCTGCAACGCTATCCGACTTCCCCTTTTCACCCGGGTTACCTGAACTAATAAACGCTCACCAATTGACCATGTCAACCCTGGCTCTCACTCTCGAATGTGTATGGACAAATGAGTCTGAAAGTGAGACTGCGCGGCGGGCCTGAAGTTTCCCCCTTTGGCCGGAGGAAGAAAACGAGACGACACGCACTCCGTTTGTGTGTTAGAACCCTACCCCTTTCCTTCCTTCCTTGACTGGGTAAACAAATTGCCACTCGCACCTTTTTGTCAGGGTGCACCCGTAACTTTGACAAACAGGATTCACATTTGACTGCAACGACAACTAAACGGCAAAAGAAAATAAGAAAAAAAGAGCAAAACTCGTTTTGTTCGAAATATCAAGCATCCTTTCTTCTGTCGTTCGTCTCCCTCTCTACCTACTTGAACAGTCCATCGCTTCATCACAGACCACGGGCTAGCGATACACTCCTTGTCCATGTTCCTGCTCCTGCCCCTCACCCCTGTCCCTGTCCTGTAGACCCAGCCATGCCCTTGCTTTCATCTGTCTCGTGATGGAAGCACTGGCTTGGCTGACTACCATTATTCGACAACGAGCCAAAAATCATCACCCCCTTCTTGTCCAGCACATGCCACTATGCTGCCTGATCAGCATGTGGAGGGAAAAAATAACAAAATCGGGACACGCGACCCCTCCATCCACTTGGACACTTGGACAGCGGACTCGGCGATCTTAATCATCAGTCAAAGCGAATTAAAAAAAAAACAAAGCATAAGAGGAGACCGATGAAATAGGAATGAGGGCGAAGATCAGTCTGCAAAAGGTTGCAGGAACAGGACGCGTCTGTGGGTGGAAAGTAGGGTGCTAGGAGCAGGCTGTTGCCTAGCGCGCAAGTTTGCTCTTGCGCTTGCGCTCGAGCCAGTCAAAGTACTTTGTGTGCTTGAAAAAAGCATAACATCCACCTCTGCCGATGTCATCCGGCTCAGGCAAGGTAATTGATTCGCTCAGGCAAGGTAATTGATTCGCCCACCCTGCCCTTCCCTACTTCGGCTTCCACGCTGTCGTTTCTTATGTATTGGTCATGACATCCGTGCAGTCTCTTTTCGAGAGTGCTGCCAATACGATGTGCTAATGATGATAATTGAATGAAATGGGATATGCTTGGCTAGCGTGTGGCCTTGGCACTTTAAGACAACTCTCCTCCTCTCTCTCTGTACGTTGACCGTTAAAACAAAAGACGTCCAAAAAGACGATCGATTTCCCCCCGCTCATGTCGCTCATTGGATCTCGCAATTCGCGAGTCGCAAGTCGCATTTCGCTCTTTTTTTCACACAACGTCTTTGTCAACCTTTGTTCACTTTGACGTTTTGTTTCCTTAACCTTCTTATTGTTCGCACCTCGTTTTTATTAACCTCTTTCTTTCTTTTTCACTTTTCATTCCACCCAGCCCCTCATCCTTCCTCTCATACATATACACACAATGACCGACCAACACGCCCAACATTACACCGCCATCAAGGACGTCGTCCTCACCGACTTTTTGGACAAGGAACCCGAAACAACCTTCAAGGCCAGCGATATCTGGAAGGACCAACCCGCCATCGTTGTTGGTACTTTAACATATTCACATGGCAGACGACACATCGGCAGGCAGGATTGAATTTTTTTTTGTGTCTGCACCATCGATCATTTTTCTCTCGGTCACTGACTGGGAATACCTTGTTTCTTTGAATGTTGTTAGTTATCCGTCGTCCTGGATGCCCTTTCTGTCGTGAGGAGGTCCGCATTATTGACGATCACCGCGAACTCATCGAGAAGGAGATGGTAAGATTCACAAAAGGTTTTCTTGACAGTAAAACACGCAACAGAAAGACAAAGCGCAAAATGGCTCACACTCCTCGACCACCCAAATGCACAAATCAACAAATGAATTCAATAGGGCTTCCGTATTGTGGTTGTCCTCCATGAGAAACTGGGCGCTGCTACGTTCAAGCATGATTATTGGAACGGTGGCGAGACTTACTTTGACAAGTCCAAGGGTTTCTACAAGGCCTTGGGGTACGTTCTCTATTATTATTATTTTTTCAATTTGCGTTTTTTGTTAACTCTAAAATGAATAAAGGCTCGCCCAACTGACACAAACATTCTTTTTCTTGCCCTCCCCTCGAAAAGAGGTGGCAAGTTGAGCTGGGCATCCATCGACCAGTTGATCCGTCCAACCCTATGGTTCAATACCCTCCGAAACCTACGATCAGGCGTCCGTGGAAACCTCCTTGTAGGCGAAGGACGCATCTTTGGAGGTCTCTACATTGTTCGCAAGGGTGACGAAGGAATCGCATACAAGTTTGAGGAGACTGTTCTCGGAAACTTGGCTCCTATTAGTAAAATCCTAGAGGTCTGTAGTCAGGTCTCGGGTGTGGATCTCAAGGATGCTGAGATTCAGAGGGCAAAGAGACAGGAGGTTCAGGTCCAGGAGCGGGCTGATGCGGCTGCCAAGGCCGGTCAGACGGAGTGCGATGGGGATGTCTGCGCCCTTCCCCCTTCTAAGCTGTAACTCGTTTTTTTTTCAACAGAACCGATATCTACTCAACTTTTTCACAACACGTGGAAATCCCTCGTTTCATTAAAGATACCATGCATCATCAATGCCATTGCCCTCACACTGTCAACCAACATGGAAGTGCAAGCAGATTTTTTTTCTTCGTACACAATTTATTTCTCTAACAAACAGCATAGAGAAGTCATTTGGAAGTAAAAGGGGACTACATACCAAACTCTTCAGTGCACCATCCACCAGTCGCAGTCCGGTCCAGAACCTGGCTCTGCGCAACAATTGTCGCTGCTCCTCACAGCTTAAACGGAAGAAAATAAAACTAGATACGAATGAAGGGGATTCTTCCCATCCTCTCCATCATTGACAACCTCCTCCTTCCTAACAAACTCTCCAACAACCGCTCGTCAGCAGCGCGTGGGTCCTTGGTCGCTCCAGGGCACCTTCTTTCATCATGTGTGACTAGCGAAGCGCCACACGGGCAGAAACCATCATGCGTGATGTAACCGTATCCTTGACTCCAGTCACCTCGGGGCCTGTGTACTTGGATGTCTTGTTCTTGGCAGAGATACCTTGGGTCTGCTCCCACGCGCTCGTTGCGGAGCACCGAGGTTTCCAGATCAGCTCCGAGGCCTGCGCCTCCAGGTAGCCAACAAACTTGTGAAGGACTGTCTTGGCGATGGACATTGGGGTCCGGAAGACCGCGGACCATTCAGTCAACATGCTCAAGGGGGTGATGCCGCGGAGGAGATCCGACACGTTCCACATCGGTCTCTCGTCTCGATCGGGAGCAGGACTGCCGCTGTGCACGGCTCGAGCTCCACCGATGGAGGAAAATCCTCGTACATGATCCGCATCCGAAGGGGGCCACCAGTGTATGGGTACTGGCCTCGGTACCTGACGACCTCTGTCCACCGCGCGTTTGTATTCTCGCTTCCTGGCCGCGTTGTAGCTGTTTGTCGCCTGCACACCCCACTCATTAATCTTGCCCATGGCCTCCTTCCAGATCTCAGTGGTGGTTCTGTAAACTTGTGCAGGACCGATCAGGTTTTTTTGCCAATTTTTTCATGTCGTCATGGCACGTGACTAGCGCCACCAACTTGACTTCATTGGGACCGGCAGTTGAAATTAGAGCCAGAATACATCTTTTCAAGATCTGGTAGGATGGCCGAGTTGGTCTAAGGCGCCGCACTCAAGTTGCGGTCTCGAGAGAGGCGTGGGTTCAAATCCCACTTCTACCATCTTCTTTTGCTTCCGTTCTGGAGACTTTTTTTTACTTGACAACCCATGCTCAATTTCCGTGCTAAGTCCATGTAACACACTTTTTTGCCTCGCATTGTCTTGTTTTTATAACATACACTCACAGTTTTTGCGCTCAATTGGTCGTCAGACCCCCTACAGTCCACTTCATGAAGCTTGCGTCCCTTGTCGTCATCAAACACGGCTTGTAGATACCTAGAAGTGTCGTATTCAACATTAGTGCTTCAATGATTGATCACCTTCAAGGAGATACCAATAGTGCTTAAAGGGAGAGCGAATGAGAACAAGTCGCCCCCAAGAGTTTCTCCTCTTTTCTTCATCTTTTTATCTCAAACACAGAAAAAGCGTGTTACATGGGCTTAGTGCGGAAAGCTAAAATTCGAACAACCCGGGTTGTCAAGTATATTAACCTTTTTTTTTTGTTCGCGCTATCGTTTTTTGTTGCTAGGACGTACAGTACAACTACTTGACGTAGTTCCTGATGAGCACCTTCAGACCCTCGCCACCACAGTCATGCTCAAGACAGAACAACGCGTCCTTGATATTGACCTTCCCCAGAGGGTTGCACAGACCACGATTGAATCGACTTGCTCCTGCTCCTGTGGCTCCAAGCGAATCGGACGAGGGCGAGGAAGGATCGAGAACTGTCGAGTCAGGGTCTTGGGGCCGCTTCAGCACTCCACCACTTCCTGCCATCCAAGCATAGGCCCTGTTCTGCCCTCTGTTTCCCGCAAATTTCAGAGCAGTTTGGTTCACAAATCGTAGCTTCACCTCGTCTGTCAGCACTACCTTTGGCTCCTTGACCTTGGCAATATTTCCGAAGCGAACCCTTTTGGCCTTGCCACCACCACCATCCCTAGCGATCTCGCTATCAGCCGCTTCTGCTGCCAGTTTCTGCTCGCGCAGCGCTGCAATGTGCTCCTTGTATTTAAGTTCTTCCTCCCGTTCAGCACGCTCGATCGCTAGTAGCTGCTTCTTGACATCCTGACCAACACCGAGGCGGAACATCGTGTGGTCAGTATCGTACATAGGAGGTGGGCCGAATGTCTCCGAGGACGACTTTCTGCGATGTCTGGATACATGGATCATTCGCTCGATCAAGATTCGAAGTCGCTGCTTGGTGGCCAGCGCCAGGTAGGTGATCACATCACGGTCGACCGTCAGTAGCTCATGTTTACGAGCTAATACAAAAAGAATGCAAAAGGTCCTATTTAGTATCTATCTGGTCATTTTCATACATATGTTAAAGGGGAGGCGATAGCAGAGCCAGGCTTACCGAAACGCATAACAGTCGCAGCCAGGATGTCCTCTTTCATGAAGTCCTGCGCCGTTGGACTACCTCTGACTCCACACTCATTACCACTGTCATTACTTCCACGCCTCGCCCCAGGTCTTGAAGTAAACTTGAGCAAGTCGTTCGCCTCATCCATCAGGTCAAATTCGACATATCCCATAACGTCCAACATGTCGAACTCGAACCCTCCTCCTCCGCGGGCAACAGTCATAGAGGACGTTCCCTCTGCTCCGTGCACTCCCACTCTTTTTTGAGCCCCAGTCGCAGAGGCGATACAAGTCGAAGCTGAGATTGCAGAGGCAGAGCCTGTAGTTGTTCGAATGCTGGGTGTGAGTGCAGCGTGCGGTCCTGTCGCTGGAGCCGCAGGTGCGGGTGCTCCTGAGCTTGTACGAAGAGAGGTTGGTGGGAGAGCAAGAGAGGAGGTCGGGGGGAGGGCAGGGCGAGAAGATGTCGACGGAAGAGCAGAGAAGGACGTCGTGGGGAGAGAAGGACCAGACGACGTTGGTGGCAAGATAGCAGCCGAGGAGGTCTTGAAAGGAAATTTTCTAACAAAACATAGTGGCGTTAAAACATGGTTTACCATGAGAACACTCCCTTTTACTCTCTTGTCCTATGCTGGCAAAGCAAAATGACAACAAAATCAAAGCAAAAGAAAAGTGCTTTACTGTTCTTCGGCAGATCGTTTTCGACCAGTGAAGCTTGGTGCGACGTCTGCTGCTGCTGCAGTGGGGAAAGTTGCCGATACAGATGTAGTGGTTCTAGAAGGAGTGAGAAGGTGACTTAACGAGCGTATTCGTAGTCTCGTGGGACTCTGTGGGTCATTTTGTTTCGGTGGTGAAGTCTTTCGTTCCTTCATGGTTGTGTGCGTGGAAGGGGAGTGGCAAAGGGAAAGGACGGAGGAAAGGAAGGAGTAGTGGGGTGGTGGAAGGGTGGAGGGGTGGAGTGGAGAGGAGGAGAGGTCCCTTTTTATACTTTGCATTTCTGCTGCGCGTGCAAAATTGTGACTACTCTGATAGTAATTGCGCCTATTGAATTTGAACTTGTTTTTTATTCATAGTTGGCATATTAATCGTCAAGAGGTAGGGCATCAGTATGTATACATGAGTGTATAGGACGAAAGGGTGTGAAAGTAACAGAGTGTAGAAATACTGATCGCTTGTTTGTCTTTGTATGTGTGAGAGAGGGGGTGAGGAAAGGAAGGCAGAGAAAGAAGGAAAGACAGACGGAGGAAGGTCAGTTGAAAAGAAGGAAGCATTCGTGGCCATCTCGAATCCTCCTTGTCCACACCTAAATGCAGACCCAATAATCGTACTCAATCTGCACAACCGTGTTCAACTTCAATCGAACAGTCGCCTCATTGTACTCTCGAAGCATAAACGTCTGATCAAGGTACTCCAACCTCAACGTTTGGTTCGCCCCAGCCTCGCCATGCTTGACCGTGAATCTCTTGTCTGTTGATCGGAGGGTCGTGTTTGGCTTGGAAGGGTGTTTAGGGATGAGTCCATAGTACCCGTTGCTTATCAGCAGCCCAAAGATGTCCTCTCGCACAGTTTTATCCTCCCGTGGGTAGGTTGTTGTACGGGCGGCCCATTTCAGTGTGCTGGATAAACGCCCGGGAACTCCTGCGGATTTGATTATACAAGAAGAAAGGTAGACAAGGTTGGGTAGCAGAGAGGCTAGGAGTCAGATGTGATAAATGTACAAGGACGAGTAGAGAACATCAAGAAAACGAAAAAGGAGCGACCTACTCTTGATTGTCCCTCTTTGTGGGAGGAGCAAAGACAACCATCAGGATCAAGAGAAGAAGGATTAGAAATATCATAGGCGGAGGGGGGAGGATGGTGGTGATGGTAGTGGTGATGATGATCTTTGTTGGAAGTATGGGATGGTGTACGAGTGGGGAATGATATGGAAAGATGGTTCAAGTGGGCTACACAACGACGAAATAGTCCAGGTATATATACGTTTCTTGCATTGCAGTGTGAATTGCCGCCTTGAGCTCAAGTAAGCATTGGGCATTGGTGCCTGAATGTGGATGAAAATGATGGCAGTGTTGTGACAAGTCAGATGGTTCAGAGGGTTCAATTCGAGAGGCGCGGGCCTATTTCAAGTATGTGAGACATGACAGATCAACATAATCTTTAGCAATAACGAACGTCAAACACGGTGGCGCCATTTCTTATTTTGTTGTATCTATGTTCATATGCGTGTACTGTACATGTGCAAGAAAGAGAGAAGGAGAGGCGCCCAAAAAAACTGATATAAGTTCTTATACCAACTGCAAATGGAGGGGTGTACGCTGCCCTTTCTACCATAGACCATTGCATGAAAATTGAGATGGGGATTGAGAAAGAAAAAAGTCACTCGTTCCATGCTATTGTCTTCTCTCAAATGTCCGAAAAGGCTTGCTCATCCACGTATTCTCATTTCTCCATGTGTTTTGCGTGTTGCAAGTTGAAACGACAATATGGTTGTCCCATGTCATTACGCCTTTATCTCGTTTTTCTTTGCAGTCGATCGAATGTAGCAGAGAGTTCTCGAAAGAGCCAGTCGTTCTAGTGTCAAAAACTTTTTGTTTGACGATAATGAACGAGGGACGATGTCGGTTCAAGGGAAATTGACTCACTCCTGCCTTTGCAACCAATTGTCCCCCTCACTCATCTCGTTCGATGCTTCCATGCCGCCCAACCATAACATGCTTAGCAAATGTGTTTCTCGGAAATACCGAAATACAAGTGGAAGAAAGTTATTCACCAACGTAAAGTATTCGTTTATTCAGATAAAAAGGGTCGTTATTTTCGTGTGCGAGATAGAGTTAAAAAAAGGTGCGCACATGGTGTCTGTGCGATAGAACAAAAAAAAAAAAAAAATCTGCGCACGTAGCTTGGGTAGCTCAAATCCTCCTACCCTCTCACTTTCTCACCCTTAGATGCAGCAGTAGTACTCATACTCCCATTCAGTGATCTTGCTGAGCTGGGCGATTCTCTTCTTGTTTTGGTACGCCTCGAACGCAAAGGTCTGATCCTTATAAATCAAAGTCAAGGTCTTGTTCTGGGCAACTTCGCCATGCTTGACTGACCATGTTTTGTCCTTGGATTCGATAAAGACGTCGTTCTGGGAGGTGTGGGGAGCAATGATTCCATAATAGACTTGGTTGATATCTAGGGCGAAGGCATCCAGACGAGTGATTCCCTTGCTGACCGTGTCAACCTGTCGCGCGGACCATGTCAGGGTGCTGGAGATGCATCCCTCTCTCTCAGCTCTAGTTTTGTAATGGGAAAAGATAGTGCCATTTGAAAAAATGAGGGGACGAAAGTGTTAGGTATACAATGGCATGATCGACGTTGTTCAACAAGTTATGAGATGGAGAGAAAATTACTTACCGCTTCTCGACCCCGTTGGTGGGGAGAGCGAAGACAACCGTGAGAGCCAAGAGGAGGAGGATCAAAAGCTTCATAGCGGGATAAAGTGCTGGTGATAGACTTGTTATTTTGATGGTAGCAATTGTTGTGGCTGTCGTTGTTGTTGTTGTTGTTGTTGTTGTTGTGGAAGTGCGCTGAGAAGAGAATTGCTGTGAGTGGATTGCAGAAAAAAAAGAGGTAGAAGGAAACTTCTTATATACGTTTTTTTCTTCTGTCGAATGGATATGAATAGGCGCTGCTATCCACAACGATTCCAGTGCTTCAGCGAGGGCATGATGCCTGAATCCCAGAGCAGATGGTTCAGGTGGTTCAAGTTGAAGAGGCGTATATTATTTCGCGTCTGCATGTTGCGGTAAAAATATCGACGCGAACCATCTCATTTTTCACTTTGTTGTTGCTCGACACAGGTTGAAGGAGGCATTCTCGTACTCCCTTAATCAACATGATTCCACTCGCAATAATATATTGCTATCATAGTGCACATGGAGACGTTGTAAGACTGAATGTCTATGAAAATATATTGTTTACCTTTCCTCTTCGCGTTGTTGTCTGAGACAGAGAGGGGCGAAGATAATTTAAACGAGTCGAGGGGTGGGCAACACGTCTGCGTGGCAATAGTAAGAGAGCATAACCTTTTGTTGGCTTCACCCTCTACAACAAAATCAAAATAGACAGAAGGTATTCATGGAACTCGTTTTCGCAATGTTCGCCGCGCACAATAATAAGAGCTATTCAATTTATTTGAATATAGAACAAAAGTGTAGGTGAAGTTGAGAGTACGCGGAAGGGAGAAAAAAATGGCCTCTGAGAGCTAAGACTAGTCGAGACGCCATTCACAATTACGCCCCAATACATAGCCAGTAGTCATACTCGATAAAGTACTCCTTCTTAGTCCTATTCGTTCGAATATCATTTACCTTGGAAAACTCAAACTGATGGTGCCACCAATTCAAAGTCAGGACATGGGTCGTAACATCGCCATATATGATCGTAAACATCTTGTCGGGCGATCGAAGGATTTGGTCGTTTTTTACCAGCCGCATGGGAATGCTTCCGTAGTAAGTGTCGCGGATAGACACTGTGAAGAGCTCATGGGATATACTCCAGCCGGTGTACTTTGTTGCGCGGTTTGTCCATGTCAGTGTGGTCGGTTTGCAGTCTGGTAGTTCCTCGTAGCCGCCGCTTCTATTGAATAGGTAGAGGATCGGTTGGTGTTAGAGTGTGTTTGTGTGGACTGAAAATATGGTAAAAAAAAGAAATAGGAACAGTTATGGCATTCACGATTCACCTCCCAGAGGGTAGAGCGGAGACAACCGCGAGTGGGAGAAGGAAGGGGACCATGCTTCTCAATGCATAATAGAGTTATCGTGTTTGTCGTCGAATAAAGAGAGTGCATGGTGGAGGACGGTTCAGAGAAGAAGAGAGAAGGAGATGGTTCAATTGCATTAGATGTAAAAAAGGGAGAGAGAAGGTGAAGGTTTGTTGAGTTACATGGCAAAAAGAAAAGGACAAGGAAAGCCCAAGGGCATGGAGGTTGACGTAATCCAATAATCGTTCGTGAGTCGAAGTGAAGGGGCGAAGATGGTTCAAATTAATGTCAGCGTGACCTGCAATCTCGCGCTCCTTTTACCAATGTAGTTCTTTTCTTTTGACCATTCCAGTTGAGTGCGAGTGTCTATTTTGAGATTTCGTTCATGAACAAAAGGACGGCGGCGCTTCTCTGTGTAAGTTATTCGTGTAAGACCAACAATGAACATCCCCTTCGGGAGCATGATAGCTATGTTGGCTTATTCAAATCGTAGTGGTGCAGACAGAGGGTGCCGCTTGGGATACGTGGTTGTAGTAGTTTTCGTGTCTAGATGATACGATAAGGTGTCGGGTCAAAAAGATACGGAGGGTAGCCCTTCACCCTTCCTCCTGTAGTTCGTAATGATGTGTGTAAAATTTATTCGGGAAAGCATGCAAAAAAACTTGGTAAAGAAGGCTGAGCATGAAAAAGGAGAGCTGCAAGATGTTCGAGTAGCAGCTCCAATGAGATGAGAGAGAGAGAGTTAAAGAGAGGGAAAAAGTCGTCTGGACTGCCTAGAGATGGAATATTCTCTACGTTAGGCCACAAGGCAAAGACAAAAGTAAAACTCACGTACAACTTCATGATGTTCATGTTCGCCTCATTGTTCTCCTTGAACTTGTACTGATGATTTTCCTCATGAGAAGGTCAAGGCTCGGGATCGGTAACATTACCATGAGGGACCGAAGACTTGTCGTCGGCCGATTGGAGGTTGTCCCCAACATCTGCGTCCTACGAGAAGTTGTAACCTTGGTAGGTGTTACGGATCGTCAGCCCATAGCCTACAGAGGGGATCTCCCGTCTTGAAATTGCTGTTGCGATGGCGAACCATGTCAATGTGCTCGGTTTGAACTCTGGAGTGAGTAGTGCCAATTACTGGACTCCGCTGCCACTACTTGAATACAGGGAAGTAGAAGAGATGGGCTTGTGACAGAGTATGTTTGTCTGAACAGAGAGAGTACAAGGTAACGGCAGAACAGCAAGCACGAGAGACCTATGGCACTCATGTCCCACTCCCCGCTTCCAAGGGGGGCAAAAACAACTGCGAGCTTTCTATTATTTTCGCGTTTGTTACTTTTATTTAACCGCTTCCCTCTCTCAACATACACCCCTCTTCATTCTCTCCTGGCCATAGGTCTAAGTCGGTGTCGCTCTCGTTTTCGTTGTCCTCGTCGTTGTCGTCTTGCCCAAGGTGATACCTTTCTACTGTTTGCGAATTTGTTTGTTGTTTTGCCTTTTTCCCATCACCGCTCAAGGCCATTGGTCCAAGTCGGTGTGTCATTGGTCCAGATCGGTTCCCGTTGTCGTCATCGTCGTCGCGTGTTGCCCAAGGTTTTTTAGCCTCCTCCCTTCTCACCATACAACCCCTCTTCATTCTCTCATCGTCTCTCCTCCATAGGTCTCGCGCTCATCCCCTCCTCGGTCATAGTCGCCCAAGGTACTTTTCTACTTTTCGAGTTTGTTTGTCGTCTTGCCTTCTTCCCTTCCTCCATTCTCCTTTCTTCCTTTCTCCTTTTCCCCTTCTTCCTTTTCCCCTTCTTCCTTTTTCCTTTCTTCCTTCCTCACCATACCCCCCCATCCCTTCTTCTCTCATCGTCGCCCAAGTAGCCCAAGGAGAGGACTGGTCTTCTCTCCTTGCGGTTGACTTTGGGTGAACTCCTCGCCAGACAGGACAAAGACTCCAGGCAGACAGGAGGCCCATCTCTATCGGCCGAGTTGCAGTCGTCCGATCCCCAGTCGTCATTAGAAGCATTGAAGTAAAACCCCGAGTGCTGGGACAGAAGCTCGATCACTGCGCGGGTCTTGCCACAGCCTATTGAGCATCAAAGATCAAAGAATGTAATCAGTTAATTTGATTCTTTTGTTACAGCACAAGTACAAAATGTCTCGTAGGCCATATACAAAACCTCAGACACGCCAAAAACTGGAATGACTGGATGGTTATCTTCTTTGACCATGTCCAGAATTGAACCCGCTGCGAGATTCCTTGATGCCGAATCAGGTATCGAAGGGTCGGGAAGGTCCATGGAATTAGACTTGGTCTCGTCGCTCTTGGCTTGCCGAAAGCGCTACGGTATGCTCTTGGTAAGCCTACGATCTTTCCTGTAGTGAGTGGGAGCGCGCCTTTTCCTTTGACAAATGCGTCGAGAAGGTCGGTAATGGGTGTTCATGATGAGAACGTGTCTGTGATCTTTTTGATGTCAATACGTAAGTCGCCTAGTTCGCCTAGTTAAATGAAAAGGCAAGGTATGAGATACTAGAAATATAATGGGCAGGTCGACGCAGTGGCGCTTACCGGACAGCGGCGTGCCAGGACGAGACTGATCCAAGAAAGGAGTGGAGCTGCGAGCACGGACTGGGAGTGGGACCGCAACAGGCGCATGAACTATGTTAGTGCAGTGGGTTGCGTGCATTAGATTAGTACAATGGACAAACTCATGAGCAAGATGTTAATGAAACCAAAGCGCGCCTGCATTACCTGGAGGGGCGCTGGACGATGATGTGGATTGTTTTCTTGAGCGGCTGGTTTTCAAATAATCTGATAGTTCGCTTGTCGCCCTGAGTTTCTTCTCAGAGACCAAGTCCAACTAGATGGGTTGTTCGTCGTCGTTCTCGTCGTCAGGAATGGAGACGCGCCAAAGGGTGAGGTTGTTTGCAACAATGTCGTCAAAGTCAGGACTCTGCTCAGCCTTGATGAGCTTCTTGAGGTCACCGATTGTCTTGGTTGACTCAATCTCGACAGGGAATGCTCCATCAACAAGACAGAACAGGGTCAAGTGGTTTGTCATTGTAGACTGAAGACGAGTGATTTCAATTATTTTTTATTGAAAAAGGAAAAAGAGATATTGATGACGTTTCTCTTTTTTTTTTATCAAATGACTACCATCGCCACTACTCCTCCCTTTTTCATTACCTTACGCTTTTCTCTTCATTGCTCCACCATCCTTACTCTGTAATCTTTTCTCTCACAAACACACACATACACAGACACACCCTCTCTCTCAGTTGAAACGCTAGTTGAAGGTAATGCTTATTATCTGACTGAGATCGCACAGAGACACCATGTCATTAGTGGCTATAACAGACATACTCGGGAATTGTCAGGACAATGGACCCGCCGATATCGTACTCATCCAATCTGAGGTCCCACGTCATAAGTAGTCCCGCTTCTTTTGTTCCAGCAGATACACCACCAGCAGATACACCTCTGGGCTCTGCCGTGGGCTCTGCCGAATGGGGGAGTGACTACGATGCTGGTCATCAGAGGAGATGGACGATTCAACATAAACCACAGTATCCTAAGTAGCCCCACTTCTTTTGTTCCAGCAGATACACCACTGGGCTCTGCCGTGGGGTCTTCCGAATGGGGAAGTGGCTACGGTATTGTGGCGTATGATGTTGTTGTATTACTCTAGTATTGTGCACTTGAGAATGAGGTCTTAATTGAGTTTCCGGTCTTAATTTGAGTTTCCAATCTTGTACAGATGTCTTCGCCGGCTCATCTACGCTGGGTTCTTGATAAGGTCAAAGGCGAAGAGCATGTCACATTTGAAAATTTTGTGCGGATCTTCAGCTGTACCGAGAGGCAGCTGGCCACGCTAACTTATGCAAGGCTCATTGACTCACACGAGATACGATCATGCAGGCGAGAGAAGCTACGGGCGTCATTTGATGAGTTTTTAAATCATAGGGAAGAGATATTTTGGTCCGAACGAAGATTAGAAGTTAGCTCTGAGATTGTTGCAAATGACGCCGGAGTCTCTGTACAAGAAGCTGGGGGAGTAGCATCTCGAGATGGATTTACACAATTGTTGGCAAGGAAGAAAAAGAGTAAGAGTTTATGTAGGTTATTATTTTTGTTATTTTATGTATTTACAAAAAGCGGGAGTGTTTGTAGACTTCTTTACTCATAATGTAGTATGATAATATAGATGGCGAATCATCTGGTCAAGCCACTGCTAGGATTTCCCCAGTGTCATCATCATCGTCGCTGTTAACATTGTCGTCGACAGCATCATCAAATCTCAAGAAGCGGAAGCGATCGACGACGACCGAGACCAGTAGAAAGCCCGACCTGAGCAGCCGGAAAGAGGTATGTAAACCAAGTCAACGCTGGGGAGTATCTTCATGAAACTATATTAGGATGAACACGTGGAAATATGTGCCTGACTGTAGATATTCACAGATGATATACGATCCCTTTACAATAGCCAGCGTTCGAGGATCTCAACAATTCGTTCCTCGTCCAAGCTCACGCATCAAAAACCGAGATCGACGGATCCGAGCCTGGATCAAGCACACAAGGACTAATGTGCTCTGTAAGTTTACACTCTTGGCTCCTGACAATATTTCAACCGTACAATGCATATTAATTCCTGGCTTACCGGTATTGAATTAATCATTAGGGAGAGTCATGGTCATCATTGACTGGAGCATCAAGCAGTGGTAGCAGCAAAAGCATCAGTGATTCGACAACGTATGCAGGCAGCAATGACAGCAGCGCCAGCGCGAGCAATGGGAGCCCCAGTCATCCTACTCATGAGCCTGATTTCCCAGGTTTGTATTTGATATGGAGGAACCATCGCACTCTCCAATGCGTCAGCCGGCAATAACTTACGATGAGTTTCCTCTCTCTTTTGCTACTTGATAGATCCCACCTTGAATTTGGAACATTACGTCACTATTAACCAGCCGGTGAAGTGGACTGTGGAGGAGATGGACCTTGTGCAAAAGTTCCGGGAGTTCAGAGCAGAGAACTTGCACGATTTCTCGCTTGCTCGCGACGGGGTAGCCAACTTGAGCGTAGGCTCCAAGTTCAGAAAGAGCCTCGCCCCAGATGTCGGCAAAGCAGCAACCAAGTTGGGTCTCGTCGGCGAGCTGCATACAATCTGGCCAACATTGACAGACATCTTGGGGCGCGTCTTTGCAAAGAACCATTATGACGACGTGGCTGAGGCGATCACAGATGAGAGCATGAAGGACCCGGTCGCGCGCTACATCATGTCCGTCATTTCATCATAGTATGTTTTTTTTTTTTTGTTCGCTAAAAACATCAACCATACTCGATACGCTGAAAGACGTATTCCTCGTGCTGTACATTCATTATCTAGCGCGCACTATTTTGCCTTCCAGGACCACGTCCCCACTCACATCAATGAACTCCAGGGTTTTGCGGACTTGACGTGGCCATTTATCAGAGGTGCAATGACAATGACAGGTGTTGAGACGCAGTACCTAGAAGTTCCCATCTCTGGAGTCCTTGAGCGCAAGAACTTGGAAAGGGATGACCTGACGGAAGCCAAGCAACCAGGCCAATATGCTAACGGGGTTGCTATTTGGGGAGACAGCCAAGTATTCCTCTCAGAAGTCTCGACCACCCACAGCACAAAGGCGGAGAAGCTGAGGCGAGATGAATTCAAGCTCGCTAGGGCAATGAGGGATTCATGGGTCAGTCAAGTCAGGGCCACATGCAAGCATTCGGTTCCCCTGAGCGGGATCGCTGTCTTTGGGTCCAGCACATTCAAGGGTGAAACCAAGCTCTGGCGACTTGACTTTCATGGCGTTTTTCGGCTTGTTCACTTTAACTCTTTCTTTGTCCCGCTCAAGAAAAGCGAATTTGGAAAGAAAGCCAAGGTGTCCATCCTTCTTTGCCTCGAGTTGGCGATGCGTGTCAAAGCAGAGGTCGATGCGCGAGAGGAAGGCGCCGCTCCTATTGATCATGGGATGCGCGAGCTGTTAGAGGAGGCTGTGTCATCCATTTAGTGTACCTCAACAACTCCAATGGAGAATCGCAAGAGAAAACCGTCTGCGTTCTCTTGCGCATCATCGAAGTAACAAAAAGAAAAACAACAATTGCATGCAGACAGGGCGATGGTCAGCGGCGAGGTGAAATATTCCAGTTCCGCAATCTTCACGCTCGTGTGCAGGGTTGTGGTTGAGTCTGGATCCCTGTAATCTTGCGCAGAGACTTGAACCCTAGAATGTGGGAATGAAGGCGTTCTCTGGTCATGGAGGGTGTCTTCTTTTTTGTGAAAGCTGGCATGTAATCACCGAACCTGAACCTAAAGTACAGTTGATGTTGGTAAGACATGCCGTTCGAAGATGTTGATGATAAAAAACGAACGAAAAGGATTCCTCTGTGACGTCCGAGAGACGGCCTATGGCAATGCAACGGAATGAGCAAGCAAAGCGACAAAGAACGCAAGGAATATTGAGCAAGTGAGAGCAAATGAGAGTGGTGAGGAAGGGGTTCTTGCAGGGTTGTACTGGCTTGGAGACGATTGAGAGTCCTAATGATGCGTTGTTGAAGAATTACTGGATCACGGATAACAACACCATTCGTGCTGTTCTGAGCGGGGAAGGTGTGAATGGAACAGGAGTACTGGAACTGGAGTACTGGCGCCATTGCATGGTCGGATTCTGCGACGGTTCTGTGCAAGCATGGCAGATACGGGATTGCCACAACCAACACAAGAACAACAACAGTCGCAACTACTCCTCCCACAACCCATCCAACAACAGACCCAAGAAGAAGTCGACCCATCAGTGCGCGACGAACGACACGCAAACTCGACATGGGCGATCCAGACAATCAACCGAACCGAGCAGCAGCAGAGCACGCGGCAACAATATCCACTAATCCGGGGTCACCAGCACTTGTTGTCAGGAAAGAGGTCTGGCACACGACTGTGGTCCATGGGACAGGACCTTTGGTCGCACAGTCTATCGTGCACACTTCCTCCCACCGGGATGGAATGCTGGTCGCTTTGGATTTGATCGACCCTCGAGGCGTTTCTAGTCAGCACATACAACAGATCCCTGGTTCACTCCAAATACCTCCATTGCCTCGAGATTCACCACAGCGACAATCCATCCGCCTCGTATGGACTCGACCCACTCAGGACCCGCTTATTGGTGACAGATAAATCCTCCTTCTCCTCCTCCTCCTCCTCCTTCTGGGGGTGCCTACTGTTAACAAACCACCATCTCGAAATCGGCGGAATCCCACGTTCCAACGAAAGTACCACCGCCGATGACAGCACCTTTGATCAGCAGGAGAGCCACAGGATCCAACGCCAAGTATACCGCCGATGACAGCACCCCTCACCCGCCTTCAAGAGCTCCGACTCGGTCGCGCATGCGAGCGCCAGGACATCGAAACCTACGAAGCCCATCAGCCATACCAAGAAATCCAACGCACAATAGGAAACAGCTCTGAGAAAGTCCCAGGGTTCCAGCGAGACTGCCTGGAAATGACGCTCAAAAGTGGATTGGACCTGTTGGGAACACTCAGAAAGCTGCCAGTTGGATCTAAGTCAGATGGACCATCGTGTAGGAGAGCCTGAGCTGAGGTGAATGCGGCGGCACTGGTCTCACTTCCAGACACTTCCTGGCGTATCATTGGCCCCATAAGAAATCACCCACAAGAGAGAAGACCAAGAAAAATAAACAATGCGGGAAAAGGAACAGGACAAAGAGCAAGCGAGCACTGGCAGAGAAAATTGGAGCACGATTTTTTTGGGGTTATTATGTTATGTTTACAAGGGTGCGAAAAAAAAACGCAAAAAAGAAAGAAATAAAATAACGCGAGGAACTGAACAACGCAAGAAAGAGATAAAGAATGATAAAGAAAAAAGAGGGGTTTCTATGGACAGTTTTTTTTGTAGGGTACTATGTTTTAACAATTTTTTTGTATGTTAAGAAAGAGTGGGGTAACGATCGAAAGAGTTGCCAACGAGATCATCACTTTACATTCTCTTCACACTCTCTACAAGCCTTCTCCCCCCACTCCACTTCAGTGCTCGCATATAATAAGATCAGTGTACATGACTCTTATTGGTGAACCTAGTAATGTCGGATTGTAGATACGTTTCCATAGCCATCATCGTCAAAGACATAATCCTCAAAGTAAACTCCAGCATCGCCGTTCAAAGTCTTAAGGCTCAGAGTGTCGACATAATACGGCTCGCCGTCCATGTATTTGAAGATGTATTTCAGTCCACGCTGAGGGTGTCGTAGGTCCGTGAATACATCTGTATTGTGTGGGCTAGGCACGACTATTGCGTTTCCTGTAGACGAGATCAGAGATAGGAGACCTAGGAAGTTGTTGGACTATCCAATGCAAAAGAAAAAGTGATCGGGGAAGAAGAGGAAGAGAAGGAAAGGAACGAATAAGCGAGAGTAAAAGAAGGGGAAAAAAAGCATCTGCGTTCCATTGTTGAGAACTGAGTCTTACCAGGCGCAGGTCGCATCCATGGGTTGCCTGCATGACAACAAACGCATTGACGAGCCGACCAATCCTGAGATTCCCCTGAATCGAACCCGAGTCCGCCTTGGCGTCAATTCTGGTTGTGCCAATATACCATGGTCCAATGTACACTCCATCGAATCGGATATCAAAATCAATATTACCCTTGTGGGCGACTAGGTTGAAGTAGTGAAGCGTTTCCGTCGGCTCTGTTGGATACCACGGCTCACCATGTGGGGTGGAACTAAACATGTTGGTCAGGGCTTCAAAGGTGATATCGCCCTCACGGGTCTCGAGGTGGGCATGGAAATCTCGAGAGTATTCTGCGGCTACCATGGGTGAATTGAGGAGGATGGATCCTCGTTGGCGGATGTTGGCGTAGAGGGCCTTTGTTCGCATAGTCGGTTGGTAAATTCCGTATCCTGAGTCGGTCCGAGACCCGTTGTGGAAAGTGATGTTACCGATATCTGTCGAGAGATGCAACAGGCGGAGGTTGGCATTTCCTAGATTCCAGGTGTTGATATCCAGTGTCGTTCCGTCGATGGTAAGCTCGCCGTCGAAAAGGCGTGGGAACGAGATCAACACCTTGAACTGGGCGCTGTCCTCGGGATGGTATTTGGATGCGACCGTGTATCTGACAAGCGTTCCAGTGTCACTCTTGACGTTGTCGAATTTGACCACGGGGTCCAAGACCTTGTCCTTGTTGTCGATGTTTGTGCGGTCAGAGACATACGATTCGGTGATTTGGACCGTAACGTGCTCCACTTCTCCGGTTTCGATAATCGCCTCGGTCACCATGTTGCCGTTTCCCTCTCCAAACACAAGGTGGACACGGGTGTCGTCAATGGTCACAGTTGTTGGAAAGTCGAATTTTGCGGCGGGACGTCGTTTGGCGAGAGGGTACGCAATAACGATGGATATTCCAATGACAGAAAGCACAGTCAGTCCAATAGATAGCCATTTCAGCAAACGTCTCCTCTTGTTCCTCGCATCTTGCCCAACCACCACTATGTTGACAAAGAGAACAACGAGTGGTTAGATCCTTCACGATGTTGATGCAGGAGAATTGTGGCAGTTGCTGGACTTACATTGTTCGCTGTCGGCTTGATCCATGTTGTATCTTTTCAGAGAAGAAAAATCTTCAGGCGGGCGGGAGAGGGTTCTTTTTATTCTTGTGCCAGGTGCTGATTTTTTGTTCTGCAAAGGATCTGTGTAACTAAACATCTCTCTCCGCGGGAAGGGGATGTCCCAGTTCAAAGTCGACGAATTGGTCAGCATTGCAAATACTTTTTTCTTGTTCCCCGCACCTGTGTAACCTCTTTCTCCCTCCCATCACCGTCAAGAAGGAGCGCGTTTGTCAACAACATGACAACAGCTTGTGAGGAGGAGAAGATACCAAGCGGGAAAAGAGGAACTGACGTTCACACAGACATTATTTTGAACATGCTTCTCGCACACCATCATGTCCTTGAATAAGCCAATCTGTCTCACTGCCTGCATCAATGGTGATGGGAGATGAGCCGATTTGCCATATGTATACTTCATTTCAATCCTTCCCACTCCATGTCATGGGTACACACAGAAAAAGACATGATAGGCAACTTGTTATTCAACTATTGAAGACTGTAGTTAAGTTCTCTCAGGGTGAATAGTTGTAATTCTCAAAGTACAATCCAATATCGTCATGGGTGGTCGTAATGCTCAGGGTGCCAATACCAAAGGGTTCGCCGTCGTTAGATTTGAAGATGTGTTTTAGTTCACGTTGTTGAGGTCGTAGGTCCTTGTAGATTTGTGTGCTGTTTGGGGTTGGTGTTACTGTTGCGTTTCCTGTGAACGAGATCACAGTCAGGGGTGCTTCAAAGTTGTCGGACTGTTGGACAATACAAAAGATTAGAAAGAGCAAAAAAAAGATGCCCCATATCCAACATGTGTTGATTTTTGAATCCTGACCGAGTGTAGGTCACAGTCCTGGGTTGCTTGCAGGTCGATAAATACATTGACGAACCAACCGACTTTCATGCGTCCCTGAATAGAATCGGCCTCTGTTTTGGCATCAACCCTGGTCAAACCAGGATACCACGGTCCGCGGACGACTCCATCGAATCGGACGTCAAATTGGGTATTTGCTCTTGTGCGCCACAAGGTCGAAGTAATGAAGTGTGTCCGTCATGTCTTTTCGATACATGATTCGTTGCCGTAGCGCATGGCATTTAACATGCTGGTCACGGCCTCAAAGGCAATGTCGCTCTCACGGGTCTCGATGCGGGCATGGAAGTCGTGAGGGAATTCTTGCGCCACCATGGGTGAATTGAGGAGGATGGATCTTCGTTGGCGGATGTTGGCGTAGAGGGCCTTTGTTAGCATAGTCGGTTGGTAAATTCCGTATCCTGGGTCGGTCCGGGACCCGTTGTGGAAGGTGATGTTGCCGATATCTGTCGAGAGATGCAACAGGCGGAGGTTGGCATTTCCTGGACGCTAGGTGTTGATATCCAATGTCGTTCTGTCGACGGTAAGTTCGCCGTTGAAAAAGGGTGGGATGAGGACCGTCGGATCCATCTGACAAGCGTGCCAGTGTCACTCCTGATGTTGTCGAATTTGACCACGGGGTCGTAGACTTTATCCTTGTTGTCGTAGTCAGACGGTGACACGGTCTACGACATAGGAGACCTCGATGATAGCCTCGGTCAGCATGTTGCTCTTTCCCTTTCCGAATACGAGATGTACACGTTTGTCGTCAATGACCAAAGTCGTTGGAACTCGAATCTCGTGGGTGGTTGTCGTTTAGTGAGAGGGTAGACGATAGCGACGGATATCGCAATGACGACGAGCACAGCCAGTCCGGTAGTCAGCCACTTCATTAGACGTCTTCTCCTGTCTCTCGCATCCTGACCCACAACCACTATCGTGGCGAAGAAATAAAAACCTCCTAGTTAGATCCTTGACGATGTTGAAGTAGGAGATCTGTGGTTGCTACTGGACTTACATTGCTCACTGTCGGTTTGATCCATGTCGTCAACTTTTTGTCTTTCTACAAGTAAGCTGAAGGTGTTCTTTTATTCTTTCACCAGGTACTTGACCATCGTTTGCTCTACTTTTGTGTTATATGCATGATCTCGAATGTAACTCTGCTCAACGCCCATTTCTTCGAAGAATTGTGCAGCATCGCAAATGCTGTTTTTATTTCTTGTCCTCAACTGCCGTATAACTTCTTTGTCCTCTCATCCCCGGTCAAGATGAAGCACGGCTTGGCATCGTATATGGCAACAAGTTGTGAAGGAGAGACAAATGCCAAGCGGGGAGGAGCCAAGTCATAGTCACCAAAAAGTCGAACCTAGGGCGACAAATACACGTTTCTAGATAGTTGAACGCGTATGAATGAGGGAGTGAGAAAAAGCATGTCTCGTTCGGTTGTTCGTGATGATAAGCCCAGATGATACCAAAAACAACAGTTTTTGTTTCGGCGATTGATTGACGACGGCCTGTACAACTACGAGGACGAGAGAAAAAAAATGGCGACCTACCTTCTACACTATGACGAATCGAAAAACAAAAAATGGATACTTTGGGAATGAACAAAGATGGACAGAGGACATTTTTTGTTGTTTCTGAAGGCGAACAAAGAACGCACCCTTTTTTAATTGTGGCCCGTCAGGCAGCTAGTCAGTCACAGGAGATCGCAAAATCCCTTGATCTGGTTGCCAACTGAAAAGTTAGACGGAATTGCCTCCTCCTCCTTTCTTTCCCCCTTCCCTTAGGCTGCTCCTTTTGACGATCTAAGAAACCCGAGGAGCACATCGTGTCGACAAGATCGATCGATGGTTGGTGTGTTTTCTGACAAAAGGCAGAAATAGAAGGCAAAGATCTTGAAGCAATAGTCTTGGAGTTGAGCTTGGTCTTTGGTCAAAAATGAATGGGGGGTGGTCGTCGGCGAGAAAGAAACCATCAGGAAGAGAGACACAGAGGGAAGAGCCAAGAAGGGGAAGCAGAGTGATATGAAAACAAACAAACATGAGAGCACGAACTGCAAAGGCGCAGGGGTTGAGGATATAAAAAAACGAGGGCACGGGGGCAGAAAATCCAAAGGTGCACCGGTACACCAGGGGAAACAGGGGACCAGGAAAAGAAGGTGAGCAGCGAAGGAGAGAGGGTAATGCCCCGGTCCGTTCATTTCATTTCTTTTTTTCTTATCCAGCCAGCCAAGGAAAAAAAAGATGAGCACAAATATGTCCATCCAGCAAATGAAAGATGAAGGCAAGAAAACCATTTGCATCAAAGAGAGAAAACGCATCGCACTGAGAGCTCTCACTCATGTATGTATATGCATTCAGAAGGAGCGAGAGATGCTATTTTTATTCCTCCTGCATTTCTGAGCTAGTGCGGCGGCGAATATTCGGTCCTAGGGGGACAATCATCTTGTTTAGATCGAGGCTGGGGCAGCGGCGGACCAAGGATGGACAGGGGTGTTATTGTTCCTGGCGTGCTGTTGGTGGTGGGGTAACCGAGAGAACGCTAATTCGAGTCTACCATGTGGCTGTGACGAAGGACCACGTATACGTAGGAAATAAGGAGCAGTTCTTCTTAACCTGCACTGTGCATCGTTTTCTCTGATGCTCGATGCGATCTCACACGCATGTCCACGCATCCATGCAAGATAAATGAGCGTGGGTCTCTGCTGGCTACTTTTGAAATGCCATGGGGAAGCACAGATTCTGTATTCCCTCTCATCGGTTGTCCTTGATTCCCATCTAGCATAATACAGTAGGTGAAGAAGACGGAGACAGGCAGTTCAATTGCTTATTTGAGAAAGAAACCTTCTTTTTCTTCTCTTTTCTTTGTTTCCTTCCTTTCCTTCCTTTCCTTCCTTGTGGCAGTTAAGAAGGGAAAAAAGGGTTTTGAGATGTTGATCTGACCTGGCGCCATCTCTGGTTGGGTGAATCAGGAATGAGGAATGGCGGTCAAGCCTACTTTTTATTATGAGCTACACAACCTTCAGGCTACAACATGCATACTTACATACCACGCAGACAGATGTTTATTGTTTGTTTGTTTAAAGGTCGTTCATTGTGCAGTATGCCATGTCGTGTGAAGTATGTAGATTTGTGAGAGACGACAATGAGCTGGGAATTATGTCCACATGGACCCTTCTTCGTGCTGTTGTGTGTATTTTTGTTTGTTGAGCCGAACAGGCTTTTTCAAATAAGGGCGGAGATGGCTTCCTCCTTTGCTCTTCCTTCATCTTCATCTTCATTCATTACCATTCCATGGATACATATGGGACAGGCTGATCAGGTTCATTGATAATGGTGGTGATAGTGGTAGTGATGATGGTGATAGTGATCATGACGGTGATGAGGGCGATGATGTTTCCTGGCAGAACCCAGCCAGTCTTGATCCAGGCTGTCCGTCTGTTCGAACACTAGATGCGAGACAAACCAATCCAATCCAAGACAATCTGAAATAAAAAATAAAGTCGATCGGTGCCTGGATGTGAATGAACGAGGTGCGGGTCCTCCTCACCATCTCTTTATTTGTTATTGTTGTAGTTACTGTTACTGTGACCAATTTCTTTCTTTCTTTTCATGTCTTTCTTTCTTTTCATGCCTTTCTTTCTGCTGTTCCTTCTTTCTTTTTCCTTCTTCTTTCTTTTCTATTCTTACACTCTTCTTTCTTCTTTATTTTCCCTTCTCTGCATTCACTCTTCTTCACCCTCAGCCCTCGCATCAACTCACAATCAGGGGGTCCTGCAGGAAAAGCCTAATCCACTCTCGCACTCCTTCTCGCTCCTCATTCCATCCACATTCCTTTTCTGCATTCACAGCCTAAGAAAGAATAGAAACAAATAAGTACAGCCCGCACTTACACGACTGTGCTCCTCACCCTTGCCTTTTTTTCCTTGCTTCCTTCCATTCTCCTATCCCTTTTCTTCTTCTCTTCTCTTCTCATTCTTCATTCTTCGCTTCCCTTCCTCTTCCCTATTGTGCAGAACACACTCACTCACACACTCTCTCGTACCCATCATATACACTCTCGACCATTATTTTTACACTCTGCTTCGAGTCTGCATTATCGACACACCTGCGACGAACCCTCTCCTTGCACTCCTTACGTTCTTCCTCCCCTTTCCATTTCCTTGTCTCCACCCCACCTATCACCCTTAACAATAATACAACCACATCCAAAACATAATTCCAACCGCAATCCTCAGGAAATCAGGGACGATTTACTTCTGCCACCACCAACAATAGCAGCAACCAACTACGACAACAACAGCAACAACAACAGCCACAACTTGCAACAAAGAACCAATAATACAGCCTATATATAATGTCCGGCATGCCCAGCGGACCAGGAGGACGGTCAACAACGATGCAGCAGGGAGGCGGCGGCCTCCAGTCGCATGGAACCATCCGGAGAGGAGGCACGCTCAACCGTGGCAAGACGCTCTCTCGCCCCGATCGATTCCAGACACCAGAGACCATGTTTAAGAAGCGTAAAGAGGACGAACCCGCCTCTTGTTGGGTAATCTGTTCCAGGATCACCACCTGCTGGGCTTTGCCTCCTTTCCTGAGGATGTGCGGTATGCCCGACAAGCAGGTTCAGCAAGCTTGGAGAGAGAAGGTCACCCTCTGTTTCATTATTCTGCTGATCGGAGGGATGGTTGCCTTCTTGACTGTCGGCTTTTCCTTCTTGCTCTGTCCCACGGACCAGAGACAGGGTGCGCAGACCTTTGTTCGTTATGGCGATGGGCTTTCTCAAGGTAAGAAAAAGAACGATGGTATACTTGGTTGCTGATGTATAACATAGCCCACCACTGCTCTCTTTATCGTCAGTTACAAATATCCATAACAATTGAGAGGGCAGGGGCGTCGCGGGTAAAAAGATGCACTAAAAAAGACAATGCTATTGCCCAAGCCCATCGGCCGTCGTGGGGTAGGTGGAAATAGAACTGGGCAAGAACAAAAATACAACAAACACAAGGAGGTGTGTCAATGTCTGTGTGCGTGTGTGTGGGCCACATTTTGATTTATATTTAATTTTGGGGATATTCGTTCTGTGGTACGACGGAAAACAAAGTATAGCAAAAGGAGAGTTTATGTTCACGCACGTAACTGTTGTTACCAGCAGTTAGTCCCGGGTGAACGGGCTTTTTGTAATGCTAGGTGGGGCTATACAAGAGAGGAGCAACAACAACGCACTGTTCGGACAAATCAACATACTATCGCAACAAGATGGAGCTGAGGGAAGATTCAAAGAGCTGTCAACAAAGATTAATGTCCCCGATGCGAAACACAAAGGCGGCGGTCATGCGTCATTTCAATAAGGGATCTCTACAAGAGTCGGACAGGCTAGCCGAGGAGGAGGAGGAAAGAGTAGGACAGGGCGCTGCTTTATTTTTCCGCTGTGGGTTATTTTAAGGTGCATTTGCCCACATCCATGTCCATTACTCTCATCTTCCCTGGTTGTTCTGCTCTTCACCCCTGTTTCTCATCCTCTTTATCTTTTTCTATAACTATCGTGAATGGCTGTGTCAATGGATCTGAATCTCAGATAAAGGAGTAAAAGTTGACAGTCAACCAAAAAAAACAAAAAGAGTGCAGTACCCTGGACCTGGCTGTTTAACAAGTCAGTCAGTAAGGCGGTCAGAAACACCCAATTGACCTGTGCCCCTGACACAAACCAGCTGGATACAAAGTCCGAAATTAGCGCTCGACCTTACAGTTGATGTTGTGCTCCCCCTCCCTTGCAATGATACACTCTAAATATACATGCAACGCTGCACTCACATACACTAAGATCCTCAGACAAGAGAGAGAGAAGACTCGAGCCCAAAAATAAGGCTGATTCACACGCCTGTGTTCTTATTATTCCTGGTGCTCTCTTCTCACCCTTCTTTTTTCTCAGTTATCTATTACTTTATCTTATCTTCTTACCCCTACCCCTCTCGCCCACTCAAGAACAATACTCCGGGAAACTGTAGCCTGACTATTGAACATTGACCAACTAACCAACACCCCCAAAAAAAAAAAAACGCACATTTTCTATATTACATTAGCTCGCTTCGGTATCCACGGAAACATCTACGACTTCAGTCTTCCAGGAACGTTGTTCCCCACGGGATTCCATATCGATGATCTTACACCGGGTCAGGACATCAGTAACCTCTTCCGCCGTACCGTAAACACCCCCAGCTGCGTCAAACTCACCAGCGCCGCCGCCAGATTCGACAACTGTCTGGCCCCCGGAGGATGCGAAAACAACTTTACAGTCAACCGCGACACCTTGCTCAAAGAGTACAACCTCCGCCCCTCCCAGAACCTCAAGGCAGGATACGATTGGGGTCAGATGGCGATGCCCGAGTTGGTCAACTATATGGTCATTGATGGAAACGTCCTGAACCTGGACAAGTACTTTGCGATGTACAAGAACCCAATCGCCGACGACGAGCTGGATACGGTCTTGAGGAACGTTCGGGACGCGCCTCAGCCTGAGGGTGGACGTGATGCGACAAAGGTGTTCTTTCGACGGGAATCGCTCAAAGAGTCGGCGTCGTGTTTGGTCGAGAAGTTTGGAGCTGGATATATCGACAAGGCGACTCCGGGTTGTTTTGCATCGGATTTGTTCATGTTTGTCTCGTTGACGGTTGTGTTGGGCATTGTGATGTCTCGTTTTGCGATGGCGATTATCTTTGACTGGTTCCTGTCTGCCAAGCTGGCCAAGCCCCCATCCAAGTCCAAGATTCAGACCTTGGCATCCGCCTCGTCTTCTGCAACGACGATCGCCAACAGCAACCCCAACGGCAAAAACTTGAACGGGAACAACGGTGCTTTGGCACGCGCACCTAGTGGCCCCGACAACGCCTCGATTCAGGATTTGCACACTTGTCTCTTAGTCACCTGTTACTCCGAGGGCGAGTCCTCGCTCCGAACCACCATCGAGTCCTTGGCTGCGACCGAGTATCCCGACAACAAGAAGCTGCTGTTTATTATCTGTGACGGAATCATTACAGGATCAGGAAACGACCGTTCAACACCCGACATCTGCTCCAGTCTCATGGAACTTGACCCAACCTTTGATTCCGATCCCACCCCACAGTCCTATATCGCCGTCGCCGCCGGATCAAAGCAACACAACCGGGCCAAGGTCTATGCAGGTTATTTCCGGTGGAAGAACCGTCGTGTCCCCACTGTCCTTGTTGTCAAGTGCGGAAACGAGGAAGAGCACGAGAAGCCCAAGGCTGGAAACCGAGGCAAGCGCGACTCGCAGTTGATCTTGATGAACTTCTTCTCGCGCGTCACCTATAACGACCGGATGACGCCTCTCGACTATGAACTCTTCCGCAAGATCCAGCATCTGATGCAGGTCACACCCGACAAGTTTGAGATTGTCCTCATGGTCGATGCCGATACCAAGGTCTACCCGTCTTCGGTCCGTCTGTTGATGAACTGTTTGAACAACGATCCCATGATTATGGGCCTCTGCGGCGAGACCAAGATTGCGAACAAGCGTCAGTCCTGGGTCACGGCGATCCAGGTCTTTGAGTACTACATCTCTCACCATCTCGGAAAGGGGTTCGAGTCTGTCTTTGGAGGTGTGACCTGTTTGCCTGGATGCTTCTGTATGTACCGCCTCAAGGCCCGCAAGGGCGACGACTGGGTCCCCATCATCACTAAACCCGAAATCGTCCAGGAATACTCCCAGAACATTGTCGAAACTCTCCACCAAAAGAACTTGCTCCTTCTCGGAGAGGATCGTTTCCTGACCACGTTGATGCTCCGTAACTTCCCCAACCGCAAGATGATGTTCATGCCCCAGGCTATCTGCAAGACCGTCGTCCCCGACGAGTTCAACGTCCTCCTCTCCCAACGTCGTCGCTGGATCAACTCTACAATCCACAATCTCCTCGAACTGGTCCTGGTCCGCAACCTCTGTGGAACTTTCTGTTTCTCAATGCAGTTCGTCATCCTCATGGAACTCATCGGTACCATCGTCCTCCCCGTCGCCATGATCCTTACCGTCGTCTTGATTGTCAACCTCTCCCTCGTACAAATCGACAGCCTTGCCCGAGCCGCACCTCTGATCCTCCTCGTTTTTGTCCTCACCATGCCCGCCATCTTGATCCTCCTCACCACCCGGAAACTGATCTACATCGCCTGGATGCTTGTCTACCTTATGGCCCTCCCCGTTTGGAACTTCATCCTCCCCCTCTACGCCTACTGGCACTTTGACGACTTCTCCTGGGGAGAGACCCGTAAGGTCGACGGAGAGGCCAAGGGCGAAGCCCACGGCAACGCCGACGGCACGTTTGATTCCTCAAAGGTACCTCTGAAGCGCTGGGATGATTACGAAAAGGCCCGTGTCCGTCAAGTCAAGCGTATCGAACGTGCCGAACGTCAACGTATCCAAGGAAGCTCCCCTTTCCTCCGCGCCCAGACGGGCACTCCCACAAGCATGTACATCGACGGCGGGGACTCCAAATCGGAACTCGCCTCTGGCGAGTTCTTGGGACCGCAGCAGTACCACTATGACTACAACGGTCGTCAAACCATGAACCCTCCTCTAGCCGGTAACCCTCCTCGTCCCATGATGATGGGCCCCCCAGGATCGGGTGGACCTCTTCCTCCTCCTGGCTCGAACGGAGGGCCTCAGAGACATATGTCACAGATGTCACAGATGTCACAGCATCAGCGGCCCATGACCAACAACTGGGGACCAGGACCTCAACAACAGCAACAAATGCAACACATGCAACAACCGCCATTCCCAATGCACGGACTCGGTTCGCCCGGTGGACCCATGAGTCCTCCTCCACCAGGCACACCCGGCATGGGCCCTATGCCTCCGTCTCCCTTGGGTCACCAGCATCAGCAACAGCAAGGACAACCTCCAGTCCTTCAGGGTGGCATGCGAAGGATCCGTTCTGAGAACCCCATGTCTCCTTAATTTTTATTATCCTCTCCACCTTTTCACTCACCCACAAACCCCCCTATAGACATGTACAGATACCCGTTCCTTTGTTGTTTTTCTTCACGCATTTTCGCCCTTTCATCTCATTAATCTCTCGCAAAAATAAAATTAAAATTGATTCGCATTCAGTTAGCCCCTTACATTACATGCAAATGTATCGTACTAAGAGGGCTGCAATTGTACATCTTTAGTACATGCATGAATGGCACAGAGGTTTTTTAATAAGGAGAAGCGGCGACAGAATCCTGGAGGACCAAGAAATGCAACAGTCGTCGACAGAAGTTTTCAGCCTGGATGAGCCGTGCGCTGATCTCGGCCAGTTTGGGGCTCTGGACCTGCACCACTTTGTCCTCGAGTGTCGTCGCAATCTTTCCTCTATACTTGCTATTTTTTCGAGATTGAGAAGGAGTTAGGACAACGTTGGTATACGTTTGATTCGTAAGAGACCCATTTCACATCCACAAGAACGACGAAAGAAAAGCTTACTTGATGCCGCCCTTGCTGGTTTGACCAATTTTGTCCGATGTCGGCAGAACAACAGGTTCTATGTAGCCGAAGGGAGTACGAGAGAGTCAAAGTCAGTACAGCGCGCCCCCGGAAACCAGCCGTTTACTGAATGTAGATGTAAGATCTCCTTACCAGGATGGAGTGCGGTTTGAGGGGTGGATGGTGACCTTGTAGGTGACCATGGCTTGGTTGTTCTACCACCAGCACCGCCATTCCCACCCTGTCCATGCTGTTGAGTAAGATGTGATTGATGACTGGCGTGGCTCGGGTGTCCAGATGTCCCGTTATGATGATGAATTGGCGACGCAGGCCGTGGAGTTCCATGTCCACCCCTCCCTCCTCCTCCTCCATTTCCTGTTTGCCCGTTATGCACCGACGCGCTCGACGCCGACGTATGGTGATGGTCTGCAGAAGATCCTGATGAAACTGCCGCGGTTGTCGAAGCTGAAGACAACGATCGCACTACTGCGTGAGGTAACGAAGGCATCGAGGCCGAGGAAGCTCCCGGGAGGGCATGCTGCAAGTATGTCGTCAATGCGTTTGCTGCCGAACTGCTTTGACCACTGCCAGATCCGGAACTCAGCTGCAAGGCGTAGGCTGCACAGACCAACTGCGAGTCGCGGATGTAAAACTCGATCACAAAGTCCTCGCTCAATGCCGGGCTAAATATCTATTCGCAATGGATAATTCGAGCGGTTAGGATCGCTTCCCTTTTGCATTCAGTTATTTGAGAAGAGAAATTCCTCCGCAGATAATAAACCGATCGTACTTTGGGATCGCAAACACGGAAAGGGTATAATTTCTCCTTCCCAGGTTGAGCCATGGCCTCAATGCTCGCTCGAATATGTCTCCCCAGAAGCTCCAGCATAGTCTTCAACGCCCTCGTGATCTCTTTGATATCCAATGTCGCACCGTCTCCAACATTTGTTGCCTCGCCTCGCCATTTCCGATAATCTTCCAGTCGGAAGATTGCTTGCGCAGTATGGTTCTGTACATCCCGGAGTTGCTCCAACGCATAGGGCTGTGTGACGTGACCTGGGGGTCGATAAGAGTGTAGCACTTGGTGGGCGTTCATCTGGGGTGCAGGTATTGAAGGTGTTGCCGATCCTGCTGTAGCTGTTGTTGCAGTTGACGAAGGCGCTGTTGCTGCGGGCGTAGTGGCTGTCGCGGGAGCTACTAAAGATCCTGCTCCGATGCCTGTTTCAATTCCAGTGGCAGTAGCAAGACCCTGTGCTATTGTCGGCAGCTGCTGAGATCCATGTCCATCATCTGCTTTAGAAGCCTCAGTTCCTTCCGTCGCTGTAGCGTGAAATTCCTCAGGGCTTGTCTCGCCTGTACTGCCTCCTCCTAGTGCCCCTGTAACAGAAGACGCCGAAGAAGATGATGCACCGCCTCCTGTCGTAGAGGCGTTTGATGCTGTCAAAAGAGACTGGGCCGCCGAGATGTTGGTTGTGATCTGGGAGTGGATCGCAGCCTTCACGACCGGGAGCTTTGGCAACTTGATCGTCAATTCCTATGAAAGCCATATACAAAATCATGTCATTAATTATCAAGCTGTAGAAACGACCAGCGCATCCAGTCTGTAATGCCCTTTGTGTTTGTTGATCGCTTGGACGTACCCCCTTGACGATGAAACTGCCTGACAGGGTGACGAACCCTTTGAGCGTGTCGTTGCTATCCGGAGAACACGATACAATCGGGCATCCATGGTTAGGTCGACAAGAGCAGGGCACATTTTATTGCGCAAGATATTCATCGCCTTCAACAATAACAACATCAAGAGAAAACGTCCTGTAGGGTATCCTTACTTGGGAGAAGAGATAGCAAGCGTCAAAGCTCCCATCACATCATCCTGAAGCCTCGCCGCATCCTGACAGGCCTATTCTCCCAGGCGGTAAAGAAAAAAGTACGATGCGATTTCGTTCAGTATCCTCATCCTGGTTGAACTGGACGTGTGAAAAAAACACTGGTTCGACTATGCTGTAGGTGTCTTCCAGTTGATATCGGCTTGCACGCTCTATTTTACCACAAGGGCCTTTTGGATGGCGTCGAGACTAGTTGTGACCTGAGTTGTCAGGAACCATTCCTGTTCTGCTCTCTAATTCAATGGTTTGAAGTTGAAGAGAGATGCCGAGGTGTTAATGTATTATGCATGCAGAAGAAGGGGGAATGGGGAACGTGGGAGAGAGAATGAATGTCTTGAGCACCGTTGTGTTGGAGGTATTTACAAGGACTTTTTCTTCTTCGGCCAGTTCTTGTTCGAGGGTTGTTAATGGTAGCATCGAGAGAGGAAAGCAAAGATGTTGTCGAAGAGGTGAAGGATGAAGGGTGAGAGAAGAGAATGATGTTTGCAAAAAGACAGGGGAGAGAGAGAAAAGAGATGCCTATCGCGTAGAACGCGTGTGTTCACAAAATTATCAAAGTCGACACAAAGGAGACACCCATTTCCTCCTTTCCGGCAGAAGAAGAAATGTTGACAAAATACAAAATACAATTTATTATGGTACACTGGGTGAGGAAGTATGTGCAATGGTATGATCATCATAGGGGCAGCCAGCCTCAGCAACTATTATGAGGTTTTGTCACGCCAGACCCGGTGGCATGAGGGACAGCAGGTAGTATTGATGGTACACTGTCAGAATTGACGTTCAAATGGTCATATGATTCACTGGTCGTCGCCAATAACGTAGTGGGAGAAAGAGGGGTGTATGAACTGAGTCCCTCAGGGTTTGTAGCGACGGAGACTCTGGGTGGCAATACGGGGCTGCTGGTACTGGTCCTGGCTATAGGAAGTTCAGGGCGGGGGGCTCACCGGGGTGAGGAGGAAGACACGGTGGCACCAGCAGGGGAATCACCGGGCTTCAGCCTTGCGTCGTGTCCGTTCTCAACGTCATGGAGAGTTGCCGACGAGGACTGGGATGATACGAGTTGTGTCTGTCCCTGGGCATCCTTCTCAGAGACAGGTGCAGTGATAGTCGCGGCAGAGACGAGGTTTTCGGACGAGGAAGGGGCCTGCCTGTAGTACTCAAGAGGGGACTTTGCCGCGATGTAATCGGGCTGGGTAGTGGCGGTGACGAAAGGATCAACCGGAGTAAAAGGTGGAGGAGGAGGGTAGAGAGTAAAGGGTTCAACACCATCGGGACCCATCAGAGCATGACCTAGCTCTTTGTCTTGGGCTTCGGCATCCTCAACCGTCTCCTTCTTGGCCTGCCTGCGCTTGTAAAAGCACCATCCAAAGAGGAACATGAAGGTGATAGCAACAATGCCGCCAAGGACTCCTCCAACGATGGCGCCTGTATTCTTGGAACTGGACGAGTCGTAGGGTGCGGTCGAATTGGATGAGCTGCCATGGCCTCCATGTCCACCACTGGATCCGGGGATAAAAATGATTGGAGGTAAACGGGGAGTTGATCCACCACCACTACTACCGCCGCCACTGCTACCGCCGCCACTGCTACCACCACCACCGCGACTACCACCGCGGCCGCCACCGCCACTGCCGCCCTTGGCGATGGGACCGTCGATGAGATGAGAGTAGGATGTATGTGCAAGGTGTTGAACCTTGTGGGATTGTGGTATCGTGTTGATGTAATGAGGCATGTATGAAGAGAGGAAGGGAGAAGTGGAGGGTGTAGGGGAGGAGAAGTAGTAGAGTAGATAAAAGAGAGGTAAGATGAAAAATGAAGGTGGAGGAGAGGGGCGGGGGAGTTGGACAGGTCTTTCCCTTTTATAAAAGAGAGAAGAGCGAAAGAAAGAGGGTGGGTTGGACAAGAAGAAGCAAAGAAAGATAAAAGCGTGCCTGGTAAAGTATGAAAAAAAATAAGGTGCACTGTGGAGTGTCGACTCTGCATTTGGCTAACAGCCACTCATTGAGAGCAACACAGAGAGTAATGACAAACAAAAAAGGTTCATGGGCCGCTTCCATTGTTTCTTTTGTCTATCGATTTTTGAGGATGGTTCGACTTGTCCACCGCGCCGCAACCGCGCATCACTTTGGATTCTCTCTGTCTCTCTCTCTCTGTCTACATGTCCAGTCAACTTATCGGTCCATAACAACGCTACTGTCCTGCCAGCAAAAGGGAGGCACGGACTGAACAAAAGCAACTAGCTACTCCTTGTGGTGTCTATCCTGCTTTCTCTCGTTAAAGGTTTCTCCTGCACTTTTCGTCTAGAAAAGAGAAAACACACCTGTTTTCCTTTTTGACCCGATCCACTCAACGTGCTCTCATGTGCCCATGTACCTCTCCTCTCCTTTCTTTCTTGAATTTCTTTTTTCCTCTCTTTTAGTTTCTCTCTGTTGAAAACATTGATTTCAGATTCCGAAAGTCCAGAATTCGCACCGCCCCGCGCCCTCTCTTCTCCGCCGCACTGCCCCCTTCTCTCTGCATGCTGTCTAGGCCTGGCTCCTTTTTCTTTTTCTAGAGATATTAAACACAACTATAATCGCCATCATGATATCCTACGCGGGTTTGTTGTAGGTAGGTGGTGTCGTGCATCATGGACCTCCGTCGCGCTTGTTCACATTGCCCTATGTGAGTATGTTCGTTTTCACCCTGTTATCGTTTGAATGGAAATTGCATGGGAGTGAAGATATTTTTTGTCTCGATGCTTGTGTAGATGTGTGTGTGTAACTGTGCCCTGCCTATATAGTCCACTGCAAGAGAATTGCTGGGGTTGTTTGGGCGAATTAGCCTTACTAACATCATTTGCTGAGCCTTACTAACATCATTTGCTGAAAGCAGTCACATTAGAAAACAAAAGGAAGAGAAGAACTCTGTGCACACACCCCCCAACCCAAGGACAAGGTGTTGAATGGTGGACCCTCTTTGTTCTTTATCCGTTGTCTTGTTTGCGCAGACCAGATCGCCACCATTCATTGCCAATCAACAACTCCTGTCAGTAACAGTATCATCGAGAACACAGCCTTCACACTGCCCAAAGAGAATCAAGCTTCAAGGGGTTTCCCTTTTGGGGTCGCAATTCCCAAGCACTGATGACCTCCCTCCGAGAAGAAAGAGAAAGAGCGCATGTTGCTTTAGTCGGTGCGTTCTACTACACGATGAAAAATACGGAAAGGGAGGGTGATGATGGTTATTGGCTCTCCATACCCGCCTTCAATTGCAGTGGGGTGAAAGGGTTGTTGCTTGAGAATCAAGGAGAAGTGTTTACTTTACTCGCATCCGCGACCACAGTGGTAAAGTATCTCTGAGTTTCTTTTTGTTGTTGTTGTTGTTGGGTGCATTTCACACTTTGTTCTTTAATCTGATCCAGGAACCGAAATACCTTTTCTTTCTACTTTCTTCTTTTCTCACTCTTTCTTCTTCCTTACTCCTCGCCCTCCTCATTCCTCACTCCTCCCATCCTCCCATCCTTTCCTCCCTCTTTGACACGCTTACCCTATCCTCCCCCCTCCCCCCTTCCATCCCTCGCCAAACGAACAAAGAAAAAGGGCCACAATCCACCTCCTCTCTCCCACAACACTTACCGAAACAATGTTGGACTCATTCTTTGGGTCGTTCTCAGCGGCAGTCTCCTTCCCCGAGGATCAGCTCCGGTGTCTTTCGGCCCTCTTCCTCGGCTACCCTCTTGCCTTTGCATTCCGGTTGTTGCCAGCCAACAACCCCAACCTCAAGCACATCGCCTCCGTCGTGACCTCATTCTTCCTCATCGTCGTCGTCGTCAACGACCTCGTGGGACTGATGCATCTCCTTGGATCTTCCATCGCCGTCTGGAGAATTATGGGTGTTGTCGAGGGCAAGTGGGGTCCTAGATTGGTTTTCATTGGTGTCATGCTTCACATGAGCGTCAGGTATGCCACTTTTTGTTCTTGGCAAGGATCAGACGAGATTGAAAAAGAGATCGACAAAAGAATGCGGATCGTATGCTAACTAACCCCTTTCTTTTTTACTTTCTCACTTATTATAGCCACTTGATCCGCCAGTTCAATGACTACAGAGGATACAAACTGGATCACACTGGACCTCAGATGATCCTCACCATGAAGTTGACCTCCTGGGCGTTCAACGTTTACGATGGTCGTCGTAACCCCAAGGTAAAAAACCACAACAAGCAAGGACAAGTGGTTCGGAGGAACATCAACAGCAACAACAACGGAAAAAAGAAAGTTGAATATGCCCAACAAAAAAATATATACCGACAAAATGAGAGAAATGGTCAGCACTATGCATTGCCGCTTGCTAATACACTTTCTTTCCGCTCTATTTTCTACCTTGTGTGTCCGACCTACTCGTAGGAGTTGAGCAGGTACCAGCAGGAACATGCTATCACCACCTTCCCCTCCCTCCTCCATTACCTCAGCTACGTCTTCTTCTTCCCCGCCGTCCTTGTCGGCCCATCGTTCGAATACATGGACTACATCCGCTTCATCGAGCTCTCGCAGTTCCGTGACCCCAAGACTGGAAAGATCCACTGGCCCGCTGGTCGAGTCATGGCCTCAATGAAGTCCTTCTTCTTCTCCCTCATTGCCCTTGCCTCCCTCGCTACCATCGGGCCCAAGCTGGACGTTCTCTGGACCCTTAGCCCTGCCTGGAGGGCCCTCCCCTGGGTCTTGCGCTTTGGATATGTCCAGTTGGCTGCCTTTGCTGCTCGCTTCAAGTACTATGCTGTCTGGAAGATGGCTGAAGGTGCTTGTATCATGGCAGGATTCGGTTACAACGGACAGGATCCCAAGACGGGCGAGTCTCGCTGGGACGCCACCTCCAACATCAACGTTTGGGCCTATGAGACCGGCGAGAGTATCAAGGCTCTGGCGGATAGCTGGAACATGGGCACTAACAAGTGGTTGAAGCACTCTGTCTACTTCAGAGTCGTCTCTCCCGGATCCAAGCCAGGACCACTGGAGACCTTTGCTACCTTTGGAGTTAGTGCCTTCTGGCATGGATTCTACCCCGGATACTACCTCATGTTTGCTTCGTCTGCTGCCGCACTGACCGCCGGAAAGATGTTGAGATCGCATCTTCGCCCCCGGTTTGTCTCACCTACCTCGGGCAAGACCCCTGCCTGGTACAACATTGTGGGCATGTTGTTGACCCAGTCGACCATCAACTGCCTCTCAGTCTCGTTCTTGCTCCTCACCTTTACCGACAGTATTGAGGTGTGGAAGAACCTTTACTTTGTTGTGCACATTGGCATTGCTGCCGTCATTGTCTTGGTTCCTGTTGTTTTCCCTGTCAAGAGAAAGTCCAAGAAGCTGCAGCAGGAGACAGAGAAGGTCAAGGAGTTGGCTCATAATGTTGCTGAGGAGGTTGCCACTGTTGCTGTCGGTGCTGCCAAGGAGGTCCTCGAGAGTACCCCAGCCAGTGACAAATTCAAGACTCTTTAGAGCTTTTTAGACAACATATATCCCCCTCTTCCTCTCTCATTCTCTTTTTCGTCCCTTTCTTTTTCCTCCTCATGTACAATTAGCATTTCACTTCTTTTTTCATTTTCACGCATGTTTTTTGCTACTCATTATTCTCTCACCAAGACGCGTAAACAACCATTAAACAACAACACGCACCATGCGGTCGCATGCATTATCACTGGCCACTTTGGCGGATGAATGAACTATTCGATCCAGAACTGCTCCTAGTAATGATTAAGCCCAGAAAACACTTGATATATCGAATCCATCACTCGCAATCTAATTTCCGTCGGAAATTGTCCCCTTCTCTCCACCACCACTCATTTTATTCTGCAGATGCATATTCAGGATCTACACACCTGGAAACTACTATATAAAAGGCGCAGCCGACGCGACGACAACTCCATTCTTTTTCTCAACGAGCCAGTCTCATAACAAACCAAAAAAGCGAACCAAACCAGCTTTTCTCGTCCATCACTCACATACTCAACCTCAACTCCACTACTCATCACCATGACTCGCGCCCTCCGCATCACAGCCGCACTGGCACTCCTCGCCTGCGTCGCCCAGGCAGTACCCATCATCCAAGATGCCTCCTTCCCTGGCTCCTCCGTCGCTGATGCCGACTTTGGCGGTGGCATGTACGGCGGTATCGGTGGCGGTGATCCTTCGGCTTACTGCGACCCATCGGTCGACTCGTCTTGCTACCAGAACGTCCACTCTGGGAATGTCGATGTCGGCTCGGTCGTCAACGCCGTCCCAATCACCCAAGTCACACCTGTCACCCAGTACCAACCTATTGTCCAGACCTTGGCGCCTATTGTTGACTCTGCTTATGATTGTGATTATGATCTCTTTGGAGGTGGATCTGGTCTCTATGGCGGCGGATCTGGTCTCTACGGAGGGTCTGGTCTTGGTGGTAGTCTCTATGGCGGATCCGACCACAGCATGCTTGGGTTCGGCTTTGGTTCAAACACTGGTCAGGGAGGAATGATGCGTCGTAGCGACTTGAAGGCTGCTGGATTTGAGGGGTTCGGTGGTACTCCCATGGACGCCGCTACTCTTCCCAACGTCCGAGGACCTGCTGTCCCTACAGGTGAGGTAATGTCCTCTGGCGGTGGAGTCTTTGGATTCAATGCCCTCCGTGACCCTCAGAGTGTTCCTCAGGGCGGTCCTATGGGTCCCCAGGGTGGTCCTATGGGTCCCCAGGGTGGATCTATGAATCCTCAGGGTGGTCCTCAGTCAGAAGGTCCCCAGTTCGGTTCCCAGGGCGGTTCCCAATTCGACATCCAAGGCGACTCCCAAGACCCCACCCAATGCGCACCCAACGACATTGCCTGCCAACTCTCGATCCCCTCCCAAACCGTCGACATGGGCTCCTCAACCCTCATCAACCCTTCGACCTCCGTCTTCCCCTCAACAGCCTACCAACCGCAGGTCCAATCCCTCGAATCTGACATCTTTTCCACCCCCACTCAAGACAAAATCCTCCCCCAACAGTCCGTCGGCCTCGGTTCTGATGTGTTTATCCAACCCACTACCAGTGTCAACCCCGAGACGGTCTATCAGCCTTCGGTCTTGCAGTTCGCGACGGATGTTCAAGCGATTCCTCAGGATGACCAATCATTGCCCCAGTCGAGCGTCCAGCTTGGATCCACTGTTCAGATTATCCCTACCGTTCATGTCCGACCTATTACGACCTTCCAGAGCATGGTCAAGTCATTACCGGTTATCATTCAGGCCGAGCCATGCAATGATGTTGAATACTTTGGTGGTGGTAACAGTCTGTACGGTGCTGGTGCTGGTGTTGGTCAATTCTCGAACTACGGCGCTGGTGCTGGTGGACTCTATGGAACTGCTAGCGGTGCTGGTCTCTATGGTTCTACTGGTGGACCCTATGGCTCTGCTGGCGGTTCTGGTCTCTATGGCTCCCCCTCTCTCTACGGATCAGCCATCCAGGGCGGTTCTTCGATTTATGGTGATCTCCAAGGCCATTCCTCGATCTACGGCGGCGGACTTGGCTCTGGTTCCTGGGATCAGGGGTGGATGTAAACCTAACCTCCAGTGACCCAGTCTCTCCCTTCGACCTCCTTTCCCCTCCTTCTCTTCCCCTGTTTCCCATTTTTTCGCCTGCATTCACCCCTTCATTCATATCGGTCGCTTCGGAAATGGTTCCTTGCACCCATGCACTCTCGATTTGGTAGTCCTCATTTGAAAAGCAACTAGTGTAGTTGAATAAAAAATCCAAACAAAAACAACAACAAAACAAAAGAGATAAGTGGCTCTCATGCTTTTCTTGTTCCTCTTCAAAGGATGCAATCTTGGAGCTCTTGGTCTGCCATTCCCAATACTTTTTTTCTCTTTTTCTTTTTCTTTCGTACCACGAACAGAAAGAAGGTTTGTATGGTGTATGTCTTTTCATTTTTCGAATGTGTACCGAAGAACGATGTTTAGGCTCCTTCCGGAGAAGGGGATAAAGGGAAGAGACAAAAAAAGTGTGTTGCTGGACTTCGACATGATTGGTGCAATGTCTATTCACTTTAGAGTTGGTGGCTCCATCATTTTTCTCTTTTTCTTTTTGTGTTCTACTCTTTTCGCTTCCCGTGTGAAAAAGGTCTATTATTTGAAATAAGTGGGTGGGCGGTGCCCCCCGGTTCCCTCTCTCATTTTTTTAGTGAAGACTTCGGGTCTAGCGATAGTGTATTAAATTTTAATGGTAGGGACGATGAAAAAGTCGAAGAAAAGAATGAGGTTGTCTCTTCTCCTATCTGATACTGAAGACTTAAACACACAAACAGCCGCAACAGCCGCATATTTGGACTGTGGAATGAAAACAAAACAAGTCGTGCGAGGGCAAGAGATAAAAAAACCCCCTGTCTGCGATCGGAGGGGAGTGCAGACGACGAAATTTCCCCTGTCTTTCCTTTTTCTCCTTTCTGTCCTCCTCCTTTTTGTCGCTCCTGCACATGTATGCTCGAGATCGAGCGAGAGAAAAAAAAGTATAACAGGAATACCTGTCGCTTGGGACGTAAAACATCACCCACATATCTGTCCATCCTTCCTATGTGGCTGGTATCGAAATATAAAGACAAAGGAACGAGAGCGACGAGACGAGAGCACCCATGAGTTTAAAGCAAAATAACATTTTTTGGTTTGTTATCTTTCTCTTCTCTCCCGCGTTGTGTCCCATCGTTCGTTGAATTGCAACCACGACATGGGGTGTTGTTGTTCTCATGTTCACTCCCTTTCTCATTCTGAACCAGATCCTTCATACCCTCGATCGAATTGCTCTCGTGTTCAAACACTCGTTCCTGTGATGCATGAAAACGTGTGGGCGAGTAAAAGAGACAAAAAAAAGCCTTTGCTGTACGACAAGAAAGAAAACAAAAAACGCGACCAAGCTCGTATACATGTCGGGGACATGTAAGTTATTCTTGCACACAAGAAATCCAAAAAAGAATGATAACTGCCAACAACAACAACAACAACAACAACAACAAGGATGGGGAAATGGATAACAAAAGAAATCATAAAACAGTAAAAGGTATGAGCTCGATGATATCAAAGAAAGGTGGACCAATTGAAACTTTACTGTTGGCTGTTGCTGTTCAACACTCTTTTGATGTATCTGGATGGGTTGCTATCGTCTGAGGACCAAAAATAACCAAAAAAAAGGGCGAAAAGAGAAAAGAATGAATGAATGAACTCCACCTTTTCTTTTACAATACCCTGTCAATGAAATGGCTCCCGACCAGTTATAAATCGTCTAGAAACTCTGCCAGCGGTAAACTTGGAAAGATCGCTTTCTTTCTCTGGATTCTTTTATTCGTTGAGAGGCAGGGGCAGAAATAGATACCAAAAAAAAGTCGTTCAAATGTTCCATTGCACGTCTGGAATTCCTTTTGAGCAAACAACAAACGTATTCTTCTATAGAGTCCAAGGCCAAAAAAAAAAAAAAAAGACGACGGGAACTGGGGCTCCAGGCCTCAAAAACACAAAAAAAAGAGGAGATACATTGTAGGCTATGTTCATTATCACAAAGACCATCGCCATCCATCATATTTTCGTGTCATGTCCTTCATCGCTGGGTTGTCTTGCGTGTTTCTTGTCATACGAAATAAATATCATATCCCTTTCTTTTTTCCTTTCTTTTTTTCTTCTTCTTCTTTACACTTGTCACCACCTTTTCCCTTCCCTTCCCCCTATACTCCATCTTCCGTCCCCAAGGTATGTCACAATACTGGATTGTTTCAAACAAACAAAATACCACACTCGAATCCACAGGACAAGGAGTAAAGGAGAAGAATAGGGAGTAGATCAACCCAAGCGTTCCTCTTCTAGCGGTCATCATATATCTTGTTCTTTTTGCATGACAAATGAGATATCCTTTTTTGCACTACCCCTTCTTTTTCTACGATGTTACTCTTCCCCTTTTGCTCCCCCTTTACCGTCGTGGTTCATCATGTCATTTTTCTCTCGAGGACAAGCAAGGGACATGAGATAGGGCAGCGAGGATGAGGATGACGCCCATTTCAAAAAAAAAAAGTGGCGGCTCACGCAAGGGTTGAACAGAGGAAGAAAACAGCAACAACAACAAAAGCAAGGTGGCCTCGAATAGTTATACTACTGCAGATACATCTCCTTTTTTTCAATTTGTCGCGATGTCTTTGCTCTTCATCTCGACAGACACTCATGGACGACTTTTTTTCTTTTTCTTTTCGCGACACTGGAGCGGCTGGACAGAAACCAACAAAGGGATCACTGGACTCTGGAAGAAGTAAAGGCTGTTTTTAATTTTTTTTATTTTTGCAAGAAGCGAGAGTGCTCCGAGAGATGAAGGAGAAAGAGTGAATGCCAATTGGACAAGAAGCAATTGGCAATAAGGACGAGCCCCTGGCTCGATAAGGAACGAGATTAAGTGAAATGAGTGAAATAAGCGAATGGGTGGAGAGTGCCAAGCAGGAGCAGGGGGTCATTGAGAACCCAGACCGGGGCTCTGTTCTTGTATTTGCGTTCTCTCCAGTGTCCACTTATTCGAGACTTTACTTCGGGGGATCAAGTCGAAGTCGAGTCGAGTCGAGAATCGAAAAGGGACACAAGGACAAAGGGACAAAGGGACAATTCAATTCAAACAGCAAACAATCCAGCCAACCAGCTGTCGCCATTCTCCATTTTCTCCCTTTGGAAACTTTACTTTTCCTGACTTTCTCTTTTCTATTTATTTGCCATCCTCTTTCCCCTCATCTCTTTTCTTTTTTTTTTTCCCCTTTTTTTTCTTCACCCATCCTTCCTCCTTTTTCTCTCATCACAAAAAAAAAGATGGCCACCTCTGTCAAGCCAGGCGCAACCTGGAAGAAGACCGACTACCCTAGCATCAAGAACCCCGACTTCCCCGTCGAGGTTGCTGGCTTCGAGACCTTCAACAACCTCCACCTCGCCTCCGTCATCCTCGGAGCTCCCTTTATCCTCGTCTCGATCCTCAAGCTCCCCTTCTGGTCCTACCCTGTCTTGACCATCCTCCTGGCCCTGCCTATCTTTGCCGCCTACTTCACCTATGGCTCCCAGTTCGCCCTTCCCCTCAACAACCGCGTCCAGACCCCCGGCAAGAAGGTTGAGGACTACATCACCATCGTCGACCCCGCCTTCCAGAAGTACAAGGGCAAGAACAGAATCCCCATGGAGACCTTCTTCGAGGCCTACTTTGACGGCAAGGTAACGTTTCTCTCCATTTGCTTATCTCAATTGTTTTTCTCTTTCCTTTTGTTCAGTGTTCAATCGGTGTTGCATTGGAGTGGATAAAGATGGGCGGTACGATCTGTGTATCAAAGTGGCATTGTTTACTTTTTTCCGTTCTTTTTTTATTTTTCTTCCTGCGGTTTGCACGCGTTTTCTTTCCTTTGGCTTGGAATGGTGATGCTGCACCGCGTCTCGATCCACAACACAACGCACGCTACCTCCGCTCGATTCAGAGTGGATGTGGATGACACCGACATAAGGGGTGAAAGAGAGGGGGAAGGATGACATTCAATTGCTTCTAGAGTAAACAACCAAGGAAAGGAGGATCTTTGCAGATGAGACTGTGGGAATGAACCATGGAAGGTCGCGGGAGTGGGAATTTCAAAGTTTTACGTCCAGTGCAACCTTTTCTTTTTTACATGTGTGGATCCCGGATCGCCCACGAGTGGCGCGAATTGTGTACGGGTCCGGGGTTATTTTTGCATTTCTTTTTATCGCTTTCTTCTTTTGGAAGACTTCCCTCTGAACATACTGCATTCGTCATTTCTACAAAAGGGCAGTGTTTATGGGCAGTGAGGAGGAGTGGCATCGCCAAAAGGGAGAGACTGTGAGATAATGAGTCGGGAAAGAAATGTTATCTGGCGCAATGAGGGAAATGGCAAGAAAAACACGACATGGTCGAGTCATGTTTTTACGCCCTCCTCCACTTGTAAAGCGATGATGACAAATGGATGGCGAGTGGGTGAAGAATGTGCTTTGGAAGGCGCTTCTGTGTTTTCCCACAGTGAGTGGCATTGCTTACGATGATAACTGGTTTTTGTATTCTTTGAAAAGAAACTCGGGGCTAAGAGATGGGCAGCGGGACAAGGAAAAACATACGCACATATCGGGGGTCGAAGAGGAAGAAGACGAGGAGGGGCAGGCAGGGTTAAGTTCAATTGCCAACCTACCCCTGTTCTGGCATACCATCCCTTGTCTCGTGTTTGTTGTTGTGGTTGTGTGCGTTATTCCTATCCTACCCCTTCTTTTCTCTCACTCCCTTTTCGATACTTTCACTCCAAGCAAGCTTGGGCTATTTTTCCAATGGGTCTTTTTTTACACTACTGCATTCCTATTCCGAGATACGCACCGCGCCCGACTTTTTTTTTTTTTTTTTTTTTTTTTTTTGCTCACTTTTCTTCTTACTTTGGCACAGCAAATCATTCACTCAGCCCAACGCATAATATCAATTGTCTAACCTATTCTGCCTCCTTCATGGCTACCATCCACTACATAATAGATTGACATCAACCAGGACTGCTTGGAGTTGCTCGAGAACCGCCACGACTGGACTGTTTTCCACATGACCGCCTCCCAGGCCAAGTTCTTCGTTACCCAGTGGATTCCCGAGACCCTTTGGCACTCTAAGAAGCAGGACGAGGACCAGGTCCGCGACCACTACGACAGAGGCGATGACTTCTACGCCGCCTTCCTCGGACCCCGCATGATCTACACCTCCGGTATTATGTCTGACGTCACCAAGAAGGAGACCCTCGAGGAGATGCAGGATAACAAGCTGAGACTCGTCTGCGAGAAGATCCAGCTCAAGAAGGGCGAGCGTCATCTCGATATTGGATGCGGTTGGGGTACCCTCACCGCCTATGCTGCCAAGAACTACGGAACTGACTCGACTGGTATCACCCTCGGCTTGAACCAGACCGCCTTCGGAAACAACCGCATCAAGGAGTACGGCGTCCCCGCCACCCAGGCCCGCATCAAGTGTATGGATTACCGTGATATCCCTCGCGAGAAGTGGGACAAGATCACCTGTCTCGAGATGGCTGAGCACGTCGGAATCCGCAAGTTCAACGAGTTTTTGCTTCAGGTCAAGGATATGCTCAACGATGACGGTCTCTTCTACCTCCAGATTGCCGGTCTCCGTGCTGCTTGGCAGTACGAGGATTTCATCTGGGGTCTCTTCATGGCCAAGTACGTCTTCCCTGGTGCTGATGCCTCCATGCCCTTGTACTGGGTTATCAAGCAGCTCGAGTGCGCTGGTTTCGAGGTCCAGAACGTTGACACCATTGGAGTCCACTACTCTGCCACCATCCACCGCTGGTACTTGAACTGGATGTCGAACAAGGAGTCGATCACTGCCACCTACGGCAAAAAGTGGTTCCGCACCTGGGAGATCTTCCTTGCCTGGTCGACCATCATCTCTCGCCAGGGATCTGCTACCTGCTACCAGATTGTTGCCCACAAGAACTTGAATGCCTTTGACCGCACTGGTCTCCAGGCCAAGAACCGCTTCAGCGTTTAAGTGCTATTTCTTTTTTGCTCCCCTCTTTAGACTGACGGTTCCCTTGTTTCTTTGTCTTTTTGTAACTACATTATGCAGCAGTCGTTTGTACATACACATTCACTCTTCTATTAAACCTTTTTCTCTTTTCACATATCCTTCTCGCTTGGTTGCGATGTTTGTCACTTTGTGTTGGCTGAATTTGATTATCGTGTCCTTGCATGTTTGTCGTGAAGCGCGTGGTCACGCGCCCGCTCTTGACGTCACCGAGTATAATTTTTGTGCATATGCTTTATCTACCATGCCTCTTATTTCTCACTCTCCTTGTTGATCGCGCTTTTGTCTTTTTGATTTCTTTGCATCCGCTTCTCATTCTTCCAGCATCTCTTCGAACGCTGTCAGACAAGAGGACACAAATCAAGCAACTGCCAAGCCAGAACAACTAAAAAAGCACACGCGCGACTGATTACAATAGACGACTGATCGGCCTGCAAGGGGGGGAAAAGACATACACGAATAACCCCACCATGGCCAGCAACAACAACAGCAATACCCACAGCGCCAATCCTGGCCAACAATCTTCCTCAACCGGACTCGGACAACCGCACCCACAGCAGCATCAACAACCACTGCACCACCATCAAAACCACCATCAGAACCACCACCACCACCACCACCATGATCCTCATGGCTCTGCAAGTGTACCCCTAATGCACGTCGACGAACTCCTCTCTGCCGAGTTTCCTCTCAACATGGGCAATGGGGCACACCACGCCTCAGGACCCTTGAACAGCGGAGCTCAGGCAAGCATCATGGAAGGGCTGGACGATCTGTTTGGCGACGACTTTTCAACAACAACCACAACTGCCGCAACTATGACAACAACAGGGGCGACCACTGGCGCTGTCCCCCACAGCAGCAGCAACAACGTTGGTCTCCCACTGATGCATCTGCCACAGCCGTCGCAACCCCAGCATACCACCGTCTCGCATCCTCAAGCGTTACCTCCAAACATGCACTTTCCGACGTCAGGGCCAACTCACTCGACTCAGCCAAGGGTACTTCAGCAGCACCCTCATCAACAACCATCACCGACAGCATTGGATTCGCCCTCAGCCATCCCTGCCCCGTTGACTCCTGGTCATATCATTCCTGGAGCTCGTATCTCGCCTCATACACATCAACCTGTATCAACAGCACATGTCTCTCACGTACCACAGATCACATCCGGAATGCATGCCATGCAACAGAACAGACCACAGGCGATCGCGACTCCGGGTTTACCCCAGCAGTATCAGCAGCAACAGGCGGCCTTACAACAGCAACAGGCAGCATTGCAACAGCATCAACAGCAACAGCAGCAGGCAGCACAACATCACGCGCACCTCGCCCAGCAGTCGCATCAACTTACTGGTGCTCCTCGACCTGTTTTCCCATCGCCACAACACCACCATGCAGCATTGAACCAAGCAGCAGCTCTCCTTCCCCGACCAGTCCAACCCAACATTGTACAGATGCCACCGACAGGATCGACGCCTGTCGTACCTAATGGCCATACACCAATACCCACCGTGGCCACACCCACTATTGTCGCACCTACAGGTTTGTGGTTTGAAATTATTATTGTGCATGTCGAAGCAGCACTTTTGTGTACATGATAAGACTTTATCCTAACCGCATTTATTCATTGGCCCTGTAATGAACCTAGCCGCACCGAAACCTACACCTGCGCCTGCTGCACCAGTCGTCCTGGCGGGATCACCACTTCATCATATACTTGGAACAACATCACCAGAAACAGGACAACAACTCAGAGAACTCTTTACCCTTCTCCAGGTAAGCAAAAAACCTCCTCGTCGTCGTCGTCGTCGTCTTTTATGAAAACTTGAATTCGTCATTAACGCCTCATTCACTTTCAATTCTTTGACTCTAGACGAATGTAGTTTCCCCGAACGAGTTTTTGGCACGAGCGGAAGAACTTTTGGAGCCTGCTCAGTTCAAGATTCTGGATGGTATCAGGAAAAGACATGTTCCTCAGGCGCAACAACAGCAGCTGCAACCGCAGCAGTCAAATACAGCCTCAGCTGCTTCAACACCAGCAGCCAACTCTCCTGTCACAACCGCCAATGCAAGCGCAGTATCATCCCCAATGCACCAACCACAACCTGCTACCACTGGAATTGCAAGACCATCAGGAGTACAGCATATCAGCACCCCAGCGGTCCCCACACCAGTTCAGCCGGCCACGCCTCAGCCGACACCTGTGGCCCCAGCGGCGACAGTATCGCAGGTGGCGCCTGTACGGAAGCGACCCATTGACTTGACGTCTGTTGCTAATTCCGCTAACGAAAGGTGAGATTGTCGCTCTAGGCGTGTGAGTATGTGCATTTGCGTCTGATTGCGATCAGCGTAGAGACTAACTACATTAACCCACTTCAATTTCCTTGCTTTAGCAAAACAAAGAGACCCAAGATGGAGCAGCAACAGAATGCGGTAGGAGTTGGAGCAGTAAATGGAGCTGCAGGATCATTGACCCCCGCACTCCCTTCCGCCTCAGGGCCCGCCACTCCAGGAGTAGTGGCTAGCCCAGGAGTCTTTAAGGGTGTTTCATTACCTGGACAACATAGAGCTGTGACGGTTGCTCCAAGCGCTGCTACTATTGGTGCCGCAGGAGGAGCTGGGGCTACTACTGGCGCAACCACTGCTACAACCGGGGCAACAGCAAGGTCTAGTGGTGGAAGCGGTGGCGGCGCTGCCAGTACTGAGAAAGTCAACTATGACAACATTACCGACGTCATGGGGTATGTCGGTGGAGTGGATCTGAGGGAGGAGACTGATAACATTATGCGGGATAGCGATGGATACTCCAAATCAGGAGGAGGAGACGGTCAAGACAGGACTCGTATCCAGAATTTTGTGGACACTGGCCTTTTGAAAACCATCATTGAGCGCATTGGTATGTGTATACTCTGCTCTTTGATATGCTATATTTACGCAAGCGACATGCGAACAATCCATGACGGTTACTCACCGATTTTTGACACGTCTCATTATCAAAATATAGCTGCGACGCATAAAATTCAGACAATTGATCCGGATGTCCTTGCCTACATGGCCATGGCAACGCAGGAGAGACTCCGAGGATTGGCTGAGCAGATGGTGCACGCGTCCAAGCATCGTGGACGCTCGTTGGCAACTGCCAACCCACCTATGTACGATGAAGAGCATGCCATGTACCGAGTCGGAGTGAGTCAGGATGTCAAGAAGCAGCTTTTGGCAGTCGAGCGTGTTGAGCGAGAGGAAGAAACCAAGCGCAAGGAGCACATTGCTGAACGCGAGCGGAGACTGGCCGCTGGCGAGGATCTGGATGAGAACGGTGAGCCTCGAGGAGGCCCCGGCGGCGCTGGGGCCAAGAAGAACAAGAAGCAGAAGGAAGGAGGACCTGGAGTCAGTGCCAGAAACATGACAGAGGAAGCCAGGAAGAAGGTTGCCAACCAGACTGCCATGGGATTCGCCGGAGGCAGTGGAAGGACGTACTCATGGATGATGGGAAGCGGAGGCGCCGGCGGTGGCGGCGGTCTTGGAGGAGGTGCTGCGTCGCCCTCGCCCTTGGCTGGACCTCCAATTGTTGCATCAACAGGCACCGTGTCAACAGCTGGATCTCCATCAGCAAGTGGAACCGCTGCCAACGGCACTGGGGGACCCTTGAAACCTACGTTGGCGCGAGGCTCGACCATGCCTGCATCAACGACTCCATCCGGCGCACTCACGCCCGGTGGTGGCGCTGGTGGTGGGGACGGCGGAGCAGCCGGTTCTGGAGCCGTTGGATCGCCATCGCTGGTTCGTGGCGCCGGAGTGGGCGGATCAATGATTCTCCCTCCATCGACTCTTGGACGGCCGACCAATCTGCGCGACTCTTCAAGGAAGGTCAATGTTCGGGACGCGTTGTTTTGTCTTGAGCGTGATCGTGGCGGTGGAGGGGGCGAGGGTAGTGGCCAGAGGGTGTTAGTGAAGAGTTATGTCAAGTGGCTCAAGTGAAGAGGAAAGAAACAGGAGTTCGTTCTTTCGTATCTTTTTCTTTTCTTTTCACCTTTTCAACAAACCATCTAATCATTCCCTTTCATTTTCCATCACATAATAAAATACATGAAGCAAAAAGTTATAAGTACGCCAGATCATGCTGTGATTAGTCCTCAACGTCTGCTTGATGATTGCGATTGTCGAAGGCAACCAGCTGGGCTTCTGCTACGGGGGATAGGACTGGGAGTGCGACGGCGTCCTCGTCCTGTGCACTCTCTTTCTTGATCTCTTTGGCGTTCCCGCTCGCGCTCACTGTCACCCTCGACCCTGTTTCACTCGTGTCCGTCGCGTTCGAGCACCACAAAAATCGGCTGGCCAAAGATAGTCTGGAGCCTCAAACAGTTGACGGCGGTTAGCAATCTGTTTGTTGGTAACTCTTGAAGGAGGTAAGAAGGATCCAGGGCCTCGTGTCACAGGCCGAGGCAACATGTCGTCTGCTGGAATGCCAAGTATCGTCAGGGGAGCGGCAAGGTGGTGTTTTAAGGTGGAAGGTCATCGCTGACGATGATGGCCAAGTCTGGGATGAAAGAAGTTGGATCGCAAAGATGCTATCAATACCAAGAATTTGTGTAGATTCGAGGAGAGCTGTCCTTAACCGCAGCATCGCGTCGCGACTGGTTTTTTCGCAAGTGACCGTCTGTACTTTTGGCCTGAACACAATGAGATACAGTAGACTTGGGATTGAAAAGGAGGGACAGAGGGAAAGACGAGGCAAGAACCGAGACAACGCCCTTTCCGTGGGCAGTCGAGCGTAATACTCAGGTGAGGAAGGAGTTGACCCTTCCGCCGTCCGTTTCTTTTCCTCATCTTTTCAAGAATCACCCACAACTGACAGATTATGTTCGTCGACCTAAATTTATTCTCAAGATGAAGTATTCTTTGTCTTACTAGAGAGTCCGCATACGCGTTGACGTGGCGTGTAGATATGCTGGAACAAAAGCTGTCCCCTTTCTTACTTGTCCCTTCGCACCTCCTAGCAACCGTCCATCCAATTTTCTTGTTCTTTGTTTCCCTACGCAGCCTTGATTCAATCGTTTTCAAAAAAAAAGTGAACCATCGTTCACATTGTCCACATTGTAGATGCTCGATATTTTTGTCCCACTTTTGTCCACGCGTAATACTCAAACAATACAGTGATCTAGCACCTTCAACCCTCATGCAGTCGTGCCATCTCGAAAAGATAAAGGAAGGCGTGCATTTCCAGTAGGTCTGAAATTAGAGTCCAGAAATACACAAGATGGCACGACGCCTCCTCATCCTCTGCCTCCATCCACCGCGCCATTTTTTTGTTCTAAGATTCCCCATTGTCCATCTGTTTCGTCGCAGTACAAAATAACTACGCGGGTGCCTCCCCTATCGCTCACGGAACTGGGACCACATTTTTTTCTTATACCTCCATTTTCACCATAAATAACGAGATCCTTCCTTCAATTTTTTTCATTCATCACCAAACTCTCTCAACCATTATCTCTTCTCTTTCTCTCCTCACAAGAAACATCCTCCTATAACACCACGATTCCAACCGCTATCATCGCCACGATGAAGGTCATCACCTTATCCCTCTTCGTCCTTGTGGCTATAGCCAGTATCGCCCTCGCCCACCCAACCCTTCATCAGTCCAGGTAGAACATCAGTTTATCTTGCGAATTATTAACAATCACAACCTCGCTGCAACTCCTAAAATTTTCATGTCACTCACTATTCACTGCCTTGATTTTGCCTTTCTTTCCAACACAGCGCTCCGTCTTCTATCGAGGCTGAACCGGTTCCAGCTGCTGCTGCTCCAGCTGCTGCTCCTGCTGCTCCTGATGCTGTTGAGACCCCGCAAGGTCATGTCGACAAGCGAAATTACCGTATCCAGACTACAACCGCAGAGGCTCCTGAGGCCACGTACCCGGCCGAGCTCTGGCCCAAGTACAAGCGCAAGCGCGACTACAACGACATCACCGAAACCGAGCTCGCAAACTCCCTCGACACCACTGGTATTTGGGATGTTGTTGAGCGACGCGCTGACAAGAATGGCCCCATCTCTATGCCCACACACACCCCCGAACCGCCGAAGACGATGACCACGTCCAAGCCCGAGCCAAAGCCAGAGACCGAGACCAAGGTCAAAACCAGGACCAAGCAGCTTCCCGTCAAACCCACACGCGCACCTAAAAGTCCACCTCGGCCCAACCTTCCTCCTCCAGTCCCCGCTCCTTCTTCTGCTCCGTCCCCAACCCCACCCTCGGCCCCGGCTCCAGGCCCAGGTTCTGCTAAACCGAACCCACCATCAGAGCCTCAAACCGGGTCAGCCATGATTTCCAACAACGTCAAAATCGTCGAAAATTGCCGCTCAGTCACACTGACCTGGAAGATCTTCATCGACAAGTCGCAAGCCATCCTCCGATGGCGCCACGAGATTTCGTACTTCATTGACCGGGGCTCAAGCGACTCGCTCATCTTCCTGGGAGGAAGTGTGCTCCAAGATGAGAACACCAAGGTTATTAGCGAAAGCACCGAACAGTCGATTTATTTTTCGCCCGATGGCGGTTTCGGTGTCAGGATCTCACCCGTCGGGCATGGGACGGCACTTGTTTGGTTCTGGAAAAGTCAGACGCGCGAGTTTTCGAAGCCGAGTAACATTGTGCCTTATTCGGGGGATGATATGAAATATGGGTATGACTACTGGGATTGTATTCCCCCGTCTTGGTAGTAGAGTTTAATATTTTTTCTCTTTGTCGTTTTTTTTTCTTTTATTTCATGCCATGATCCAGGCCCCTGGTGCCCGAATACATACATGTATTTTTTTTCTTTTCCTGAACTTGCATCACAATAAAAATATATTCAAATTTCATGATTTGGATAGCACGTTAAAGGCCGATTTGTAATGCTTTCTTTCATCCGAGAAGTAACAATGTATTGACGAGAAAAGGAAGAAAAAAAAAAAAAGAAGGTAAAAATTACAACTATAACGCTTATCCGATACGACCACCCTTGTTGCCCCATCCCTTGGGGTTATCGTCCTTGAAATCATCCCAGTTGCGCGCCTTTATCGTCTCGGCATTGACGGCATCCTCATCATTATCATCCGCCTCCTTCTTCTTAGGCTCCTCAGTGCCTCCAGACAAAAAGTTACCCCGCTCCATCTCCTGGTCGAGGTACTCCTCAATCGACATGGTAGGTAAGCTATGGCCGGGACGGAAGACACCCTTCATCATCTCGGCGCGTTTGTTGGTAATCATAAAGGGTCGAAGAGGACGTCCTTGGGGGTCCATGAGGGGTCCTGTCGCATTCCAGATGGTGCTGTCAACTTTGCCGTCACTTGTGTCATCTGCGGCTCGATTTGCGGCTCGATTGTCGTTCGACCCTTGTGCTGCTCTCCGTTCTGCCATCTGCTGTAACATGGGGATCTCCTGTTGAATGCCAACCAGCTGCTCCATAGTTTGGAAGATGGCGTACTGAAGATGAAGAAGAATAAAGTCTCGATATTGGTCCTCCAGCTCGGAGCTCAACTCGCCCTCGTATCCACTATTCGTCGTTCCCAGAATCTTGTGAAACTCCTATCAAGAGAGGGGGGTGAGAATGCGTCAGCATGTTCGCTTCAAGGAGATCCATTCGTGAACAAAAACTACGCCTAAACAAGAGGCAAAGAACGAACCTCGATCTGATTCCGCATCTCCTTTTCACGCTTAAATCGTGCAATCTTCTCGCCTCGTCGTGTGGCAGCATCCTTGGGTGCATTCGTCGTCAGTTGTTCCAGGTACTTTTTGTCCGATGGTGTCAGGATGTCGTGTGTTTCGCATTGCAACAAAAAGTGATCCAAGTGCTCCTATGATCAGAAAGTTCAATTGGTTGAATTAATATGTGAAAGCACAAAGATCCAGAACATTCCAGTCCATTTGCTCATACCTTGCCACTGTTCAGATCGGCGAGACGGTCAGGGGTCACACGCTTCAAGAAAAGTTCTCCCAGGTAGTATTCTGTCAATAAGAACCTATTACAAAACGATGTTGAATGACCGATTAGTAAGGTATGCTATGCCTGCGGATAAAAAAATCAAAAAAAGTCTCGAACAATGACAATACCGAAGGTCCTTGGTGCTGATGTCCTCCATGAATTCGTTATCACTGAATAAGCTGAGCTGGCGCACCATCCTGGAAGACAGGTCGAATCCCCTGATCGACTGGTTCACTTTTGACTAGAGTGTGTAATAAAGAACATCTAAAGTTAGTGAGATATAGAGAAGAAGATAAAGGGAGGGTAGAGAGAAAGCGCGTGTTATTTACCTGGTACTCATCAGAGTTTGAGGCGAGGGTTGACTTTTGGATGTCGAGGAAGAGGGCTTCGGCCTTTTGGAAGACCTGGGCAAGCGATTCGTCGTTGCCAGACATGATGTGGAGGAATGTGTGTTGTGTTGCAATGTGTTGTTGTTGAGGAAAGAAAGGAAGTAAGAGCGCAGATGCCGTCGCCCTTTCTTCTCTCTCAGTCCAGTCCATTGCCCTGTGAACAGTCCATTGCCTCAGGTGGCTTATCTCATTCTCGCACCTCGGATCGACAGCCAGATTTCGCTTTGATACACTCCGAGCGCGTTTTTTTTTATTATTGCTGAGCTCAAAGGACTTCATTCCTCGTTCCTCACCTTCGGTCGCCTGCTGCTTGCCTTCTCCTCCCTGCCCTCACTCTCCCTCGCCACTCTATTTCTTTTCGCACCCCCTCTCTTTTGCATAATCAACCACCACTCCCTCCCTCTTTTTTCCCTCCAGACCCCACCACAACAGAATGCTGCACAGAGTGAATCCAGTGATCTCCGGAGCGAGGTTGATCAGATCCGAAGGCTCAAGGATCCACTCCCGCCTTTCATCCTCATGCACCCACTCCCTCCACAGACTCCAGAATAAGTCTCCTCTGGCTCTCCTCCAAGGTTCCAGCCGTGGGAGCGGCGCCCTCAGAGGTTCCCGGGTCACGTTCACGCGCGCCTCCTTCTCGTCCCATAACGGCTCAGCAGCTATCCTTCCAACAGAGGCAAACAACATCTTTTCAAGAGATAACCAGGACCAGGACGATAGCGCGACCAACAGCAGTGGGACCGCAGGATTCTTCACAACCAGTAGCTCCGCATCAGCATCGTCATCACTAGCGCCCGAAGGGTTCCGGGACTATAACATCCGCTGGAAGGAGGTCAAGATGCCAACATTGACAGGAGTGGTACCCATCTACATGGATTTGGCCAAGGCACGCCTCGGAGCCCTGGTGACGCTGACGACGATGAGCGGATATGCCATGACCCCAGCAGCAGACGACCTGTCGACACTTTTCTCTCTAACGGTCGGAACCGCACTCTGCATCACTTCGGCCAATGCCTATAACCAGTTTGTGGAACCACCGTACGACGCACAAATGTCGAGGACACGGAACAGAGTTCTGGTCCGCAAGGCGGTCTCACCATTGCATGCCTGGTCCTTTGCAACGGCGACGGGGCTCGGAGGCATCGGGATTTTGGCTACGATGGTCAACCCATTGACGGCAGCCCTCGGAGCAGCCAATTTGGTCCTCTACGCAGCCGTCTACACCCCCATGAAGCGCATGTCGATCGTCAACACATGGGTCGGATCGGTTGTCGGAGCTCTCCCACCCATGATGGGCTGGGCTGCATGCACTAATTCACTCGGTCCGGAAGCGTGGCTCTTGGGTCTGATCCTCTACGCCTGGCAGTTCCCTCACTTCAACTCTTTGGCATGGAACCTTCGCGCGGATTACTCCAAGGCCGGCTACCGTATGATGTCCGTCACGGATCCCAAGCTCAACGCCCGCGTTAGTCTTCGGTACTCGCTCGCCTTGATCCCTCTGGTCACCTTGGCTCCTTATCTTGACATGACGACCTGGTGGTTCGCAGTCGACGGTAACATTGTCAACGCGGTCATGTTGGCAGGTGCAGCCAACTTTTGGCGGAAGCGTGACGACAAGAGCGCGAGACAGTTGTTCTTTGGAAGTTTGATCTACCTGCCCGTCGTCCTTGCATTGATGATGTTGCACAAGAAGGTCAAGAAGGCGGAGGATGAAGCTGAGGCTAATGCTGCTGCTGCCTTGACTTCTGTTGTGAGTACATCGTCCGCTGTTGTGGAAGAGGACGATGATGAATATGAATACGTCGATGTCGATGAGGACGACGACGAGGAACATCATACGAGCCCCACAAGCGTACAGAAGAAGCTCTAATGGTGCCCTCCCTCCTGTAAGAAAAATAAAAAATCATAATTCTCTGCTACGCATTCCGGCTATCATTTCTGTCAATTGCTCACTAATGAGATCCCGCTTGCTTCCTTCTAACATTTTTTTCTCGGGAACGATAAAAGAGGAAAGAAGAAACCGACTTTATGTACATGCGTGTAGGATAAGAAAACAATAACAGCAACAACAACAACAAAAAAAAAGAGTAAATAATAAAAGAGTATCAAATAATAAGAGGAGGGTGCAAAAAAAAAAAGACCCTCTCACACTTTTTTTGTTTTTACTTTTTTTACACGCTGTTCTCCTGCTGGTGCTGGTCCAATGCAACCATGCGGTCCTGCTCGATAGCAAGTCGCTCATCCTTGCGCTTCTTGTCGTAGAACATGCCTCCACCGAGAAGGGCAGCGAGGGTAAAGAATTGGAAGCCGACACGGGCCCTGAACATGTGCTGGGCAAACTCGCGGCGTCCTGTCCTGACTCCGTAACTTGCTCCAACGAACGCGGCAATCGTCAAACCCACACCTGTTGGTCATTGTGAAAAGAGAAGCGTGAGGAGGTGTTAATGAGGGTGTGAATGAGAGAGAGAAAGGTGTTTTGTTGATCAGCGAAGTTGTGGAGGGGTCTTGCACGTGAGGAGCTGTTCGGCAATGGTGAGAGGTGTGTATTCTTCAGAGTGTCCCTGCTTGCAGCATTCAACGACCAAAAAAAAGAGGCGAGCGATGTATATATCCTTGAGTGAGTGTAGGTGGGTGGAGAGGAGGACTTGCCTGAGGCGACGACCTTGTTCTCGCGGAAGAGTCTCTTGACCTTCTCCATTGCGGTCTCGGTGTCCTCATCATAGTAGTATTCCTCGGCCATGGTGTATGTGCGTATGTTGGTTGATGCGTGTTTAAAAAAGAAGAGTGCGAAGCTCACCCGACAGTGGGTGTGTGTATGTGTGTTGCCGTGACAGTCACATTTCTCTCCTTTGCGATAATGCGGTTCAGAAGCGAATATGGGGAGGAGGCCTAGGGGCCTTCACAGCTTGCGTCTGGTTGGCAAGGTCTAAGCAACATCGGTGCGAAACTGGTGTAAGCACAGCTCATATTCGTCATTGTGAAGACACAGTTAAAGGATGAAAAGAGAATGCTTGTGATACTCCAGCATCCAAAAGAATGGCTTCGTCAAACGAGGTTGTCCGTTTCATCTTCAGGAACAAGCACATTCTCTTTCGTTTGCCACCGTGACCGTCCTTGATTTGACAAAACATGCCCACTTTTGCTTGCTTGTGAGCACTCTCTTTCTCACTTGCCGTCAACACTTTTGCTCCTCCTCTCTCCTCGCCATCACCTCCACAACAATCCGCCCGCCATGAAGCGCACTTTCTCAGGAATATCTCTCAAGAGGCCTTCGGCCAAACTCCCATCAAGCCAAGACAGCCAAGGCGACATCACCAACAACAACAGCAGCCAGCAACGACACTCTTCATCACAGGAACTTGGCGCCACCAAAACAAGGAACACCGTCTTTGACCACGTCTTTGTCGAAATACCCTGTGTCAAAGCAATAGTCGCACCTGGTCCCAAGACCATCCTGAAAAAGTTTCCAGGAGTCAAGTCACCGAACCAAAAGAAGGTCGAATTTGTCGAGGACTCGGAGGGCTCCTTGAGCGACGCAGACGACGACGACTATGACGACGACTTTGAGAAGGACAAGGAGAACAGGAACGATGCTGTAGTACAGGAGAACCCTATAAAGTCCTCTCCACCAACACTTGTGTCAAAGTCTGTACCGACACTGGCTCTACCCGTCAAGAAATCACTACTTACTGCCGCGACATCTCCACCGCTAACGCCACCGGATGCAGACCCAACAAAAGCAAAGGTCAGGTCAACCCCAACGAAGCCATTGAAGATACCATCAACAATGACGCCAACACCGAAGCTTACACCAAATCCCACTCCAAAGCCCGCGCCCACAAAGGTGCAAGTCGAGGCGGATCTAGAAGATGAGGATGAGGACATGTATGACGGTGACGCAGGAGAAGACGACAGTGGATCGGATTTTGACTCGGACGGAGGCGGTCGCAAGCGAGTCAAGACAGGACGGACAACTCAAGACATGATCAAGGCCTCTCTGCCTCAAGCGACCACCCGGGCAACACGTTCGGGACGGGCGCCTCTCTCTTCCATTACAGTCACCATCTCCTCAAAACCACTCCCAAACGCCAAGCCATCTCAGCCCAGCACCAAGTCACTGACAGCGCTTGGGAAGCGCTTCAAGGTCCCGACATTCACGGATCCAAGCAAGGCACCTGCACAGGCTCGATCTTCAGGACTAACGCTTGGAACGAAACGGCGGCCACAAGTCGACGCCAAGTCTGCTCATGACTATACCATGGAGGGCTCTATTATCCTGCATGATCCAGCCTGGGCACAGCTGGATGAGGCTCAACGAGAAGAAGAGAAATTGCTGAAGGCATCTCAGGAAGGCCCAGAGCCTGTCGACGGAGACTCTATTCAGCAGGTCATCATCCCCAAAAAGGAGAAGGCTAAGTCCAAGTCGATTGCAGAGATGCTGGGACTCGTCAAGCTAAAGGAGCAGCCAAAAGTCCACGTCGTTGTAAGTAGATACTTCGCAACATTGGAGGTTCATGTTCACATCCTGTTTCATTCCTGATGATGATGGAATTAACAAATGTAATTATTAACGCGATTTGTAGGTGGATCCTGTACTTGGACGGGTTCTACGCCCGCATCAGGTCGAGGGAGTCAAGTTCATGTACAAGTGTACGACTGGCGCCACTATGCCCAATGCCTTTGGATGTATCATGGCGGATGAAATGGGTCTCGGCAAAACGGTATGCATGCAATACTCATGGTCTCTTTGGCGCGTGTTGATGTAGTGATGTCAGAAGCGTTATTGACCGTGTTCCTTTTCTATGTTTTGTTCTAGCTTCAATGCATCACACTTCTTTGGACACTCCTGAAGCAGTCGCCGGACTTCGGAAAGGGCACGATCGAGAAGTGCATTATTTGTTGTCCGTCATCGCTTGTCAGGAACTGGGCAAACGAAATTATCAAGTGGCTGGGACCAGGAAAGATTGGAGTGCTGACATGCGACTCAAAGGGATCTAAGGAAGACACCAACAACATGATGAGGCAGTGGGCATCAGCAAGGCAGAGGATGGTGGTGAACCCAGTCTTGATTATCAGTTACGAGAGTTTGCGGATGTACGCTCCGATCCTTGCACAAACCCCGATCGGACTGATGCTCTGCGACGAAGGTCATCGTCTGAAGAATTCTAGTACGTCTTTGAAACAACCGAATTCTTGTCTACCTCACTTCAAGGTGTCAACTGCATCAAGTTACTCATCAATCTTCTTTTTTATTAGATTCACAAACGTTCATAGCATTGAATGAGTTGAATGTCCAGAGGCGTGTTATCTTGTCAGGAACACCTATTCAGAACGACCTCTCGGAATACTTTTCGCTGCTCAATTTTGCCAATCCAGGGCTTTTGGGATCAACGATGGAGTTCCGCAAAAACTATGAGATTCCTATTTTACGCGGACGCGACTCGGAAGCAACGGACAAAGAACAGGAGATCAGTAACCAGAAGCTAGCGGAACTGTCGGGTGTTGTGAGCAAGTTTATCATTCGCCGCACCAACGACATCCTGTCGAAATACTGTAAGTGCTTTTGCCGAGCTCCGGTGCTTTATTTTTCTGATCATGTCTGTTACTCACATAAACACTTACTTCATACACGGACATTTGCTAGTGCCAACCAAGTTCGAGCATGTGGTGTTCTGTCAACTTTCACCTTTCCAGCTGGGTTTGTACAAGCACTTTATCAACTCCAAGTCAATTCAGAGGCTGCTGCGTGGGCAGGGTTCGCAGCCGCTCAAGGCGATTGGACTGCTCAAGAAACTTTGCAACCACCCCGATCTCTTGAATTTACCTGACGATCTTGAGGGATGCGACAGTTTGCTTCCTCCCGACTATCAGACCAAGAACTCCAAGAAGCCCTTGTCCCGTGGAGGAATTCTTGTGCAACCCGAATTTTCTGGCAAGATGCTTGTCCTGGCGAGGATGCTTGCCAAAATCAAGAAGGACACCAACGACAAGATTGTTCTCATCTCGAATTACACCCAAACCCTTGACATCTTTGAGAAGCTCTGCCGCCAGAATCAGTAAGTTGTCTTTTTCTTTGCTTCGCGGTGGGGTATGTTTCTTCTGCGTCAGCCATTTGAAACTTTGATGCTGATAGAAACCGACCTTTGTTAATTATAGATATGGAGTTTTGAGACTGGATGGAACGATGACGATTAACAAGAGACAGAAGCTGGTCGACCGGTTCAATAACCCGGATGGCACTGAGTTTGTGTTCCTGTTGAGCAGCAAGGCAGGAGGATGTGGATTGAACTTGATTGGAGCGAACCGCCTTGTTCTTTTCGACCCAGACTGGAATCCAGCCTCGGACCAGCAGGCCCTGGCGCGTGTGTGGCGCGATGGCCAAAAGAAGGATTGTTTTGTCTACCGATTCATTGCGACAGGATCGATTGAGGAGAAGATTTTCCAGCGTCAGTCTCACAAGCAATCGCTGTCATCCTGTGTGGTGGACGAGGATCAGGATGTGGAGCGTCATTTCTCGCAAGAGAATTTGCGGCAGTTGTTCCAGCTCAACGAGACGACCGAGTGCTGTGATACACACGAGACGTTCAAGTGCAAGCGATGTGTGGATGGACGGCAGGTGGAGAAGGCGGCCCAGGTCTCATATGGTGATACATCGACCTGGAACCATTTCAAGGGTAACCAGGATCTCTTGAAGCTCACAGACCCGCTGCTTCAGGAGGAAGCCGACACGAACGCTATCTCGTTTGTTTTCCAGTACATCTCTCATTAGGCATATGGGTTTCTCTTTCTCCCATTTTAGGGTTATTCTCTGTACTTTTAGCTTCGCCTTGTTCAATAGTAAAATGCAAGGTGGCCCGTCCACCTTTGATTCTTTAAGCGAAAGTTGGAAGGAGAGATGAGAAATTGATGAATCAAACTGACGCCATGAACAGATTCGGCGCCATCGGTTACAATAATAAGATTCAATTTTCTGGGAGCTATTAGATCCACACCCTTGACCCCGATTCACCATTGACTTGACTCTTCTTCCAATTCCCATGCGGACAACTGAAGAGGTATCATGGAAAAGTCACGTGTGCCTTGACTTGAGAGATCAATGATTGAATTTTTTTTGACGCGTCCTAGGGACTTTGAACTAGAACGCGCCGGGGGTATTCTTTGACATGTAATAACACAATGTACCGCTGCTCCATCTTCTGTCCGTCCTATGTCCTCTTAAACGAAAAAAAGCCAGTAACGGCCCGCAACGGAGGAAGAACACCATATTTGGCATCTTTTCATTCATATATTACTCATCCTCTCTATCTATCGCTCTCTTTCTCCTCTCTGCTTCCAGAAGAAGAAGCGGGCATTCTCTTACCCTTCCTTTTAACTCTCTATGCCCTCGGTCGTTTCCTCTCGTCAAAAAAGTGCATGCATTATGAATATACCTGTGCTTGAGAGGCAAAATGGAACGTCCATGACAATGTATATCCTTCCATACCTTGTCCGTCCACTCTGATTATTGATTTCACAACTAAAGTCTCATTTTTTAACTTGTCGTTCTCCCTTTTCGGAGAAGTGATCGGAAATAAAAAAAACCCCCTTTGCATCAAGGGGATCCCTCAATTGATGTCTTTTCCAGATCTTTTTTTTTCTTCCTCAAATTGTTACACAGGGAAGAAAGGAGCGACAAAAAATAATGGCGCTTAACAATCAAAAGGTGATGGATCGCTTTCCTCGTCATTCAACGAATAGTTGGCGAAATAAAGACAAAGAAAAAAATGGATGAAGAAGAGAAGCACGAAGTAAATAATGCCGGTTAAGTTTGCCTTCTATTATTTCTCCTTCTTCATTCTCAACAGCAGCCAACAAGAACCCCAAGAAGAATCCTCTTTATCAAGTTCAAGGTTTAGTATCGTCAATGAAACAAAAAAGAATTGATCCACATTGAACCATCTCCCTCCTCCTTTATATTTAATCTTTCCTTCATAGTGTTCCTATAAATAAAAACACACGCGCTATGCAACTTACTCTCCTAACGTGACAAACGCGCCACGATAGAAACCCACCTTCATTTTCGAAAAGACTGATCATGTTTATATTTTTTTACATTGGTCGCTGGCGCAGAGGAGCAGCCATCGTTTTAATGAATGAATAAAGAAGAGGGCTCTCAAGAAACGAGAGCACCAAAAAAAAAAACGAAAAAAGAAAAACCTTATGATTACCACTCACGCAAAAGTCAAAACCAAAAAGGGGTGCTTGCCGCCTTTTTTTTTTTTTTTTTTTTTTTTTTTTTTGGGAAGGAAACCATTGTTTGGCAGGGGACCAGCTCGGAGACTCGGAGAATGAGCCTTGGTACAAAAGGACGACGAACCAATCGTGGAACCTGCACCCAGTTACCGTTCCCGGCTTCTGCATTGCTTCTTCTGCTCTCTTTGAGGCTTCCTTCCATACTTCCTTGGCTCAGAATCGAAACAGAGCCGGGTTGATTGACAAATATTTGCTTTATGCAAAGGGGCCGTAATAGTAAGGATGTTGGTAGTAAATGCTCTTTGGATCGGATGAATGACTCGGCGGGTGTGAAAAGGCAAGGGAGCAAATAAGCAAGGTAAGAAGCAAAGAAGCATGTAAACAGAGAGGCAAGAAAATATTGGATCCCTTTTCATTTTAACCGGTCTCTGAGTACAGCCGGGATCGCTATGTAAAGTAATTCCAATGCAGTAATGCAATGTTTGCTCTGGTACAGCGGGCAGGTGCCTGATTTGTTTCGTGCAAAAAGACAAGACTCTGTGAAATGAAAGTTGACGCCAACCGCCAAAACGCCTGTCGAGCGTTGGAAGTACTCCTCCAATTCTTAATAGAGGCGGGCTGTTGCTGTTCACTCCAAAACTTCTTCATAGGGGAGGAGAGGAGAGTGTGTGTCAAAGTAATTTAGGTTCATTCCGTGGCCACGCCCACGAGCAAAGACGAATGCCGCGTTCAGGATTGCAACATGTGTTTGAATATCAGAAAGGAGAGAGGCAAGACGGACGCTCATGTTTTCTCTTTTTCAGGCTGCAAGGTTGCGTTCCACAAGAAAAGAATGTACGGCGGAGAGAAGATGGAGGAAGGAAGAAGGAAGAAGGATGTGCCTTTTAGCCCACGGAGTTGATCATTGCTGCAAGAACTTGCAAATGCCGGTACCTCTCCTGCGCAAGGAGGGAGGGAAGGAGTGATGATCGATGCTGTTGTTTATCTGTTGTCTCCTTACTGTCAACAGTGAAAATAAAAAACAACATACAAGAGCCGACATCATGAGCAACATCTCCAGCGTCCATGTCCATGTCCATCGCTCGACAACAACAGCCGTAGGGGCCGTGTACCATGGTTTACGACTAAGCTTGAATGGGTTTGGACTAGAACTTCGTCGTGTTTTCTTGCCTTACGCGAGTAGTTTGGTTTCACACACACGAGGCAAACAAGAACGAAACGGACATCCAAAGACTACATGCTCCTCCACACTTGCCATCAGCATTGTGGACATGGCACATTTTGAGGAGAGCGAGAGGGAGAGGACTGGGCGTAGGTTCAAAATGACTATCGTTTATAGTTTTGTATTCTCTCTCTTCGCTATTTGTTTTTTTCTTTTTCTTGTCAATGACAACAACGAAAAGAAGAAGGCTCTCAACCGCCACAGACAACAGACAACAGACAGGCAGCAACAGACAGGCAGACAGCAACAGACAGGTCATCAACCAACAAAGTGTAAGCAAACAAACAAAGAGAGCAAATCGGGTTGTTATGTGCTGGTGTTTGTTTTTTCTCCTCTTGATGAAGATGTATGTGAATGGGAGTCGTATGGCAGTGTTTAGTGAGATGGCCATTCTTCTTTTCTCTTCTTTTCTCTTTCTTCTTCTTCTTCTTCTCCTTCTTCTCCTTCGTTGCATCCCCGCTTCCCTCCTCCCCCCCTTCTTTCTCGCTTCTCTCCTCCTTTCTGGGTGAGGTTGATTCGACTTTTTATCTTTACATTTTCCCTGCCACGCCTCCCGTACCTGAATATTTCTCCCTCTTCTCCCTCTTCTCCCTCGTCTCTCTCTCGCCCTTCCCACTTTTCTTCACCTCCACCGACACCTCTCCCTCTCCCCCCCTCTCTCTCTCTCCAGGCGGATCCAGTCGGTGAATCCACTCGCTCCATTCCCCTCCTCCTAATTCCAATGTAAAGCCTTCCTTCCTTTCTTCCTCTCTCCTTCGCCTGCATCTCATTCTGACAAACTCCACAACCCTCACTTCCCGTCTCATCGCCCACTCTCTACTCCCCTCAACCCCTGAGACATCCCTGTGTCGCTCTTCTTTCTTGCATCGCCCACTCCATCCACTCCTCTTCTCTCGTCCCTTCAAGTTTACTCTCTCTCTCTTCTCCTCTACAATCATTCCACACAATCATCCATCCTTCAACATTCTCAGCCACTCGGCAGCTCATTCACCACCCACTGAGCAACTCGCCATTCCACGCTACAACCCACACGTTATCATCACTCGTTGCTCCTAGTGTCAACCTTGCACTAACGCCCTGCATTTTCCTCCTCTCTATTTCTCCACATACCAACTACACCCACCCTTTTGCAGAAAAAAAAGAGTAAAAGCAACCCCGACAGACTTGACCTCTTTTAACTCCAACTCCTCTCCCTCCGATCGACCATGCGTCTGACGTCCGCAGTCAAGCGGCCATGGCTGGCGGTCCCCCTGCTCCTCAGCATCGCCTCCGTCATGGCCCTCTCCAATGCCAGCCTTGCCTGTGATGACAACGACTCGTTCAATTGCCCTTCCTTGGTAAGCAACAACATTTCCACATATACCAAAGACAGAACCACACACATCCACCTCCCTACCCGCCACCACCACCACATTCTCTGGCTCCTTCTCTCGTCTCATATCAGCAACTACAACATCATGTTCATTGCCTTAATCAGCAAAGCGATAGCAACAGCCCCCAACCACAACTCTACCTTAACGACTGCCCGTTGTTGTCCCCCATACATCGCCACTTCTGTCCATCTTTCTTTTGTATCTCCCTCTCTCTTCCTCTTGACATGCATATTTCTTACATGGAAAGATACATTCTTGACACGAAATGGGAAGGAGGGACATCATCCGAGCACAACATTCCTTCCTTTCCTCTGTCTCTTTTCCCCAAACGCAAACGCGTGGCATTTTTAACACTTAACCATAACAGTCGTCGTTAGCACACTTTTTCCACCCATCCATCTCTCCGAGCCATACCATTCCCTCGTCATACCGTTGCTATTCTTTCTCATCTACCCTCTCCTCTACTTACCGCTGCAGCATTCACCTATTCATCCATTCAACAATATATACCCAATATGCTCATTATCTCGTGCGTGTTGCTGTTTTGTCACCATGACAGAAGCTCTTGAGAGCTATTACAACTGTTGACGGCAAAATAAACAAAGAATGAGCGCGAACAAAGTACAGCGAGGCAAAGAGGCTGCTGGCCAGTCGCATACCTCGTGCAACGGTCGTGTTTTTTGTTGTCTGCAAGGCCTCATCAACCACCCACCCAGCCCACCACGCATTCCAGACTCGCCTTTTTTTTCTCTTCTTTTTTGCAGGCTTGTTTTGTTTACAACAATCCGCACGCCATTGCGACATTTCGTCATTGTAGATGCAGCACCTTCTTTCTCATTTTCTCTGTCGACAAAATCCGCACACGTTCCTGAAATGCAGTGTTACTTCTTTACTAACGGTCGCCTTGCGTCTTCCTTCGTCCTCCTTTTTTCTACAAACCATTGCCATAATTAGGCATCGGTTGACACGCGCTCTGTGATTCGGGTCCCTTCCCTGGAACGGCCTGGTGGACTTGACTTGCTTGGACCATTGGCTGCAGCCCCTGAGGATGACTCACCCATTTCGCGGACATCATCCACACGTACGTCAACACCAACACCAAAACCCAAGTCAAAACCAAAACCGAAGCCGAAGCCAAAAAAGACAAGTACAAAGCCCAAACCCAAGCACAAGACAGTATCAACGAGTTCCTCCAAGCACAAGTCAACGAGTTCCTCCAAGCACAAGTCCAAAACGACGAGCACCAAACCGCACGCAACCTCTCATCGTCCCCCTAATAACACGACTCCTAATCCTAATCCCACAAAAACTCATACTGCCACAACAACGGCACAAGTGATCGTACCCACAACCACCGCGGCACGGACAGAATCGTCACCGCCACCATCGCCTTTGACACCAACCGCCACACCAGAACCCACAGAACAAACAACAACTACAGGAGAACCCACGTCTACTGATTCAGTTGCAACGTCACCGCCAACACCAACAGGAGGCGAGCCCACTCCTGTTGTAACCCCACAAGATTCCTCAATAGGAACAGTAACTCCTACCCCGACACCAACAGAACCATCAGCACCGGCGGCGACCTCTACTGAGACAGCAGAAGAACCTTTCACAGCTCCACGGCCCAATCGCCCTCCTCGTGAGACTGTCTCTAATTCACTCGATGAGCCGACTCCTTCCCCAAAGATTGAGCCAACCCCTGCAGCTACTATCACCCCGGCTATCAACTCTACAACTACGATGACGTTTATTTTTCCATCGACAACTACAATACCTGTTCCTAGGACTACAACCACTACGACTTCAAACACGACTACGACAACCGCACAACCCGTAACGATAAGCCCAACCGCAACCGCAACCTCACATCACACCCGCCCCACAACGACAACGACGCCATGGTTGCCGAGCACGATCGAGCCTCTTGCCCCTCCCAAGGTCACATCGACTATTCGTCCTGGAACATCACTCCCCGACATTGTGATCCCCAATCTCAACCCTGATATCCCTGCCAACTCGTTCAATGTAGTGCTAAGGCTTGAGCATGTCTCCTACTATCAGGTCATTAACAATGGTATCCTGGCAGCTCAGTTGGTCTCGTTCCTCCCGGCTCAATTGGGTCGTGTGCTCAAAGTCGATACCAGTTTGATTCAAGTCCTTGCTATTCGGGATGGATCTGACGCGCCCATGGCTGCCAACGGCGCAACATTCCCTCCAGTTGCAGTTCATCCGACGACCACATCAGCATCAACAGCAGCAACGACCACGACGGCAACAAAGAGCAAGAGGTCTGTCCGGAAACGTGGATTGGTAACCAGCCCCAACAGTTCCGACGCGATCTTGGTCACAGTCTCGATTCCCAGGAACAAGTACTGGCCCTTGAACAGCCTGGTAGTAGATCAGTCGAGTGCCCTCTATGTTAAGGAGGTGCAGTCGTTTGGACAGTTCCTGGACCATGAGTATGCGCTCGCCAGCCACCCACCTTCTCTTAGTCGAGGCGGTGGTAGCTCCGACGGAAGTGACGGCCAGGGTGACGGTGATGATGGTGACAACACGGCTGATCCCTTGACGGGCGACAACCCCAGTCAAATCTCTGGTCCTGACGGCAACACGAACGGCGGATCATCCAAGTCGTCGAACGCCCCCATTATTGGATCGGTTGTTGCCCTGGCGACAATTGCCTATGTCGGAATTGCGATTGTGGTTGTCCGGAGGGTCCAAGCTAAGAAGTTGCGTGAGCAGCAGGAGCGTGATGCTATTCGGCAGAACATTTCAGGACCCATCAATGTTCAAGGCGGAGCCAATGGCTGGGGCTGGCACAGTGAGTAGAACAAGCAACATGGAGGGTTTTCATATGAGAGTGTGCGACAAGGTTTCTGTCGACTATCATTATCGATGCCATGTCTGGCTCTGTTTTTGACGTCATGAGTCCGCCCATTGTATCTGTTCCTTGATACACACACACTCTTTGATTCATTTTTTTTTCCACCTTTTTCTCTTGATTTATGATATCCATTATTTTTACACCATATACTCCTATTTCTATGCACTATAGCAGAAACTGTTCCATGTTTCTGTTGTCTTAGTCGCTTACCTACCCCCCCATTCCATCCTTTGATACCATTCCTCCTCTCTTTATGAGACACACTACCCAACAACTACTATTACCACCATCACATGTACCCCCCCCCCCTTCCAGCACCTAGAAAAAAAAACACCAACCACAATAACGATAATAAAACAACATAAAAAAGCCTAAACTGTACCATCTCCATCTAGGGGTGCGTCCCTTTCCTTAGTGCCCATCTAACAAAGCGCGTTGATTTTCTGCTGTGCATTGGACACTAATTGTTCCACCCTTGGGTCTAATTCATCATTGGTGTTTTGATCTATTGCCAACCCTTTCAATTGCTCCAAGTCCCCCCCACCTCCCCCTTCCCAAGGTTAATGCAAAGTTCAAGTTAGATTGAAACAAGGCATTCAATTTTTACAAATTATTAATTTTCATGCTCCAGGGCAATGGCAGGGGGGGGGGGTCAAAGCAGGGCGCCTTTTTTCGTGGTCCCCATTTTTTCCAATGGTTTGGATGGATGAATTGTATGATAATGTCTTTTAATTTGGCAAAATGATCGGATTTTTAAATTGAATGAAAGAAAAAAGAGTCTATACAAAAGCTGCAAAGGTTGAGCACAGCTACAAAACGCTGTCTGGGTTGTGGAAAGGGGAAGGAAGAATACTTTACAAATGGGATGGATGGATGGGATGGGAAGGGAAAGCAGGAGGGATGGGGGGGGGGGAAGAGTAAAAATCAGAAAGTAAATTTGTGATAAATGCTCGTAATTGGGACGTAAATTAGACGTTTCATGTGTGGACAAGGGTTTAGGGTGGGGTTGTGGTAGTTGCGCCAGGCAGAGAATCGATCCGTGGAGGGGTAATACTCATCCTCGTGCCTGTGATTGTTGTATTTGTTGCAGAAGCACGAGAAGTATTCATGCGCTCTTCACGGGGGGACAGATCCTCGTATGCTGGAGGTTGTGGTTCAGATGGGTCGAGTGGAGGGATCGCCAGGAACATTGGTACGAAGGGTCCTCCTGAAGCATCAGCTCCACGGGGGTGGGGTGGAGAACTGTGAGTCTCTGTGCGAACACGGGATCTGCGACCTCTCTCTCCTTGTCCGTATCCTTGCGCAAACATAGTAGCAGCCGAAGGCGAGGAAGAAGAACGAGCATGTCTCTGCTGCTGCTGGCGCTGGTGTTCATGGAGGACTCTGGGAGTGATGAGGTAGTAGGAGACAATATCTCCATCGGGCCCATTGCCGTTCCCGCGGATCAGTGCAGCGGGGGGTGCGTTGATGATGGAGTCATTTGAGGAAGAAGTTGATAGTGGTCGGTTTTGTCCTCCTGCCGCTCCTGAGAGTTGGCGTTGTTGTTCCTGTTCCTGGCGGAGGTGTGAGGCGTCGATAACGGCGAGGTCGTGCAAGTGGCTCATGTAGTTTGGTGGGTTGGCTATTGTTTGTTTAAAGGTGGTACATGTAACGACGTAATGGCATTGTGAGTTTTATAACACTTACTTTGCTGCGCTATAGGGTTGGGCGTTCGAGATACGCCCTTCCCATGGTATCATTGTACGTATCATCCTCCAATTGTTTGTAAGCATTACTGCCGGCGCCACCTTTTGTGTTGCGGACAATTGTTGTTCGTTACCTTCAAAGTCAGGATCCTTAAGACGACGAATGCGCTCACGACGCTTGAGAAGGAAAACACGTCCAAAGTAGACAAAGGCTACCAGAATGGCGCCGATGAGGACGACATAGATGAATCCGCCGGCTTCGAAGCCGCCGTAGGCTGGGGTCCCATTGGGGTTGTTTCCTCTACCGCTGCCATTGCCTCTGTCGCCGCCGTTGCCTCTGTCGCTGCCGTCGTCGGTGATGATGGGTGTAGGTGTGGAAGTTGTTGTTGTTGGTTCGGGTTGTGGTTGTACTGGTGCTGATGAATGTACTAGGGCTGACATTGTTGTGTGTGTGTGTGTGTGTGTGTTTTGTGGTGTAGTGGTGGTGAAGGTGAGAAGAGAAGAGAAGAGAAGGGAAGAGAAGAGATAGGAAGAAGAGACGAGAGAGGAGAGAGAAGAGAGGAGAGAGTGTGAAAGGAGGAAGGAAAGAAAGGAGTAGCAGGTGTGTGCAAGGTCAAGAAGATTAATAAGACAAGAGACAGAAAAAGAGAACTGAAAGGAAGAAAAAGAGACAAGAGGGAAGAGGAAGAGGGAAGAGGAAGAAAAGAAGAAAGAGTGGTTATTTGTTCGTTGGTTGCTGTTTGCCCCTGTCGTTTTATGTACGCTTTTAATCAGGAAAGAAGACGAGGTTATCCTGTCCAGCTGTCCAATGCATCAAAGCAAGCCCCTCCTTTTTTTATGTTATTCCTTTTTCCCTTCCCTTCCCAGAAGAGTACAGTAGTAGTCATGGATGGGATCGCTCAGGGACACTTCTTGTTTCTTGTGTGCTCTTATACCTACACATCAGACAGACAGTTCCCCTTGAAAAGAATTCCGCCCGTTGCGACACACTCTCTTTTGTAAAAAAGGGGAAGCAATGACTTGGGTCATTGGCAAGCAGACATGAATTGCAAAGGAGCACTGTTCAACCATGGTGTAGAAGTGAAAGCGTAAGGTGTCATTGACTCCTTCCTTCGTTCTCATTGTCCTTTCTACTCTGCACTTACCATCCCATCCATCCCACGACATCATTATTATCGCATCGATCCTTTTTTTTGTTGCTTTTGTTTAACTCTACTTTTCTTTTTTGTAGGAGTGCAGCCCATGTCTATTTCTGGCTTCCAAAGTTCCTACTCCAGAATCTCTCCTCGCTTGTTATTTTCGCGTTCGATTGCGACCTGGCTATCTGACCATTGCGTTGTCGCACTTATCAAAGCCAGGTACCGTTACACCCCAAACAACAAACCATGATCACCTAGTTCTCTCCGACTGTGAAAAAACGCCTTCGAAAAAGAAGGGAATAGAGGATCCAGGCTATGGATAGATCCAGGTTCCTCCTTCTTCCCTTCCTTTCCCTTCCCCTTCCCCTTCCCCTTTCATTTTCCCTCCCCCTTCCCCTTCCCCTTCCACTTGCCTCCACTAGTCCACATCATTTCTTTTTTCTTTTCTCTTCCTTTCTCAATTCATCCCGATTCACGCCCTCCCCCTTGACCTTTGACTGTCACGGCTTGTGTCATTGTCTGTCCGTTGGGATACACAGATCCAGGGACGGACGAATGGCTGACTGACTGACTGACTGACGGTGGCGGAGGCAGGTGCGTCTCCTGGATTTTTTTTTTTTGTATTTTTGGTGTCCTTTTGGATAGCAGCTGGGTCATCTGGATACTTCTAACCCAGGCAACAGAAGATAGGTAGCCGGGTTTTGGTTTTATGTCAGGGATGGACCCATTTCATCTTGTTACCTTTACCTATATTCATGCTGTCCGTTTGGGTGTGGGATTGGGATACTTTGATCCTGAGCACGTTGTTGAACGACAACTGCAGTAGGATAAACGAAAAGGCAAGAGGGGGGGGGGGAAAGAAGAAAGGGAAGGGGAGTGAACAGTAAACGACTTTGATCCCTCCGCAGACAGCATTTGGTCTCCTCTCACTTCCCCTAGTTTACTATTTCTTGCTTCACTTTTACCCCTCACCACTCTTACTTTTAGCCCCCCTGGACTTAGGTGCAAAGAGACCTTTTTTTTTTTTTTTTTTCGTGCGTCTGACACACATTCAGGTGTACTCAATCTATCTAAAAGGAACCGTGCCAGGTAGGGCTCTTTTTGCAATTGATCTATGCGTGACCAAGAGCCAAGGGAAGGGGGGCACCATTTCAGGCACGAAACTCCAATTATTTTATGCTTACCCCCAGTGGCGTCGTGATAGAATCATAGAGAGAGCTCTAAGATGAAGCAATAGGAGGACAACAAGGCATAAGCAACAATGAGGGGAAGGAGAGATAACTCCACAAGACAACCAACCTAAGCCCTTCAGCCCCCCCTGCTGCTGATGCAACCAAGTCCGTTTGCCTAGACACGCATTCCACCGCGGGGGGGCGGCAGGAAAACTGGGGAAGTTGGTGAGGAGCCTGTCTACAGGGCATCTATACCATGCGGTCAAAAAATAGCCTTTTGGTGTCCCCCCCCTCTCCGATTTTTTTTGTAGGTGTTTTGTTCCCGTAATTGCTTATTTAGTCTGCTGATCTGGTATGGGGCACTTTGCTTCTTTCTTTTCTTCAACCATGCACAGAGAAAGAATTAAAAATCCGAGGATTGTTCGATCTGTTGCAAAACACACTAACATGCATGTAATATGTTCCTCGGGAGAACAAGGCATGGTATGGAGGATGGGAAAGTGAAGGAAGATAAAGTACACATAGACGACTGCATTTTGGACAAGGTATGGGGAGGGGGGAGAAAGAAAGAACTAATCTATCGATGGTCAAGCAGTTGGATTCTATGGTTCTTCCCGTTTCTTACCTGCTTTGTCTGGCAGTAGTCTCCACTCGCGAATGTTGCGTGTGAGTAATTGTCTAGATTGACCCTAGCCTCTAGCGTTATTCTAGAGTTCTAGGGGTCCTACAGGAGTAGTGTCCAGCGACAAGTGCGATTGGATATGACAGTCAAAGTCCATGTGGACAAAAAAAAAGAGCGGAGAAAGAAGGGGAATCCAGCCATGGAAGTGAGAAAGGCCCGAGGGACGGATGAAATTTTGGCCCGGTCGTCTTGTGTATTTGAGCTTGTGTAGCCCGTGTCTAGAACATACAAAAAAGGGACCTTTTCTACCCCGTGCGCAGTGTTGCTCTTTTTCTTCACACCCAGCTCAGCTCGCCACTAGCCAAAATACAAATAACTCGTTTTTTTTTTTACGTTGCGATTGGAACAGGCACATACGACCATGAGGGATTTGAAAAGGCAAGTAAAAAAAAAAGCGGGAGTGGTTCATGAACATACGCACATACGCACACTTTTTCCTTCTCGGCAAGTCCAATAAGTGCAGATGAGAGACGCGGCTTTTAACAGTGAGCAGCTAGACAAGTCAAAGAGAGAGACAGAGAGAGAGACAGAGAGAGAAAGAAGAGCTCAGGAACGGACGGACCTGCAACCCAATATGATTTTCTTGATCGGACTTGAACGACATGCACATTTTCTTACGGTATGACGGCACTACCATCACCCTCACAGCCCCTACAGCCTGAGTGGGTCACCTTCCCCCCCCCCCCCCCACGGGTATTTTGAATTGGTCCGATGCAGGTCACGCACTGGTGGGTTCAAGAAGGAGTCGGGTGTGGGATTCATCCTTATTCCCACGACTATCATTGGTCTGCCTGGACAGGTGGACTCACTCTTAATGGTGTCAGAACCCACTGCGCACGATCACGAATGAATGAAGGAAGGGGTCAGGAGTTCAGAGGGCTGCTGACAGTTTGTTCCAGACTTATTTTGTTATTCAGGAGTTGGAACGTCTTTTTGATGAAATGAATGCGCTTTATTACGATGATGGCCATGAATTAAGTTAACGGTGAGAGTAAACGAGAGGAAAAAGGGAATGAAAGGTATCTACAAGAAGGTGGGGTATGCAAAAGTGATGTTGTACAATTAAAAAAAAGAATGCGAGAATAGAACGAAAGAGAGACCCCAATCGATAAAAAGCCGTTTAGTGCGCGGCGATCTCGGATGAAGGAGTAGCAGCGATAGTGGAAGAGGTTCCGGACGCAGAAGAGATCTCGACAACCACGTTATAAGAGGGGGGCAGGGCGGGGGCTTCCTCGTCGTCCGAGGTAGGAATATAAGGTGGGGGACCCATGCTTCGGAGTCGGGACAGTGTTGGTGGCATGACGGGCGATCCCGATCCATTCGATCCTGGAGTACTGTTACCGTTAGCGTTGATGATCATGTAGCTCTCGGTGTATTGAGCGGGGTTTGTCCACATCTGACGGACAGGTCGCTGCTGCGTGGTGGATCGAGAACCACTGGAAGAGTTGGAAGACGAAGACGAGGATCGATTGTTGTTGGGACGAGAAGAGCGCGAGTGGTTGTGGGAGTAGTTGGAAAGACCCATGCGGAGAATGGACAAGTGTCGTCCGGTAAAGAAGGTCTGCGCATGCGCAGGAGCAGGCTCGGTAATCGTTGTTGATGTTGTTGTCTCAGCCTCGCCGCCTTCCGTTGTTCCTGCAACAGCGGTGGTAGAAGAAGAGCGAGGGGCGACAACGGTTGTTGTGGTGGTAGTTGTGGTTGTGGTTGTCATGGTGGTTGTCAGTATAGGACGCAGGAGGTTATCGTCATCGGTTGAATCCTGATCGGGAGAAGAGGCAGCAGCAGCAGCGGTGGTGAGTTGGCTACGTTCCTGTTGTTGGAGGACGGCGAGGTGCTGGATGAGGCCCTGTTCGGTGCCGTAGTGGACGCTGTCTGGGTATACGATGGGTGATTCAAGGTCCGTGTAGGGCTGGTCCAGTATGTAGGCCCTGTACTGAGGAGGGCTGACTATTGAGTCGAATGCAATAGAAGAAAAGTGATGGAGGGTTAGTCATCTGGGACTGGCGAAACAATTAATTTTTTCTATATTGGTTTGGGTAACATCTGGGCAGGGTTGTTCGTGTGCTCACAACACCCGTGCAATATGATGTCAATAATGAAAACGGTGTGCGGGTAAACGAATAACTCCCATGTACACACAAACAATCAAGAAAAGATGAGAACATACCTTCATCGCCAGAATCGGGTCGATAAGTGGCGGTGGCACCAGAATGTTCGGCCATCTCGGGATCACGACGGCGGTTGTTATGGCGACGACGGCGGCGGACAATAAAGATGGTATAGAAAAGGGCAATCACCAGACCCAAGAAGCCAACGAAATAAAAGACTGACTTGAGGGAGAGGGGGCCAAGACCGTAGCTGCCATTGCTGCAGTCCATGCCTGCGCACGAGGCGTAAGTGTTGCCGTTGCGACTACTGTTGCCAGTGGACTCAGTGGTAGTAGCCGTGGCAAAGGCGGAGGACGCGGTTCCGGTGGCGGACGAGGAGGAGACGGAAGGGGTGGAGATGGTGGAGGACGACATTGTTGAGGAAGGAATGGTAGGAGGATTTGGTATTGGAGAGGATGTTGACATGCCAGTTGAGGACAGATGTGAAATTAGAAAGTAGTGAGGGAAGAATAAGAAGAGTGGGGAGTAGAGCAGAGAGTTGGGGGTAGAGAGGCACGCAGGTACATAGGCACGCACACGAGAGAAAAGAGAGAGAGGAGTAGAGAGAGGAAAAGAGAAGGGAGTAGAAGAAACTTGATCTGAATTTGACAACAAAATGAACGGGCACCCGTTTCCTTTTTATACCTTGGCTTGGCTTGGTTCAATTGAATATATATGTATATATACATATTTTTACAATAGCGACTCACACGGAAATTCCTCCAGCCGGCTGAACGGACCAGGACATTATCGGTCTGTACTTGAACTTTTTTTTTTCTTTTTTTTCTATTTATTGTCTCCATCATCCTTCATCCTTACTCGTCAATTCGTTTTCTGCTTAACCATCCCTCACCCCCATCCACCGTTCTTCTGTCAATCCTTCTACGCTGCAACGATGTACTTTTCAGAATTCCTGTCGATTGTCTTTCCTGTTGCTTCCTTCTCTTCTTTCTATCTTTCCCTCCTCTCGCTGAAGCAGAATTGGCGGATTTGTAAAGATCAAAGGAAAATCAAACTGCGCAAAGGTACCTCTTCAGTGTTCAGTGATCATCGTCATCATGATAATCATAACCATCGTCCTCGACGTCGTATCGCAGAAATAAACATGTATTCAAGAAGGGTTTGCGAACTCGCGTTTCTCGATCCTCTTATACCTTTGTGTACCTTTTTCTATTCTCTCTCCCCTTTCTTTATTTAACTACCTATCTACTTATCTTCCCTCCCCCCTTCGCCTTCTTCGCCTCACTCATTCATCCATTCATCCATTCATATCTTTGTCTTGCCTTTGACTCCTTGTCAAAGGCATGCGATGCAGATATGTTGAAGGCCAGACGGAGGAATGGAAGAAAAAGCTGTGGAAAAAGATAGGAGCCCTTTCGCCAATGGCAAAACTGATTCTTGCCATTTGCGAAACCTAGCCAAGGCGCGCTTTTTTTTCCTTTTCATGATGATTCGGAGTATTGGCGTTTTTCCAGTCACGCAATCTTTTTTTCCCCCTCTTATTCCCTCACACGAAGCTCTTCTTGCCCAATGCTTCTCCCTTTTTGACTTCTTCCGTCCCTTCCTTTCATTACTTTGTTCACATCGGTTCAACGCTCAAACCATCAAAGACAACAACACTTGATCTGCTAGTTTTCTTGCAGTTAATTCATTAAAAAAAGATGAGGGAAGTAAGAGAAGCTATTGTGGTATTGCAACTCTAATTTATGCGGTCCAGGCACGCTTGACCAACTCGGTCAATCCAACGTCAGAGGTGTTGAACTGGTAGCATCCAACAAGGGCCAAGACAGTGATACCGCGGAGGGACCAGACAATAGCCTTGTTGGGCCACTTGCCAACGTTGCCAGGGTGCAAGTAATCAGTGACCATGGCATCGAAACCCATATGGCAATGGATTGGGACAACAACTCCCAAGAGTCCATCAGTAATAGGGTGAGCTCCGTGGATGGCCGAGGCGGCAAACAAGGGAATAATCGAGATAGTCAAGAGACGCTCAAAGTCCCAGTGGTACGATCCGTGAACCTGGTTAGGGGTGATGGTCTTGTAGACGGGGGCCTTGTAGGCTACGGTCACATCATCCGAGGTCTGACCAGCAGTCGAGGCAGCGCTGCGAGCTAATCGTTATCGATCGTCAAGGAGGAAGAAAGTACATCGAAAAAGGATGGATATGAGTGAGGGGTTATTTGATGTTTTAGTTGCGAACATGGAGGAGGAGCCGAAGTGGAAGGGAAAAGTGTAAAGGAAAGAAAAGAGTGTGCAGGAGAAAGCACCAAGTTCAAGAAGGAGAGTGAGTCAATCGTCACCATGGTTTTCGGAATACCCGGAAAACGAGGTATTTTGAAGTAGCTGAGTCCCTCCTTTCTTGCCCATGGTTGGTGGGTGCGTGGTTTGTCGAAGGCATGTCGGGGTATAGCCATTGAGAGGTAAGAGGCGTTTGATTTTCTTTCGTCCCTCCGCCACGAGTCCAATTTCGGATAATATTGGACCATGGTCTGAACCTTCAAAAACCATTATACCCTCTTCAACTGTATGAGCCAGGAAGGGTCCCCTAGTTCGTTCTCTCTTCCGGATCCATCCTTCCTATCCGAGAATCCTCTTGTATCAAGTGGTGTGAACGAAGAAGAAAATGTTCACCGTGTCGGGTTGTCTCTCGATCGCGTTTTCGAGATGACTTCCCCAGTTTTCGCCCTTTCCGGTTGTCCTGAATTAAGAGAAAACATAGACACGGATGTGCGTGCCCGGATCAAGCCAACTCCTCCGTTCTCTGCAATCCTGCTCTTGAATCTTTCAACCGTCCCGCTACTCCTAGGGGATGCCATCCTGCTGTGATCCTCCTGCTCCTGTGTGATGTTTTCTCTTCCGGGTGAAGTAAGGAGCGGGTATTTACAGGCGTGGAAGTAGACACGGGCATTCAAGGAAGACGAGGGGCGCATGGCGACGGCCAAGCGGAGGGAGGGGGTTGAGCGGCTCAAGGCCAAAGGAGAAGTGGCGAGTCTGAGGGCCATGGTGTATATAAGGGAGTTGGTGGAGTGGAGAGGTGAGGAGGTTAGGGTTGGTTGTCGACAAGTCCGAGGCGGGTTCAGCTCAGGGGAATGGAAGGACTTTTTTTTTTTTGTTTTCACACTTCCGGAGCGGAAGAGAGGGAAAGGAATTGCACGTGACAGCGCGTTTCTCTTCGGATCGAGCAGCATTCGCGAGTAAATGAATACCTTGTACGTCGATAATTTTTGCGAAGAGGTCGGGTTTTCGGACAAAACTTGGGCTGCTTTGATCTGTTGTTTCCTCACACATCCGTCCTCACATCCCCTCCTCCATCACCATGGCCTCCGCTCTCCTGTCCACCGCCTTCAAGGCCGGTCGCTTCAACTTGGCTCGCCAGGTAAGCAACCCCTCTTCCTCTCCTCCCCCTCTCTTACATCAACACCTTTCTTTTCTCATCAACAGCACACAAGTGTCATGCAACAGTCCGTTTTCCGATCGGAGGGACATGAAAAATAGTTCGGGATTATGCGCGGAAACTTCAGGACACGCCTCCGACACCTTGACTTTTCAGGGTAATCCGCTCCAAAGTTACACCGAAACAACGACATCTGACTCGGATCACCGCGCTTCGCAATCACTTCGCGCCTTCTGGCAACCCTTCACACATTGTTGGGACGCTGCTTGCGATGACAAGTCAGCAACAACAACATCGCCTACGAAATACAGAGTGCCAGCATCGAATTCAGTTGGTGTTCAGACTCGGAACCAGTGTTCAAACACAAGCACTTGCGTGCCAAACTGGTTGCCCACCGAACGTCTTGCTTCCTTATCGAAAATACTCCGTCATAGACTCGGACTATGGCTATCAGTCAGTCATCATTGACAAAAACCAAATCGCAGCGTTAGAAACTAACTTGTCGCGTTTTATTTTTCGATACACTTGCTTTGGATAATACGCAAATCGTCTAGGCTGTTCGTCCTCTTGCCACTGTCGCTGCTACCCAAATTGCTTCCGCCACCCGCATCACTTCCCTCAAGAACGGTTTGACCATCGCCACCGAGACTAACCCCTCGGCCCAGACTGCCACCGTCGGTGTCTTCATTGATGCCGGTTCCCGTGCTGAGAACGCCAAGAACAACGGCGCTGCTCACTTTTTGGAGCACATGGCCTTCAAGGTAAAAAAGCAACGCCCGGATTATGTTGTTCATTTGCAATGGGATTCTGTGGATATAGCTACAAGGGCACCCAGCTCAGTATACCCGGACAGGCGCAGGACATGTTCTGGATCAACTTGAATACTGCTCCATGCGACGACTTGATCGAGGATGTGCTGTCGAATTGAGCTCCTTTGACACGTCAGAGAGCTGCTAGATGTCGCATCCGTATATGTCTGACTGGATTCGCGATGGCCGCAGTAGAAACAGGATGAGAACGCAGGACGTATTGCTCGCCAGTGTGTCCTGGTATAGATAGGAGCATCATCATTCAGGAAGAACGTTACCATGGACACGAAACTAACGCCTCCGTTTCGCAATTGCAAACAAAACCGTTTTATCTGTTAATAGGGCACCAACACTCGCGGTCAGCACGACCTTGAGATCCAGATTGAGAACATGGGTGCTCACTTGAACGCCTACACTTCCCGCGAGCAGACCGTCTACTACGCCAAGTCCTTCAAGGCCGATATCCCCAAGTCCGTTGAGGTCCTCTCTGATATTCTCCAGAACTCCACCTTGGATAACGCTGCCATTGAGCGCGAGCGTGATGTCATCCTCCGCGAGCAGCAGGAGGTTGACAAGCAGATGGAGGAGGTTGTCTTTGACCACCTTCACGCCACCGCCTTCCAGGGTATGCATCTTGATTATATGGATAACGTTTATTACTTACCTGAAAGAAAGAAGGACGTCGTGCTAATGAGACCAATTTCATCTATCGTTACAAATTTCATAGGTGACGCCCTCGGTCGCACCATCTTGGGACCCAAGGAGAACATCAAGTCCTTGACCCGTGATGACCTCGCTAACTACATCAAGACCAACTACACCGCTGACCGCATGGTCCTTGTCGGTGCTGGTGGTGTTGACCACGACGAGTTGGTCAAGTTGGCTGAGCAGCACTTCGGCAAGCTTCCCGTCTCCGCCAACCCCGCTGGTTTGGGCAAGACCTACGCTTCCGCCCCCAACTTCACTGGATCCGATATTCGTCTCCAGGACGATACCATGACCCAGGCCCACATTGCCATCGCTGTTGAGGGCTGCGGCTGGAACTCCCCCGACTACTACACCATGCTCGTCATGCAGTCCATCATCGGCACCTGGGACCGCTCCCTCGGTGCTTCTGCCCACACCTCCTCCAGATTGTCGAGCATTGTTCACCAGAACAAGTTGGCCAACTCGTTCATGTCGTTCAACACCTCGTACACCGACACTGGTCTCTTCGGTATCTACTTCATCACCGAGAACAACGACTGCCAGGATGATTTGATCCACTTTGCCCAGAAGGAGTGGGCCCGTTTGACCACCTCTGTCACCACTGCCGAGGTTGAGCGTGCCAAGCAGCAGCTCAAGTCTTCGCTCCTCTTGAGCTTGGACGGCACCACCGCCATTGCCGAGGATATCGGACGCCAGATGGTTACTCAGGGCAAGCGCATTGCTCCCCAGGAGGTTGAGAAGGCTATCAACAAGATCACTGCCGCTGATGTTCACCGTGTCGCTGGCCAGTACCTTTGGGATCGCGAGGTTGCCATGGTCGGTATTGGCCCCATCGAGTGCATGCCCGATTACTCCCGTGTTCGCGGCCACATGTCCTGGAACAGATTCTAAACTAATACTCCACATAACCAACACTCACCCCCACCACCCTCCTCCCTCTCCTCCCCCTCAAACACGAAACAGCCAAACCCTTTTTTTTCTCGGCACCCCCAAAAAATACACAATGCATTACGATTATTGAAGATGATAGAGAGCGATGATGAGTGCGAAAGATGTGCAAATACAGAGACCTTTTTTCAGCTATTTAAACCAAACGGTCAGTCAATGTGGGGTATGTTTTATTTCTGTGGTTCGTTGGATTGTTTGGAAGGTCGTTGAAAATATGGGGTGGAATGCGGGATGTCAATTTGACTGTTGCCATTTGAAAAAAAGTATTGACCGGTTTCAATTCGACGATGAAGAAGAGTCGCTCTATTTGAAGTTGGCCATGATCTGGGGGAGGTAGTTGACGGCGAGGGTGGCGACAGAGAAGAGGATCATGGAGGTAGGGGTGCCCATGAGAGCACTCTCAGAGGCGCGCTGGTTGAGGTAGGACTCGACCGAAAAGATAAGACCGACCCAGAGACAGGTACGGTTGGCGATCATGAGGCCGACGGCAGCGAGGACGAGGGCGATGAATCCTGCAATATCGGGATCGTCGTCTGCGATACGTTTGACTTCTGGCTTGTATTCGATGATCCTGTCTGACCTCCGGGGGTCTGCGGACAGTGTTGCTGAGGCTACTGTTGCTGCTGAGGACATTTTTTGAGGGAGGGGGTTTTGATGGAAGAGAGTGATGGAGAGTGATGGAAAAAAAGCAAGACGGAGATGATGATGAGGGACGTTTTTTTATTTTTCAGGCACAGAAGAGGAGTGGGTGGTGACACAGAGGGCCTTTAGGAAAAGCACTGCGAGTTACCAGTGATGAATTGGAGTGGGAAATCGAAAGACAAGCCACCGTGGATGTTTGCAAGGGAAGATCAGGAAACCTCGTTTCTTCTTTCAACATTCGCCATAAAGGGAAAAAGCAAGGACCGTACATTCATTCATTGCTCACCTCATTCATTCTTACACTCCTCACTCGCACACTCCACTCTTTCACCTCAGACGGCTTTCACTACCACGATCACCTGCCTGTACTCCGCTCAGTTCCTTCTCGTCTTCTCCTCCATTCTTACAAGGGCTAGGACACCGTTCAACCTTCAGCACTGAGCCAACGTTCATCCCGCCACCAAAAACCAACAACCCATCAACCTCCTCGCAACACACGCTCTCACAACAGGGAATGGAACAGTGGTCATGAGTTCAAGGCTGATCTTAAAGTATTGCTCCCCTCCGGTTCACCCAAGAGGTAAACTAACTTTCAGCCTGTGTGCGAAAAAAAGAGTTCACGGTCCTCAGCGCTCGCCATATCTTTTATCTCCCCACAACCAGCTAACGACTCAACGGTTTTTGACAACCATGCATGAAATAATTAGGACCTGGAAGTCACTCAACGACAAGACAGAAGGCAACCTTTTGCACACTACACCAAGGATGGAGGGCGACACCAGGAGGGGGAATCGCGCAGAAGACGCCAGAGTCTGGGGTCATTATCACCAACAGAACGAGAACCGTAGCTATGCAGCAGCGCTGGAAGTCATCTTCCTCTTCACCCAGGATAACCAGCAGCAAGTGCCTTAACACCAGATCTACAACATCAACTCTTTGTTCAAAGGATACCCCAGTGATCAGCAAACACCATTCTCGACACGACTCCAGTCCAACTGCTCACTCAATACCCTTGCCTGGAACCCGCCTCCACTCTACCTCCGCCACAACAACCCCTACTGCTGGAAAGCGGTTCTCGTCCACATCTGCCTCCACAGCAGAAGCGTCACTACCATCACAACCACCAATAGCAACACCAGGAGCAGGGTCAGGATTCGCAGAATCAGCAGCCTTCTCCAGTCCTTCATCCGCTTGGAACTTCCCACAAGCGTCTGGAAAGAGTGCGAGACGTGCTCGAGCCAGCCATCATTACGGCCCATTACCCCTCCCAATCGCGCTCAAGGCGTTCCGACCTCAGCCAGTCAAGGCAATAACAACACCTTCGACACTACCTGCCACAGTCATCCCTCAACAGTCCATACCACCACCGCCCGCCATCTTGGGATCACAGCCACTCTACTACCTAGCCAGGAAGTTCCCCATCCTTGCGGAGCATGAACTCAAGGCGATCCCTAACAAGACGGCATTGGATTATTCGAGCTTTCTTGTTGGAGCCATGACGACTTCATATCCTTCTGCGACGACTTTGAGGGCGGTTGTACGTCAGTTCAGGAAGTTTTTGAAGGCTTCGGCCCAACAGGTCAAGGCGGAAGCATCGTGGAGGGCAGGAGGCGCCAACAGCAGCAGTAACAGCAGTCGGCATTCGATCAAGGTCGAGTTACCTAGAGCAAGGATATGGGCTCAAACGATCCGAGGACTCATCTGGCTCAAGCAATATCGTCGTGCTCGTGTCGCGATTCATGCAATGCAAAAGCTCGGGATCCGGCCGACTGGGTTTGCATGGCGCGGTATCTGTCGTGGATGGATTGAGCAAGGAGAGCTGGCTCGTGCTGAGGCATTGGCAGTCAAGGTGTTTACCCGACCCGAGATATCGCACGACTACAAGCTGGAGGAACGGCCATACTACTTTACAGACATGCAACTGTCAGGAGAGTCTGAGGCAGGTGCAACAGGGGCGGCGAGTAACGGATCTCGTCCTACTGGTGGTACGGCGGCGCGTCGGAAGCATCGGTCACCCATGTCACCCAACTCGGCACCTCTTTTTCTGGTGATCGAGGCGTTGGCAGAGTGCGGAGAGATGGAGCGAGCACGGCAATGGTTTGACCAGATCCCTGAGCACGAGATGACTGATTTGTTGACCAGCGATATGGTTGCGGGATACCTCAAGGTCGGACAGCAGGACAAGGCTCAGGAGGTGATCCGGATCATGGCTCGGTGTGGTGTCAAGCCGACCGCGATTGTGTTCAACCCGATTGTAGAGCATGCAGTTCGACATATGAACATGGAGGCGGCCGAGGAGTTGGTGCAGGATATGACCAGGCTAGGCATTTATTCGAACCTGTTCACCTACAAGATCTTGATCCAGGGGTACATTGCTGCAGGACAGAAGGACAAGGCCCTCGAGTGCTTGGACCGTATCAAGACGTCTGGTGTTGAGACGGATCGGGCGATGGGCCGGATCTTGTTGGAGGGCCTGTGGCAGTTGGGAGAGCTCCGGGAGGGTGATCAAGGACCTGTCGCTATCTGTAACACCACTCGTGGAGAGCAGGACAGCATCCAGGGTGATCTCCGGATGGCAGCCCTTGATTTTGTGGACGAACCCGGCTGGAGTCAGAGATGCATGGATTGGATCAAAGACGGCAAGTTTGAGCAGGCCGAGGAGGTCCTCCACCATGTTTTGAGCCCTGAGACAGCACACGACACGAGGATACAGGCCGAGGCGGTCCAGGTGGTGCGGGCGTTGGCTGATTGTCAGGATATGACACGAGCACGACACTGGTTTGACCAGCTCATCCGTCCGGAGCGTGTTGCTCTTCTACGCGGAGCAAACTCTCTAGGCGGGGACGCGGGTCTCAACGAGCTGATGGATCATATGGTCTCGGGCTACATCCAAACCCATCGGCCGACCGATGCCGAGGATGTGATTGGGATCATGTCTCAGCAAGGGATCTACCCAACCGTCAACACCATCAACCTGATCTTGCGCTGGTCGACTCTTCAGGCAGAGATGGACGATGCCGAGAGCCTTGTACAGAAGATGGCTCTCTCTGGCATCCCGCCCAACCAAGAGACATTCGAGATTTTGTGTCAGGGCTATGCCTCCCGGGGTGCTCTGGTGCCCCTCCAAGAGTGTTTGACGAGGATGGAGGAGGCTGGGTTTGCGGGATTGGGTGGTGCTAGTCCTCTGGTGACCGAGTTGCGGGAGCACATGCTTGGTCAGGGACCTACTCAAGAACTATCATCGTCGTCAAGTGGTGTTTTCGCGACCATGTGCGCACAGTGGATTGACCAGGACCAGATGTCCCGCGCGGAGCAGTTAATCGGCCATCTTCAGTCGAACCCACACGTCCATCCAGAGATGATTCCTTACGCGACGCTTATTGAGGGATGGATCGGTCAAAGCCAACGGAACTCAGTCTCGATGTCTGCTTTGCAGGCTATGAACTCTTCTGGTTCCGGTGCCAAGGCTCGCAACAGCAACAATACCCGCTCCAAGGATGCAGGGTCGGATGCCTCTTCTGCAGCCAGTCCATCGTCGTCGTCGGTCCCGTCGAGCGAGAGTCTCCATCATGAGATCCAGCTCTGTGAAGAGAACATATCCAAGATGCGCAAAGCCCGTTATTGGTTTGACAAGACGCCCGAGGAGTTCCGCACCGTGGATCTGTTGAACAAGATGGTGGGCGGGTATATGGCCTTGGGGCTGGAGCAAGAGTCCGAGGCTATGATCCAGTGGATGGCGGCTCACAAGATCAAGCCTAATGTGGTCACGTACAACCATATCTTGGAACATACGATCCAACATCTGACTATGCCGACGGCCGAGGGACTGGTTCACAAGATGTGGAAGGGTGGGATTGGAGCCAGTGTTGAGACATGGAATTTGTTGGTGAGGGGGTATGTGATTCGGGGCCAGTTGGGTAAAGCGCTGGAGTGTCTTGATCGGATGGCTGAAAGCAAGTTGGTGGATTCGTCGAGTTCACCGTCGTCGGAGGCCAAGGGTGCTGGTGGTGGCAAGTCCAAGACACGCGAGATTATCGAGGTGTATGATCGCGAAATCTTTGATGTGGTTGTGCATACGGAGAGGCAGGAGGAGGAAGTACAATCAACAGCAACAACTGACACGGACCCTCTTGTTCAGGGAATCATTACTCCCAACGACTCTAATCACCACACTCATAACAACATCAGCCAACGGACACAAAAACAACAGGAGGACGACACCACAGAGCTGTCAAGTCAGTCGATTACAGCGACAAAATCACAACGCACCAAGAGTTCAACTAGAGGAGGAGGAGGCGTTGGTGTAGAGCCCAATGCGCTAACGAAACAGCTGATTCTGTCAGGGTTTGGACCAGAATTGAAACCACCTCAGGGACAAGGGGACTACGCGCGAGCCCTAGAGCTGTACCGGAACCGGGTCGCACGGCAGAAGGAGCAAGAGGATCAGCTCCTCCAGGGTCTCTCCTCCCTACGGATAGCCGGAGAGATAGAGGTGGATGAGGATGATGATGAGTGGATTCTCGATCACCTAGAGTCATTCCAGGGGTTGAGCTCCTCGTCGTCAGAGGGAGTAGAAGGTGTGAGTGGAGGAACAGGAGGAGGAGTGGGGATGACGGATGTGGATTGGAAGAATGAGTTGAAATGGGAGGAGTTGATGGAGATGGAGAAGGGTCGGGAGCGTGAGCTTTCTGGACGTGCCTGGTCATCCTCTTCCTCCTCTTAGCTACCCTTGGTTACGTATTATTATTTTTTTGCATTCAAGCATTTTCTTATTTGATTTTAGACTCATTTTTTCATTAAAACTTGTACAGTAACTAGTGGTTCCGCAACCAAGTATTGGGATAAGGGAAGGGACTAGACAGCGTAGATGGGATGGATGATGATTAGATTGAAAGTTGGATTGGGACCTGAAAGCGCGCTAAGAGAGCAAGAGAGCACAACAAAACGTAGCGTTCTCGCTGCGGTTGACCGTCAACCATTTCTTTTTTTCCTCCTTCCTTCCCTCCTTCCTTCCTTCCTTCACCGCCGTGCGCGCCCGCCGCCATCAACAATGGAGAAGCTGAGCGAGATACAGACATTTTACGCTGTTCTGTGTACTTGTACGCCTTATTTCGGTCCGATATATTGGATGAGCAAAAATGCCCAGCTCATGGTTGAAAGCAAAAACAAATAGGTTACACAGGTCAATTGGAGACGAAGGAATGAATGAAGGAAGAACAAAAGTGAAGGAAGGAAGGAAGAGAGGAGGTGGCATTTGCACATGGAGTTCTTGTTTGGTTTTTTGCAAGATTTTTTTTTATTTGTTGTTCGGCATGTTCCCCCTTCATGAAGGGATGAGGCAGAGTAAAAAAGCGATATGGGGTTAGTGTAGAATGGGTTCCCGAAATTCTCCTCCTTCCCTCCTCGGACAATTCTTAGTGGCAGAACAACGCGTCAGTCGAACGTGAGGAAGCGTGTGTTTGTTTTTAGTTGGCGAGTGAAGGAAGAGGAGAGAAAAATAGAAAAAAAAACGTGCCAATTAGAAAAAATAGAGGGAAGGGAATCCAGGCTGTTGTATTATTTTTCTTTTTTTTGGGCGTGTTGAGGAATGATCTATGCAGGACAGGGTTTTAGTCTTTCAAGACGAATGGGATGGCGACTAGCGCACGAGAAAGGAGAAGAGAAAAGGGGGGGGTCCCAATTATGTTGACGAGGTGGACGGCATATGAGGGGGCAGTAACGAAACGAGCATGGACAAAAAAGAAAAAAAAAGGGTGTTTGAACGTGAACATGAACGAGAACGGGATTGCCTCTGTTTGACACAGCCTCGTCTTTTTTTGTTATTTTCTTTGCGGCATGGTTTATGTTTTGGTGTTTGGCATTGTGGTGTGTGAAGTGAAGTGGAGGTGAAGGGGCAGTTGGACAGCAAGGAGACAATGTTTAGCAAGAAGACGAGGAAGAAGAACGCACAGAATAATAAAGAAAAGAGGGTGTGTCGATGAAGATGGCTGTTGTTGTTGTTGTTGTTGTTGTTGTGTATGCAAAGTTGAGTTTTGTATTTATGAGAAAGAGAGAGGTAAGTACGTTGGTGGAGAACAACAACAACAACAACAACAAAAAACAAAAGAGGAGAGAAGAGAGAGAAAGAGAGAGAGAGAGAGAGAGGGCGGTGCAAGGTGCAAATACACAAATACACAAAATTGAACAGAGCTGAGCAAAGAGAAAAAACGAGAGAGAGGAGAGAGAGAAGAGTCGAAAAAATGTGAGCTCCCGTTCGTTTACTGCCATCATTGCCATCAAACACACCTGTTTTTTAGTTTCTGTTTTCGACACTACAGACCTTCCCACCGCCGCATCGTCCCCTCTCCCCCTCCTTGGTCTCTTGTTTTCCCTTCCCTTCCCTTCCCTCTTTTTTTTCCTCACTTTTCCTCTTTCCTCTTTTCTCTTCCTCCCCCTCTTCCCTCGACCTCCTTTCCCTTCCTCCTCTCCTCCTCTTCCTCCCCCTCCTCCCTCACCTCCGCCTTCACTTTTACTCAATCACTCACACTATTATTTTCTATTCTCATCTTCGCCCCCTTTCTTCACTGTCTCTCACTCCATCCTCCAAGTCGACTCTTGACTCTTCCGCCCTCCTTCATCTTATTCTCTCATCACTCCACCAAAACAAACAAGCAACCACACTCACACAAACAACAACCAAGCAAGGATGAACCTCTTTGGAAAAAAGAAAAAGGACGAACCCGCTCCTGCGACCCCTCCACCAGCCTCCGCCAACAGGGCCCGCACTGCCAACCGAGGCTCGTCCGTTAATGGTATCCCTGCCCAGAGCAGGCCTGGACCTCCCTCCCAGGGAAGTCAGACTGGCCAACAGCAGCAGGCTGGTGGTCAGCAGGCCGTTCAACAACAACCACCAGCTTCGGCGCAGGTACAACAACAGCAGCCGCCGCCACAACAGCAGCAACCGCCGTTGTCTACAACACCAGGACCAGCCGCTGCTGCCGCCACGGCCATCCAGGCCCATGCTCAGGCGCAGGCCCAGCAACAACTACAGGCGCAGGCCCAGGGCGGTCAGACCGGCTTCAATTTGAACATGCCCAACGGAAGCAATATCTCCAACGTTTCCAACGCCAACCTCAACAATGCCCCCTCTGGAAACAGCCCGAGAAGCAGCAACAACAACAACAGTATGGACCTGCAGCAACAGCAGGCACAACTCCAGCAGCAACATCTTCAACAACAACAGCAGCAGCAGTATTATAACATGCAGCAGCCACAGCAGCAATACCAGCCTCAAGACTACCAGCAACAGCAGCAGCCACAGCAGATGCAATACAACAACAACCAGCTGGATTCAGATTCTCTCTCGCTCACCTCGGGCATGCAGCAGAATCAGATGCAGCTGCAGTCGGGTTCCTATGGCGACAGCTCGATGCTCCAACAAGGCGGGTCGTACAACAACAACAACGACTCGATGCTCCAGCAGGCGTATAGCGGCGACAATATGCTGATGTCACAGTCCATCAACTACCAGCCGCAGCAGTTCCAGATGGACCCTAACTTGATGAACCAGCAGGGTGGCCACAACGGTATGGAGAACGGCGGCGGCTACGACGGAGGATACGGTGGTATGGACCCACTGCAGCAACAGCAACAGCAACAATATTACCAACAGCAGCAGCAGCAGCATATGGCCAATCAGCAAGGAGGCGGTGACATGAACCAGGATGGCGGCTATGGATATGACAACAACGTGAATGCCTTGACGAGCGGCATGTTGAACCTCTCCGCTATCGAGGGCAACGACAACAATAGCAATAACAACAACAACCACAACAATGGCATGGACAACAACACCAATATGAACGGAAACGGAAACGTGAACGGAAACGGCAACATAAACGGCAATGGTAACGGACACCCCAACGACGGCAACAACAATAACAACAACAATAACGGAAACAATAACAACTCTGGGGATTTACCCTTGTCCGCAGATATCCGCGTTCTTCAGGACCAGGTTATGAGCTGGAAAAAGTCCCAAGAGTCGGCACAGGCCAAGATTAGAGAACTTCGATACACCTTGACCCAAAAGTCGCAGGAGAACCGGGAAATCCATCAATCGTACACCCAGGCCAGCCAGGATCGATTGAAGCTCCAGGAGGTTGTCCACAAGCGCGAGAAGGAGATCGATGAGCTCCGGTCCAAGTACCTGAACGATGTCCGACAGATCCGCGCGACCGACGACGACCATTCGACGATCGAACAACGCGTCCGTATGCTCCAGGCTGCCATCCTGCAGCTCACAAAGTCGTCCGCCGGTGACCGTGCCGTCAACCTGAAGGTGGAGGAAGTTCAGAATCTCGTCAAGAAGAGGTACAAGTTTGGCAACAACGAGTCCTATATCCTCAACATGTTCCTCGAGAAGTACATCATGGACCTGCTGCTCCAGGAGGTCTTCAATGACCCACCCTTCTATGTCGGCTTCCAGCTCGCGCCCCAGTTCAGCGCAATCTACAACTGGATGATGGAGAACAACTTTGCGGACCAGGCCGTTCGGTTCCGTCAGCAGGTCTGCTACATCTCCGCCAAGGCCCCCGTTGCCCTAGCCTTTGCTGCTCAAGAGGCCCAGCGTATTGCCAAGGTCTTTGAGTCCAAACTGGAGGTTTACTACAATGTCTGGAACGGACAGCAGAAGGTACTTTGTCATATGCCGTACTGGATGCATGGACTCCTTTTTTTTGTCAAATGCTTTTGAGAATCTATCTCTCCTCTTTGCCCACCACAAGTTCACTCTGTTATTTTTTTTGTCAACTCACCGCCCACATCCACACACCCACACCCATACATTGTACCCCCCTTTTTTAGGTCCTCGATCTCGTGACGAAGGCTATCGAGCTCAGCTTGACGATGCGGAGCCAGCACGCCGAGATCAAGGCACAGGTCATTCCTCAGGATACCAAGTACGATGCCGAGAAGATGTCGCCGGCTCACAAGAGCAAAGAGTCTGGCTCGGTCCGCGTCTGTGTCATGCCATGCTTCATCGACTCTAATGGCGTTGTTGTCGGCAAGGCCAAGGTGTTCTGCACGTAATCGGGTACAATGGGCGAACAGGATTCTTTCATACACACCACCACATACCACTTTTTTTTTCTTCATTCTCTTATTTACTCTTTTCTTCCTCCCCAACCTTTTCTTTTCTTTCTATCCGTTTTGTCGAAACTTTGTTAGTAAAATGACGATCGACACTAATACCAGGCTTGCTTCATTTTATTTTTTACCTTTTTAACCATTTACACACTACTGATCCCCTTCACACACGACTACTTGCTTTTTTACCTTTTCCAAAAGGCGAGATGGCGATAAAAGAAGCAGCAGCAGCGACAACAGCACACAATTGGAAACAGATATCTGGCGACGAGAAGAGAAAAAAATGGGACAACGAGGGGGATATCACGGGAATAATAAAACCACTTTTACTCGACTGCAAAACAAACAATCGAGACCCTTCTTTACGGATTGACACACGATACATGTCAATTGGCAGGGTTAGTGATAATGGCAAGGTGTGTTTACGCCACACTGTTCCTCGAGTTCTCCCTTGCCAATTTTTCGATCAAAAAAAAAAAAAAAAAAAAAAAGGAAAGTGGAAAAATAGAAGGATAGACGAGAGCACAACACTAATAAGCAATTGAAGGATGACCAAGATTGCTCTCTGGTTCCATTTCTTTTTTCACTGCCACTCTTTTTTCACCTAGCCTTTAGATGGTTTTACTTTTGAGCGCATCGGTTTTATTTTGTTTCTGCGATGGTATCTGGTAATTTCGGTGGCATGCATAGTGCTTTGATTCCTTCCATCAAGGGCATCTGCAGTGTTTATTTTCTCTTATCTGGCGCCCCAGTTAATGGCTGCACGAAACGGTCAAGGCGGCATTCGTCTTTTTCGACGCGAGAATTGGTGGCGTGTTGGAGAATGAGAAGGTCGCACGATTATACTCGCTTCTGAGCGTCATCCAAGGGGAGGTGAATGGGGCGCGACCAGCCGGTCAGTCCCCACCCCCTGGAACGTCTTTTTTTTTTTTTTTTCATTTTACCCTCTTTGTAGACCAACTTTTTCGCCTCTTGTGTCCTCTTCTCACTTCATTGTCCCAACACATCTAATAACAAACACGACATGGCATCAAAGAACGGACAGATCCTCTACCTCGGCGGATCCTCAAGCAACGCAGGCGGATCCCTCAGCACCAGGTAAACACCCACCACCCACACTTATACATGACATTCACCCCCCCCTTTTTTGTGTTTTTGCTGTGCAGTTTTTTTTTTTGTTTCTGCAGATTGCCCTAACCAAAAAAAAAAAAAAATAGATTCCAGAAACTGGCACAGTCCCGTAGCAGCGGTATCACAGTCGTCAACCCCTCCTCAGGAATCGAGACGCGTCAAGGGCGGAGTCTGGGACTAGGATTCGACACCGGATCGCATCCCCATGGACCCGGCAACCATCGTATCAGCACAGCAGCAGCAAGAGGATCATTATCAACGGGACGCGGCGCAGGGAGCAATAGCAGAGGAGGAAGAAGAGGAGGAGGAGGATCGGGATTGGTACCGGGAGGACTTCACACCGCAGGCGGGCTAGCAAGAGCAATGCAGGAACGTGGAACGGGTGTTTCGGATGCGTTCTTGTTAAACCCTGCGGCTAGCATTGGAAGAGGAGGAGGACCTGTCGGATCACGGAGGGGTCGGAGACAGACTACTGCTGCTGGAGCTGAAGGAGTTGTGATTGGTGGAACGCGTGCGAATCGGCATAAGGCTTTGGTGTTGGGTGGTCGGCCGAGCAGGAGGCAACAACCTGGTGCGGCAGCAGTATTACCTACGACACAACAGCAGAGACAGAGGGGTGGTCCAGCACAAGCAAGAGGAGGAGCAGCAGCAGCAACAAGAGGAGGCAGGTCAAATGCGGCCAAGGCAGCCAAGACAGCAGCTAAGGCTGTAGGAGGAAATGCACAAGCAGCAGGAGCAGGAAAGGAGAAGAAGGGAAAGAAGGGCGGCAAGGCAAAACCGGCGCCGGCCAATGCTGGCGATCTGGATTCGCAATTGGACGCTTACATGATGAAGGACAACAAGACTGCAGCAAGTGTGCTTGATAATGATCTGGATAGTTATATGGCCGACAAAGCTACCGAGAACTCTTGGTAGCCTCTCTTCACACGAAGTTCCCTTGCCTGCCTTTGACGCCTTGTGTAGCTGGTTTTTTTATTATTTCTACAAGGGACAGGTCTCTCGACATTCTTTTTAATATATATTTTTCTCACCTGTTGTCATGATAAATCAGCATTCACTCGTGTGCTGGGTAATTGGTTGTATTGACAGTGTGTTTACTCAAACAAAAAGTGGAATTAAAGCGACGACAAAGTGGCTAAGAAAAGATAAGGGTGGAGGATCCATGGGTAGAATGAAGACCAACGTTTCCGAGTGAAAAGTCGTCTTCGCTGTCGGGGAATCCCTTGTGGCCGAGTTTCTTGAACGGTTCTGAGTGAGAGTATCGGATGACGGACTCGCTGTCGTCCTTTTGAAGGATGGTGGCCTTTCGTGAGTGCGATGATGTTACTGCCACGTCTCCGAAGAACAAATCCGCCTAGTTACGGGAGAAGATGCGGAAGATAGATACAGAGAGAGATTGATAGCCATAAGATGCATGAGTGCGTGTTACTTGTTGTCATGGTGTTTTTTTTTGGGCCGTCACTTGCATATAAAAAATGGAGAAAAGGAAACTTACGACTTCGAGAATGGTGTCGGCATAACTGTTAGCATAAATGGAAGCAAACTGGTAATCGTTCAAATCAACCCGTCCCGTCACGGACCCTTCCTTAGCATCAGCCTCCACACATATCACTCCAATCCAATACCCATTTTCTCCTTCCTCCTCATCATCCAGCTCTCCCTGTCGAATATCCACATGGACATCGCCCTTACTGTGCGAGATTGGACTAAAGAAATAGACGAGCTCTTCTGTTTCTGGGTATTCCCAGGGCTCGTCCTTGTTGGTGGGGGTGATCATGGTAGCAACCGCGGTGAGGGAGACGTCGCCCTGTTGGGTCTCGAGGCGGGCGCGGATGGGTCTTCCTGAGACTGCGGATTTGAGGGGTCCGACGGAGATGGAGCCCTTGTGGGTGATCTGTGCGTTGAGGGTCGAGACGCGCAGGACGGGTTCGTCGTCGCCTCGTCTCTTCCTACCTCCACTTCCTGCATGCGGGGACCTCCTGTCACCGTTTTCCTTGCCACCATCATCGCCATCACTGGCAGAGCCAGTGAGGATAAACTCGCCCGTATGCGCAGTGAGATGTAGCAACGAGAACTTTGCCTGGGCAAGCGAAACGCCGGACTCGACACGAAGCTGCGTCCCCTCAATACTGAGCTCTCCATCAAATTTCAAGGGCACCGTGATCTTGAGCCGGAGTTGGGCTAGTTCGATTGGATGACGTTTAGATCTGCCGACTCGGAAGTGGATACGGGTTCCTGTCTCGCCCTTAGTGCTTCCAAACATCAATCCTGGCTCTTCCAAATCATCTTCATCGTTATCACCGTCTTTGGGGTGGTCCTTCCTGTCCTTGTTCTTGCCGTCATTGCGGAGGATATTGACATAATGCCTGTCATTCCCGTACTTGTCATCCTCACGCTGACGCTCCGTAAAATCCACCCCAAGCACTTGAATCGTCACATCCTTGACACTCGCCTCACTCTCCAACTGCACAAAACTCACCAACTCCCCTGCATCACCACCACCACCACCATCACCCCCTGCAACCCCTTCGCTTCCAAAAGCAGGATACCCCAACGAAAGGAAAACCCGCTTATCGGCAACAACAATCTTGGAAGGGATCTTGTACTTGTTATCAGGATCACGAGCGAACAAAGGGAGCCAGAGGGCGGCGGTGAGGGCGATGGCGATGAAGAGGAGGGAGCATACGATCCCGCCCCAGCGTTTGTATTTCAGTCTCCTGTCCCTTGCGTCCTGACCCACCACCACTATTCTTGTTGTTTTTTTTGTTTTGTTATTAGGGAGGATGATAGGCAAATAGAGGGAGAAAGTAGGACGAAGGCAGGTGTTGTTGTTAGAAAGAGGAGGGTATGCGTGCTTGTGTTTGCCTGTGTGAGTCTGCCTGCCACAGAGAGGGAATAGTAGCATGAATGAACTGTCATGTGTGTGTGTGTGTGTATTTTACGCTGTTCGGTATCGGCCACCGGGGCCTCTGGGACCCTGCATGCTGCTGCTGGTCTGTCTCTGTCTGTCATGGTTTCCTGTTGTTCTTCTCGCTTCAGTAAGGATGGGGGAGGAGGAGGAGGGGGGGGGGAGGGGGGGGAGAAGGGTAAAGTCGAAGGGAAGTTGAGGTAAAGGGAACAGAGGATAAGAGAAAAGGTAAAAAGAAGAGAAGGAAGGAAAGTAAACGGTCACTTTTTATGCCCACAGCACAAAAAAAAAATGCGCCCTCTCCCGCAATGCTCGTGCTGGTTTCGCTTCCTTCTTGGGTTGTTGAGGAAAGGAGGGGCATATGAGGGCAGTGCGCAAGTGAGAAGAAATTCTGGAGTTTCCACAGGCCCAAGCGCATATAAATAACGCAATGGTGATGGTGTATGAGTTTGCCCCAGATCATGCAGAGAAGGAAAACATGGAGGCTGTTGTTACCGCCTCACCCCTCTGGTTCCCCCCCCCCCACCCCCCGTCCATCCATCATCCATTACACATCCTTGTCACCGTGTGTCTTTTTTTATTTTGAATGCAATAATATGTAGATTGTTTTAATGGTATGAAAAAATAACGAGAAAGTAGTTCTATGCTAACGGGGACGCGAAAAGGGGGAGGGAAAAAAAAACAAACTAGGGAGCCCAGGTCTCGCGATGGAAGTCAACCGCCCATTTGGCAGCCTTGGCCTGTTTCTCGCAATGCTCAACAAACGCCTCGGGTCCAGCACCAAACACTGCAACATCACCTGGATCACCCCCAACGCGTCCAACGCCGCCCGCCATAAACTTTGCAATCACCTGCTTGACATTCACACGGCCTCTCGAGAAGACAACATCGCCATCATCCCAGTTTCCGTCTTCGACACTCAATTTCTCGTCCTCAAGGTCCAGCTCAGGGTAGGGCAGGTTCTTGTCCTTCTTGCCATTAGAGGAGGAGGAAGCAGAGGAAGAAGAGCCGGATTCGAGGTCCTTGAGCGAGCTGGCTTCAAGGGACCGGAAGAGGGACCGCCGAGCAAGCCACATGACGACATAGCTGACGAGCGCCATGGCCATGACGTGACCAAACTCGGGAATGGTCGCGTAGGTGCCATAACAGATCTTCATTTGTGTCTGGGTCATCTCCTGCATGACATCGCAATACCGTGCAGAGCCCTCCCAATGAATCGCGCGGAGGATGTACCAGACTCCCAGGGGCAAGACAATCATAATAACGGTGGTGTGGAGGTCGAGACGAGCGTATTTGGTCGCCAGGCTGGCAGAGTTGGCGTCTTGGAAGGTTGGCAGACGTTTGGTTTCGTAGGTCATCGAGCGTGTTGGGATCGAACGTGCAGCAGCAGCAGCAGCAGTGGTGTCCTGGCCGAGTTTGCCATCTTCAGTGATAACGTTGTGGTCCATGGCAAAGGTAACGGGGCTTGTAGGCGAGGTAGGGGTCTTTCCACCCTGACCGTTCAGGTCAATCACCGTGTCAATCGACTCGTTACGGACATGGTCGCCGGCAGACGAAAAGCTCAAAGGATTAATAGCAGGAGCAGCAGCATCAACAGCCTTCTTCTCGTTGGCAGCAGAGGGCTTTTCAACAATAGTGCGTCCAGAAAAGGCTCTCTTCAGAACAGTTCCCGTGCGTCTAAGGGACTGGAAACGCTTCTTCTTTTCCTTCTTGATCGACGGCCCAGGAACCTGGATATCGTTCTTGATGACATGGGCATGGGCTCCCATAAGGGTCTGGGGCTTATCGGGGCGGGAGACATAGATCTCAACGTGAAGCCAGGAGGTGAAGCGAGGGTCGCGAGTGATCTGATGGAGGAAGGAGCCGTAGGCGTGGAGTTCGCTGCGGGTGCGGAAGGTGCAAATGAGGTGGAGCTGGATGCGGAGGGGTGCGTTGGAGGATGCGATCTGGGCGGCGATTGCCTTAATCAGCGACATGAAGGTTGTAATAGCAGCTCCCGCTGAATAGTTCGATTGGATCAGATAAGAATAAAGGAACAAGCAATTAGTGATCAGTGAAAGCTGATAAAACGGTGATCACTACACTTTGGATCAGATAAACGAAGTGATAAAACTTACCAACGAACATAATAAGGACATCGGACTTGAGGTAGTCATGGCGACGATCTCCAAAACAACCATCCACATCAGCTTTGACCCGGATCCGCTTGTCCTCCTTCCCACAAAGCCGTCCCAACCCACCCGTCCAACTAGCCTTGTTCTCATTATACGTCCGAATAAACAACGTAATCGAGCAAGGATCCTCCGCCCAATAACTTGCAATCGTAAACGGATGGTACACCCCGCCCAATTCAGGGACACTGACAAGGATATAGTCACCGGGGTAATAGGGCTTCATGGGTTCGGGACCCGAGAAGGTCATCTTGACAATATCAGCGTCGCTGTTGAGGGTGATGGATGCCTCGGGGTAAAGAGTGCGGGCTTGGATGATCTTGGGAACGAAGCGGTCGACGAAGAAGAGGATGACGTTGGGCAGGAGGTAATACCAGAGGGCGTTGTATGGGTAGTGGACCATTGTGCCGACAAAGAAGATGACGGTCATGTAGCGATGAAGACCGATGAACCAGCCGTAGTAGTGGCGACGGACGTATGGGATCGAGAAGAACGCGAGAACCCCCAACGCTGCCTAAACATATAGAATCGAAACAAAAAAGTATGCGTTAATGAGGAAACGTCAGTTGATGGACCTATAATATCAGAGAACAGAAAAGAAAGACTTACTAAGGCTATACATCCCATGATGTTCATGGTAGACCGACCGATATCATAAAAGTTAAACTCTTCAGCCAGCATATCGAAGGAGTGGTAATACATGATGTAGCCGACAGTGTGGAGGCAGGACCAGAAAAAGATCAAGGCGCCCAACCAACGATGGAGCGGCAGAACCTCAGAGTAGGTGAATCCAAGGGATTGAAGCATCGAGCGGCGCAGGACCAAGAACAGAATGATGCCACAGCAGGCAATCGCGTTGTAACCACCGATAAACCCGATTTGAACTAGACGTTGGTTGATAAGAAAAAAAGTGGACAGGGATGAGGAGGAAAGCGCAAAAGGTCACCGAAAGGAGAACAACGCGTGCCGAGCGGCGCGGATCATATCAGTAATGTCAGTGTCGGCGAAGAAAAAAAAACTTACGTCCAATGATGGCTTCGGCAGTGTAAACAGGCTCCTTCAACTGCTCTCCAAGAGTCGAAGCAACAACAATCGCGATCCAGCCCAGCTGGATCAAAACCACAGCCCCGACCAAGACCCAGTACTTGACCGTATATCCCCAAAGGATATGAAGCTCCCAAAGCGATGTCTTCTCCTTGGGCGATTTGGCGGACGTAACTTTTTGGATACCGTGCTGGAATTCACGTTCGGATCGGAAGTAGTGACCCCAAATCGTGGCTGTGTGACCCAAGACGACAGGGAGGATACAAAAGGCCGAGACGAGGTAGTCGCGGTTGCCGTAGGTGAAGATCCATTCGCTGGCTTTCATCCAGGTGATGTAGCCTTCGCCGGCGTTGTAACCGTAGAAGACTAGGATACAGAAGAAGATGAATGCTCGGAGGGGGTCGATTTTGAGGAGCTTCATGGTTGATTGAATGTGATTGTGTGTTCAGAAGGGATGGTTGTCGGTTAACGAGGTGGCCGACCAGCGGGTAGAGATAAGTGAGTTGAAGTATGTACAATGAAGAAGATAAGTAAATGTAAATGCAGAGGAGTAAAGATCGATAAAAGCAAGGGGCGAATGTTGTGTCAAGGGATAAAAAAAACGTGTACAGTATCAAATGTACAATGAAAGAAGGTATGAAGCGACAAGAAACAGGAACGTGAAAGTAATAAAAAAAAGGTGACTACAGAACACGAATGGGACAAGGAGGAAAAATATGGAAGGAAGGGATGAAGGTGAGGATCGACAGTGCTTGGAGTGGAGGATGATAAAACCAGCAATGAAGGGTGAAGAAAATAAAATAAAAAGAAAGGATAAAGCTGCAACAACCGGGGGTCTCTTTATAGCATTTGTTGATCACGGATCGTTTTTTTCTCACCCTTTCCCTTCTTTTTGCCGTCTCCATCTCGATCTCCTTATTGTTCAGACTTTTCATCATATTCAACTTCGGCGAGTGAACAGGGTGTGTATGGCCATGGCAGTTTTTCACGGACTGACACGGAGATGAAACGTATTCTGTAATTGAGCGACTGAATGAATAGATGAACGAATACACGCTGTGAACGAGTAAGAGAGGTGAGTGTAGCAAGATATAAGTGCCTATATTGAAGCACCGAGCCGTGGGCCTTACAATACAGCATGATGCATCAACATCCATTCAATGCCGCGGTTGAACAAACAAACTGAGCGCCGTGTCAAATCTAACCTCGAAAAAAGAATACATTATAAACAAAAAAACGAGGAACCATTTACCAGGCAGTGCAAGCCATTGTTCCGCCCATCTGATAAGCCGCAGGCCTCAGGGGTCCAAGTCGAGGGTCTTATCAGATCCAGACCCCCATTTCTGCCCTTACGCCCACTGAGAAAGAAAAAATGACATACTCTACGTGTGATATAAAACAACAAAAAAAACCCGGACCCTGGTCCAAAACAGAACAGACACACAACTGAAAAGGAAAGACGACATCTTGTCCAACTGTAGCACGGCTTGGCTGGTGTGCTGGGTGTGAAAAAAGTTACCCTTTGCCCTTTTTAATGCTAAAAAGTGTTGGTGTCAAAAAGACAAACTGTTCGGGAGAAGGAGCGGAGTGTGCGTGCATCTTTTTTTTTTCCTTGTTTTGACAACTCACGCCAGTGAAAATGAAAAAAAAAGCTGGAGGAAGAGGAACGTACTCAGTAAGACATTGAACATAGCAAAGATACAAAAGAGGAAGCAGATGGGCGCATATATTTTTTTGACAGGGTTGACAGCTCGTTTGCGATCATCTCTCTAAAGGCCAGAAAACAAGATGCGAAAAAGGAGGAGGTTGAATAGAAAAGGGTTTGTTTTGAAGTGGCGCACGCTCAAAGAAAGAAGAAAGAAAGAGGTCATCAGGCTTGCGTTTGCTTCTTTTGTAACAAACATCATCGTCAATTGGATGATGGCCAACTCAAAAAAAACATAAGTAAAGGCAATCAAATGCAAAACAACATGAGTAAACAATAAACAGAAAAAAAATGTAATCAAAACCAAACGGATCCCACGGATGGTTGATCAACCGAGCGATCAGTGTCATCGCTCTAGCCTCTTAAGATAGCGATCTTACCTATTAGACCAAAGACTGCCCGTGGATAAAAAAAACACGCCCGTCGCATCTTCTTGACCTCTCTTACCCTCTATTTTTTTTGTCGTGGGCCATGCTTTTTTTTCTTTCTTGACTCTGGACAGAAGAGGAGGGTGTGTGCATACCCTGGTTGAACTCAACATCCCAATGCGTCTTTGCTCATCGACGAGTTAGGAAAGAATGTCCCTTTGGCCTATCCCTCTTTGAGCTAGACGGAGTTTATGTTCTGTTCTGAGAAACAAAATGGTCAACCGACCCCTCTTCTTCTCATGGTCCCTTCCTTTTTTCCCGTTCATCTCCCCTCTTTTTTGTTCTGATCACTTTCGGAAGCAGAGGCACAGAAGAAAGTAAGTAGAAAGGATGTAAGGGCACTCGCATGGAGGCGGACAACAGTTGAGAAGTTTTACCATATGTCCGACGCCTCATTCTCACCCATGTTCGTCTCGCACCCCCTTCATAATCCCATTCAAAGTAAGGAGTTAAGGGGTAATATAACAGTCATGGGAAGAATGCCATGGTTTTTTTTTTTTTTTTCAAGGACCACACATGTCAATTTTTCCAAGGATCTGATAACGAAAATCAAATAAGGTACGAATATGAATCAGATAAAAAAATATCTTGACTCGGGCTCCTGATTCTTGAAACCAATTATTTAGCAACCCTTCGTTCTTTTTTTTTCCTCTGGTCCCGGTTTCTCATCCATCTGCGCTTACCTTTCCCTATTTGTACTATTTGTATTTCGTGCTGACTGAACACTGGACGACCCACTGTTACCCAGTTCTGAGCAAATACAGATACCTCACACACCTCCCGTAGCTCAAAAAAGATGTCGTACTAACGTGCCATACCCCCCCACCCAGCCCGTTAAAACTCAGCAAAAGGGGGATGCCGACTATTTTCTTCTCTCCTTTACCCCCAATCAACACGCATGTGTCATTTGTTTTCTTTTGGTACACGAAAAAAAGGGTCATCTCCCTTACACACGGCTTTTCTCTCACCCCTCCCCCTGCTACCTGTCCCCAACACCTTCTCCTCGTAGATGGAGACCAGAAAACAGATCTCTTTTCTTTGAGTGGTTTTTGCCACTTACCCCAAAGGAGTAAAGGTCGAGTGGATTTATGTTCTCTCCTCTATCTTCCATGCTAGTACGATGAACCATGACGCCTCCCTTTATCGGTAAAGAACAAAATGCGACATAAATATGGAGGAGAGTATGCATCATCGCAATGATCGGGATCTGTTGTTCAATCGAGACGACTGACGGACTAGACCCTACCCTCCATATTCAATGACATGTAAAAAATAAAAAAAAACCCACAACCACGGATCAGGAAGATACACGCCGCGTGGCCAAGTGTTTTTTTTTTTCTCAATGGCGCATCAGCTTATCTTTTCTTTTTTTTTTTCTCGGTGTTTTTTCCTTTTTTTCCTCCTTGCAGCTTTGCTGTCTCAAACAAACAAACAAAAAACAAACCGGAGCATGCACACCCCCTTTTCTCCCGCAGCAAGGTAGTCCTACATCGCATTCAACCTGACAGTCTCGCACAATGTACATTATGTTGTACTCTCAACGAAAAAAGGATCTAGACTGAGGTCGAAAAAAAAAAGCCGACAAAGAGACCAATTATTGTTTTCCGGTCTAAATGCTAATCCTTTGACCATCGTACGCGATCCTGATCTTGGGGTGACTCTCACTGTCCAAAGCCCGCACCTTGGCATCCTCGGTATAATGGTCGACGGTATGGCAGAATCCGACAATGAAAGCACGCTCGGGTTTCGGGTCCAGACTATTGGTGTACTCAATCGCCTCGGGGATACTGAAGTGGGAGGGATGTGTTTTTTCTATCATTCATTCCAAAAAAGATACGTATTTGTTATTGTTTTTTTTTTTTTTTTCGAAACGTGGGAGGATGAGATCGAGGTGCTTTGTTAATGCAGAGATCATTGAGGGGTTTGGACGAAAGAAGTCAAAAAAAAAGATATGGACAAGCTGGATGTCCGGACTCTGACAAACAAAAAAAAACCATTGCCCAAATAATTACTGCTGTGTTTTAAACACGTACCTTTTAATCCGTCGATAACTAACACTTTTGATCCTGTAATCTTGGCAGTAGTGCTTTCGGGTATAGAGGAGCAATCCGAGACCCAGCTGAGGTCTCTGAAACGGAAGCCGAGCGACCAAAATGGCTCACCCGTCGACATAAATTTGCCATGGTGAACTAGACATAAAAAGAATGCGATGGTAGTTACACGTTAGTACCTCGTCGCAGATCATTCGCTAAACTCGGGACATCTCCCTTCTTTCCCCCCTGTGCTGCATGAGATATCGGATCTCCTCTTCACTCTTACAATGCAACTGTAGGATCTCTTTCCCTCTTCCATATGTTCCCACTATCAAAATCTTTTCTTCGCGTTCCTTCTTCATCACAATGCACTCGTAGGATCTCTTTCCTACCTCCCCTTACTCCTCATCCCATGACATCTCTCCTTGGCGTCTTTTTTTCACTCAATTGCACTTAATGTCATAGCTGCAGGGCGGTAGCAGTATGAATTACCTGGTAATGGGGTAAAGGTCACGCCCTCAACCACAAAGTCCTTGTCATGCTCAATAATATTGTACGTGAACGAAGGAATATCACCGCCTCCTGTAGCCTTGGAAGAGTCAACCATGTAGGGGAAAGTTTGCGCCAAAGTGTCCATAGTGCCCTGATCAAGATAGACGGGGATGCTGTATGGGTTCTCCTTGTCGATCAGGCACCATGACCGAAGGTCATCCATTCCGTAGTATGCATCCGCGTGGGCGTGCGTGATCACCTATAGTCGTCACCATTGCATGTGTAAGTACCATACCGTCAGCTTGTTAGTCAGTGGGGTCGATGTAATATTCACTGTAGCCATTTGATCACTGAAAGATTGCGATGTGAGGAAGCTGAGCTTTGCTTTTGCTTGACATACCAAGGCATCGATGCAGCGGAGGTTGTGCAATCTGTACCATTGCCTTGCTGACTCATAGAAGCTCTTTCCACAGTCAATCAGAATATTCCTACGACGAACAAAATCCAGGAAGCTGTTAGCAATTGAATCTCATGTCGATCTGCCCCACGGTGAGTATTTATCTTTTGTCCAATCCTTGTCCCTTTTTGTCTCGTGCCCACACCTCATCCTGAAAACGCAAGTATCATTACCTCTCGCGACCGTCCTCGTGCATAAAGTGGACCATAGCACTGGTGTTGCGCTTGATGTTCTTGACACCCTCAGGCTCCAGCGTTGACAAGCACACCTTGCAAGTCGGGTTCGGGTCTGTCAGACAAGGGACCGATGGCTATTGATAGGAATGGAAGGAGGCAAAGGGAGGAGTGTGTTTCATTGTGGTCAGACCTCCCTGTTGGTATTCCCTGGTCGTGTGGCTCATCAGCGTGCAAAGGCGATGCAGTAACAGTAATGGGGAATGTACCACGCCACTGGAGGTTCCTGTTCCGAGAAAGATGAGATCTGTTACTCCTGTGGTCATTTGTGTTTTTCTGATTCCTGGAATTCCTGAATGTCTGAAAGAGGTTGAAAGGCAACTGTGAAGGCAAGAACGGGGAAGGAAAGTAAAAAGTGAGGGCTGACTCAAAACAAAAAGAAGCGCAGTGGCGGCAACCGAAGGGGGAGGCAAGGAGATTTTTTAATTCCGACGTTCGCGCCATTTCGTAGAGGAATGGCAGTCTCTTCTCGTCCCTGATCTATCCGTCTGTCATACCATGCAAAAATGGGATAGCTCCTGCGGCCCTGGCCACCCCTGCAAGACCCATCACCAGAACAATCAACCACACCCCAGCAAGACCATAGTACAAGGGTAACTCTCGTCGCAATGCGTTTTCATACTGCGTAAACACCCCACTAATCGCATTCTCAACCTTTTGCATCCTGGTCGAAGAAGACGGGTCCATGAGAGTATCAACAGCCTCGGCAACCAAGGAATCCAACTGTGTCCTGCCCATCATTAGCATATCCTCCGTGATCCTTGGTAACTGGATGTGAGCATTCTCCCGCACCCAACTCAGACCCCTCTCAACAACCTCCATCTTGTTGAACAACAGACACTGCAACACTGCGCCCACAAACTTTGCGAAAATAGAATCTCCAAACGCCGCCCGGACTCCGTCTGCCAGTGTCGTCTGCACCTGGACCAGCGCGTTGTTCAAATCTGCAGCCGCTCGGATGATCTCTGAAAACACGGCTTCGTTCAAGTCATTCTCGACTACCGAAAGCGCGGAATTGGTCTCTGTCGAGAACGCCACCGAGGCTGTCTGCATCACGCCCTGGACAGAGTTGAAAATCGTCGTTGAGAGGTCCGTGATCGCGGGCGCAAGGATTGTGCGGTAGTTCTGGCGCATGTGTTCGATAAACGCGATCTGGCCAAACGTCAAGATCAATCCGAGGAGTCCAATAAAGAGACAGACGATGGCTGGTGGGTGGGTCACGTAGTGGATAAACCACAGGTAGATATTTTGCTTGGTCTCATCTGTCCTGAAAAGCTGTTTAGATGACCAGTCCAAGAATCGGTAGAGAAGCGGGTGTTGGACCATGTGACTGATTCGCATCGCTTCCAGTTTTTTCTGCTCGGGGTCTTCGTCCTTGTCGACTGGGTCCATGTCCGCCTCCTGCTGCTTTTCCGACAAGTGTGCTGGTGTCACTTTTGCTCGTCCTCCTGATGACTCGGTCGCGATCCCTGGAAGCAGTTGCTGCACTCGTCCAACATGGGTCAACCACCTCCTATGATGATACCAAATCACCACCATATTGCCCAACATCACCGCCAACGCCGCCGCTAAAAGCGCCATCGTCCCATAATAAATCCACTGCCTAAAGTCGCTCGCCAACTTGTCGACAGCAATCAAGTCCAGAGCCTCCTCGCAAAAGACTATCTTTGGCGTTGCCATAACAGGAATGGCAACCAAATTCCCGATCTGTGGATCCGCCATCTTGCTCTCAATAAGTTCGCCAAGTCCATTGAACGGCACAGCCAATAGTCCAAGTACAGCGCCGTTCAATTCGTCAATCGCCTGAACGCCCTCAGCGCCCACATCCGAGAGCAAAGGAATTCCTGAATCCGCCAAATTGACTAGAAAGCAGCGCCAAGTACCCGTAAGGAGGCCCATAATAAGTTCCAGTGACGAGATTAATCCTGTCAGGACCACGACGAGCCCATATCCAACCTGGCTGATCGAGGCTTCGATGGCATTGACGAGCCCACGGTTGATGCCTTGGGCGGCCAGATTTGGGAGCATTGCGACGGTTGAGAGGGACTTTTCTAGTGCGTAGCATTCCTGCGAGACTGATGCTTTGGCGTCAGCAGTAAACTGCTCGACTGCGGTCCTGGTCCTGTAGAGTTGAAACGCCGAGATGACGAGAAATACGACCGCGTAGGATGCGAATGCCTGTGAGAGTTTGGCCCACAGGCCCAGGTACGGTTGGACTGGTCGGGATTGCTCCTTGGTTGGAGTGTTGTCGTGGAGATTGTGTGTGGTCGAGGATGTAGAATTTGGAGGTGACTTATTGACTTTTTGTGTTGTCGTGTCTGTTGATGGCGTATCTGAAGGCATGTCTTGTACAAGTCGTTCTATGGTCGTTGTGTTGAAAGGTTGTGTTTGCTGTTGAAGTCAATGTCGAGGGTATATAAACACTTTCTGAATCCGCATCCGTAGTCCAAGCCTTGAACATCCTGGTTCGTCCACAATCGTCCTCAATTGGCAATATTCACCCACGACGGCATCTTCCACGACGTTCATAATCCATGGTTCCTTTCGAATTATCCAGCTCTTGATCGTTTTTATTCTTGTTCTAGGTATTTGTGGGTGTTATCCAGCCTTTTTTTTTACTTGACCTTGACGAACTTGGACTCGATACTGCTGATAGCAACAGGGAGCTCGCTCTATACAGGTTCAATTCCAAATTGTAAAAAAGTGGTTAGGTACACCACTATCGATCCATGTTGGCGTCAAAAGGTTCGCTGCTCCTTGGTTCTATCCAAAAGCGAATATCCTTTCTTCTTGCTTTTACTTTACCTTCTCGTCGTAGTCCGCCCAGTCACCTTCAGTGAGATCAATGTCCTCAAAGAGAGTACCAGACTCGGCACCCTTGGCCTTCCATCCCTCTCTTGGCTCAAAACCAACCAACTCCAATCCACGGCACTCGACTGTGACGATGGTGGCGTACTTGTCGTTGTTCTCAATCTCGTAAGCGACGGGCTTGGACACAATATCTACATTGTTAGCAAAATAACATGTAGCATACAAAGAGCGCGTGAGAATTCTTTCGTTGTAGATCAACTGAGAAAATAGCTACTTAAAAAGGGGTGCCTAGCAAGGTAACTTACCGGCAGAGCTCTCGCACTTGCAGAACTTGCACTTCATGACCAAGTTGGCCTCACCGCGTCCTGAACCCATCTCAGCCTTATCCTAAAGACAAAAAAAAAAAAGAACCGCCGGTATTGTCAGCCACGTTCTTCGTTCCTTTGCTCGCAAGAGTTCAAATCACGCTCTCCAGCACACAGCAGCAGGAACCACATAGTTCGTCAAATGAGTATCTTACAATAGCGTTCATGGTGATGACGTTCGAGTCGATCTCGCGGCACTTGGTGCATTGGACCTTGAAGTGCCAGGTGTGGTCGGCATCGGCGGGGATCAGTTCGGTGATGTTTTCGAGCTCGGCTTTGATTTGAAGGGCGAGGATGGGCTAAGGTGTTCCAGTTAAAGAAGGGATGTGTGAGGACTCGAAGCTGTGCATTGTGGTGTTCAGAGAGAGAGAGAACAAGGTTATGATGGCGATATGTGGTGCTCGGTGAGGCTGTGTGAATGAATGATTGTTACCATGGTGACAATAGGAGGTAAGTGAGAGTGTGGATAAAGAGAAAAGCACAAGAAAAAAAACAACTACTGCTCCTTTGTGTTTTTTGCACGACTGCGAAATTTTTATTCATTTGGCACGCGTAAAGAACAACGAAAGAGTGGCCTGTCCACCGTCGTTCTCCTTCTTGATCTCCTTCTTCACCTTCTTCTTGTCCCTCCCAAGACCATCACTCGATGCAGTGCCAGCTGCACCGACGCCTTTCCGTTTGCCGCCAGTCAACGATGCATTCGCCTCTTTGAACTTTTGGAGTAGCTGGAACGTCTTGTTGATCCCTGTTGGAATAGCGGCCGTCGCGAGCTCCTCAGTCGAAAGCCATTCAGTCTCTGGGACACTGCTGCCTTGCGTTGATTTTGGCGAATTGGCTGCCTTTGTTTCTCTATCCGCATCTTGTCCCTGGATAAGCACCCACTCTACATGATACGTCTTGCGGATGTGGGAGAACAAGTGTTGAACACTTCCAAGATCTCGCCGCTGAATGTCCGTACAAGACTTGATCCAGTCCAAGCCCAGTGTCTCGACAAGGTACTTACAGCTCGACTCTGACCGTTGCTTGTATGTTGAGAGCGATGAAATCTCGTGGCGCGCCTGCAGTTGATCCTGCTCCACCGTTGGGAACTCCCACATTCCTGCCAACAATCCCTTCTCTGGCCGCTTGACCAGCAAAAACGCTGACTTTGTCTCACTTGTCTCTAAATTGGTCGTCCTATGCTCTAGAATAGACACCGCACATTCTGAAAACAAAGAGTTCGATACAAACAGTCAGCCCTCATTCAATCGGGACTGTGGAAGTATCAGCAACGGCATTCAATCGATGTGTTGTGATGGTACCTTCTTCTCTAGGCGCCTTCTTGACAGCTTTCCGTGGATACTGAGTGACCAATCCTTGCTCCTTTCCTTCAGTTTCTGTCTCTGGCAAGCACAGCTCACACTTTTCATCCGCATCCTGGTCGGTGTCATCCACAGTTTCGCGCTTTTTGGACGCCCCGATCGCCTCTTTTCTACTACGCCTCAAGTCAATGACCTATTAATAAAGGAGAAACCTCCTGTGTCAGCTGCATTGAACTCACATCCTCGAGCCATTCACATTGCAGATATGTTTTGAACGCGAAATAATTACCTCGGCATACGCCCTGCAGCTTGATTGAACTGGACATTCGCCACACTTGGGGTTCTGAGGCGTACAAATCACGGCCCCCATCTCCATCAATGCCTGGTTGAAACATCCTGGCCGATCGCTGTTTAGCAAGTCCTTAGCTACACGCCTATTAAAAATAAAAGCATATTGATCAGCAACATTCAACACTGTTCAATTGCAATATATAGAGTCAGACATAGGATTGGTGGCCTTACCAGTGCAGATCAATGACCTTGGGGCTCTTCACATCTCCTCCGATAGCCCGTAGCCTTGAGAGGACGCGAATGACGTTTCCATCGACAAGCTCTGCAGGTACGTTGTAAGCGTGGGACACAATTGCTCCTGCAGTATACCGTCCTACTCCCGGCACCTCTTTCTCCAGCAAAACAGGATCACTATTCCAGATTCGAGATTAGAGAAATGGTGAGATACAGTTTCCAGGGTTCAATGGCTAGGCAATGATAAAAACACATGAATGCAAACTGTTCAGCTCATACCTTGGCAAAACACCATTAAACTCTTTCAAAACCTTTTGTGCTCCTGTATGTAATCGAGAAGCACGGGAGTAATACCCAAGACCAGTCCAAACTTTATTGACTTCCTCAATGTCAGCAGCAGCCAAAGTCGCAATTGTGGGCCACTTTGCCATCCAGGTGTTAAAGTAAGGTATCACCGTTCCGACCTGGGTCTGTTGACACATGATCTCAGACACCCAGACCTCATAAGCGCGTTGACCAGGCACTTTATCCTCTTCCTTGACCGGACTATGATAGTCGCGACGCCAGGGCAGCTTCCTGTGGTTGATGTCGTACCAGGCTAAGAGTCCATCATGTATCCGTTGACGAGATGCCGCTGTGAGGAATCGGTGGTAGTCTGGCGAGTGTTCTCCTGAGGTCCGAACTTTGGCTGCTTCCGCCACCAAATCTTCCATGTCTGGGATCGAGTCTCCTCCGAGGTTCGAATTGATAATGGCATCATCCAAGAGGGGTTGGTTCGCGGTTGCGGTTGCGGTTGATGACGGCTTTCTCTGAGGCTTGGTGATCTTTATCTTGGATCGATTGGACATGATCTCCGCAAACGCATCCTCGGACCTGTCAAGAACCTTGGATTTCGTTGTTGTTTTGAGGGTGGTGCCTGCAGCATCGTCGGTGGTGTCGGCGGCGTCGTTGCGGATGGCGAGAGCGGCCATTGTTGCTGCCCTCCTGGTTGGTCGTGTTGATCCCGCTTGCCGCAGGTTTTCTGAGGATGGCATGGTGCTCGAGGTGAGTGGTGAATGTGCTTTTCCTGGGAGGGTCAGAAGGATGCAAAACAGAAAAAAAGATTCTCCGAGAAGCCCTGCCGTTTTTATTTTTTTTTGTTTGGGAGTGAGGCTGTGAGGCTGTGAGGCTGTGAAACGCAAATAGAGAGGGGCTTTGCAAGCCTTACTCTTGTCCTTCTTCCTCAGGCAAAGTCCCTTTCGTTTTTCCTTATTTTCTTATTTTTGTTTGGCTTCATCACTCTCCCAATTGGACACTCCACTCCACTCCACCACACCTTGCTCCTCTCTTCCTCACATTCCACTCGCCATCGCCCAGCTCAAGCCTGCCTCTGCATCCCTTTCATCCCTTCTTCCTTCCATTCCATTCCATTCCATTCCATTCCATTCCATTTACTTTTATTTATTTATCCTCTCACACCTTGGTCAATGCTACACAACGCAAAAGTGCGCCTGGGGCCGTGCTGGAAGCTACTCTCGCTTGTCCTGTGCCTGGCCGCTGTCGTCCCCATTACCCTCGCCCAGACTCCAACAAAAACAGCAGTAACTCAACCTACAACCTCAACTGGCGTAGTCGTACCCTCCTCCACACCTGTCGCCTCTCCAACCACACCTGCACCTGCACCTGCACCACTCCCTCCGGGCACCAGAGAACTCCAAGACGGACAAGTCGTCGCCGACAAGGTCGCCCAAGGTCAACTTCAGACATACCACTTTTCAATCATACAAGGACAAAGCCTGCCCGTAAAGAGACAGCTCGAGCGTATCATCTTTCACCCTGGCAACAACAACAACCTCCAAAGCCTCCAGAAACGACAGACACCACCACCACCAACTTCTGTTAACCTTACCGCAACCACAGGAACTCCCGCTCCAACAAGGACCATTGCCCCAACCGTACCCTCACCTGGACCTGATGGTGAATACCTGGTGTTTATCTCTGTCTCGACATGCTCCACTCCAAAGTCAGGCGACGGTCTCTGCCCTCCTCTTGAGCTCTATGTATCAACATCTGCAAATCAACCCCTCCCCGGTCCTGGACAGGCGATCAAACCAGAGTATAGCGAGGAAGGTCTGATCCGATTTACAGTCAATACAAAGAAAGATGTCTTTTTCAGCTTGCACGCGCCCACTCTCACTGGAACATGGACAGGGGACTGGGCTGTTGAAGTCGGCGCATCCACGCAAGGTAGAGTACACCTCATGAGAGGGCACAGGGCTAGGCTTTGAGTAAATAACAAACAGATCAAGGGAGATACCAACACACATTTCTTTTTCTGATTAGGCTATGTTCAGGACTACGAGACTGCACTGGGCTTGGTTCTGGATGACACGGACAATGTGAGCGCCAGCTTCTTGACACACAACTTTACGGCTGTCCCGACCTTCAAGGTCTTCCTCGTCAGCTCGGACACCCTCCCCATCGGCCTAACCCGCTCACTCTGCGCCATTGAAGTCATCCAGCCCGCTCCTCTCACCAAAACCAACATGATTGTCACACAAACCAACCGCACCAGCAACCTGGATGGATCCATGGGAACGGAGATCTTGCCTGCAGAACCAACCTTTGAGATGTTTGGCCAACGGCGACAAGTCTTTGTTCAGTCTCTCGCTCCAGGAACCAACTACACAGCGTTCTTTATCACGGATGTCCTGAACCATGCCGGAGCCGAGGTCATGTTTGCGATGACGACGTTTACAACCAAGAGGCACGACAACTGTGTGCTGATTACAGACTTGCAGTTCTGTCAGGAGGTTGCCTATTCGGTTCCCATCACGCCTCAGTCGACCCTGGTAGGAGGAGTCAACTCGACGGCTAGACTGGATATCAAGAACTTTTACGACAATTTTACCAGTAACTTGATGGATAACTTTGATCGTGTGCTGGAGCAGTACGATTGTTCGAGGTCGCAGTATTCGCTGATCAGGAATTGTACAGACTGTTCGCGGGCGTATCGTCGGTGGCTCTGTAGTATCTCGATCCCGCGGTGCACGGATGTGGAAGATGTGACGGATGTACGGAATCTTGGATATGCGCCAACACCGTTGCCGAATCCGGATACGGTCGAGAACCCTTATTTGATTGACAGGACGAGTGGACCAGTTGTTGTTGAGCGAATGACGAACACGTCGAGGGGGGCGATTTCGCAGTTGTTGCAGAATCCGTTGATGGACCCAGGGGAGTACGGAGAGGTGTTGCCGTGTATTGATCTATGCTTTGATGTGGTACAGAGCTGCCCCAACTTTTTGGGATTTGACTGTCCGGTGAAGAACATGGGCGGGAACTATGCGAGGATGAACGCGCAAGGGTTCCAATGCAATGGGCTTGGCGTTGTGCCTGTACCTTCAGCAGCGAGTCGAGTGCTGCAGCAATTGAAGGGACTTGTGTTCCTTTTGGTGTTTGTTAGTACGATTGGCGTTGCTGTCTTTTAAGAGTTTTTTTTATGAAAATACATATCATTATTTTCAGGGACCATTGGTTGATGATTGATCGATAGGAAAGATGTATAGTGTCTGTTTCGATCAGCTGTTCCTTTTTTTCTCTCTCTTTCTTTTCACTGATGGCTATGTCCTGAAACGAAGGAAGGAGTCATATCAAATGGCGCATGCATAAGAGAGGAGTGACATAAATAAAAGATGGGCATGGATTGCCTTTCTAGAAAGCATCGCAAATAACTGCTTTGGATGTGAACTCCCTCTACCCCAGCCCCCACCAAGACTGTTCCTTTTCACACCCCACTCCCCACTCCCCACCGGATTTTGAATTTTCTTTTTTTTTTTCTTTTCATTTTTGCATGACATACTGTAAATGAATACCTTTTGCATCAGGCCACAGTGTGCTCCAGTCTGGCAGTCCGCCGACTCTTTCTAACTTTGAAAATGTCAGCTGCAAAAATGAAAGCATGCAGAAGACAAGAAGGTATTTTTGCTCTCAAAAGATGTGTGTGTGTCTGGATGTATGAGAATATGAGATCGCTACATGTGTCGTGGGTTTGAGATGGATGCAATAAGGGGGGTACATGACTCTGTGTCAGCGAAAAGCGCTAATTACTGTGTGCCTGACCTTATGTGAGAGCCAAAAAAAAAATGTGCCCTTCTTCTCTTTTCTTTCCATCGCTCTGTTCGCTTCTCCTTCCTTCCTTCTTTCCTTCCTTCCTTCATCGTCACCATTCCCTTCCACATCCCATCCGCCCCTTACCCCCCTCAACCAGGGACCACCTCTTCCTTCCTTCCTTTCCCTTCATCCACTTCTGTCATTCCCTCTCTCCCGCTTCTTCCCATCTAACATTCATAGCCCCTTGTACCCCCGCCCAACTTTTTTTTTTTTTTTTTTTTTCTCCTTGAACACCCTTGCCTCTTACTTTACCCATCAACTCATTCCTTCTCCCACAACACATTCTTTCTTCTTTCCTTTCTCTCCTCATCCATCGTTCATCCGAGACAATCGCTCCAGCAGCCAAAGGTCGAAACAAAGCAAGCACAAAGAAAGAATAGGCCAAGCCCGAATGATATCCCCTTCGAACCTGCCTTCCCCAGCGGATTACTCCTTTGGCTCTTACGGTTCCCTCGGCAACAGCGCCACTGAACACCTCCACCATACTCAGTCTAAACAACAGCAACAGCCTGTTGACGCCAACGGACATATCAACAACATCAACAACCACCCGTCTACTTCTACTTCCTCCTCTTCTACTTCCCCCTCTTCTACCTCTCAGTCAGCCTCGTTACTCGAAAAGTCACTCGCGCCCTCTGCCGCATCCATGACCACAACTACAACAACACAAACAACAACAACTACATCCTCTACTGCTGCATCCCTCCTGAACTCAAATCAACCCTCTTCCTTCCCGTCGTCGTCGTCGTCCGCAGCGACCACAATGACTCCCTCGACCACCTTTCAAAAATCTGCCCCGGCCTCGTCGCTCTCCGTGGCCCTCTGTCGATCCGTCTTTCTCAAGTACATCTACATGACCTACCTCTTCCTACTCCAGCTCTTAGCTCTCCCCTCGACCGCCTTCCAGAGATTTGCCCGTCGTCGCAGGAGTGGCCTCTCTCTCGATAGCAAAAAGAACGACAACAGCGTGGACAACGGATCGGGTGGTGCCCTTGTGGGCGCAGTCGGCGAAAAGTTCGTTCAACAGTATACCCTGGATAACCACCTCAACACCAGCACCAACAACAATAATGGTTCAAACAATAACGGCAATTCCATGCTCAGGAGGTCGTCTCGGTTCAAATCTCGGTCAGACCTGGAGGAGATTGCCCAATCGTCAACAATGTCCCTTTCCGATCCGAACTCTTCTTCGGGTCTGACGCCATCATCACGATACACTGCCGCCTCAGCCTCGGTTAGTTCTAGCGCTGCTGGCACGTTGACACCCCGGAACTCATCGACATTCTCGCATGCGGGATATGGAACCGACTCAATGGCAGAGGATGGATCAGGCGATAACTCGACCACACGTGGGAACAATGTACGACTGCGCCAGAGAATGGGTCGTCCCATGTCGGGACTATCTTCAGGGTATCACGGTGCCGGCGCCGGAGGCATGGGAGCAAGGAAAAAGACGCTGGTCCTGGATCTGGATGAGACTTTGATCCATTCGACATCGAGAGGGTCAAGATCGCAGGGATACATGGTTGAAGTCTTGGTCGACCGACATGCGTGCCTTTATTACGTTTACAAGCGGCCGCATGTCGATTACTTTTTGAAAAAGGTAAATTTCGTGTCATTGGGCAAACTGGACACAGGGAAGAAAAAAAAAAAAAAAAAGAAGGGTGTGCATCACTTTTTTGTTAGGCTTGTGTTTTTAAGATTGTGCGCTTGGATGTTCCTTCCAAGATGCAGGAAGGATCGATTGCCCCCCTTTGTGTGCGCCCTCGGAAAGAAATTGTACCGTGCAAAAGTAATGCGTTCTAACACTCACAAAAATAATACTCTCACGGCTTTGTTTTACATGTGGTTACGCACTCTCTTATCATATCTACAATGCTAGGTGGCTGAATGGTACAAATTGGTCATCTTCACAGCATCCATGGCAGAGTACGCGGACCCTGTGATCGATTGGCTTGATCAGAGCAAGACTCTTTTTGACAAGCGTTATTTCCGACAGGTACATCTTTTGTGTTCATGTTACAGCGCACCTTTTTTTCAGGACTTGGCAACATTCAGGAAAGTAGGGATCAAAAGGACTAACAATTATTTTTTTTACTACCATTTCTCATAGGCATGTTTCAACCACAACGGCAGCTACTTGAAGGACTTGACGGTGGTCGACTCGGACCTGTCCTCTGTCTGTCTCCTCGACAACTCGCCCTTGTCTTACTCTCTGAACAAAGGTACGCCTCTTCTCATTACTCTCGCATGAGTGCCATTTGAAAAGGAAAATGCTGGCCTAGAAAACTATAATAGCGCAAGCATATATGTACAAGCAAAACGAACGAAGCCTGATGTTTGTTATGTTCACTTTATTAGAAAACGGGATTCCAATCGACACTTGGATCGACGACCCTAACGACGAGGCGCTGTTGGATTTGTTGCCCTTTTTGGATGCATTGAGGTTCACGGAGGATGTCCGATCAGTCCTTTCCCTTAGAACCGTATAGCCATCGCCCCCCCCCCCCCCCCCCTTCCCCCTTATCAGCAAACACAAACAACTATCTTGACATCACCAGCATCAACAACGGCATCCACATGGATTCAAGGCGTCATTCCATGCTCCCAAAAGCAAGCGGGACTATTAGGACAGTCTTGCAGAGCAGAGGCTTGCATCTGGATTATTAGCAAGCAAGGCACATAATAAAACCAGTAATTGTTGTGGCTTTCTATCCTTTTTCTCATGTTGTCAAATGTGCAATCAATACGAAGAAACATTTATTATAGCTATTACTTTCAAGGACTAGTAGATGGGTGGCGAAGATTATTCTTGTTGCTCTGGCAGTATCAGCTGTTGCTCTGGTAGTATCAACACCGCCATTGTCCAAGCAAACTGAACGAAAAAATGAAAAAAATGAAAAAAGTGTATCTTTGCTCCGCCACAAAAGTGTCCTGTTTCCGCAGGATAGAATTCTACTCGGTCTGCTCATCATTCACACAGTGATGTACTTGTGGCGCAAGTTTCAGTCCCGGCTTCCAGAGCGAGAACGTCCACGACGAACACCATGTCTTTCACGATCCCGCTCGCGTTCAAATTCACGTTCACGCTCACGGTTCCGACCTGCACGTCCTCCGCTATTAGTACTGGCGCTGGCGCGACGCTCACGGCTGCGATCTCGGCTTTCGCCACGACGACCACGACTGGGCGAACGAGAACGACGACGGCCTTTGTCCCGACGATCCCGGTCATATCCTCGATCACGACTGTATCCACGCTCACGCTCGCGGCTGTATCCTCTGTACCGGTCCCCACGGTCGCGCTCACGCTCACGGCCTCGATCACGTCCACCACGACCGCCCTCGCGAGGCACCGTGTCGCGCGACGGGTCAAACTATCAAGTAAAACAAAATGAAAAGAAGATCAGCGATAATGTTAGCAGTCGCCCAGTGTATCCTGCAAAAAGCTGATGTGTTAAGATTGAAGAAAAAAAACCTACCAGGCGCAAGGCAACGGGTTTTCCTCGTAACAATTCTCCATCTATCGTCTTCAGTGCTTTCTGTGCGTCCGCCTCTGTTTGAAACTCCACAACTCTATCAAAAATGGCACAGCAAGAGAAGTAAACAAAAGAAAAGGCATCAGTCATTGGTACGGTTCCTTTTCATCTTTTACAGATCGATGGATGAAAATATTCGCATTACCCTTGGTTTTCCTGATCCTTGCTCAAGTCCGCGTAGGTGACTTCGCCAGCCTTACGCATCATATCTTTGATATCCTGAGATATCGTTGGTGATCCCAAAGCAAATCAGTGGAGTTGTCGAATGGCGCGGAAACGGACCCGGAAATGACATAGAGGTAGATAGAAAAAGGATCCCGCCGCAAGGAGACAAGGAAGAATGGGAGGGCGTTTTAGGGAACAGGAAAAGTAAAACCAAGGAAGTGCAGAAGAAGCAACTGCCAACCGCGTGTCTTTGTAGACAATAGCACCCAGACTGAAGGACCATGGGTTCCAGAGAGAGAGAAGGATGGCAGGGCTAAGCAAGGAGAGGAGGCAGGAGAAGCCACTGATCCCAAAGGTAGCCCATTCGTACAGAGGGCGTCCAAGTCCGTATATTCCGTGATGCGGCACATCAAGCGGGCGAAATGATCCGAGCACAACGCATATAGACCATCGCATATGGTTTAATCTTTTGTTCAGTTGTCGATGGGGTGGTTTTCGAAAGCCGCAGAAAAAATGCGACAAGGTCCAAGCGGTGCACTGGAGTCGCATTCGAGGGTACACCAGGTTTGTTGTCCTCTGTGAGAAAAAAGCCCTGGCAAATCCACACGATGAGAACATTGACAGGGGCCATTTCGAGTCAACGATTGCGAAGGCCAGCAAGGCAGGGGGGTTGTGGTTGGCATGAGAGTACAACAGGACGGGGAAGCCAGACCAAATCCAAAAGGAGAGAAAGAGAGGCGCAGACAGAGAGCAAGTCTTTCATGCAGGAGGTCGGAAAATAGGGAGAAGATGGTTCCTTGTCTTGAAGGACAAAGGGAGAGATGGGGGGGAGGGGAGGAGGGGAAAGATGGCAAACTTGGAAGATGTTATCGTACCTGCCAGCTGACGCCATGGGCCAAGTTGTTGACCATCAAGCGATATTCAGTTCTCTCGGGCGGACCGTAGCTAAGTAAAGTTCAGGCCAATGAAAGAGTCCAGAGGAGGCGTAAACATTGTCAAAAGTTGATATCGATGCGCTGGTGAAAGTGATGATGAGGTCCCATCTTGAAGCAAAGTGTCGGAGTCAAATACAAAAAATCATTCTCACCCACGAGACCACAAACGCCACGCTTGCCACGCTGCTTTGCTTTGTTCCATGTTTACCGAAGATCCAGCCTCTTTTGAGCTCCATTATTCCTTGCCTGCTTTATCCATCTGGTGGCGCAAGAGAGGAAAAGAATGATAGAAAATTGACAGCCAGTTCCACTTACCGGTCACTGCTACCGCGGTCTTCCCGTTTGCGTTCACCGCGAGCAATCTCCACTACAAGTCTATTGTCATCATCGACACCATTGTCAAGGGGAAGGGAGAGAGTAACAGTGTGAGTGGGTAAATAAGAAAAAGGGGAGAAAGGAAGAGTGAGTATCCCGCAGGAAACAACAGCCGTTCAACGCCCAAATAGTCGAAACAATAAAAAGGGTCAACGGGGGTACTCCACCAATGAACCGCTTCAGAGTTCGCAACCAGCCAGCAAACACATCCACTCTCAGGAGAACAAAAGGAAAGACAAGAGGAAAAAAAGAAAGGAGGGTGCAGTTTACCTCTCGCCCAGGAAGTCTTTGCCATGGAAGTCATGGACGACGTCGTCGGCATCCCTTGACTCATCAAAGTCGACAAAGCCAAAGCCGTTCTTGAGGGTAACTTCGCGTATGTGGCCATAGTTTTTGAAGAGTTGTTCGATGTCTCTGTCGGAGGCATCTCGCGAGAGATGGCCCAGGAAAACACGAGTCGGCATTTGAATGTGTTTGTGAGTGTGTTTTGGTGATGAAGGGGAGGTGAAAGTTGGAAGAGAAGAAAGAGGGGAATGGGCAGCCTGGGCTTTTGTTTGTGGAAGAACAAAGGTAGGAATTAAGAGAGCCCTCCTTTTTTTTAATGGTGCCTTGGAGACGTTTATTGTGCGGGGTGCACGTGATTTACATGAAATATTCGCGTGGGCGTAAAAGTGACTGAGAACAACGTGGTTTTTATTGGTTTTTTTTTGTTCTTTTGGTCATGGAATTGTTGTTCTTATGCTATGCTCCCTATGAAAAAGAATGGAGTGTATGCAATTGAAGTGAAGGAAAGATTGACGATGGAAGAAGAAGTCCTTGACAGAGGCAAAGATACCTCTCGTCAGGTTGTCACTCTGCTTTACTGGCAGCCCTGTCCCTGAGCGCCAATGTTCGAGCCGCCATAGGCCTGAGCTCCTCCGAAGGCAGATCCGCCCATGACCGAGGATCCGTAAGCAGCACCACCAGGGAGACCAGCAGACGCGTCAAGGGAAGAGCCAAAGCGACTGGCGTAGATGGGAGATGAGCCGCTGAGGTGGGACGAGGAAATCGCGCCAGGGAAGCTGGAGGCAACGGAACCCTGCTGGAAGGCCGCACCACCTTGCTGGAAGCCGGCACCACCCTGCTGTTGCTGGAAGTTGGCACCACCCTGCTGTTGCTGGAAGTTTAAAGCGCCGCCCTGGACGTAATTGATATCGGAGCAAGGCTCAATCTGGATGTTGAAGGGCAAGCTCTGGATCGAGGGCTGGAAGGTGGTCAAGGGCTGGACATTGACCGTGGGAGAAATATGGACCGAGGATCCAAGCTGGACGCTCGACTGGGGCAGGGACTGATCCTGCTGGGCAGCAGCCTGGACGTTGGTCGCCAACTGGGAGACAGAGGGCTGATAGGTGGTTTGGGGGTTGACGCTGGTCTGCGGCTGGATGAGAACGTTGGATCCCAAGTCGACGCTCTGCTGGGGAAGAGTGTTGGCCTGAGCAGGGGCGGCTTGGATGTCAGAGTCGAGGGACTGAACTTGGTGTTGGTAGGTTGTCAAAGGGAAGACAGCGGTTGAAGGGTTGATCTGGGTGGACGAGCCCAAGTCGACGGTCTGGGCAGGGACAGATTGTTGGCAGGCAATGTCACCAGCGGCACACTGGGACTGGGACTGGGACTGGAACTGGTTGAAGAGCAAGTTGCCTCCAGCGCCCTGGTCGGCAATGTTGCGCTTGAAGAGACCGCCCGTGCGAGCCGAGATACCGCGGTTCAGACCAAGGAGACCTCGACCATAGTAACCGCGGTTGTAGTAACCGCTGCCGCCGATACCACCATAGTTTCCGATACCACCGTAGTTTCCGAGACCGCCGTAGTTGTAGTTGCCAGGGAGACCGTAGTCGCAATCAGAGTCGACAATGGGAGCCAATGCCTGGACGTAAGGCTGGATGCGGGTGATAGGGGTGATGTTGGTCTCAGGGACGACGTTGGTGGTCGATCCAACGCTGACAGAACCTGAGCTGGCAGACTGGTAGCAGTCGGCACCGGTGCAGCCAGAACCAAGAGGAAGAGCCTGGGCGGCCATGGCGGCCAAGACGATGGCAGAGGCGACTTTGAGGGAGAGCTGAGTCATGGTGGAGAAGTGGGGTTGGGTTGGGTTGGTTGATTTTATTTGGAGGTATGCGTGTGTGTGTATGGGTTGCTGTTGAGGTTGCTTGGTTTGAAGGCTTGTTGGGAGGATGTCTGCGTTGTTGAGAAGCTGAGTTAGTGCGGGGTCCCGGCCGTATTTATAGTAGTGCAGCGCCAGGTCGGTGTCTCTACTCTGTCCCTCTCTTTGGATGAAGACGGGTGCGGGGGTTGATGCTGAGGGTATGTGGCTCCAGAGGGGCAGTTGCATAGCATAAATTTGGAGGATGTTCCTTCGGACGAAATCAAGTCCATCATCGGAGATGAGATTTGTGCCTCCGAGAGATAGAGAGGGAGATAGAGAGGGAAACAGAGGAGACAGCAAAAAGAGACGCACATCCGACACAAAGAAAACAAAAGGCCGTCAGCATAAGGAGGGTGGGCAGACAAGGAGAGCGAATGAAGGGAGCAAGATAGTCCATGGGCGCGCACCAAGTGGAAGTAAGAGAAGGCCATCGGTAGGGTAAGACATGCTTTATCGCTAGTCGTGCCCCGCAAGTTATGATTGGTCTCGTGATGACGCGTCCTTTTGTCTGTCGGCAGTGCCGAGAGGGATGACGATGGAGCGAAGAAGGTGAAAATGGCGCCTGCTTGTCTCCTTTGCGTGTTCGAGCGAGGATAAAAAGAGGCGATCCATGGTCATGGATGGGAACTGGTGCTTGTTGCCTCCAGTGCAGTCGACGTATGCTGTGCCACCAGTGGGTGACAGTTCTTGTATAAGTCATGTCTTTCCTTCCCCTTGCCCGAATGACCTGCTTGCCTTGACTTGAATCGCCTCTCCTACTGGTTTGATAGCCACAACGTACATCGCAAGTACTACAACACCGTAGTCACCCGCTTCTTAATGGTCGATTGCTCATCTCAGAGGCCTTACCCTTCCCCTTGTCGCGTCGTCTTCATCTCTGTCGTCGTCCTAAAAAAGAACCTCGATGGTCAAGACCCCAAAAGCGCTGAAGGTTATTAAATGACTGGTTTGTTTTATGGCAATAGGTGTCGCATGTCGCATCCAACGGCCCTTTGTTGCCACAACGCCGATAGAGGCACAAGGCAAGCAAAATGATCGTGGCACTTTCTCGATCAGGGGTTGCACTGCCACATTTCTCCACAGAAACGACCAAGCGCTGCATGGTCCCTCATTCATAGACCCTCGATCCTCATCTTAGTTCAGTTCTTTAGCTAGTAACTTGAATACATCTTGTCAAAATCCAACACACTCTCTTCCATCTCCGCCAAATCTGGTCTTGGGAAAGGTCATTCCGCCTTGCCTCAGTCTGGATTCACGACAATGGGCAAAGAGAGGAGGAGGAGGATCTTGCTGCATTTCATGGCTTTGTACAGTACATCGATTGCCAATGTCAACTCTTTCGCTTTTCCATAGTCTACATCATATACTCTCTAATATCTTACCATTTTATGGGATGTGAGAAAACTCGTTCAGTGATAGACATCTCTGCCTTCAATGGGGATTCTACTTCAACGCGGCAAAGAGTGATCTTGGATCGAGCGATCTCAGCCAACTTGCCGATTTTATTGACACCAAAACAATGGAGGAACAAGGTCCAGAACACCGCCTTCGCGAGGAACATGACCCTTTTGCTTTTGCGGGTTTCCGATTGTCGCCAGACGACCCAGCGCAAGTTGGGCTTTACCCCGGGTCTGTTACCACATGTTCCAAGACGTATTCTCGGAACTGTTTTCGATACTCTTTGATAAGCTGGAAGGACTTACCATGTTCGAGTCAGCATTGAGGCCCACCATCCGGCACGAACTTCTTTCAGTGCGAGAGAGTCCTGCTGATGCTCCCCCGTGCTAAACGGTTTTCGAAGAGCTGGCGGTCGAAATGAGCTTACGATCATATACTCTGGGACAGGACTGAGCATCCGAGCTCTCCATTGGGCGATGCGCAGCGGCGACGGCATTAAGGAGTATGGCTCGAACACCTTTCCACATATCGAGTTTCTAGGATGGAGCGGTGCCGATTCGGTACAAGTCGAAAAGACAGGTGGACACCCTTATCCCCTCCGTCGCAGTGGATATGTTACACTAGAGACTCACTGGCAGAATCGGACCTATCAGGGCTATCAAGGGAATTCTCGAGATCGGCAAGTGGGACACTGCCATCGACAGGACCGAGACCATGATTGCATGCGGAAGGATCGACAGCGCCTAGGAACTTTTGTGGAGAACTCAACCGGTAAGTTGTTATCTTATTTGAATTGTCCTCATATGTCTCATATCACTGCTTGCTGCTGCCTTACCTTCTACTAATGCACAGCGCTCTCTTTTTCAACACTTACCCTTGGAGACCAAGATCGCCGAACCATCGTTTACTGGATGCTCCCTAGACGGTGCTTGAGAACAATCCAACTGATGGAAGCAGCGTTTGGTCGAACCAAGCTATTTGGAAGTGCCGCGAGGGCTGTTCTCGACAAACCACTGGCGTTGAAGGCGACTGTCAACTACTTCCAGGAGAGGGATCCATCACTCGTATCGGCGGCAGAACGAGCGATGCTATACTCTGATAATCCTTCAGTACACGGTGACATGTGGGAGACGATGAAGCCGCCTGGCTTCGTCGAGACGTTCAGGAGTCTACCGTTGTCGTCGTGGCCTCTGTTGACCCACTCTTGCGGACCAAGTCACTGGGGATATGGCGATTGTTGGATACGACCATCGGCCATCTCATACAAAAACATCACTACGCAGCATATGAAGGCGCACGTCGAGAACAACTCCAAACATGACAATCAGGATATTCCACCCTTCTACTTCCCAGAGCCGCATGTGTCTGGACGACCCGACGTCATATTTTTTGTCAAGAACAACGGCAACATGTACCCTTAGTCCAATTGAAATCGCGACAAGTTCTTGAGGCTAGTGATGTCGAGAAAGCGCTTGCATCTGTCAGCAGCCAAGCCATACAAGAGAAGATAGAAAAGGAGCAGAGGAAGCAACAAAAACTGAATCGACAACAAAGGCGTCTGACCCGCTTAACAGCAACCACCACAACTGCGGGACTACTGCCCACTGGGACATGGTAATCATCTACCCTGGTGGCGTTATCAATTTCCAAGTTGTCCGGCCTGATCCCGATCCCCGAACTTGAGGGTCTCCACCGTGAGTCCATGGGTATGGATGACAACAACTTTTCCGAGGATGTTCCTCGTTGCCATGTCGGGTTTCTGGACAAGCTAAAAGGACACAAGAGAGGTTCTGAATGCCAGGAACCTCCAATATTAAAAAAAGAAGAGGGGCGAGGAGCAAATAAATCTTCCAGGCAGCAAAAACAAATAAACCCGCCCTGCGTCTCTTCCACCAATGGCCCCTTTACTACTCTTCTAGTTTTTGATAATTTCACTCTTCTTTCTTTGCCTCCTACCAACACACCCTCTTCAAGGCCCATCCACTTGCAACCTCTTCTTCTTCTTCTCTTAGACATTCATCCTCCTTTTTTTTCTCTTACCCTCATCGCTCTCTCAAAAACAGGTATTGTTTACTCCCTCTCCTCATTCCTCATCCCCAACATCAACAACAAAAAAATACTCCCGCAAGATTCCCTTCCCCTCGTTCCTCCTCTTCTCATCCCTCCAACGTCGACTGATCAGACCCTTGCCGTAGGTCTCGTCTTGTTGTTGTCAGACAAAACAGCAAGCTTGCTTCTATCCGTCTACAGCTTAACAGGAGCTTAAAAGGAGACTCATCATCATCAGTGCAGTGTGGTTTCTTCTTGGTCATTTGGCATGGTATCTGTCATATGGGCATGTACGCTCGGTTTGTCTTTACTATCCTCTTCTAGTGACAAGGCCACTGAGCGGGTTCCCCTCTTTTTCATTTTCTCTTTTCCTTGTCCAAGCAACATACGACAAAAGACTGGCCTAGGAAGAGGAGCTGCCGATTGACACCGAGGATCAATTATTCATCCCTGTCCGTGAAGGAGAGGTGGGTGGGTGGTATTCGTTGTTCAACCAACCAACTACGCATCGTGCTTTTTTTTGATACTATTTTTTTTTTTTTGCCGTGTCCGATATGACAACGACACGTTGTTTTCGCTTCCTACACAGACACAGACCAAACATACACTACACCGTCCTTCCGCAATCTAGCCTTCTTGACGCACAAATTTGTACTGTTTTCTCGTTCACTTTTTTGTACCTCTTCTCTTCTTTGTGCCTTTCGTTCTAAACTTATCACCGTCGTCGTTGTTGTTACTGCTGCTGTTTTTATTGATGGTGAGAGTGAAAAAGGAAGAAGAACACTGCTACAACTATTAACATTCAAAGAAAACGGAGGAAAGGCGGCAAGGAAGTGTACAGGCACTTTACTAGTAAAATACAAGACAGTGAAGAAAAGAAGACGCAGCTATACCTGACAACTACCTCGGGGACGAGGATGAGGAAAAGTGGCCTCATCTGCAACACCTTTACTTGACTGATGACCATCACCAATCAAATCACTCCACCCACCTTCTTGTTCCGGTGTCATTCAAACAACAGTGCATTCTTCTTCGACTTTCTCTTCCTTTTTTTTGTCGATTCAGAGAGTTGATCTGTTACCTTGACAAGACCACGCTATTGACGTGGCGTGGGTGCATATGGCGTAGGTGTGTTTTTGCTTTTTGTTGTTTTCAAGTTGTGCCAGTGTGTGCCAAAGCCGTGTTCAAATGCCCACAGCTTTTGTCGACGGCAAGTTACAAAAAGGGAGAGGAAACATACGGGTGTGTGATAGTCAGCGAGTGGGTGTCTAGGAGAGGCTATTTCTGTTTATGTTTTTTTTGTTGACACGAGAAGGTTGAAAAGGACAAGGCAGGCTTCCTTGCTCGGAGTACATATCCCCATCGCCTTTTTTTTTTGTTCTTTCGGGTTCCTTTCCTTCTCTCTCACTCACTCTCACTTGCAAATGACAATTACAACAGGGCGCTATCCTTTTTCCTTTTGTTTTGCTCAGCTTGATACTCTCACTCTCATCCTTGCGCATTTTTAAATGGTACCATCATCACCCACATCCTTGTTTTCCCGAATTGTCTGGTCACCACTACGGCAGCAGTTCTCCTTGTCTTTCTTGTCATTCACTCCACCTTGCTTGTTCTCTAGCCTATTTATTTTGATGCTGTGTGTGTGTGTTGTGTGTGTGTGTGCGTGTGTGTGTGTGTGCATATGCATACAAACAATTGTCCACCGCCAAAAATATTAAGAGCAATCTTCCATATCCGTATGTGTGTGGCTGTCTAGAAAGATACCCCTCTCGCCTCTCTTTTCCTTCACTCCCATCTATTCTTCCCTTTCTTCCTTTCTCTTTGTATCTTCCCTCATTTTGCCTCCTAAACATCCATAGACCCACTGACTGTCTTTGTCCTAGTTACTCACACACGCCACATCTCATCTTCGTCTTTTCTTCATTACCCTTATTCCTATCTCTACTACCAGGCAGGTCCACTCTTCTTTGTCGTTGAGTGCTACATCCATCTATCCCTTTACCCAATCCAGCCCATACACACGCATACTCGTCCTCACTTATTGTCCATCCAAGCCCTCGCCAAGATTCCGAGCATCATCCCATCCTCAAGTCGTACCCTCGATATCCCTCCCAGTCAGCCCTCCCCAGGCGAGGGACAAGACTCGACTCAAGTCCCCCTCTCCCATAGTCCACTCAACCTGACGGACATCCAACAAGACGGCCTGCTTGGCTCTCAGCCCCAGCGGGGCAGCCAGCAGGCCATCATCGAGGCCATCAATAACCGTCGTCGCGCCGAGCGATCCCAACAGATGATGGCCAAGGGCTCCCTCGCCCACAACCCCCTCACCGTTGTCCGCACAAGCCAGTACCCTTCCTCAGTCTCCTCCAGGAGTACCTCTGCCGGAAACTGGACCTACATGACTCCACATCTTCTTTCACCCAACACATCCCCCTCACTCTTGCTGCGCTTACCCTACCAGGGCAATCAACGTGCTGTAGGCAGCCGCACTTATACCCACAGTAAGATAGTCGTTCGATTGTTTGGTTCGATTATTTGTCTGGATGACCAAATGCGAACATTTCCGTCACCGACTCTTGTAAACTAACAGCGCCCGCCGTTCACCTTTTTCATTGTCCCCTCCCCTCTCGGTTTCTTCCGACAAACAAGCATTCGAGATACCGACATCAAGACCATCTGCAGATGCCATCGACGCAGTGGGGTCCAGACTTCATATCCCTAGAGACCTCGAGAGTCTACCTGATGCCTTTCGGAGGCGAGGTGTCATCCGGTCCCACCCTCCATCAATCGTACCCGTTGGCTCTGAGGGTACTCGAGCCGGACCTACTTCTCTGAAGCGGACGCACAGCAGTATGCTACAGGAAGATCTCCAAGGCTCTGGTAATTATATCTCCTTAGGTAAAACACTCATGCTCGCTAATGTATGCCTTTTTGTGTACGTTTGTAGAGTGCACGGAAAACTGATTATTTCATTGTTGCTTGCCGCGATTAGTGCCAACGTTACACCCAGAGGACCAGAGTAGGAAAATGGCCAGGAGAGTCGATCTGGGATCTCTTCCCCAACACCTTGCGCAAGCCAAGAACCTAGCCATTCGAAGTACAAAGGGTACACTTTCGACAGCCTCGTCCCCTTCTCTCAACAACGGCTCACAATCAACACTCTCTTCGGCCTCGCTCTCAACCCCTTCCTCAACCATCTCAACGGCCGATCACTCACCCGCCAACCCAGCAATTACTTCTCTCCAGCGACAGAGAACAAAATCGAAATCAAAGTCGAGCTCCCCTACTTCAACACCCGTGCGGTTCCCCTCTCCTGGTCAAGGCTCTTCCGAGTCCGTTGCTCCGTCAAAGGCATCTGCTAAACAAGACTCTTCAAGGAATGCATCTGCTTCTGCAAGTCATGGTCATGTAACTCGATCTAACGAAGGCATACCTGCCAATGGAACCAACACAACAGCAACAACGACAGCTTCCAATGGCAACGCCGGCACTGGTCTTGAAGCCACTTCCCCTCCTCCAGCCACCCTGACGACGTCTGGAACCACGGGACAATCGGATCCCGAAGTTGATCTTGAGCCAATTGACCTCACCCGTGTTGGCGTCGGTATCCTGGATAATTTGGTCAGCCATACATTCAGCAAGAGCTTCATTACTAAGGTGCCTCAATCCATCGCCAACTACCACGTCCTGATCAAGAAGCCCATGGATCTGTGGACTATCGAACAGAGATTGTGGAAGACTCTTGAAACTTCAGGCGCAAAATCGGGTGCTCCGCCATCAACCTCCATTCTCCTTGCTGCTTCAGGTGCAATGTCGATGAGCGTAACAGAGGCTTACAACAGTCTGGCTGATTTTGAGCGCGACCTTCGCAGGATCGTTCAGAACGCCATGTTTTTCAACTCGGCGACCCACACCATCTACAAGGAAGCCCAGGAATTTCAGAACTCCTACCTTGGTCAACTGGACAATTTTCGCAAGGGGTAAAAACTTATGTATGGTCTTTTCAATGCGATATATGTACACTGCTCGAGAATACTAATTGATATGGTTTATGCCAAATGGTTTTTTCTTGCATTCTTTAGGGTGCTCGAATTTGGCCCACTACCACACGAGTCTTACAAGCCAGAGCTCCTCTCTATGACATTGCCTGGGTACGCCGACGAAAAGATTCAAACACATCGACCTCCTTTTTTTTTATGTTGACAAACGAATCACAACAACATGGAGATGACACTGACAAGTACATGTCTTTCCCCTGATTTTAGACCTCTTTATTTGTTCCGCGCACACACCCCTCGGGAGATGGACCGAAAGATGACGGATATCTCGACAGACTTATTCTCCAGCCTCCACCAACCTATATTCGACATTGCAACGGATCAGATTGGACAGCTCTCGCCTGAACGACCACGGTTTGTCAGAATGTTTATCAACAAAAACCGAAGCCTGTTGGCCAAGTGCGGCGATGAGCGGTTTGCTAGAGTCGCTATTCTCACGGATATTCAAGTCAGCAAGCCGTACATGGGTTCATTTGGTGATGGTTCAGAGTCTTCAAAGGCTGTCTCATCACCCGGTCCAGGACGTCCCAAGAGCAGCGGCGCTCAAGGAGGACCAACCAGCATGGTCAAGATGACAGCCAAGGTTCTAATTGGCAAGCCTATCGGAGAACGACACGACATGGTGACCGTTGGCGATCTGGATTGTCCCAACGCATGGATGACTGTTGCTTGTGTCAGGGCCATGGAGGTTGAGGTCGAAGTGCCCGCCAGGTTCGAGAAGGGGGTGCTCTCAAAGATGCGACATGAGGTGGTGCCCTATTCTTCGGACCCCAAAAACACACCGGAACACCAACGAGTCTTTGCCAGTGCGTTGAATATACTCCTTCCAGGCATCGCAAAGACTTTCCAGAATCAAGGACAGACACCAGCGCTTATCGACACACCCCAGTCTATCCTCAGCTCGCCATCCTCCTCTGCATCAACACCCCCAGCCACCAAAGGACTGGGACTTGGTATCACAACTCCCTCTACGACTATCAGTGAAGCAACTTCGACAAGCCCACGGAAGCGTGGCGCCAGTTCGACCGTCGCAACCATTACTGCAGGAGCAGCTTCGTCGAAATCAACTTGGGTGGATATACAGGATGGCGGACCCAAAGGTCGATATTTGGTCAAGCTACGACTTCCCGCAGTCATCAGGACCACCCGCCGTCGAGGCATGTCTTCTGCCGGTATATCCATGGATTCACAGCATGTTGGCTCCGCCTCTACGCCATCGACACCCCTCATTCCGGGGCGTGTTCATGCTCTGTCCAGCCAGGTGCCAGCAGCTCCTTCTCATCTCTCGGACAAGGAGTCTCTCTCGGCGCCTGACTGGATGTTGTTGAATGAGCAGGTTACGAAGCGAGGCTCCAAGATGCTGCAGGATTTGAAGGCAGTCGCTCGGCAGAAGAAGGTTCCCTACGCCCGCTGGAACACGATCGAGCCGACACTGACGGTTGACTCGGCTCATGGATTGTTCAAGCGGATATACCACGTCCGCGGTCAGCCCGGACTTGTTGTCCAGAATTTTAAGGAGATGGATGCCGAGTCGTTCGATCAGCGCGTGCGCGAGGTGGCGTGTCTGTTGAAGCTGAGGGGTTTCCAGGGTGTCGGTCAGATCCAGTCGGTTATTGACAACGAGGACGACCACCTTGTTGGCCTGTCCATGACTAAGTAAGTCCACTCTTCGTTGCCTTCTGGGTGTTTGTATGCATGGAGCATAAATAGTGGAGGTGATCAGTGTAAACTCACCTTTAATGTACTATGTCATTTTACTAGGTACGCCTACACGCTCAAGCAGTACGCCACCAATGCCCGTCGTCACCCCACCCCTTGCCAGAAGCTGAGCTTGATTCGGGAGATGGTCTCTGCCATGTGTGCTATCCATCGCGCAGGACTAGCGCATCGGGACTTGAGTGAGGTCAACATCATGGTGGACGAGGACCCGCATGAACTCCTTGAGGATCAGTCGCCTCGTCCTCTTATCAAGGTCATCGATTTCGGCAAGTCTGTCTTTGTCAACCCAGCCGAGGTTCAGCGGTGGAGCATGCGGGACCATGTCCCCAAGGAAGAGCTGGCACTTTTGCCTCTCGTGGTCTTGCCGCCTGATCACGGATACAAACTCTACCGGTCAATCCTGACTCTTCCCAAAACCAAACACGACCACACTCCTCTTGCCCCAGTCGACCCCCGTTCGGAAGATGTGTATTCACTTGGTGTACTGATCTGGAGGACATTCAGCGGCAAGTCACCTTGGAATGGCGCGATCGAGGACGATTTGAAGACGATCCGGTACTTGGTCTCGAGCGACTCACAGATTCGATTCCAGCTCGAGAAGGAGGTCGCTGGTACTATGTCACGTGAGCTGTTGTTGAGATGTTTGACGGCGCGAGCGGAGACACGGTCGACAACACAGCAACTGAAGGACTGGTTGAACCAGCCTGAGGTTGCCAGCGGACTTTTGCAGGAGTTCGAGGCGCTTGGTGGAGGACGAAAGAAGGTGCGCAAAAACCTGGACTAGAGCTCCCTTTGACCCATCCTACAACTTGTTTATATGCAGCCAACTATATTTCCATTTCATTTCTTTTTTTTTTATTCATTGTTCAGTCCTTCCACCATTGTTTTCATAGCATCTCCTACATAACATATTACGCACACCTCCTGTTTCAACAGCATCCTAAAAACAATATCTTTTTAATAACAAACAACAGCGAACTCCCGCGAGAGCTGCCAAAAGCATAATTATATGTGGTGTATAGGTGTTTATGAGAAAAGCGTTGTACAAAAAATACAGGTGATAGTAACAAAAGTGAAAACTAGAAATATTATCCGCGATTGCGAAGGGTGAATATGGGAAGAAAGGGTAATATGGTACAAAGGACGAAAATACAAATGATGGCAGAAGAACGACGAAAATCGCGCTCAGAAGAAGGATGCACCCATGGTGGCGGCGAGGACGACGGCCATGAAGGCGGTGAATTGTGGCAAATGAGCAGTGGGAGAAGAAGCGGCAGAACGCGTTCCGGTCGCCTGCACGGTGCTGTCATTCTCGTTTGAGGACTTGTCGACTCCCACCGCGTTGTCGCTCTCGTTCGCCTCGGGATTGATGTTATTGGTCGAAGCAGTCGACGACTTTTCGTCAGTAGTAGCCTTGGGAGAAGTGTTGGATTTGGGAGAGGCGATGATGGAGTTGACGGCGAGTTTCGCAGGGTTGGGTTTACCGCCCGGGGTGGCCGTTAAGCTCTTGATACGGAATTGACGATCCTGAACGACCATGTTCCCTGCGCCCACGGATTTCAACGTCGACGCGTTATCGACCGAGTTGACGTGCTTGTTCTTGTTCTTGACCAACAAAAAGTCGATCAGTCCCGCATCATCCCCGAATTGGCGTTTTCCATTGTTGTTGTTAGCGGCGGCGATGGCGATGGCGGCCTTCTTGGCAGCGGCGATATGGTCTGAAGTCTTGAGGACGATACGGAACTTTTCCGAAAAGTCAAAGTCGGCTTGGAGGGTCCGGGGGATCTTCCAAGTCTTCCACAGAAAAGGCTTGTTCTGATTCGCGACCGCCCGCGGAATCTCTGTCCCTTCCTCCACAAGCGTCGCCAATCGAATCTTTCCAAACTCGTCAAACAGCTCCAATGACCCTGTGGCGGGTGCTTGACTTCCTTCCGGTGTTAGCATCCAAAAATCAATCTTCCCTGCTTCGGGAGAGCCGGCGAGGTAGGTGGGACGGTAGTTTAGGTAGTAGAAGTCGAGGGATGGGGATTGGCCGTTGCCGCCGGCTGCTGATGTTGTTGTTGTGGCGGTGGGGAGGTAGGCGAGTTTTTGGGTTCCACGGACTTGGGATTCGATTTGGAGTTGGAGGGGGAGGGGGGATGTATCTGAGAATTTGAGGGACATTGAGGTGAGGAGGTTGGCAGGGGCTAGGTTGTGTTTTGCCGGTGCTGCTGATGTGGTTGGGAGGGTAGAGAAGGCGATGAGAGATAGACAGGCGAGTGTTGTTGTTGTGGACCAGAAGGAGAATGGGCGCGGTGATGATGACGAGGAGTTGGAAGAGGGGGGGCGAAGTGGGGCTGCCATTGTGGAGGGGGAAAAAAATGGGGTCAGAAAAGAAAGATTAGGGGAATGGAAGAGAAAATTTGCAAACGAGGATACGTTAATACGCTATATTAGATCGTGGGAGGAATTGCTACTGCAAATGGGCGAATGACCGACGTGCGGTATGGATAAGGATGTGGGTGGATGTCGATAAGGAAGAGCTGGAGGAAGAAGGATGGGGGGGGCTGGTGTGGGGGGGTTGGAGAGTAGTCTTTATATCTGTGGGAAAATTAGGGCACGATTTGAGGAAGGGGTGTTAATGATGGCAAAATAAACCCTCCCAGTTGATTTGACGAGCAAGTTGTTTATTTTGGCCCAGTCGTATTTCGAGTGAGACACATCGACCGTTGACCGAACGACCCGACGGATAGAAAACGACAACCTTTGCAACGGACAATGAGAGAGAGAGAGAGGAAATGGCAGGGCGGTTGAGTCTAGAATCCGTCGATCGACCAAAGAGACTGAAAGGAGGGTTGCTTAATTGCTATCAACCCATTCCACATTCCCATCTCGTCCATCCCATTGACTGAAAATTTAACGGAAATCCATTTCTTTTTTAAACAGCTGTAGGCAGTAAGTAACGCTAGTGAGAATGAGGAAAAGATGAGCGACATCATCCTCGCCTTGCAGACTCACTACGAGCCAGATCACCGGCAGACAACCACTGGCTTATGGCACGAAAGACAACAACGCAAGTTGCAATCGCAATTGGCCGCCGTTCTCTTTCCTTTTCAGCTGCTCCACCCTCTCAAAAAACCATAAAGGAAGATTGTATTGTGTGGTCAACCTGAAAAAACCTCCCCTTACTGCCATTCAGGTTCACAACCCCAAATGGGATGTGCTGTTTCGGGTTGTGAGGGCGCTAGGAGTTTGAAGAGGGAAAGGTTGAGGCAAGATACGTGAACCCTTCTTGATATCAATTGGATCCGTAGGCCAGGAATGGGCATGGATCGGAAGGTAGGTTAGGGGATTTGGGGGGGTACTTGAATTTCTACCAATCTACCAACGAGTTGGATTCAAGCAAAAAAACAAAACAAACAAGCGACCCACTTTAATTACCCCGCATCAGATCTGCCCCACATACACCCCGTTCTCTTGATCCAGGGTCATTGAACGCTCACTGCACCATGGAGGGAAATCGCTGCCAATGCCTGCGGAGGTACCTTCTCATAAATAAAAGCATGAGGGAAGCAGCCAAACATGGCGGCCTAGACTCTATTGTCAAAAAACCAAGAAAGATAGAAGAAGAGTGAGACTCCTCCGTTGTTCCCCACACCAGACGGAGACCGATTGAGAAAAGAGTGAGAAAAGGGTTTGAAACTATCTCTTTTCAATGACTACTTTTGGGAAGGGTCTCCAAGTACGTGCCTTTCAGCCTTTCAGCCAACCGACTGGCACCATTCATTGGCACCGCCGGAGTAGCAATTTTTTTTCCTCTCGTCAGCACTCCCACTGTCGATGACGGTACCCTGTTTTTCGGTATATATATGGCGCTTTCCCCTCGCTTCATTTTTTCTTCGATCCTGTTTTTTCTTTTCCTCCTTTCCTTCTTCTTCCCTCCCTCCCTCTCTCCCTCTCTCTCTCTCTCTCCTTTTCCTTCTCCATTTCACTTTAATTGTAACCCTACCCTCATTCCAATCCAATTACCAGCACGTTTTGCTCACATACCCTGCACACATTCCTATTCCTTTATTCTTTGTGCAACATCTCAAACACTGCGTTTCTTGATCCAACCTTGAAGAACTACACTCTTATTCTTTTTCATTTCTCATTCTCGTCCCTCATTACATTACTCTACCCCCGCATCAAAACAACTGCCTTTTTTGACCTCTACCCCATCCTTTAATCGGAGAATTTTTCTTTCTTGTCGCGGTCTGAACTGCTATACCCTCCGCTGTCCCGATGACAATCCAACCACAACAGCAACAACAACAACAACAAACAACAGACCTCCTCAGCAAACCAGCAGTAATGGCCTCAACATACGACAACTCGACTGTCAACAGCAGTACAACCACTATCAACCAGACCAACAGCAACAGCAACAATGGCCTCTCCACACCTTCGTCTGACCCGACGATACAATCTCGGCCTCAGTCGATCTCGGATAGAAAGACGATTGACGCTTCAATTGAGGATGGCCTTCATTATCCACAGGAAAACAAGGATGTCCGGAGAGGGAGTGAACCCGACAGCGAGGAGCCTCTTAGCAAGAAAGGATCGATGTGTGATGATGATGATGGTGTTGTTATGGAGGGTGGATACCGTGGATACCTTGTCGTCTTTGGCGGTTTCCTTGTAAGTTTCTTGTTTTGAGTTGAATCAGATCAGAGATCAGCGTCCTGTTGAATTTGTGTAACGTTATGTCCGTGGCTGTGTGGTGATCACTCGTGGCAAATTAGAGAGCACCTTTTCTTGTCTTGAACAACTTCCCACCTCTCCATGCTCCCCCTCTTCCATGCATGCATGACATACCCTTCACACCTCGGCTGTACCGTTCTCCCTATCCTTATCATGACTCTATAGTACCTTACAGGGGTCCTGACCCCGCAACTCCTTACAACACCTCACAAACAACATCCCGCACACCGCCTGCCCGGAGTTTCAATTCCCGGCACAACCATTGTTTTGTTTATTATTATTGGCGATAACTAAACAATTTTTTTTCCTATCTGCCCCTTTCGTCACTAGATTATTCTAGCCCTGATCGGATATGTCTCTATTTACGGCGTCTTCCAGGCTAAATACAATGACATCTACGGTATCCAGGGCAAAAGTCAGTCGTCCATCTCCTTTGTCGGCTCCCTCGCCAGTGGCTTCCAGTTCGGATTCACCATCATCGCAGGACCAGTCATGAACCGCTTCGGACACAAGATCACCCTCTGGGCAGGCTGTATCATTGCCTCCCTAGGTCTCCTCCTCGCCTCCTGGTGCACCGAGCTCTGGCAACTCTACCTGACCCAGGGTGTCATGTTTGGAATCGGTGCCTCGTTTCTCAACATTGCCGCAACAGCCATCCCCCCTCTGTGGTACGACAAGAACCGTGGTCTGGCGATGGGCATATGCTTCTGTGGAGCCGGTATTGGAGGTCTTGGCCTCGGGTTCGTGATCCCTGCGCTGATCAACGCCGTCGATATCTACTGGACCCTGAGGATCTTTGCCATCTTCCACTTTGTCTGTACCGCCTTTGCAGCCATTGTGATGCGGGCCCCGCGTCAGCTTGCTGGTCCCCCTGTCGAGGCCAAGCCCGAGGTCATGAACTGGTCTGTCATGAAGGATTTCGGATTCATGCTCTGGTTCCTCTGCTCTTGTCTCTTCGGCTTTGCCTATGTGGTCCCCTTTACCTATGTGCCCTCCTTTGCCAAGGATGTCATCGGATTGGACCCCAACGTTCAAGGAGGACAGCTGCTGGCCATCATGTCGGGAGCCAACGCCGTCGGTCGAATCCTTATCGGAATTGCGGGAGATCGGTTGGGTGCCATTCCGGTCGCGGGAGTGTCATTTATTGCAACAGGAGCCAGTTGTTTTATCTGGATGTTCTCAACGACCCACGGAGCGTTGATTGCGTTCTCGATTGTGTATGGGTTCTTCTCAGGGGCGTTCTTTACAATGATCGCGTCGATCACGGCCAACATTGTCGGACTGGCCGATTTGAGTTCTGGACTGACGATTATCTACCTGATCAACACCCCTGGAAACCTGTTTACGCTGCCCATTGCTGGAAAGATCTTTGAGCAGGCTGGCGACTACAAGGCCATGATTGGGTACGATGCGGCCATGTGGTTTGGAGGTGGAATTGTGCTTCTCATAATGTTTTTAATGTATAGAAAATAAACGGTTCCCTGCAGCAGTGTTACGCATAGTTTGAACTACAAGTGCATTATAATAGACCATTTCTATTGGTCCTTAGCAAATAGTTGCACGCTCGCGTAGCTATAATAGAAGACATTGCGATCCTCTCGGGGCCACTCCTGCCTCCTTCCCTTCCTTCTTCGTCTTCCTCGCCTTCAATGTTTTCTTTTTGTTTCGCTGCCGGCAGATCTAGATTCTCCACTGGGTTGACGTCGGCCCTCGCCGTCACCATCGTCGCCGTGACTTTTAGAGCCTGGATATTGATGATGGCCAGCTGCTCTGGCGCTGCTGCTGCCACCACCACTGGCCGGTTCGAGTTCGAGTCCTGGTAAAGCTAAAGGATACCAGTTCTTGCTCCTGTGTGCATAACCGCCGCATCCCGCGCTACTGCTGCGTCCTTGTCCAGGAGGATGGAAAGATCCTCGAGCGCGAGATGATGCTGCTCCTCTACTACTGCCACTACAATTCGTCGCGGCCGACGTCGAAGTAGAAGATCCCGAGGAAGCTCGGGCTGTCCTTCTTCTTGCTGCTTCCTGTCATCGCCCTTGTTGTGAGGATCCTTTCCCTTCTCCTGTTCTTCCGCTCCTCTTCCTTGTCCACTGCCGCCGCCTTGCCGCCTTTCAGCCTGGTGTAGGAGTCATTCCTCCAATTGAGTCTGCAGACCTGCAGGTCCTGCATGAGCGTGTTCTTGGAGCTTGGACTCACTGTCACCTTCACATCCTCTTCCTCCTCCTCCTCCACCTCCTTTATTACCTCGCAAGACCCGAACCCCTCCAGATGGACCTTCAAAAGCGACGACCCATAAAGCTTCGAAAGCGACAACAGAATCCTCTGTCCCAAGGACATGCTGGAGATCCAGATTCGACCGAACAAGCCCATCATGGGCAACCTCGGCCATGACAATGTTGTTGATCAAGGCCCCGAGGCAAACATCTGGCTGTGGTACCTGATTGCTTTGAGTGTGGTTGTTTCTAAGTCTTGGAGTTGGAAGAGGTCTGCGGGGGGAGGAGGAAGGATTCCCAGGAGCAAGTTGGGCGAGTCATGTGAAGGTGGGGTTGGTGCGTTGGTGGGTGAACCCTATTGGTGGTTGAGGCGGAAGAGGTAGATGGTCCACTTGCAGAGTGGAGTCCGCTACGGCTGCTGCTGCTGATCTGCTCTCCTCCAGATCCACCTTGGCCGCGACCTTGGTCTTGTTGACTAGACGGACTTGCGGCTGTTTGCTCTTCATGTCCGCTCATAGACTTTTGCTGTTGGCGAGCATGGATCGGAGGCGGAGATTGTGGCCTGTATGGAATGTACGGTTAACTCAGTTTCGACACCCTACGAAAGGAACACGGATGAAGCTACATATTTACTTTTTCTAAAAAAAAAAGTTGAAAAGGCATATCTTCCATAAATCTTAACGCCGAAGGAAAAGACAAACATGATAGGAAAGAGGTGGGTCCCCATCCACAGTTGTCCAGTCCTGTAATACTTCCGTTTCTGGAGAGCCGTGCATCTATATTGTCGTCGAGCACGAATAGACCTCCATGGTTGTACCATTGAAAAGAGATATGGAATTTATTAATTCAGGATTGACTATCAGGAGGAAGTCCGAGAAAATAGCTGCCACGACCTTGCATTGAGCAAAAAGGCGCCGTCGTAGTCGAGTATCCATTTTTTGGGTCGAATTTTCTGTCATCCATGAGCTCGCCTGTCGAATCAATAGAGTTGTCAGTCATTTCATTAGCTCCTGTTTATGACCCGTCGACTCGAATGAAAAGTCCAGGAAAAAGAGAACAAGGGGGTGGCAGCCTAAAAATCTTTGGCAGAGCGTCTGGCGATACGCTGGACCTTCTTCTTGAATGAGGGGTAGTTCTCGCGGTCAATCATTGTGTTTTGTGGAGAGCCAGACCTTTTCTCTGCCAACAAAACAACAACGGCAACAAAAAAGCAATTGTTAGAGAGTAGCACGGTCCCTACAAAGAAAAGAATCAGCAGATGAAACGGAACGGCGGCTCATGGTGTCAGTCCCGACCGCGGAAGAACGCACACATACACTCAGTTACAAAAATATCGGTTCAGGAATACAGCTTTGGAACTAGCTCTACGAAAAGAAAGAGATACGACACATGAGCAGTATACTTCATTAAAAGAATGCGACGATCATGACCTTTTGCATGGAGCTTGCTTGTTTTTCGACTCTGCTGTCTGGGCCCTAAGGCGACAGGAGGAGCAGGCATCACGCGAGAAGAGTTGAATCTCTCAAGCCCACACTTCATGGAGTGAGTATTGAGATATGGATTGTGGCGACCGTTGTGCTATTCTTGGTGTTCTAATATGATGTCGCTTCTTGCACATAGCCTTTTATTCTAGGTTCAGAGCATATCCCCTTGTCCGTGCCTGAGGCCGTACGTTCTCTAAGAAGCGCGTTTGTCGGCCTGGGGTTGTTTGAACAATGTTGATCAAGCAAGGAAACGCGTCCATCATGTGACCCATTCACTTTCACGTATGACAAATCATGATGCACAGATTGTGTGTACGTTATTGTGTTTTTTCACACTCCTGTTCATTTTCGCACTCTTTGTTCATTTTCCCCACCTTGCATCATCGTCATCACACCACAACGGGGCGACTCAAAACTCCAAGGACAAACGACCTGCTCATGCCAACCTTTTCTATGCCACCAACCACTGGACTCATTTCCCTCACGACAGCTCTCACTGGCACTTGATGCGCGTCTCCCCACTACCGCGACTCCTCACCCCTCGCTCTTCGCTGGGTGTCCGCTGTCTCCCACCAACACCCTCTACCCTTCTTTGTAAGTGCTTTGCTCAACCCTGCATCAACGTCTTTTCACCTTGACAGCAACACGCACTTTTCCTCACACTCTGGACGACTCGACTTTGTCAAACGTCCCTTTCTTTCTCCGTTGTCAAGTCTCTTTCAGTCCTTCTACTACCTTTCGACTTAATCCACTTTGTCCTCACCCTTTCTCAAACCCAGTCCATCTCACGCCTCGCCTCGCCTCCCGACCTCCGCCTCCAACCTTCCTATAAACTGACTCCATACAACGCCTTCCTTCCTTCGGTGTGTTCTTGCATATGAAAAATGCAGCACTGCTTTCATCTGGCAACTACCTTACCCTCGTCCTTTTTGCGATATTGTTTCAACAAATTGTATGTCTAATCGATGCTCGATACATCCTGGCACGCTGTTATTGTAGGTCAGCCTTTGGGTCTTCCACGATGTGCATTCTCATATCATGGCGTGGCATGGCAAGTCAAGGGCATCACAAGATCCTTCGAGGTGAGTGTGCGTCGACCAGCGACAGCACGATGTGAAAAATGGTAATATATTTGATACAATTGGGACTCTGACTGTGACGAGGAAAGAGAAATATTAATTTGATGTGTGACATGTATGTGCAGGGCGGAATGAGACAACAAGAGACAGAGGCGGGGATGCTCTTTACGAGGTGGCGTCGGGAAGATGTGCTTGATTGACCAACTCTGATGCGTTGTCGTTGTCGGTATCCGATGAGATGTGAGCGGTATAGAGGCACTTCTTGTCCTTGTCGTTGATCTTCTCCTCGGCGATGTTGGCGTTGGTGGTGTCGTGGTCTTCCTTGGCGGTTTCCTCACTGGCCTCGGCGATGACAGTGCTCTTCTGTGCCTCCTTGCCCTTATCACCCTCCTCGGCTTGGGCGTCCTCGATCTCCTGGGCAACCTTAACCTCGGCATCGTCGTCATCGTCGCCATAATCATCATCCTCCCCCCCTGAGGTCTCCAGCTCGTTCTCGTCATCCAGCTCGTCATCCTCCTCCTCGTCTTCGGTACCGTCCTCCAACCACCAATCATCATTCTCGGGCGATGATGGGTCTCTCGCCTCGTTTGAAGAAGGCGGGAAGACATGTGGCGGACTAGAGGGGAAAGGGGACGAGGAAGAGGAGATAACAGGATTGGATATTGTAGAGGCAAGAGATGATGATGTTGAGCCCTCCAGTGCTTCAGATGTTCCACGCGCTGCGCGCTTGCTGGGCGTGTCACTCGCATGATCTGAACCCTCAAGGCTTCTTTTCTCCTTTGGGATGTACTTGTCGAAGAAGTCGTACCTCAAAAGATCGCGGATGGTGGCCCTGGCGACTACATTTACAAAAAGAAAACGTAGTTAATTACATGTTACTTAATTCTTTTGGACACTTTTTGACCTGACTTACTAGATGACACTCACGTGGGGATGGATCTAAAGTCCCTCTAAGGACCTTTGTGGCAAACTCGCTGACACCTTCAGTGGCCACATCTGGCCAGCCCTGACGATCGTACTCTTTTCCAACGAGGAGCCGGTATAAAATCGCTCCAAAGGCGTAGGCATCAATGGCCGGGCTAAGCGCGTCCGTATTCGCCATCTCTGGGGCGTGATACGCCGTTTTGACCTTGCCATAACTACGAGAAAGAATAAGAGTAAGTATGTTGGATAGAAAAGATATGCTCTGGTGTCTCATGAAGTAAGTTTGTCAAATATTTAAAAGGAACTTACAACTTTCGTCCATTCTGCTTATAACAGGACATGCCAAAGTCGGCCACCTTGGCATTGCCATTGTCGTCGATCAAAATGTTACCCAGTTTAATGTCTTGGTGGACAAGGTCAAGGGTGTGAAGATAGTGGAGCGCCTGGACTACACCCGCCATGAGTGGAGCGACCTGCTCCTCCGGCAGCTTTGTGCTGTGGTGATTCTTACTAGCATCCTCAAGCAAAGTCTCCAGACTCTATTTTTCAAATGTAAGTTAGTGATTGGTTTTTGATATCGATTCAGGTACATTACGCAGTATTGCTATAATCGGCTTACCCCTCCTTGACATTCCTCCATGACAATGATTATCATGTTCTCGGATTGCAAGTCATCAATGTACTGGACCACATTGGGATGATCTAGACTCTTGTGGATATCCACTTCATCCTTGTATATCTGCCTTTGCCATGGCTCGTCAGGATCGCAGAGGCATATCTTCATTGCGAACTGTTTGTTGCCAGAGTCTGCGCGGGAAACTATCCCATGTCCACCCTATTAATCAAAATGCCACATTAATATCTTCGTTTTCGTTGTAGGTCCATCTGGATATATTTCGGCATCAATCGCCATCGTGGTATGTCGTTACTTACGCTTCCCAGCTTATCAGAGCACTGATACACGTGCTTGCCGATTTGAATAGGGGGAAGCTCCTGTCCCTCTTCAAAGGCCACCTATGATGGTGATGAAGCCATTGTTAGTAACATCTACCCTTATGTTTCTCTTTGTTAGTACTGATCGCATGAACAACACCAACAAGTCAGCGTTGCAGGAACAACCCTCGCATTCGACAAAAGAAGCATGCTAACAACACAGGACAGGATGTCTCCATGCCATCAAGCAGCCTTAATTGCTGTCCGCGCCCACTCACACACATATACCCCAGGTATCCATATCGATACCAATATCTGGACCATGGACACAACACCTCTTTCAGGAATCACCCTGAGAGAGAAGAATTGAAGTGGCCATGGACACAGGAGGGCTGCTCCTCTCAACCGCCACCCCAGACGAATCATTGAGACCAGGACTTGGACAGAATCACCCGAAGATAAGTCTCATGGTCTTCCTGTTTCGTCATGGAACGTTGATTGCGAGAAAGCAGTGCATGGAGAAGGCATGAACATAGATTGCGAGGGCGACGCTGGAATCATTGATAACATTGCCTTGACAAAGCGAAATAAGATAGTAAGCGGGAATAAATGTGCCAAACCTGAAAAAGTTTTTGAGAGTCGGTCATGTTAATGAAATGGAGAAGCTATGGTGGAGAAATCAGCAATGGCCGACGCACTTTAAATTTATATAACTTTGCCCAACGTCCTCCGCTCTCAATTTACCCCGCTAAGCAGCCAAGACGTTCTTGAAGGGAGTAAAAACAAGCCACCGCCGCCGCATGACATGGCTGACCAGAGGTCGAGGGTGCAATGGGGTTGATTTCTCGACGATGAGGGCACCAAAACGAGCGCTTCTAGTCGGCAAAGGTCAACGTTGATAATCGCGGGTGTATGTTGGTTTCAGAATGTTGCCAGGCACCATCGCCATTGATAACGGACGCCAGGTTTGAGTCAAGTCGCTGATATTTCCACCACGAAATCAGTCTCAGGCCAATGATTTCAGCCACTACCGTCAGTCACACGTCATTTCTTCCTCCCTCCTCTCTTCCCTCTTCTCTTCTCTTTTTCTCTTCAAACAGCAACACCGACCGATTACCATCCTCCTTGTCCCTCTTCTGCCCCTCTTTCGACCCATCCAATTCGCCTTGTTCACCCCGAACCTCAAGTCGCTACGCATATTTCCGTGCTGTCCATATTAAATTACAGTCATCACTGTCCTCGAACATCGCCACGCTTTAATAAGGGAAGTTGCCATGATGTTCATAATCCCCTCCCAGGTTCTAGACACATTTGCTGTCGCCAACGACATGGGTATATGATCTGGCGCAGTCCCATTCAAGTTTATAAGATAACCGGTGGCCTTCACTTTTTGTCTCTGCAAAAAGCGACGGTGTTCCCCACAAGTAACTCCTAATTCTTAGAGGCGACAAAACCCTTACTTTTCTGATGGATTGGACACCCCATATCGTTAACGTGGCCGTGCCCATTTGGGCTCCAATCTTGATGGGAGTGAGCGCCTACAAAGATTCTCCGAAGAATTGAGGACTTAGCCAACGGCCTTGTGCTCGGGTTTGGGTGTCTGTGTCAGAAAACAGTAGCAGGCAGGCCAACTGCCATTGACTTTGCCACATACTTTTATCGTCGGCTTTGACTTTGTCCCATGTTGTGGAATTCTGGGGCCGGACCAATTGACTATGCATCTTCCTGAGTGCTCCTTCTAACGTACTCTTTTTTTTCGTTTTCTTTTATTAATAATATATTAATATTCGCTTTCCTGGTTATTTCATCCTCAGGTCAGGCCAAAGGCAAGGTCTATGGCGTCGATGATGCATTCACATTCACAGGATTTTGCCACATGGAGTTTTTTGCCTAAGCGACGTGGGTGGTGTTCCTGGAACACCATTCCTTTTTCTATGTCAGGGTGGCCATAAGGCTTTTTTTCCCTTTGTTTCTGCATTGGAAAACGCTTTAGCCTCTGTCACAGATTCAGGGCGTCGAGGGCAACAAATCCTGCTTTGATGGATGGAGATCTCATACGACAACTACAATTACGGCTCGACCTCTGTCTTGATAGACAGGGCGTTCTCAACGTCATTTCTCGTTATCACCCACGAACCCTCGGCCCTGAATGCAGAATAGATAGAACCACTTGTAGTCGCCTCCTGCGTTCGATTCTTTGGTTTCGTTGTCCTACACCATGCAAGCTTGTGGATGATACGTGTATAGATCAGGAACCAGATATGACTATCTACTGCTTTGTGACTTGGTCCCACTAACTCTTTTCACCCGATTTCACTTCCTCCTATTCTGTCCGCTTCAGCAAGACCATGTTCCTGCGACGGCATCACCTCGACTGTCAAGACTAAAGGCAAGTGAGATCCACTAAACTATCTGCCGGCGTACTCGTATTTCCGGGTAGTTGCTGACACCAAAATAATAGACCCTTGCCTGACATTTTACTCACACCCGAAAACGCTCGTAAAATAAAATTGTACCTGTCACGTGAAATATTTCTTCGAAAGAACACCAGCCCTTGCCTTTCCTTTCTTGTTACTTTGAATTCGTTCCATCATAGCCGATCCGTTCTTTCTCCAACACCACACTTCCGCCCTTCCCCTCCCTCTCCCGCTTCTTCCCCGATGCAACCCCAGACTAAGAAGTACATCGCCGACTGTAAGTCAACTCTTGCTCTTTGCATGTCTCATTCGAGACTTCTCTTCAGCCCGACTCTCTTTTTCTTTCAACAAGCAGGAAGTAGCGAACCACAACCTTTTGGCTTGGCGAAGAGCAACACAATGAAACCGTCTGAAGACTAATGCAGGCCGTCATCGCTGAACGATGTCACCGCATTCGTAATGAAACCTGCCGACAGCCCTGGAGTGCTTATTCTTGTCAGGAACACACTCCCGATAACACACAAGAGTCTTCAGGAACCAACACTGGACAATTGCGGGAACCACAGATAAAAGAACCGTGCTGTCTTTTTGTTCCTTGAAAAAACTAACACTGCGTGTACATAATTATCATGTGGATACCATCAGTGGCTCTATTTGCCTTGTCGCAGGCAGCATTCTACTATGCATTCAAGTACATTATCTCCTCGATGGATCCCTTAAAGACGAAAAAGAAGGATGCACATGAAAAGAGTGCCAAAGTCCTGGATCGGCTCGGGGTAAGGAAGGAATCATTTTAAAACATTTGTGCTCAAATATTTTGTCCAACAATCTCTTTCCTTTCGGAAACGAACAATGCAAGGGTCCTCTCTCTTTCTGCCTGTCTCTCTTGACTAACATCAGCTTGTTTTTTATACGTTGCAATTGGTAGCATCGTGACATCAAGTTGAACGAGTACGAGCAGGTCATTGCATCCGAAGTTATTCACCCAGAGGATATCAAGGTTGACTTTGAGCGTAAGGATTGTTGTTATTCGCAAAGGCGCAGGAATGGGCTTGCAGGACGGCAGAAGGTTAAAGGGGGGATTATTTGTTTGTTTGTGTCTGTGCCTCGCAGTTTTGGGAGAAGTGGAACGTAACCAACTGACCCCTCGGTCCTTTTCCTACCTTGTTCTTGTGTTTGTTTCTTCTCCGTTTGATCCCTTGTAGAGATTGGTGGTTTGGATCCTATCATCCGCTCCCTGCGCGAGAGTGTTATCTTGCCACTCAACCACCCTGCTCTTTTCACAAGCGCCTCTGGATTGTTGGGAGCCCCCAAGGGAGTGTTGTTGTACGGACCCCCCGGATGCGGAAAGACCATGTTGGCTAAGGCCCTCGCCAAGGAATCAGGAGCAACGTTTATCAACATGCATGTGTCAACCTTGACTGACAAGTGGTTTGGAGAGTCCAACAAGCTGGTTGCCGCCTTGTTCTCGTTGGCCCACAAGATGCAGCCCGCTATTATCTTTATTGACGAGATTGATTCGTTCCTGAGAGAGCGTCGCAGCAACGACCATGAGATCACCAGCATGATGAAGGCCGAGTTTATGAGCATGTGGGACGGTCTGACAACAGGAGAGGATACCCGGATCATTGTCCTCGGCGCCACCAACCGGCCCAACGATATCGACTCTGCCATTTTGAGGAGAATGCCCAAACGGTTCGCCATCAAGTTGCCCTCTGAAGAGCAGCGCATGAACATCTTGAAGCTGGTGAGTGCCTCCTTGGCCATTGTTTGCACCTAGAGTTGGCGTTAAGGGCAACGTTGTATCCGTTGATTTAAATACTAATACCCATTGGTGTTACTGTTTATGCTTGATGAAATAGATGTTGGCTAAGACCAAGCTTGACCCTAGCTTTGATTTCCGCAAGTTGGTCCAGAAGACTGCAGGATTTTCAGGAAGTGATTTGAAGGAGGCCTGCAGGAACGCGTCGATGTTGCCATTGAGAGAGTACCTGAGGGGGAAGGGATCAGACACTAAGGGCGCCCTTGACGGGGTTGTCTTGGATCGTGATGAGGTTCGCGCCTTGCGTCTGTCTGATTTCTTCCAGCACGATTCTAACGAGGAGTCATCATCGCATGTTATCCTTGAGCAGACTGACCTGGATTAGAGAGGGGAGAGACCTTCCACTCGTTTTCTTCTTCTCGGTCTTCAACAGCATGGACTGTACAACAGCAACCAAAAAGAACACAACCTAGACACATGTTACATTAATATATGATTTTTTTAAGCGGATACGTTGACATGGTAAGGGAGGCTACGTTGTCAAGTTGAAGGCATGTTTGCGGGCAAAAGCGTTCCTGAAGTGATGAAGTGACGAAGTGGTCATTGAGCGATGAAGCACGGACGACTTTTTCTTTATTCTTACACGTGATGAATGCGAGGAAGCGTCTCTTTCTTGCCCCAACGACTTTGCATCTCGACTCGACATTCCTAGACGCGTTTTTCTTGACAAAACTCATTCACTCTTCCTTCCTTGCTTTCTTTTCTTTCATTCTTACTTTCTACAAGCACACCCTTTCCCATTCCTCAGCACTCCTCATTCAGAATGAACGTCTTGGTCTACTCGGGCGAAGGTACCTCAAGAGCCTCACTGGCCCACACTGTCCGCACACTGCGCTCCCTGGTCGGCCACCACTATGACGTGATGAAAATCGATGCCAAGGGTCTCACAACCGAACCGTGGGAAGAATCCACTTCCCTTCTCGTCATCCCCGGCGGCCGCGATCTCCCTTACACCCGCGATCTCAATGGTGCTGCCAACGAGAAGATCCGTGCTTATGTCGCAGCAGGAGGACGATTCTGGGGGATCTGCGCAGGCGCCTATTTCTCGTCGGATCGGATTGTTTTTGAGGTCGGAACGCCATTGGAGGTTCAGGGTGATAGGGAGTTGAAGTTCTTTGCAGGCGAGTGTCACGGGGTTGTTTATCCGGGGTTTGTTTATGACTCTGAGCAGGGGGCTAATGCTGTTGGAATCCGGTTGGAGGAGGAGGAGTTTGGGGGTGAGAGGTTGGGGTTTGAGGAGACGAGGGTCTATTTCAATGGTGGTGGGTACTTTGTTGATGCTGAGAAGCAGCCTGGATGTTCGGTCTTGGCTTGGTACAAGGACACTGATGGTAACGAAGGTCAAAAGGCGGCGATGATTGTGTGTCAGGTCGGACAGGGAGTGGCGCTATTGACAGGAGTCCATCCAGAGTACGACCCCGCCCATCTGGATGCAGGAAACCCCGAGTACGGACCCTTGCCTAACGTGGTGTCGCGGTTGTTGGAAACGGATCAGCAGAGGCTCTTGCTGGTAAGAAGTTTGTTGAAGAAGTTAGGACTCAAGTTGTCGCAGCCCGAGGTTCTTCAGGCTACTGATGCCCCCCAGGACGCCGCCTTTGTCGCCCTTCCTCCAGGAGCCATCCTAGGAATCCCCGACCTGACGCCTTTGTACCTTGCCTCAGTGGAGCCCGCCTACACGACTCTGCTGGCTCATTCCTTGAGGTCTATTGCGACAAGCGAGGGACTCATTAAGGAACCCAACGACACCTTCCAACTGATCGCATCGCCTCAGCACACGATCCCTGTTCACACTTCGACACTTTCAGAGACCGCAGAGGGAGAGAGCGAGGAGAAGGTGATCAAGAACCTGGTCGTCTGCCATGACGGAGGACCCCCAGCCTCGACCACACCCCAGTTTGTCATGAACGACTATTTCCAGCACTTGAAAAAGATTCGTCCACCGACTCAAGATTTCACTTTCGGAAACTCGCTGTTGTATGGAGAGGTCGTTTCTTCCACTCAGACGATGCTCGACAAGAACTTTACGTTATGTCAACATCTCCCCACAGGCTTTGTCTGTAACGCGACTATCCAGACAGCCGGACGTGGTCGTGGACGCAATTCTTGGATCTCTCCCCCTGGATGTCTTCAGTTCTCGATGGTGTTGAGACATCCCTTCCAGGCTCGTCATGCGTCGGCGGTCTTTGTGCAGTACCTGGCTGCGTTGGCGATTGTCGAGAGCGTTTGCTCCTTGCCCGGGTATGAGGAGGTACCATTGAAGCTCAAGTGGCCTAATGATATCTATGCGGAGGCACCCCTGGAGGAAGGCGAGGAACCGGCTCCTGAGGGTACTGCACCTCGTATGGTTAAGGTTGGAGGTGTCCTTGTCAACTCCAACTTTAGCGGCTCCGAGTTCCTTCTTGTCGTCGGTAAGTCTCCCCTTTCATGTCTCCTTCACAACAATTGGCGGTCTTGAAATTATTACAGTTCTAATTATTTGCTTGTTCAATTTTTGTTGCTACAATTAGGTTGCGGAATCAACACGACGAACCCTAACCCAACAACGTCCATCAACCACCTAATCCGATACCACAACAAGAAGACTGGCAAAAACCTCGCCCTCTTCACCCAAGAAACCCTCCTGGCCCACGTCCTCGTCAAGTTCGAACAAATGTACACCACCTTCCTCCATGGCAACGGCACCGGGTTCGCCCAGCTCGAACAGACTTATTACAAACGCTGGCTCCACACCGACGCTTTTGTGACCCTCACCACCATGACTCCGCACAGAAGAGTTAGGATTCAGGGGATCACGTTGGATTATGGATTGTTGAAGACTGTCGGTGTCGATGGGCAAGGGAGGGATATTGAGGGAGAGGAGTTTAGATTGCAGCCGGATGGCAATTCTTTTGACATGCTCAAGGGTCTTATTTCGACAAAGTCGTGAGGAAGGATTCTTATTTTATATTAAATACGCGTTTTTTTTTTGTCTGGGTCTAAGCTGAGATGGTTTTTGAGTAGACTTTGATCTTTGTAAAGATGGCATTCGAGATCCCCTAGCAAGGGGCAGATCTTGCATAATCAGGGTCTCTTTCGGATACATCTTCGAGTCTGGCACACTTAACCGGGCAATCTCGACATCGGGCAGGAACAATATCACAATGTGCATCTTGACCATCACGTCGTCGTACTTCACGATGCACATGTTCTGGTCGTAATGCTCCAATGTGCTCGTGAAGTCGGTGTACTTGAACTTTAGTATTTGCTCCTTCGCCTCCTTCGATTCCTTCTTGTCAGGCTCGTCGGGGGGTGATCTCAAACGTACCCCATGCAGGGTGGCTGTATTTACAGGCATAAGCCGCCAGATTATCCGAGAATGTTGGGGGGTGCCTTGTCATCATCACCATCAGGGATAGGTAGGATGATCCCGTTCTCGCAATGAAAACGGCATCTGCGTACGCTTTTCTTGTCAGTGGAAAGGACACGTCCTTTCATCCAGTCGTTCTTCGTCTTCGTCCCTCGTCGTCGTTATCGTACAAATCCCACCATGACACCCCAAGAGGGGGTGGGTGAAAGATGTCAAAGAATAAAAAGAAGATAGAGCTGTGTTGTTTTTATTACTTGATAGTTTAACTTGTCAAAACCTTGGTCTTGGAAAAGACGGCGTCTGAGATCCCTAAGGCACCGACGACGTCTTGGATCTTCAAGTTCTCCCTCGGAAACTCGTTCGAGTCTGGCAATCCTTGTTGTGATGTCTCCGTGTCCGGCAGGAACGACATCAGGACCTGCATCTTGAACAGCACGTCATCGAACGTTGCAATGAACGTGTTTTGATCATAGTGCTCCAAAGTGCTCGTGTACTCGTTGTACCGGAATCTCAGGACTTCGCGCTCCTTCTTTTTTTCCTCCTCTGCTTTCGTGATAATTGTTGATGATGGATCCTTGCCCTCCTTTTTCTTTTCCTCCTCCTCCTCCTTATCACCAAGGGTGATATGAAACTCTCCCCAGAAAGGATCGCTATACACCCCAACATACGCCTTCAAATCGTCCGCAAACATAAGAGGATTCCTATCAGCGACGGCAATAGGCAAAAATACCCCGCCTCCAATGAATTCTATTCCAGCATACCCTTCCTCCGCTATTGGGATAGCTCCCTTCTCGATCCAACTATCGTGGCCATTCTCGTCCTTGATGGTCTTGACGCCAGAGATGTTCAACATGGGAGTTGCGATCGAGAATTGGAGGAAGGAGTTGACGTGGCCGAATACGCTGGTGTTGGCTAACATAACGACGACTAGGTCGTGGTCGGGGAAGAATGTCACGTCTGAAGCATATCCTATGTCACCGCCACCTTTGTAAGTAAATGTTGAATGGATGGAAAGGAGTTGTTAGGAGGAAAGAAAAAAGAAGGAACGACAATTATGCCTTTTTTTTTAGTTGCGAGACCGAGACAAAAAAAAGGAAGGGTCCTTCTTTCTTTAACAAAACTTACTTGCATTGAAATACCGTTGGCCACAGAAAGAGTCTAGCATCCACCCGAATCCATAAGAATAAATGGGATCAAACTCTGCCCAATAATTGGGTTTATCACTCCAGTCGAATGTAAAGGCCTTCAACGTCTCCTCAACACTCATCCTGTTCAAAACCTGCTTTCCATCCACGGCACCCAGATCCATGATCACCTTCCCCCACCGGACTAGATCCAGCACGTTAGAGTACACATCCTCCGCAGCAGCCAGAGCCATGTACGGCTTCTCATCCAAGGGAAAAATCCTAGTCTCGCCCTTCTGAGCGCCATCGAGCGAGTAGGCCATATGCGAGAGTGCATAGTTCTGAGAAAGCCGCTTCATATTGGACTGTGAGAATCCTGTATTGGCGAGTCCGAGTGGGTGGATGACTTTGTCCAGGACGAGTTGTTCATAAGAGGCTGCTCCTGCGACATGGGCGGCGGCTTCACCGGCGACGGCGTACATGACATCGTTTGATTTGAAATTGGCGCCGAGTTTTTGTGTGGTTTTGTCATGGCGAAGGTCCCTGATGAGCTCTTTCCGTGGTTTGGTGCTGTTGTGCCATCTGAGATAGTTGTCTGGCAGGCCCTAGAATAATAAGGTTTTTTTTTATGCAAAATAAAAATAAAAAGAGATGTTAAAATAAAAGAATAGGCGATGCAAAAGATAACAAAAAAAAATATACCTAAAGTACTAAAGTAGATGACAGGGGGGGGGAGGAGTCAAGAAAAAAACAACTTACTGAGAGCTCGGAGAGCAAGTCGCTAAAGGTAATCTGAGACGTGAGGACGGGGTCTTTGAGCTGGAAATCAGGCAGATAAGTGCTGATGGGTGTCGTGTTCCAGTCTACTTTCCCCTCTGCGACCAGTTCGCCGATCGCCGCCGCCGTGAATGTCTTTGTCAACGACGCGATTGGTTGCAAAGTCTAAAAATTTCATCAATCACACACGATCGATCAATAGAACGACAAACGTGAAGAAAAATGGATCGGTCAGCAAAAAAAAAAAAAAAAAGTTTCATTATTCTGTCTTGTGTCCAATGATCCATCTTTGCTTTCCTCTCCTTGTTTCCTTTTTCATCCGGTTCCTTATGACTTACTTCGATGGTGTAGGGATCGGTCTGGTTGCGTTTACCAAAAGCTTCTGCAAAAACCAATTGGTTCTTGTGGAGGACGGCGACACTCATGCCCGGAATACCGCATCGTTGCATGACCCTCTTGATGGTTGAACAGGTTTCTAGGTAGGGAACCTTGGGAGTCACCTTTGACAGAGTGACGATACACATGCTGGACTGGCTTGCTTTTGTTGGTTGAGGTGATGAAGCTGAAAAGTAGCGTCGATGGGGAAGGGTGTGATGTGGGAGAGTTTTGGAAGGAGGGGAAGGAGGGGATGAAAGAGAGCAGGAAGGAGAAAGAAAAAGAAAAAAAAATGGTTTGACAGTGGCTGTTGTTCGGTCTGCTTGCTTTCTATACCATTGTGCCACCATCGTTCTTGCTCTTCTTTTTTCTTTGTTAAAAAAAAACAAGTCACTTGCATTGGAGAAAAAAGAAAAAAACACCAAATGTGGACTTGGTTTCTCGTCTGTACCCGTGCGCAGAGGCTATGCATCGCCCATGGGCAACGAGAGTGTTGAATTCCACTAATTCATTAATTCAACCTAGACATAAAAGTATCGCGATCAAGAAAAATAACGCGTCGCTACATCGGCTGCAATACCCCCCCCCCCCATCGGTTAAAAAAAAATTGGGTTTTTTGTTTATAGTTATGGTTATGGCTATGATCGGCCAGTAATGCGGAATATCTAGACCAGTATCTAATGACGCTTCTTGAAGATCTTCTTTGAGATGCCCACTCCAGCAGGCAGCTCCTGGATCTGCATCCTCACAATCGGTCTCTTCTTCTTATCGCCACCCTTCTCGCCTTTAACCGGATCCACCGAGAACGTCATCAAGGCCCGGAACTTGATCAAAGGATCGTCCATCGTGACCACAAACGCGTCGTAATGGTAATGCTCCAAGACGCTCCTGAAGTCGTTATACTTGTACGTCAACACCTCCTTCTTCTTGCCTGTCTTGGAATCCATCTTATCCTCAAGCTCAACAACAAACGTGCCAAACAAGGGGTCGGTGTACTCGCCAACATATGCGCGGAGGTTGTTGGCAAAGGTGGCGGGCTTGTTGGGGATCAGGGGTGGGAGGAAACCGTGGCTGAGTTCTTCTACGGCACTGTAGTATGCCTTGATCTCGGGGACGGCCACCTCTTCGATCCAGTCAGAGGTTTTGTTGATGGGCAAGTCGAGTAGGACGCTGGCGATTTCGATGGGGAGGTAGTCTGAGATTTGGGTGACCTTGGCAATGTTGGAGGTGGTGGCGATGATCAGGTCGTCGTCGGGGAACATGAACAGATCCGCAGTGTATCCTGACACCGCCCCGTCTATATCGTAGAAAAGAGAAGAACGAAGAGAACAAAAGTGTGTCAATATTTGAATCGCTCTTCAAGAGTAGTACTTTGTTCTAGTTGTTGCTAGTTCAATGAACAGATTTGAACAAATATAAAAGAAACTTACTGTGACGGTAGAAGACGTGACCCTTGTACGAATCCAGCAACCATCCCAATCCATAGGCCAAAGTAGCCCCATACCCATCACGTCGACCTCCATATGTTATGGTATGCGCTGTCAAAGTCTCGCCGACCGAAGTCCCATTCAACACCTGCTTCCCATCCTGAACCCCCAAATCCATCACTGCCTTGCCCCACTTCACCAAATCCAACACATTCGAATACGCGTCCCCGGCAGGTGCGTAGGACATATAGATCTCGTTCAACGGCAAGACCTTGAACTCTCCCTTCTCGGCAGCCTCGTAGGAGAGGCCTTCATGAGGGAGGGCATAGTTGTCAGAGTGGAGGCGTTTCATGGTTTTCTGCGAAAAGCCGGTATTGTTGAGACCCAGGGGTCGCATGACTTTGTCCATAACGAGGGTTTCGTATGATGTTCCGGCAACGTGGGCGGCAGCTTCTCCGGCGACGGCATAAATGACATTGTTGTAATTGGTGGTGGTGGGTTGCTTCCGGGGGATGTCGTCAACGTAGCGAAGGCGCTTAACCATGTCGCGGCGGGAGTCTTTGGTGTTGTACCAGTTGATCATGTTGTTTGGAAAGGTCTATGCATTTCATAAGAAAAAGGAGGGAATAAGAGGAATTATGAGTGGTTGGACAACAGCATGAAAAAGAGCGAAAACATTGGCATTAGAGTGAGTAAGAGGCGTACTGTATGGTGGGACAACATGTCGACAAAGGTGAGCTGCGAGGTGAGAATGGGATCCTTGAGCTGGAAATCAGGCATGTACTTGCTGACAGGCGTGGTATCCCAATCCACTTTACCCTCCGCGACTAATTGGCCTACAGCCGTAGCCGTGAACGACTTTGTCAACGATCCAATGGGTTGGACGGTCTATTTCGTAGCAAGGTAAAGAAAAGGACCTGTTAGTACACGTTAATCTTGGTAGGAACCATCCCTGTCACACAAAATTACAGCCTCTTTGTAATCAACATACCTGTAGAGTGTAAGGATCCTTTGTGTTACGTTTTCCAAACCCATCAGCAAAGACGACCTTGTTATTGTGGAAGACCGCAATACCCATCCCGGGGACCCCGCATCGTTCCATGGCTCGCTTGATTGTCGAACGGAGCTCGTCTTCGTTCAGCTTGGCGGATTGGACTGCTGCCGAGAGGGATAGGAGCATCACCAGAAGAGACCTGACGACCACCATTGTTGTTTTGTTTTTTGTTTGTTTGTGTTTTGTTGCGGGATTGCTGTGTTGCTGTTGTATTTGTGTTTTGTGTTTGTGTTTGTGTTTGTTGATGAAGGGAAATGCAAAACACAAGCACGCTCTTATACTTTTTTCTTCGTCGCAGAAAATAAGGCCTACCAAGCCAATGTCAAAACCTTCCCTTCTGCGGTGCTAGCGTGGATCTGGCTGACGCCAAGCGGCAACCCGTGCCAGCCAGTAAGGTAGGCTGTAGGGGCAAAGGACTGGGCTGCGCAACGTGCATTAAACTCAAAAATGACAATGACGGTGACATGATGAATGCGATCATGCCTGTGGGGCATGCTAGTGGTGACACCCATTAGAAACCAGTTTGCCTTTTTTCTTTTACCGAGGAAGAGGGCCCCAACCCCACTGTTTGAACTAACATGAGTACCAGGCTTTTGTTCATTTTTTTTCATCTCCAGCCACAACTGCCTGTCGATCATCATCCATGACGGTGTCATCAGCCCTGATCGATCTGGTAAATCAATTATCATTCCATGGCTCTCCGCATATTTTATTCTCTCGCTCGCATGCGCTTCAAAAGTCGACTCACTATCGAAAAAAAACCCCTCATAGCCCTCGCTCGACTTTCAAATAAAGGTCACGTTGGCGGGTCCATCAACTGCCTGCAGGTGGATCGAGCCTAGGGTGAGATAATCGTCCTCGGCGCGCATCTTCTTGCCCTTCTTCAATGTTCTCTCTGAATGAGTGAATCGGAGGATGTGGTTGCTTCCTGGGTAGGGGTTCACTGTTGCTGAGTGGCGACGGGAGGAGGCGATTGCCAATTCTCCTATGAACTTTTCCGTCTATTGAAAAGAGAGAGAGAAAGCAGAAGACAGGGGTATTAGCAATGCAAGAGGAGGAGAAGGCAGAAAGGCGGCCGGGAAAAAAAGGGAAGAGAGAGACTATAGGAGGTGACAAACAAAAATGCATATGATACATATTCCCTCTGCACAAACAAAAGCAAAAGAGAATAGGAACTCACCACCTCAAGAGCTGTGTTGCGGTCACTGACAGCATCCAGTATCAACAACTGTAAATCCGGAATCTCAACCCTTCCCTCAATCACCCCACCCTCCGCGCGAGCCATGACCATTACAAACCCACGGACATACCACGGGCTTAACAACCTCTCTCCTTCCCTCAACACCATCCGGATATTGCCCGCATGAGTGACCAGACTGAAAAAATGAACCACTTCATCGTCGACGGGGTAGACCTTTTCGGGATCGAAACTGAGCATCGCCTGGAGGGCGTTCATGGTGATATCGCCCTGCTGGGGGCCCGGACGGGTTTCCCTCTCTCAGACGAGCCCATGTAGTCGATGTAGATGGATCCCTTTTGGTGGATGCGGGCGTAGAGATGTCCGACGTGCAGGGATGGTGTCCTGTCGTCGCTGTCGTCACTGCTGTTGCTATCGATACTGCTGCCAAGGATGATATCGCCCTCGTCAGTAGTAAGATGCAATAGATTGAATCGAGCCTTGGCAAGCGAGGACGACCCCTCGATGTTGAGAACAGCCCCATCAATCGTCAGCTCACCCGCGAAGCCAAGTGGCACCTCAATCCTTAGTCGCAATCGTCCGGCAACAATACTCTCTTCCTCTTCCTCCCGTCGTCCGTGCCCGCGTCTGTACTGCTGCTTGTCATTGTTGGGAAGCTGGGAGTCGGGGGACGAAATAAAGAAATTCACAAACGTCCCAGTGTCACTCTGGACCCTGTCCACCATTAGCGTGGGCTCCTTCTCCTCTCTCATCAAATCGTCATCCCCTGCTACTCCACCTCGAGATACCTTGGCCTCAAGAACACGAATCGTCAACGCATGAACGTTCACAGATTCAATCAACACATCACTCACAAGCCCTCCTTTCTTCCTCCCCTTCCCCTGCCCTCCTCCCTCCTTCCTGAAGGTACCAAGCTGTATCCTGACTTTAGAATCCTTCACCACCAGCTTTGGCGGAACCGCCCGAACACCATCGCCGTCATCGTTGAAGGGCACGAACAGGACCACAAGGATGGTGGCGACAAAGATGAGGATCGAGACAATGAAGAGTGCACATCGCGCCAGACGACTACGGGGTTTGTTGCCTCCTGTGTCCTGGGCTGTTGTTCCTAACAGAGGGGCTGTTATTTTTGTGAGAGGAATTAGAAGGTAGGAGGTGAAAGCGTGAGAACATTTCTTTAGGTGCGATAGGTTGGCTGTGGTTCTTTTTTGTACACTTGTCAAAAGGAGAAAGGTGTGACGAGCTAGCTCTGAATACTAATGTCTTCTGTAGTTCAGCCTCCTATTTTCTCTACTCTTGTACAAGCAGGACAAGTAAAGAGGCACTTACTCTGTTCGGTATGTCCTTGCTCCATGATGTGCGTGTTTGCGTTATGAGAAACAGGGTCGAGTGATGGTTTGTGAGAAGAAGAAGACGTGAAAGAAGAAAGAGCTGTTCTGTCTTTCCCGACAAATCAATCGATCGTTTTATTTGTTGATGTGGTGAGAAGGACCCTTGATCGCACAAAAACAACAGACGCTCGAACCCAAAGGTCTCTCATTTTCCCAGGGGTGGGAAAGGGAGGGGGGAAAGTGGGAGAGAAAGGAGAGAGTGGAGAGAGTGGGGAGAGAGGGGAGAGAGAATGGCACGACATCAGAAACGTGCGTGAGAGAAGAGGCTCAGCCTCACGTTCAGTGGGTCTTGAAGCAGGACTGGATGGCTTGAGCACCTAGATCTCCTCCAGACTCAGCACCACCACCAAGCAACGACGAAGACGACGACGACCGCATGGCCTGGTACTCTCTCTCCGGGAACCGACCGCTCACAGACCCCCTCAACGAACCCGTTTCAACCCCAGAATCAGACCCTGAATAGTTCCCGCCGCCTGCACTCTCTGTCAAATCCTCCAAGGTAGTCCGCCCAATAGCGCTATTCAACCGCGTCAACCAAGACGCCCTAATCCCATACTCCTTCCGATAACTCGACAAATCAGCCTCCGTAGGGATACTCTCCAGAATAGTCCTTACAGTCCACCTCAAACCCAGGTAGACATGCTCAGATGCCACAACACAGAGCAACATCATCCCAAGACTCAACCGCGAGCTGACATCAGCTCCTGTGATATCCTTGTGATCGGCCGCGCCTCGGAAGAGGTAGAGCATTGACGCATTGGTGAGAGACGAGAACCAGGTCAGGTGTTGGAGATGGTCGATCCAGGGTCCGATGCTATCTGTTCTTGAGGGGATGGGTCGTCGGGTATGGAAACAGATCTTGGCTGCGTCTGAACGCAACTCGACCCAGTTATTGATAAACGCACACAGACCCGTCAGTGGCCAGATCACGCTAAACAAGGATACAAATCCAAACTATGGTAGAAAGACCGAAGAGAATGTTAGTTATTGTCATTTGGTGACTGATAACAATACAGCAATAACGAAGTGTTCAGGCGAAATAAAGGCACGAACCTGCTCGACCATTTCGGCATAGTCTTCATTGACATCATAAACAGGCAGATCAACCTGGTTTTGAACAGTCTTCAGAAACTTTCTGACCTCCTCCGATTCCTGACTCCCAAAATCATCCACAGTCGCCTCATCCTCTCCATCTTGCTCATGATGGTGTAACACCTCAGAGACTTCCCTCTGGACCTTGGCAGCACCCTTCATCAGCTTCCGTGACATCCATGGATAAATCGTCTCGGTAAAAAAAGAAATAACCTGATTCGAGACCATGAACGCCCTCAAACGATCCTTGAGCATACTGGGTTCAATCGCGACCGTCGCAAAAGGGAGTCCGTAACTCTGAAGAACCGAAATGAGGCGGGGGCCAAAGGGGATGTAGACGTAGGCTGTGAGGAGGACGGAAAGGTAGCTGTTGAGGACTTTGAAGATGAAGACCTTTTGGACCAGGTGGTAGTCATATGTCCCGTCCGTCTCGTAGTTTTCAAAATCTGTCAGGTTTTTGGCAATGTCGTTGCATAGATCCTCGACGTAGGGCATAGCCAGAGTAAACAAGACTGTTGGTACGTATACCTGATATGGAGCCGAATCAATGGTTAGGGACAAGGATAAGATTGTTGGACACACTGATTTGTACTCAACTGCAGCCAAGGGCGGAAAATGTAAATAATAGCAGGCAAAAACTTACCAAGACATCTTTCATGTATCCACCATAGTAGACTTCCAAAAAGACCTCTACACCAAACATAAAAGTGACCAGGACAGAGAGCGCCAAAGCGCCCGCGAAGATGACCGGCAACCCAGCAACCTTCCTCGCCCACCTCTTCCATGGCGAAAAGAACGCCTTTTGTTCTCCCGTCACAGGGTCCGTCACAATCGAATCGCCCTTGAACGCCGGCCGTCTGTTCTCAGATTTGGTGACATTGCGGACGCCCCAGACAAGAGCCAGTTCCTTTTCGCGCCTCTTCCAGCATTCGATGTAAAAGACTGCCCAGACAAGGACACAGGCGCTGTAAAAAATCGAGAAGGGCCGTCCAAAGAACTGGATGATGATGCCGAGGGCGGTGGGGAAGATGAGCCAGACAAAGTAGTTTTCGAGGTACTGGAAATAGAAGGTGACCTTTTCACCAAAGTGGTCTCGGATCTGAGTAAAGTCCGCCTGGTTGACCAGCCACTTCAATGACCATGTCCGTAGCCACGTCTATTGGTGAGCGAAAGAGTGTGTGTGTGTTTGTGAGTATTGCTATTCCCAGGTCATAGCCCATGCAAAATAAGAGACCTGAGATCAAATTTCAATTGGCGAATGTGCGCAAAAACAATGTTCCCAGGTTTCGGTAGTTGGATCATTGATGTACATCGAATTATAAACAAGTACAGCCCGCAAATGAACAACGTTTCCCCGCGGAACCTCTCTTGAACCATGCGCCTCAAAAAGCGTACCTTGTTGAACTCATCGTCGTGAAGAGGCAGGATACTCTCAACATACTCATTGTCGGTCGGATAAATGCCCGCTCCACCTTCACTGGGTTGTCCTGTAATGAGGTCATGGATCAATCGGATCCTGTCTGCTTCTGTCAGGTCGTCCAGCGATTGATCCCGATCCTTGGCTGGCTTCAGCATCTCCTCGGCCTCGGCCGTATCTGCCACTTTGACTCCTGTCAACCAGTCGTGGATCCTATGGTTTTTGTATGTTGTAAAAAAAATCAGCGTCAATGCATATGCAAGCAGGAGAAGGACTTCAACAGGAATCGTTGCTATTCTTGGTGTCGCACTCGCTTCCCTCCTCTCCCCCTTTTCTCTCATCTCAATCCCCTCCCTCACTCGATCGACACATGCAATAGTCTGTCTTTTTTAAGAGTTTTCTCATGCAACGCAGGCCAAGTCAAGCAAGAAAAATCAACAACACCTTACCCATTCCTGATTGCCTCGCGCTTAAGAACCGCCCACGGACAAAGCACAAAGATCAACACCGTCGCCTCCTTGCTACTTCCTTGAATCACACTAGTACTTGGTCGAGACTCGTATCTGAGCCCAACATTCGCCAACTTGTTCAACACATCCTGGTACGCCTCCATCGTCTCCTCCCCGAGTTGTTGTGCCATGCTTTGGTGGGGTTTGAGGGTTTTGGAAGGCGGCCGTTTGAACTTGAAGACGATGACCAGGTCTGCGTAAAGGTCGCGTGAAGTGGTACAAGGTCCTCGTACTAGGTGTTCTTCTTGCTGTTGTTTTTGTTGCTGTTGCTTTTGGCGCTGTGCCTGTGCTTGTTGGGTGAGGGGTTGCTTTTTGCCACGTCTTTTTGTCAGACGTTGGTGTGAGTGTGGATGGCGTCCATGTGAGGCAGAGGTTGAGAAAGAGGAAGGTGACGAGGAAGGAGGGCTATGGGTTTCAGTCGCACTGTGTCGTGTTTCGAGGTATATGTCGTAAAACTGTAGGTTCTTGGAGTCCGTCGATATTGTTGTTGTGGCGGCGGCGGTGTGGACAGTGTCTTGTTGTTCCGGTCGCTGTTGGTGAAGGAGTTGCTTGGAGGAGGTTTGGCGTTTGGGTGGTCCGCTGTGCCGTTTGCTGTTGTTGTTGGAGTGCTTCATGTCTATGCTTCTTTGTCCTGGTTGTCCTGGGATAGGGTAGGTGTGGGGGTGTGGTGAGGGTGAAGGCGAGTGGGGAAGGAGAGGGCGAGAAGGAGGGGTGAATGTGGAGAAGGACAAAAGTAAGAAAGGAAGGAGAAAGGGTGAAAGAAAGAAAGGAAGAAGAAAGGAAGAAGAGATGCAAGGAAAGAAAGAAGAAGGAAGAAAGAAAGGACCAATGCTCGCTCTCTTCCGCCGATTTATTTATTCCATAGATAGGATTGGATGGGATGGTTTTCTTCCGACTGATTTTCCTTTTGGAGTCATTTTGCGCCCCCTGGACACCACAAGAGCCTGTATGAAATTGAACAAAGGCTGCTGGACAAAGTCAAACGACATTTAGCATCGCGACTACTCGATTGTCATCTTCAATCCCGTTTCTCTTGATGCAAGCACATGGCGCATATTTGTACATAGAATAAATACCCTGGCTTTATGATCACAAAAATAAACATACAAACACAGGCTCTTAATCCTCCTCCTCGGCATTGAGCTCTTCAATGACTTCCTTCCAGACTCGACCCAGATGCACGAAATCACTCAACTCGAGGTAAATCTGCGACGACACTCGGGTCCAAAAGTACCCTCCATGCTTGTAACTCGGCGCGAAAAGATTATACCTATCCAGTAACAGTCGAATCAGATAGTCGGGTGTCTCGATCTTCGGGTGGTTAATGTTCTTGATCGGCAATCGAACATTGACCATGTTTCCGACCTGTTGTTCATGGGGTGTCAAGACATCGGTCCCCAGGATCTCGGCCATCTTCTCACCACCCTCGACCGCCAAGCGATGACAATAGTGAATAATCGCTTCCTCTCCGTACTGCTTGCGGAACTCTAGTGCTCCCTCGATCGACAAGATGGTCGAGTAATCCATCGTCCCGTTCCAGGAGAACTCGAGTTCAAACCCGCCAGACTTGTAGTCACCCTGGATCGCCGTCGGATGAATCGAACTCTGGAACCGCTTGGGGACAAAGAGAACCGCAGAACCGCGAACACTGTACAACCACTTGTGACAATTGGTGATCAAAAAGTCCGGGTTGAGGTATGTCAAGTCAATAGGCACCTGTCCGATTGCATGGGCGGCATCGACAAAGACCAGGATCCCATACGACCTCAACATGTCGACCAGAGCCTTGATCGGGTGCAACACCGCGGGGACCGACGAAATCCAATCGATCATCGCCAGCCGAATCCTCGACCCATCCTTCTTTGCCAAGTGGTCCTGAATCGTCTTCTCGACCTCAAAGACAATCTCGTGATCGGTCAAGGGCATCACGATGGGGACCTCGACGATCTGAACGTCCTTGTGGGTATCACATATGTAGTGAACGGTTTTGTCGACAGAGACATAGCCCGTTGAGAGTTGAAGGATCCTGTCACCGGGGGCGAAATCGATGCTGCGGAGGATTGTGTTGACACCGACGGTTGTGTTCTGGACGAGTGCGAGTTCGTCCTTGTCGCAATTCATGAACTCTGCGAGCTGTCCTCGTACTTTTGTCAATGCTGGCTTCAGATCCAAGCGCACCCAACGGTCTATTTTGTTTTGTTAGAGAGAAGAAACATTGCATTGAGTAGGTGGCACGGACAAGAGGGATTGATTTCAGGGGCTCTGACGACGAAGAGGCATGTTTGGTTTTACGAACCTGGATTTTCCTCTGCCTTGTTATGCCACTTCATCATGTTTTCCTGCACAGACCGAGTAAATGTTCCTATGATACAAATGAAAAGACGACAAGGCACACTGTGAGCAATTGACCAATTGGCACTGCATTCTCTGCAAAAGTCCAACAAACAAGGGTCAATTGATGGAGTTCGAACCATAGGAACCGTGGTTGAACTCGGTCTTGCCCTCGGGCATGAAAAAGTTCTTGCGCTGCTTGTGACCAAAGGGTCCTGGTTGCGCAGGGGTAGGCAAAGTGGAGGAATGGGAGTAATGGGTTGCTGATGAACCCTGTGGGTGCGACGACGACATCTTGGCGAATGAATGAATGAGGAAGGGCAAAGTAAATGAAGGGAGATTGGTGAAGAGAGAAAGGAAAGGACGAAGAGGAGGAAAGGAGAAGGAGGAGGGGGTTGTAGGAAGAATGAAAAAAGGGCAAAAAGCAAAAGAAAGGTGACTGACGCCTTTCGCTGCGACTCGTTGTTCTAACCCGCGAGGCGCACCTCCACCTGCATGGTTACCTTAAAAGTCGCGCTGTCATTTCTCTCCTCTTTATTTGTTTGTTTTGTTGTTTGTTGGGCTAATGGGTGGGAAAGTGGGTCAATAGCGATTGAAAGGGCTGCTAGGGTGAAAACTACCATCGCTCGTCAACATCAACGCTAACCTCCTTCACCTCGCGCTGGATCACAACCTTGTGTACGCCAGTGTGTCCAATCGTCTCATGGCCTGCACCACTCAAATACGCCCTCTCGACCGGCAATGGGAAACTGCTGCTCTGGGCGCCCTCAGACCATGGTGTCTCGCCCCTGGTCTTCTCCTTCTCTGCCACGACAACGGCAGTAGGATCCTCTGACTTTTTCTCGTCAGTCGATAGAGGAGCAGCAGTGGTGGTCGAGGCGTCCGTTGTTTCCATCTCTGTTGGTGTTGCGGTTGTGACCGAGGTATCCTTTGTCGTCTTGTCTGACTTTGACCGTCCCTTCAGACAATCTGTCCAACTGCTCTTGGCTGGTGCTGGCGGCACTAGAGTCGACTCGCTCGAAGATCCAGCAGCAGCATTAGCAGCCTTCTTGACACTCTTCGCGGACCTCGACCTAGCAAATCCACAACACGTTCTCGGCTTCTCACCCGGCAACAACGGCAACGGCTTCGCACCATTGCCCAGCAACCATCCCGTCACAGGTTCCTCATGATGCTTCAGCTCCCAAGCAATCCCGAACGCAGCAATCACAGGCACAAACGCAATCATGACCCACGTCCCCGGGACTGGATAAAAGGCGTCCGTCGATTGGGAGAGCATGACATGAAAAGTCGTCCGGAACCCTGTCTGGACAAACATGTCGAGTCCAAACATGACACAATAGGCACCGCCAAAGGATGTTGCGAGGATGACGGCCATGCGTTCGTATTTGTGGGTCAGGTAGCCGCCGAGGATGATGCAGATCGCAAGGACGACATAGCGGAAGATGTAGTTCGTTACGTTGCCTGCAGTAAACAGGACCGCCACCAGTACAAACCTTAAAAAATGGGAGTTTGGGGAAGTGTAAGTTGGATGGTGTATATAAGATCAAGAAAAAGAGGGTTGAGTCTTTAAGTTGTGGGTAAGAACTTACGATCCATAAGCACCGGTCAAGATGATACCGACATGCCACAGGTAGAACGATACAAGCGCTCCTACAATGCCAACCGACACCCAGACCAGAAAGTAGATTCCTGAGGATTGGAAGGTGCCCGTATTGGTGTTGACAATGATCATAATCATCACCGCCGTGCTCGCTAAATATTTCATTCGGTTTCAATGGGTGTTAGGTCAAGTGTGAGGGCGAGTGCGCGTGGGAAGCAAAAAGGCAAAGATGAACGTGTTCGTGTCTTACACCAGACAAGGAATCCTCCGAGCAACATCGTGAAGCGGATGTACTTGTAGCCATGCAGTACCTCCATTGCTCCGAAAAGAATGAACAGTACTCCATACACGCCTTGCTCCCATGTGAACGTTGACGGCGCTATCGATTGTAAAGATCATAAGGGTCCAACAGTTGTGTTAGTTCGACAAAGGCAAAATTTGAATGCACAGATGCATTAGTTGGACAGGTTCTGTGAGTCCTTTGGATAAGATTACCAAGATAATCGGGTGTCGAGAAGGGATCGATCAGGGTAGTATTGGTGCCGTTGCTGCTTCCGGCTGCTGCTGCCTCAGCTTGTGGTAGCGGAGCAGCGAGTGTGGTATGTACATTGCAGAGGAGATAGATGATCCATGCTGCAGTGGCAACACGGAGAGAGAGATCACTCCTCCCTGCTGGTGCCATTGTTGATATGTTGAAGTGTTGCATGTAGTTAGATACAAGAAAATATACAGAGTAAATATGAACAATGAGGGTAGAGAGATCTCCGAGAGCTGAGGGCTGGAGGTTCAGAGTTATGACAGTGGCGTAGATGGATATGCGCGGAGGGTGTGGTCATTAAAAAGTGAAAGAGGAAAGGAAGAGAGAGCTGCGATCGTTACAAAAGGGTGCTCTGGAGGTGAAAAAGAGGGTCTGAAGTGTGAGAGGAGGGTCCTTTTGAGAGGTATGTGAAGCAGGCTCTGAATGTGAAGGGGGAAGAAAATAGAAAAGGAAGTAATGATGAATAGTCGTTAAAGACCTCTGTAGTGGACCAGGGTGGACAAAGGAGAGGCCGAAGAGGAGGAGGAAAGAAAAAAAGCGGGACAAAGAGGTGCAACCTGCAGTCCTCGTCGCATTCTTCTTTTATTCTCGACGGATAAAAAGAGAGGATGTTTGTTTGAAAATGTCATTGTTGATGTCCCTTTGACACTCGAGTGCAGGAGGAAGGAAAGGAGGGAGGACAGGAGCCCAAGGGTCAAAGGAAAGAGAGAGTTGTCTTTTGTGCATCATGAGGTCGAGCAGGGTGTCAGGTCATGTTGTCCCTTGTTGTCCCTCCATAGCACGCTTTTGCTGCCTCTCCTTTTTTTCTCGATCTGAGCTGGCTGGCTGGCGTAGTACTCCTATTTGACAAGTCTGTACCTGAACAAGAAATAGGGGTTGTAAAAATCAGACAAACAGACGACGGGACAACAACAACATCCTCCCTTTCTTCCACTTTCTTCGAGACTGACCAAGCGCATAACTTCTTCCGGAGAGAGGATAAACAACCAGCTTACTGGGGCTAAGTAACATTCAAGCAACTTTCTAGGAGCAAACAGAAGGACTAACGACGCTCCGGGATGGATCAAAGAAAGGCGACAAAAAAGTTGTTAAGGAGTACGCCACCAACCATCAAGCAGCCAATGAAGTCCTGCCAAAAGAACTGGGAGTGTCACACCTCTTGAGCAAGGGCCACGTTTATGCAGAGGTGAACACGGCTTGTTCTTTTCGCTTCCATTTTTTATTCTCATTCGTCACTCGCTTACCTTGGCTTGATACTTCTTCTTCACCTCTCTTTCCCACCACCAACAACAACAACCAACAACAACAACTCTCAGGAAACCAAAACCTCAACACATCAGCTTTCAACACGACATGAGTTCAACTTCAGTCTGGGTTGCCATCACTTACATCGGAGGATGGATTCTCTCCATGCGAATCTTTGGTTACTTCTGGAAGAACAGGAAACTGGGTAAATAAAGCAATGACAACCATGCCCAACTCACACTTGAACAAACCGCGTCCCTTTTTCAACCAAGCAAGGCACCTAACATCCCTAACTCTCTCTCTCCCTCTCTCTCACTGTCTCAACATCCATAATAGCAATCAACAACGCCGAACCCTGGTTCTCAGAAAACATCCCCAAATCTCAATACATCGCCCTCCTCCAACAAACCGACCCCGAAGCCACCGAAACCCAACTCAAAGCTGCCCTCCTCCGTCGAGCCGTTGAAGGGGTCGCCCGAGTCCTTTCAATGCGGGAGGATAAACAGGTCTTGGCGAGTTTGGTCAAACAGGGGACGGTAGGGGACGATATCTGGATAGAATTTACATTGTCGGAAAAGGAGCTCGAGCAGGAGATAATGGCGATTGTGGCAGAGGCTAATACGTTCAAGGAAGGGTGGGGGCAGACTATCCTCCAGACTGCTAGCGAGGTGGTAAGTATGAGCGAAGATGGAAAAACGATTAAAGGGATTCATGGGTTTGCTTTTGTTTCTGACAAATTGACACGAGGTACTCAATGTTATTGTTGCTATTGTAATAGTTGATGCATGAGAAGAACAAAAAGACGGAACAGGAGATGAAACTGAAGCGGGAAGAGCAGGCGCGGCAAAAGGCGCTCAAGGAGGAACGCAAGGAACAGACGAGGTTGACCAACGAAAAAAACCGAGAAGCACGTTTGGAAAAGGAGCGTGCCAAGGCTTTGCAGGAACTATTGACCGAGGACACTCCTAAATCACCCAAGAAACCCGCTTCTCCCAAGCGTAAGAAGTGAGCTATCAGACCTGCTCTGTGACGCTTTCAATAATTACATCATCAGTAAAAGTCTGTTAGCACAGCCGCATTTTATATCTATTGTTCATGTCGCGTTGCTGTAAACAATTGAGGGCTGTAGTTTGACAATCGGTAGCGGAACTCTGCCAATGTGCCACACCAGAAGCTGATCCTCACTCCTCCTTTGGTGGGCGGCTGGCGTTTCTTTTGAGGGAAGTCCACGGCGGCCGGCGCTAGAGGAGGCTGCCGAGATGCACTACGTCGCTGGGCTAGGTTGGCAAACTTGTAGGTCGCCTTTTCTGTGATCTCCATGGAGGCATAGTCGTTCCCCATCATGGTCGAGAGGGACTTGATCATGAACATGACCTGTGCTTCGACCACACTTGTCACGGACTGGTGGACTATTGATGAGGAAGGAAAATGAGGATATGTTCATGATGTGTTGATTTAGATCGTCTTCGCGTATTTATCTATGAGTCAGTACAAGGAAGAAGAGGTACTTGCAGGATCCGGACATGGGTCCCCAGGTCATGAAAAGTTGGGCGCCCGAGGTGTACAAGTCCCAAAATAAGTCCTCGCCACCGGCCTCCAAGTCTCTGTAACATCCACCCCTTCCCGTCCAATCCAATACCCCTTGGAAAGTTTAAAGGTACCGCAAACCCCGTCGCCAAAATAAGCACATCCAACTCTTGCGTCACCCCATCCGCCGTCGTGATTCTGTTACCCTCGACTTTAACAATCGCCTCACGATGGTAATTCACGTGGCCCTGTGTCAGCGCCGGGTAATAGTTGTTGGAGAGCACCGTCCGTCTGGATCCGAGCATGCGAGTGGGTGTTAGTTTTGCGCGCAAGATGGGGTCTGGGATTTGGCGGTATCGGTGCCACCATGCTGCGAGGGAGAAGATGGCGCGGTGGAGAGCAGAGTACCAGGTGAGGCTGAAGTAGACTAGGAATGTGCTGACTAGGGCGTAGTACCATAAGGTGGCGTAGAGGAAGTAGAATAGGGGAATCTTGCGGAAGAGGAGCTTCCAAGTGGTGGAGTAAGCGTCGTCGAATTGGTGGGTGACATATCCTGGATTGCGGCCGTATACATGGAGGACCTTGACCTCGCTTTCCGCCACCTTGGGTATAATTTGTATCGCGCTATGGGCAAGTACGATTTAACAAAGGTTAGTGGGACAGCTTTAGTTGCATAACAGCATTCCCATCCACATATCCTCACATTCATGACAAAGAAACAGACAAAATACCTTGCATTGACACCAACAACACCCACACGATTGCCAGCCAAATCCACGTCATGCCGCCACCTAGCAGAATGCCATTTCTCCCCTTGAAACCCCTCAAACTCCTGTGGGATCATCGGTATATTAAACAACCCTGTCCCATGCACCACAACATCGGCCTCATACACGCCCTCCTCCCCCGTCCGCAAATTACTCCACTCCAGCACTGCCTTGGATAATATTGTCCCTGCTGTGCCATCTCTTGGCATTTGGACAGCAATCTCATTAGCTGAGGGAAGGTCGTACAGCTGACGTCTGCGCCCATTGGTCTCTTTCGCAGCCTTCAGCACAATCTTGATTTCCTCAACAGGCCAATGCTCTGCTTTACGCTCTTGGATATTCCTTTACGCACTGCAAACCCGGTTGGACACCTCCGAAATAAATATGTGCAACGGACCAAGTTCATGCACAATTGCTCCTTGTATCCTTGTATTCGATATGTGTACACACCCTCTCAAAGTACTGGCGCTTCGCGCGAGATACTGGCTCGGGCTACGCCCTCACATGATTGGGTTCGTGTGGGAGTTTTGAAATCCCAGGTTCGAAGGGAGAGCGGGGGGAGAGTTGCCAGGAGATGAGAAGGCGCTAGCTGGGTCTTCCTCCCTTCTAAGGACCCTGGTGTCGTCTCCAAGAGTTTGGGTTACTTCGTTGATGGCTGGGTTTGTCATGTTGTCATGTTGTCGCGTTGTTGGTCGTTGTGGGTCTCTTATTGTGTTGTAGTCGCGGTTATGGTTGGTTGGAGTGGTGGTGAAATGAAAAAGGAGTAGATTTGGTGTATCGCTGTTGAAAGTTTTGTCTCTGCTGATTGTTGTGTTACTGCTGTTGTCGCTGTTGTTGTTGTTGTTGTTATCGCTGGTGACAAAAGAAAGGTTTATATTTAATATCCATCACGCTCGTCCTATCCTACTGTTGTCTGTCTTTGTCTGTTGTGGTGTCTGCTTTCTGCACGAAAGAGGGAAAAAGGTCTCACGAACAGGTTCTCTTTTGGGTTAGAAGAGACACTACTTAAGGGGGTGGTCAACGAAACCGCCACATTCAAACTGCGTCATCACGTGATTTACAAAAAAAAAAACTTTTTTTTAATATGTTTTTTTTTGTCAAAAATGTTTGCCTCATATCAAGTTTCGTGGAGTTATGCAGCGCAAGAGAGCGACATACAATTGACCGCGGCCAAAGATAGGTTTGGGGGGGAGGTAGAGTCCAACTTGCTGAAGGATCTGTCACTGAGCCTTATGAATGGTCATCGCAAAGGCGGGCCTGATGGGGAACTGCGTCCTGTGGAACTTGGTTGGAAAGGCGAGGTCATCGTCGGCGTTGGTTAGAGGAACACGAGGGATGAGGACGATATGTCCACGTTTAACGCCAAATCATGATTTCGGCGCCAATCAGTGTGCGTCCTAAGTGTAGAATGATAAGGCGGGTGCCGTTGCACAGACGTTGTGCAGGATGAATGTTTCGAAGAAGGATGATGGGTTGTCCGACCTTGAGCTCAAACATGTAGGGAGGCAAACCATTGGGCGAAAGAGCGTTGAGAAACTCTAGGGTATAATGGCAAGCTTCGGCAGAGTCCTCGTCTGAGATACAGTCCACGACGTTGTAGATGACAGACGCGCCTGACATAGTTTCTGTTGCTAAAGCGTTCATTCGGTCGATTTGGGTGTTGAGGCAAGTCAGGAGGACGCGGTCAGTCATAACTTGGGGTGTAGGCGCTGCGGTGTCAAGGCCAGGGTATATTATGCGGATGAGCTGCTTTTTGGGGCCGTTGATGGTGTTGGGCGGGATGGGCTGGAAGAGGAACTGGGTGGGGATTTCGATGTAATCGTTATGTTGTCCGGAAGTGACAGTAGGTTCGTCCCTCACCGACGCGAAAGAAGAAACTGGATGAACTCTTCATTTTGCAGGTCTTGAGCGACTCTCATATTCTCTGTGAGCCGTAGGGATTCGACATGGCACCAAAGCTTGGAGAATCTAAGGCTTGCATCCCCGATTTACCTCTGGGAGGCACGCTGGACGACTGGGGTGACTTGGCGAAAGTCTCCTCCAAAGATGACCACCTTGCCTCCGAAAGTTATGTCAACTGCCAAGGGTGAGATAATTTCAAAACGTCTGTCAACTGCCCATTTCTTCCGATCCTCGCTCCACTGCATCCGCTTGATCATTGTATTGAACACAGCCTTGTCATAGAGGTTATAGTCACGGGCGGTCGACTACAGGTAATCCAGGATCTCTACCTGGGGTGCATATTTGCGAGACCATTCGTAGTTGGGTGCAAAGGAGAGACTGTAGAGATGCGAGAGGTTGTCGCAGGCACAGCCTGGGTAGGAGTTGAGGAGCCAGGTTCCTCCGAGATCGGATTCGGCCTCGAAGATCTTGTAAGTTGTCAATTGGAGCATGCGTTGAAGCTGGATTGCAGCGCATATCCCGGACAGTCTGTTGGAGAGAAAGAAATGAGTATAGCAAAAAAAATGTGGTGGGTGTTAGTGGTGAAGGCGTACACTTGTCTGCAGCCGAAGGTTTGCTTGACATTGATCTGTGTATTTTTTACCCTCCACCGATGATGGCTATCTCTGGTGTGAACCCATTGGTAAAAGTTTTTGTAAATGCCATGATTTGAAGAGGAACAACAAAAAAGAGGCGCGAAAAAGAAAGGGCTAGTCGAGGGGTGGACAAAGAAAGTGCGGGAAATAGAAGTGGAGAAAGAAAGAAGTGTGGGAGAAGAAGGAAGAAAAGAAAAAGAAAGGAAAGAAAGAGAAAAGGTGGCGACCCTGTGAAGCTTTTTTTACCATTCTTTGTTTCCATCTATTTTTCCTCTTTTTATTGGATGGGTGAACGTGGTATCATGATACAACTCCCGCATTCGCAAAGCAGGGAAATATCGTGTTCACCCCTCCCTCCATTGACGTGCCTTTTGCTTGACTTTTGCCTTTGGGATGGTGTGAACATTTTCAAGAAAAGTGAAAGAACGAACGCGATTGACCGTGAGGGGATGAATAGACTTGACTTGACGATGCACGCGCTTGTCATTTTTTGTTGTCCCATATACATCCCCTATATCCCTTGTACCATGTAATCGTGCAGCGAGGAGCAGTAAGGACTTCAAAAGAAAAAGGGAGAAGTGGACAACTGGACAAGTGCAACATAGCTTCAATTCTTCGAAAGGAACGATTTTGAAGCCTTGCCTTGCTTGTGGATCTTTGGATCTGATCTACAAGAGAAAAAAAGGAATGCCCTTAAGCGTGCCTGAGCCAAATGGTGAATGATCTCCAAGCCAAGCCACCCCCACCCAGAAGTCGCCCTCCTTTCCTTCAACCCCTTCGTTGGGTTTGAAAGGGGGTAAGGGAAAGAACTGTTCTCACACTTGACCATCAACAAAACCTAGCTACAATCTCAACCATGCCAGTGCGACACCTCGACTGTAAGGAAACACATAACTACGGAATGGCGGTCATCGGGCGCACAAGGAAGCGCTGCACTTAAGCTCAATGGATGAAAACCAAGTGGGCTGCACAGTCTTCGTTGTTTTAGCGCTCAAGTCGCGGCATGCTGTAGTTACTCAGATGTCGCGTCAAACAGCAGCACACATTTGGCCCCTCTCTTCCATCGACTAACGTGTCGTCGCTCTACACTCCTTCATTGCGAATGAATGCATGCATAGTCTACACGAATCAGAAGAACCTGATCTCGGTTCAACCCCTGTCGGCTCTCAAGGATATCCGTTTAGGCATCGACGGCAATGTGTGGCTCAAGAAGATTATCTCGCAGGCAGCATCGGAGCAGTACTTAGCCGGTATTGGAGGCACCCCTTCGTGCATGCGCAAGGCTATCGAGAAGGAGCTCGAGGGATTCAAGTATGTCCATCATTCAGGAAATAGATCGTGTGATCTATCTATCAGTCCACTAAGATCACTTCGCAGAAAGAGGACAGTGCGAGCCCCACTGCATACCACGCTGCTTCTAACACCAAATGCCTTTGTTTTCTAAATGATAGGGCTGCTTCGATTCACCCACTGTTTGTGTTCTCAGGACTCACTTTGATCCGCAAGGACAAGTCATACGTCAACGACGACGTCAAGATGGTCAAGAGGAACGCCGCATGGGATGCCGTCAACGCTGGAAAGATGGACCTGGCTCTCTCCTCCTGGAGCTCGTCGTACGTTGTACATCAGCCTGACTTAGTCCACCTTGTCATCAGGATCCTCAAGGAAAACAACATCGACTACATGAGGGCTCCCTACGGCGCCGGTGCACAGGTGTGTGTTCGCATCCACCGATCGGTCTCTTTGACTCGAACTCAACGGAAAGGAAACATTTTGAACATGTGACAGTTGACGCGATTATTCTACGCCTCCTTTTTGAAACAACTGGATAGCTCGTGTACCTTGAACGGAACCCCAAGCAGATCATCCATGCGACCTATGCAGGATCCGAGTTGCTCATGTTCGACATTGACCGTGTCATTACCTCGATCGACTTTACGAAGCAGACCTTCTCGGTTATCTCAAAGAAGGCTCTCCTCCAGGATCTGTTACTATCCGACGACCAATTCTTGGACCTCTGCATTCTCGCCGGATTTGAATACTGCATAACTTTCCCACCACTCGCTACCGAGGGTTCATTCGCCTTCAAGAGCATCCACGATTTGCTGCAACAACACAGGACCGGATTCAACGCCGTCAAGGCATACGCAGAGTCGCCTCAGGTATGATTCTGTAGCCACCTTACTTTCGTAAAAAACAAGAGCTTTGCGCATTCTCCAAAAGGAGGAGGGGTTTATTACTGATTCCGCGATGGTTTTTGAACATCAAATAGGTTATCAAGAGCAACTACGTGGACCAGTTCTGCAGAACGCGATGCGCCATGCGACACCAGCCAATTTTGACCGACGAAGGACACGTCGAGCCCATGAATGTGGCACACGCACCAAACGACATTCACGAGTTCATCGGATACCGCCTTCCGGACGAGGTCTACTACTATCTCTCCCGAGGCGTCATCACAGAGCCTACTTTAAACACTCTACTCTCCGGTAGTGTCGCGGAATTCTCGCCTCTCTGCAACGGAGAGACCAAGGAGTACCGCAGCTTTTTGACATCAGATGTGATGAAGATGAGGGCCCAGACGATTGCACTGCTGAAGGTTCATCTCCACACAGTTTACGACCGCAAGATTTCGATCAACTACTGGTTCGAGAACAGCTCTGCTCCCGAGCACATTCTCAAGCCTGATCCTTCGTTTAAACCCGAGAGCATCTCGCAGTGGAAGGCTGGCAAGAGATCAATTTTGAAGGACCTCAAGCAAACTGGCGTAAGTCTTAATGAAGCAGTTTTGATGACCGAGACGCTACCGCTATTGTTAAACTAATTGTTATTAACTTGCTTGCGACCCTTGTCTAATAGATGGCGCGTCCAGACTATGCATTCTGTTTGGACATGATCTCCAACGCCGGCGACGCGCTGTCGACCATTTTGCCCACGGGTGCAGGAAAGCCCGCACCACTTGCAACCTTGATTGAAGTCCAGGGACGTCACCTCACCAAGCTGTTGCAGCTGCGTGGATTCATTGAGTTTACCCATCAACCTTCAGCCTACGGAAAGTGTATTGTCGATACCTTTAAGATCCACACAACAGCACCCCATGAGTTTCAGGATGCACTCTTCCTGGCCTTGGAGTTGGTCAAGGCGGAATTGCTCACGCCAAGACCTTACAGCCATAACTATACCAAGAAAGCCGTCCTGGAGAACCAGACTGCCACCAAGGCCATCCGTCTCGTCACGCGCACCGCCAGCTTACTCAGCGCGCGCTTTAAGGTACTTTTTTTTCAATTTCTTCACGGCTGAAACTGTAAGATGTCTGTGCTAACCAAACGTTTGCGTATTTCACGTCATTGATGATAGGGAGTTAAATCTTGGGCGGGACCTTTGAGCCGTGACCTGTTGGCGTTCAACAGTATTACCAAGGTATTGACGCGCGGCCTTCGCCATCTGAGCGAGGCAGTCCTCCTGGAGATGCTACTCGGAAACGAATGCCAAAAGGATACCCTAGACTTTACAGAGTTGGCGGCCTCGATGCCCTTTGCCTACGAGCCTTCGACTGTGCTCGGCATCTTGGTGAAGGAGTACCTCGAGCTCTTGACCCTCAACGCCAATGCCAACAACAACAAGCTGGATAAGGATCAGGCTATCCAGCAGGTTGAGGAGCATATTGGAGCGACCTCATTGTCGAGCTTGGCTAACACAGTCAAGGAGGAGCTGCAGAGAGGGTTTGCGTTCTGGGAGGTCGTGTGCGATGCTGTCAAGTCGCTTGCGGCATCGAACGCTATTAGCAAGGAGCTTGCTCAGGAATTCCAGGAAGCTAACAACTGGACCAAGACCCGCAAGATCTAGAACTCGTTTTATGTTGTTTTTTTGTCCGCCCATTTATTCGTCCAATTAAAACATGACCGCATAGAAAAAAAATTAGGCGATACTTGCAAGGTTTATTTTGCTCTGCATGGTTCGCATAGAGTATGGTGACGGGGAGTGGGTTGTTGCAAAGTAAATGCGTGTGCGGACCAAAATGATGGTTTGTTCGGTGCTGCATCCCGTCGACATGACCCTTCCTATGTTAGCGACACGTTTCCAGAAGCAAAAAAAAGGTGGACGGGATAATGGTATATGATTCAGTTTTGCCTATCGAGTTTGGGATGACGGACTGTCGTGAGTTGTTTTGATCCTCCCTCTCTCAATTGAACATATCCCCGGAAGGATCATGAGTCGTCCTGGTATTCGCCTTCCTGCTCCTGTGAAGACGACATGTGACTTCCTTGCCGTGGTTGCTGATGGTGTTCTCCGTCATCCAAGACCTTTGACGACGCCATCAACCTAGTTATCAGGTCATAATGGATAAACGCAAAAAGAAGGTCAAACAAAAACAAAAAAAAAAAAAAAAGAGTCAGTTTGTTTATTCTTTTGACACCGTGTATCTTTACCATATACATCTACTGTCAGTCCCAGCCCAGTCCATAAGCATAAAAAAAAAGGAAAGAAAGAGGAGGGACTTACAGGGAGGAATGAATCGTGAGCAATCGTTTCGTCCATTCGGTATGGATCACCGTCACCTCGACATTCTGTTCGAGCTGTTCGAGATTCTTTTGCAGTTTTTCTAGCGACGCGTTGAGGACTGTGTACTGTGTTGCCCGTGAGGTTGCCGTTGCAATGGCCGACGCTGATGAAGACATTCTGTCTGCTGTTCGTTTGTTGGTTGTTTGTTGAAAGATGTGAGTTGGAGAAAGAAAAAAGATAGTGGCAAAAAAATGCACGCGGCTATATTTAAAGGAAACTGTGCTTGTAAGCCACACAAAGAATTCGTTTCGTGCAGGCGGGCGAAGCAGGATAGAGAACAAGGTCATTAGTTGAAACGACATCAAACAGCAAATGGGACAAACAACGACAATGTAAACAACGATTATTTATTCCTTTAAGATACGGCCTGTACATCCATTAAGCATTTAGGCATCGGTCTTGTCATCCTGACCAGAGGTCTGCTGCTGCTGGAGACTCTGGGACTCGGGCAAGTCTTTCTGGCTGATAACAACAGTCTCATCATCACTGACACCCTTGCTCGACGATCCCTTCTCCTCACTCGTCTTCTCCTGCACAGTCTCGTCCCCCTTCTCGCTTTCACTGCTGTTGTTGCCATCAGCCTTGTCTCTCTCCAAAGTCTCGTCTTCTTCGTCATCATCCTCCAAGAGCTCTTGCCAGTCGTCCACAACCTCATCCGTAAACTCGCCAGCTTCTACAACCACAAACTTTGTCAAGTCCTCAGTAGTTCCAGAGGTGACACTGTCAGTCTGCGACATGCCTCCATCAGACGATGGTCGCGACGCGCTTGAGCCAAACGTGGCAGGGATAGATGCTCCAGTGGCAGCAGGCGACGAGCTAGACTCTTCCTCCCATGCCTCCGTGCTTAGAGTACCAGCAGCCTCCTTGGCCTTCAAGATCCGCTCCTCCTCCAGTCTTTTGGCAGCAGCAATCCGCTCATCGTCATCCAAAATCGCGAACGCGTTGGCTACCTTGGGAGTCACAGCCCTTTTCATCAGCTGGCTTCCTTGACTGGCGTTGAAGAACCTGCGTGCCTGAGATCCACCAACGTTGGTATGGCTGACAACCTCTCCTTCCTTGTTGACCCAGCATAGCTCGACACGCTCGCAGAGGTTGCCCTTGGCTACGACGCCCTTGATACCAGTTCGGAGTCTGACAAGGACTGCCTCGAACTCGTCCATCTGCAAGGAGCCCGGGTGAGGAACAAGCACGGCATCGTCATCCGTCAACCATCGGATACCGTACTTGATGTTGCCAAAGATAGGCGCTAGCTGTGCAGCTAGCTCAGATCGTGTCAATCCAAATGCCAAGTCATGCAAGTAGATCGAGTTAACAGGATCCTTGATCATCGGCTTCCTGAGCTGCTCCACGCTGTTGGTAGACGCCGAGGATGTAGGGCGCTTCTGGCGGCAGGCTTGGGAAGTGAGCAAATCAGGCACGGATGTGTTGGGCTGTCTCCGAATCGTCACACTACGATATGGCTCCACATCCACGCTCTCCGACACAATGTTGTAGTGGGCAGCGAGCTCGTGAACAAACTTGCGGCGATGGCCCTTCATAGGTTGAAAGTACAGGATTGGCTTGGAAGTATCGGCGACCCATTCTGCCAGCTGCTTCTCAATCTTGAGAGTAAACTCCATATTGGCAGTAGCGTAGTCGAGAACGTACGAGTCAAACTCGGGGATGCGTGGGCCACTAATGGAAACAGAACAAACACAAATGAAATATGTCGTCAGTAATCGCAATGGAGGCACGTATTCGACAGTTTTAACGCGGCATACAAGTTTGTCAAGAAAAAGAATGACTTACGGTTCGCCTTTCTCCTCGATATCCAGGGCGAGTGCGACTCGCTTGTTGCGCTCTGCAATCAAACAGTAGTCGTTGCATTTTATCATTTTGGGCTTGCCATCCCAAGGGTTGTCTGCGGTGGCATTACAGGCAGAGTCCATAGACAAGTGGCCACATTTGCAGCTAGATGGAATAATGACGGGGCAGGGTGTATCCTCAGGGCAAGGAGTGTCCCCATGACAGGCAGCTCCACAGCGGTGACCGCAGCTCTTGCGGGGTTTGGGACATGGCTGGTTGCACACATCTGTAGGTGGAATAATACACTCTCCGGCATGGCAGGACTTATTGCAGTTATGGAGGTTGCAGTCCAAACGCTTGCCGCAGACCTTTCCACAGGATGGGTTGCTCTTGTAGCAAGGGACGTTGGGCATCTTGGACTTGCGACACATACACTGCTTGGCGACAAGCATAATGCAAGGGGGGCAGGGTTCGCCATCTGGGTGACAGGGATGGTTCGATAGAGAGGCGTGACCGCATGCGCGAGTTCGGGTGCAAGTGTATCTGCATTTGGGGATAGGGGTACCGCAAGGAATTGGAGGGTAGACCACGGTGCGACCGCAAGCACAGGAGAGTTCGTCAAAGGAGGCGTTCATGCAAGGATTGCAGTGTCCCTTGTGGCAGAGCATCTCACAGGTGTGGACACCACACTGCAGCTTCTTGCCGCAGGTCAGGGTGCAGATGTGCGCTTCCAAAGCTGCCAGATCGCCCTTCTTGCCTTTGGGTTGGCTCTTGGCAGGACAGCACCGGTTGATGCACTGATGCTTGCCGCAAGCGCGAAGACCTCTGCAGGGACGATCGCAGGTAGGGAGTTCATCTCCATAAAGACCCATATCGGAGCAGATGCGTTGCACTTGAGAAGATCCGCAGCGACAGTTGACCGTCACAGGAACCTTGCAAGGTGCGCATGCTCCCAGATGACACTTTTGCATGCAGCGATGTCCGCAGTTCAGTGGCTTCTTGCAGACGCCTCCACAGCTTGGAATGGGATCTAGGCAGGAGGTCCTTATCTTTCCCTTCATGGCTGTCTCGATAGGTTTGGAGCCGCATGGACAAGTCTTGACAACTTCGGGTCTTGCTGAGCACTCTCCTAGTTCGCTGTCCTGAGGGTGACAAGGCTTGGTACATTCGTGATGACCACATGCAAGAGGCCTATCATATGAAAGTTGACATAGCGTCAGTTCACTGTGAAGCTGGGTAATAACGGGCAACATGAACAGGGAAAGGCACAAACGGGGAATGTTAACATACCTGCTGCAAGTCTCACGACATTCATAGAAGCCAAGCTGTTCTACTCCATCAACTAAAGTGGCTTTTGCATCTCCATCGCCACATCGCGCTTTCCGCCCGTGCTTCCCGCAATAGCACTTCTGCTCTTCAAACTCCTCGCAGGGTGGACACAATCCAGAGTGGCACAGAGAGGTACAAGAGTGTTTGCCACATCCTAGAAGTTCGCCGCACACTTGGTCGCAAGATTTTCCTGTCTGGAACGAAAAGTCGGTATCAACACAGCGAAGCTGGAACGAATCGTTGCCACAATGGCAGGACTGGATGGGACCAAGTCCGCCGCATGGAGGGCAGGGACCAGGATGGCATGGGCTAATGCACAAAAGTGTGATAATAGATGGCTATGGTTAATATCCAACTCAAATCGCTATGAAATGAACTCAGGGTCAACCACGATCGTCACGAACAAACTTACTTATTGCATGGATGAGGACACTCTCTTGAGCGGCCACAGAGTTCGCCACAAGAGTGAGGGGTAAGATAGCGGTTGAAATCAGGGTTGTTAACCTTGCCGCAGAAGCAACTGTATTCCTGTGGGATCGAGACCTGTGTGTTCTGGCACCCTGGACATCTCCATCCTGCTCCGTTGTTGTTGGAACCTAATATATCAGTGCAGTAGAAGACTTGTGTGAATATGACTGTAATTAAACCATCACACAACATTTTTAAGCGTAGACCACTACCCGAGAGTAAATAGAATAAATCATCGTACCTTCTGAAGACTTTGTTGCCCAAGTAGAGAGACAATCCAGATGGAAGGCTGCCCAACAGACCTGGCAGTTCCAGATCTTGTGTGCAGGACGAATGACATCCCAGCAGACCATGCAGTCGTATGTCGAGTTGCTGAGGCCGGTGGTGAGAGCGGCCAAAAGGTCACGATCCTCCTCCACAGTATGTACGAACTTCTTGGGTTGGGGGCGCTGAGCGTTCCTTTGGGCGTTCCTTTGCGAGTTAGAAGATTCTGTTGTCGATCTGTCATTTACAGTGGAGGTGGTAGGGAACGTGCGGCCGCCCAGATCGCCTTTACGGTTCCTTTGACGCCTGTTGTTTGAGCCTGTTTGCCCTGATACACGCGTTGCCGATGAACTCTCAGATTGTCCATCTCTGGGACCACGCGTGTGACCCCCCTCGCCACGGTTGTGCGGAGGTTTTGGTGATGAAGTACCGGTGCCGGTGCCAGTGGATTCCTTGCCCTTGCGGCGACCATCGTGACGACCTTTGGGTTGTGCATTCGATCCTGCTCCCAACGCCGAGTCCGATCCAGCGGCTTGGCTTCCAGTGGGCTCTACAGGTCGATCCATATTGATCTCGATATCATCGTCTTGGTGGTAGTCATCGATGCGCGCGCCACCCTCAGGTGCCTTCCTTGGGTTGCGTCCTCCGTTGCGTCGATTACGGTTGTTGGCGTTGCCAACATTGTTATTGTTGTTGTTATTGTTATTGTTATTGCCACCACTTCGTCCGCCCTCCGAAGGCTGTTTTGACTCGCTGTCGGGGTTGGAGGTGTTGGCCTTGTTTCCATCAGGGTTTCTCCGTCTCCGGTGGCGAGGGTTGTTACCAGATGGTGCGCCTGTTTGCGTGGTGGCGGTGCCGTCAGTCGCAGCGGTGCGAGGGACATAGTCCTTGGCGTCGGGGTTTAGCTTGGCAGCGGGAGTCGTCTTTTTGGCACCGCTGGCTTTTCCACGAGAAGCATTAGTTGTGTTGGGGTTGGGCTGGCTACCCTGTTGAGATGAGGACGTGGCAGGGGTGTCACTCATCAGTTGTTGATCGTGAAGAGTAGTGTGAGATGTGTGAAGAGTGGAAAAGAAGAAAGGAACACCGTCTTGAAGAATGAAAAAAAAAAAAAAAAAAAAAAAAAAGGAAGCAGAAGAGAACTGCGGCCGGAGAAGACGAGTCAATCGGCACACAAGCCACCCGCAGTATGATTCTGGACACAATTTGGAGGTGCGAGAAAACGTCCGTGATGTTGACCGACCTGGAACCAGGGAAACCAACCACAAGAGACACCAGGAATCATTCGCGCCAGTCGGATGTGAATGCAGGGTTGTATCCATACGAAAAAGTATATTCTCATACAAACAAAAGACAAAGAAACACAAATATTTCCAGCACATGAATGGTATTTTTATTTCCTTGATTGACGACCCCTCGGCGATCATGTTGCCCTGCAGCCAAGTCTGGTTTTAATCCTTCTTCAAATCCATCTTCTGAACTTCAACACCCTTGCTGGTGATCACAAACAGCTCGAGGTAGTCACCAGTGTAGATATCACGCTCCGTTGCAGATGTGAACGAATCCTTTGTGATGCGCAAGACCTGGTCCAGGGACAGAGTCTTCTTCTGCGACGCCTGGTTCTTGAAGCCGATCTACATATTCATAAACGAGTATCAACATTAGCGGTCTTTTCACACATAAAAACGCATCTCCTGCGCACCCTAGATTACTTCGAAGCAACAAAGAAGTCAGTAGTACGAATAAGCTCCATACCTGGTTGTCCAAGAAAGGCTGGATGAGTGATGAGGCAGAGCCGGCACATCTGCAGGACTCGCGCTCATAGGATCCAACGGGGTCGTAGGTGTAGACTGCTCCCTTGCCCTCCTCGTCTAAACCACCCAAGATGCACCAACTGTAGAAGGGGAAGAAGCGCTTCTGGTACAACATGATCGAAAGCATCTGTGCAACTGCAGCTGTCGACATTGTCTTTCCGTGAGCGTGGTGGTACCACTAATTGTCATAGCGAGAGGAAGAAGAAACGCGTGAGTTTCAAGTCCAATGTTCCTGTTGTGTTTGTACCAAAGCCAGACTAGTCCTTCGATTTGCAATACGCGCCATACCTCCATGCTCTGTTGGATCTTCTTTGTAAGGGTCAGGCAGTCAGCGTAGCAGCCTCCCATCGAGATAACGGTCTTGTCGGACCTATTCCATGAGGAAAATGAACACACTATTGTAAGTATCATCTGTCCATTTTTTCCAATCCATGCAGTAAGTAGTTCCAGCTGAAAAGAGCCAATCGCTCCTGGTCGAAGATCCTTACAATTTGACCGACTTGGGAACATAACGCGAGTTGATCGAGTATCCCTCGCTTAGTCGAGTATCGGCAGCGACAACGCAGAAGTCCTCACCGGCAATGGACAACAAGGTACTAGAGAGTTCAGATAGAACAGACGCGTGTTAGCCTCGCATGGTCCAAAATAGTTCAAACAGCAATCTATCAAAGACAGCTTTAGACAGCGTGAATATTCCTAAACTCGTCAACCAAGACGCGTGTGTCTGTCATTGTCGCTTTTGTGTCTTGCTGTGCTCATTACTGGAAGCAACGTGCACAAGGAGAGAAAGGACCTACCCGCCATTGTCGACATAGGGGTCGAAGCGGTGCTCGATAGGGACCTTGACGGGGTGGTCGACGACGACCTGTCCTGGGTAAGTGGAGAACATGCTTGCTGGTGGTGTTGTATGAGGTGTTGTTTTGTTGAATGTGTCGTTTGCAGTAGAGTCAAGGTTGAAGAGAGAAGAAGTCAAGAGATGTGTACAAGTGCGGGCGAGCGTGAGGTCCCGTTTGAATGTCAACGCAGAAGAATAGCGTGTGCCACTCGTGCGTTGCCTGGAGGTGCGTTACGAGTACCATGGCAGTCACTTTATACAAGTGGGTGACGTGGACATTTGGCGGGGGAGAGGACGCGTGCGAGAGGAACACGAAACCCTCTCTGTCACTCTGCACTTGCTCACTTCTCAAGAAAAGGGACTCAAGACTGCCTTATACTTGCTTTCGCTGCCTTCTGCAATTGACCGTAGACAACACACAAAACGACCATCAAAGGACAACGGGGACTTTACTTTCTTTTTTTTCTTACTTCTCACTCCCTTCGACAATCGACATACACGACACCAGACAACTGACCTTAACAATAACAACACGCACACAAATGGACACCCTTGTCAGCAAATACGCCAACTCGGCCTCCTCGGCCTCATTCGACGACGCAGACAACCTCGGCCAGAACATGGCCGGATGGGATGCTGCCTCCCAGTTCGCCCTCCCCGCCTTCGACATCCCCATGGTCGCCAACGTAAGTTCGTCTGGACCCTCTTTGTATATCAACGCGATACCCTTCTGCTCGAACAGCTTTCTGATACCGCTTCTTCTTTTAACAGCCTGTAGACTTTTTGCGCGCTCACACTGATGCCTCTGCAGAGAACCGTATCCGTATCCAGCACGGAACCACCACCTTGGCATTCAAGTTTCAGGGAGGAATCATCGTCGCCGTCGATTCGCGTGCCTCTGGTGGATCTTACATTGGTACCGTCAGTTTGTCGATCTCCTTCACGAGTCAGGATGTCATCTACAACCAACAATATCATAGACACTAACGACGTGTCTTCCTGTTGACATTGGCTCTCTTTAATAGCTTCGCAGACGGTGAAGAAGGTCATTGAGATTAACCCCTACCTTTTGGGTACCATGGCCGGAGGCGCCGCCGACTGCCAATACTGGGAGCGCGAGCTCGGAAGGAGATGCAGACTGTATGAGCTCCGTAACAAGGAGCGCATCTCGGTTGCCGCCGCCTCCAAGATTCTGAGCAACATGGTTTACGACTACAAGGGCATGGGTTTGTCCATGGGCACAATGATCACAGGATGGGACAAGTCGGTAGGGGATCTACTTTGGAGTATATTCGTTGACTACAGACCTTGATTTCGTGTCACACAACTGCAAAGAACCCAAAGCTGACAGTCCTTCTTTTTCACATACCTAGGGACCACAACTGTTCTATGTCGATTCAGATGGTACCCGTATGAGAGGTGAGCGTTTCTCTGTCGGATCAGGATCGACCTTTGCCTATGGTGTTCTCGATACTGGATATGACTTCAACTTGTCTATTCCCGATGCGCTCGAATTGGGACGCAGAGCCATCTACCACGCCACTCACCGTGATGCTTACTCTGGAGGATCCGTCAACGTCTTCCACGTCAAGGAGACTGGCTGGGTGTTCCACGGCAACTTTGATGTTAACGATCTTCACTGGGTACGTCTTTGCCCAGCTGCATTTTTATATCGTGAGATATGTTGGGAGGATAACCTTCAAGAATCTGTGCTAATGCGTCGATTTAACTCTCTCTTTCATTTTGCAGGAGTACCAAGCCCAGCCAAAGGGACCAATTGTGTAAGCCCTCCTTCGCTGCGATCAGGATATGTACAACAACAACAAACAGGGACAAGGATGTGGGACTCGAAAGTCGGTTTATACAATTGTCTACTGAATTCAAAAGAAATAAACGGCTGGATTCAACCGAATGATTAGTTTGCCATGATCTCCTTGGTCTTGACTTTGAGTGCGTCCTCGGCGTCCTTGATATACTTGTCATGTAACGTCTGGGCCTATTCGTGTTTTTGGACGAAGCGGGGGAGATTAGAGGCTGTGAGAATAGTAATTTGCTCGCGTTAAAGGTAAGATCTGTGTGTGGCCATACTTTCTTCTCCAAACCGTAATTTTCATCCTCGCTCATGCCGGCCTTAAGGTCCTTCTTCAACTCCTTCATGCCATCCTGTCTCAGCTTGCGAATAATGGTTTTTGCCTTCTCCGTGCTTGCTGCGGCCAGCTTTGTGAGCGACTCGCGGAATTCCTTAGTTGGCCTAGTTGCGAAATACAAGGAAATGGTGAGCTCAGGTGGGTCCCATATTTCATGTGGATCATATCCTCTGCGACATGGTCAAGTGACACCCTGTGGCTTGATCGAACTTACTTTGGCACGGGAACGCGAACGGCCTTGTTATCTGCAATAGGGTTCAAGTTGAGTCCAGCCTCACGGATCGCTTTCTCAATAGCACCGGTAAGCTAATGGATCAAGGGAAAAGGAATGACAGTGGTAAGAATACATGCACTTTGGCCTTCCAAGAACATACATGCTAGTGATCCACAGAAAGGTGTCAACCAATTGTTTTACCTCGACATCGTTGACGTTGACCATCAATGTCTTTGCGTCCTTGATGGAAACCTGAGCCAGATCGCGCAAAGGGACCATCTTGTTCTCAACCTTAACACTCACAGGATCCAGAATGGCTATTAGCGATAGCATAAAGAGTGTTTGGTTAGACACGTCCAGATCGATCCATTGAATCATGCATATCACTAGTTGAATCATAAACACGAGCAAAACGTCCTTTATTACCAGGGTTGGCAGTTCCAGCGCGCATGGTCATAAAATCCCTCTTGAGGCGCTCAAGGCACTGGCCCATCTTCTTTTCCAAATCCAACAGATCAAACGACATCTCGCCCGAGGGAGCCAATCCTCCAGAGGACTTGCCCTTTCCCTTGCGGTCATCCTCATCATCGTCATCACCGCCCTTCTTTCCACCCTTGCCACTCTTGCCGCCTTTCTTGGAAGCATAGCCTCTGAGCTGCTGGCAGGTGGAGGCGTTCAAGGCCATAGCCATAGTCTTTGCGAAGGGAGCAGTGTCGTTGACTTTGAAAATAAGTGGTGTGGACTGACGGGTCGACATGGACCAGGTGGCATTGACATTGGAGGAGGCGATTCTCCTGGTGACGGACAAAAAGGTTGACGTGGCGCGCTGCATGGTTGATTAGGTTGTGTGTGTTGAGTGAAAAAGGAAAGAAATGGTGAGTGTGGAGAAAGCCCCTTCTTTCCGATACTGTATGCGGTGCGATGTTGATAGACCCAGCAGTCACCAGCCAATGGTCCGTGTTCGCATCACATGACCATTTCTCAGTGCCTTGTTGACGGGCTTTCTATCTATAAGCTTCTGTGCACTGCTGCGTCTCCTGGCGAAGCATTGGCCAAGAGCTCTTTCGCCTGTTCGTTGTTAGTCTAACAGGATCCATTTACTGCTGCGGTCCTTGTCTTTGAAGCAAAGTGGCAAGGTCATCGAGATACAAAAGACAAATGGACAGAGATATGGTGGTAGCGTGGTGCCTGAATAATTTGCAGAAGAGTGGCTTGACATCGCTGCACTGCGATTCGTTCACCCTTGAGCTGCTGTTTTATCATCTTCAGAGCTCCCCCTTCATTGCCTCTTCTTTTTGCTCCTTCTTTAACCTTCCTTCCTTCCTCTCTGTCCACCTCCTTCTCTCCAGCACACACCTCCCCCAACCTACACCCACATGGCTTCCCATTCAACCCTCCTCCTCAAGAAACAGCTCAAAGGCAAGTCTCCTCTCTTCACTCCTGCCCTCCGTCTCTTCCCTCAACAGACAACCCCCTTCGCCAATAAACCGTTAGTGGCTGCCTGTTTGTCCTATTTGTAACAGACTTGTCCTTCTGCAAAGAAACAAAAAAAAAAAAAAAAAGGGCTCGCTCTTGACCGATAACATACTTGGCCTGCCTTGCAAACACTACTACCTCACACCTGCGATTCGTAGCTGTCATGGTTTAGATGACCAAGCAAATGTCGAGCATGAACTAGCCGTGTGCCATCAACTCGCCTCACTCGCTGGCTTTCTCTCTTTCAGCGCTCCCTGTTTTGTGACCAAGGTTCACGTGAACTATTGCAGCATATGAGAGAAACCGAATCCTTGTGATCCATGCCGACCACATCCATCGTCTTCCTGAATCCACAGTTGTATCTAACCATTTTGTATCGGGACTATGTTTCTCATTTCTTCTTAAATAGAGCTCACCAAAAGTCCCGTCGAGGGCTTCTCGGCCGGTCTGGTCGACGACGATAACATCTTTGAGGTATAGGGCGCACAAAGTGCAAAATGGAAAAGAAAAAAAAAAACGTCCCGAGTTATGACAAATAGGCATGGAGCATGCATTGAATACCTGATGACCATTTTGAAGAGTACTCATACCCCCTCTCTTTGATTGTGAACAATAGTGGGAGATTGTCATTATGGGACCACAAGAGACTCTCTAGTAAGGCTACGTCCAAGCATTTGTTTGTCAAAAGGACAGGACTCTTTCTCAACTCTCAGGAACAGGAGAAGATGCCAAAATCCTCATGCAGCAAGGAGTAAGGATAAATGAAGGGAGGGAAGGATCGGGATCAAAGCACGCATATTCAATACCAAAGGACATGGCATGCTTTTCACCAACGAACCTAAAATGCAGTGTGTTGCCCGGCCGTCTACAATAGGAGCGGCCACCAGCGTCAGCTGTGCTTTTGAGAACCGGGAATCACAGCATGTCATCAAGCTCAATGTATCGCCCTGAATCCTATTAACCAATTCCTCTCAACCTTTCCTGGATAATCGTTCTTTCAACAATAGCGAGGGTGGGTTCTACAAGGCTACCATGACTTTTCCCGTCGACTACCCATTGATGCCCCCAAAGCTCAAGTTTGTCACTGATATGTACCACCCCAACGGTAAGGAGTCTGCTCAGGCATCACATACAAAAACCGCACACTCGCGATACATACATGCTTCCAGTGCCTGCGCCTTCTGACATATATTCTTTGGTTTCGATTGCTCTAGTCTACCCCACCGGCGAAGTCTGCATTTCTATCTTGGTGAGTGACGCTTTTATGCCTTCTCCAATCTCGATGCAATACCGTCTTCAGAAAAACACCGCCACCAATTCTTAACATCTCATTATCACTTTTTTCGAACATTCTAGCACCCCCCTGGCGAGGACAAGTACGGATATGAACAAGCAAGCGAACGTTGGACTCCCGTTCACACTGTCGAGACTATTCTTATCAGTGTCATCTCTATGCTTTCAAGCCCTAACGATGAGAGTCCCGCCAATATCGAGGCTGCTGTAAGTGCTGCAGGGTTTTTAATCGACGGGAGAACCTAAAGACTATCTCTGTTCCATTACTACGCCTTCAATTGAACTAATCTTACCCTATCTTTCCTTTCAAATTTTATAGAAAGAGTGGCGCGAGAACTACCCCTCATTCAAGAAGAAGGTCCAGCGTATCGCTAGACGCTCTGCCGAAGATTTTTAAGCCGCCATCCCCTTGCTCCCTTTTTCCTGGACTTTTCATTCCAGTCGACGGGACATAAACAGGAGCTGGAGAAAATGACTGACGACTCTAATGATTCGACAGGCGCGCTCATGGACGACGGGGGATTCGACCCAACAAATGGGTACTCGACTACGACGGCGCCTTTTTATTTCGACTTGTCAACTACTTTGGAGAATACAATTGATGGAGTAGACCTTGGTGGGGTCGGCTCTTTATCTCCAACTGGCCAGCACTCCCTAGAACTCTACGCCACGACACTCGCCCCTAATAAAAAGTACATTTCATCAACGCCATTCACTGCTCTCTAAGGTCTTTATGATGTTCAATAGCCCTCGCAATTGTAGAGTGGTCGAATAAGAAGACATATCTCTCAAGTTATGAAGAAGCGTTGAGATGTACACGTTGGAGAAAAGACAAATTAATGTCCATAGATGCCATTACGAGTGGGATAGATGCGGAGCAATAGTTGCTCTTGTCGACAAAATGGATGTCAGGCAGGAAATAGGGTGAAAAAAGTTAGTGAGACCAAGTCACAAAGCAGTAGATAGTCATACCTGGTTCCTGACCTTGCCAGGTATCATCCACAAGCTTGCACGGCGGAGGACAACGAAATCAAAGAATCGAACGCAGGAGGCGACTGCAAGTGGTCCTAAATATCATTCCTATTCTGCAGTCAGGACCGAGGGTTGGTGGGTGATAACGAGAAATGACGTTGAGAACGCCCTGTCTATCAAGATAGAGATCAAGCCGTAATTGTAGTTGTCGTATGAGATCTCCATCCATCAAAGCAGGATTTGTTGCCTTCGACGCCCTGAATCTGTGACAGAGGCTAAAGCTTTTTCCAATGCAGAAACAAAGGGAAAAGCCCTATGGCCACCCTGACATAGAAAAGGAATGGTATTCCAGGAACACCACCCACATCGCTTAGGCAAAAGACTTCATGTGGCAAAATCCTGTGAATGTGAATGCATCATCGACGCCATAGACCTTGCCTTTGGCCTGAACTGAGGACGAAACAACCAGGAAGCGAATATCAATCTATATAAAAGTAAACGAAAAAAAAGTACGTTAGAAGGAGCACTCAGGAAGATGCATAGTCAATTGGTCCGGCCCCAGAATTCCACAACATGGGACAAAGTCAAAGCCGACGGTAAAAGTATATGGCAAAGTCAATGGCAGTTGGCCTGCCTGCTACTGTTTTCTGACACAAGCACCCAAACCCGAGCACAAGGCCGTTGGTAAAGTCCTCAATTCTTCGGAGAATCTTTATAAGCGCTCACTCCCATCAAGATTAGAGCCCAAATGGGCACGGCCACGTTAACGATATGGGGTGTCCAATCCATCAGAAGAGTAAGGGTTTTGTCGCCTCAAAGAATTAGGAGTTATTTGTGGGGAACAACGTCGCTTTTTGCAGAGACAAAAAGTGAAGGCCACCGGTTATCTTATAAACTTGAATGGGACTGCGCCAGATCATATACCCATGTCGTTGGCGACAGCAAATGTGTCTAGAATCTGGGAGGGGATTATGAACATCATGGCAACTTCCCTTATTAAAGCATGGCGATGTTCGAGGACAGTGATGACAGAAATTTAAGATGGACAGCACGGAAATATGCGTAGCGACTTGAGGTTCGGGGTGAACGAGGCGAATTGGATGGGTCGAAAGAGGGGCAGAAGAGGGACAAGGAGGATGGTAATCGGTCGGTGTTGCTGTTTGAGGATGAGAAAAAGAGTGAGAAGAGGGAAGAGGGAAGAGGGAAGAGGAAGAAATGACGTGTGACTGGCTTGAAATTGAGAGCGAAGGACGTTGGGCAAAGTTATATAAATTTAAAGTGCGGCGTCGGTCATTGCTGATTTCTCCACCATAGCTTCTCCAAGTCCTTTCCATTTCATTAACATGACCGACTCTCAAAAACTTTTCCAGGTTTGGCGCATTTATTCCCGCTTACTATCTTATTTCGCTTTGTCAAGGCAATGTTATCAATGATTCCAACGTCGCCCTCGCAATCTATGTTCGTGCCTTCTCCATGCACTGCTTTCTCGCAATCAACGTTCCATGACGAAACAGGAAGACCATGAGACTTATCTTCGGGTGATTCTGTCCAAGTCCTGGTCTCAATGATTCGTCTGGGGTGGCGGTTGAGAGGAGCAGCCCTCCTGTGTCTATGGCCACTTCAATTCTTCTCTCTCAGGGTGATTCCTGAAAGAGGTGTTGTGTCCATGGTCCAGATATTGGTATTGATATGGATACCTGTGTGAGCGGGCGCGGACAGCAATTGAGGCTGCTTGATGGCATGGAGACATCCTGTCCTGTGTTGTTAGCATGCTTCTTTTGTCGAATGCGAGGGTTGTTCCTGCAACGCTGACTTTTTGGTGTTGTTCATGCGATCAGTACTAACAAAGAGAAACATAAGGGTAGATGTTACTAACAATGGCTTCATCACTAACATAGGTGGCCTTTGAAGAGGGACAGGAGCTTCCCCCTATTCAAATCGGCAAGCGAGTGTACCAGTGCTCTGATAAGCTGGGAAGCGTAAGTAACGACATACCACGATGACGATTGATGCCGAAATATATCCAGATGAACCTACAACGAAAACGAAGATATTAATGTGGCATTTTGATTAATAGGGTGGACATGGGATAGTTTTCCGCGCCGACTCTGGCAACAAACAGTTCGCAATGAAGATATGCCTCTGCGATCCTGACGAGCCATGGCAAAGGCAGATATACAAGGATGAAGTGGATATCCTTAAGAGTCTAGATCATCCCAATGTGGTTCAGTACATCGATGACTTGCAATCCGAGAACATGACAATCATTGTCATGGAAGAATGTCAAGGAGGGGTAAGCCGATTATAGCAATACAGTATAATATGCTTAAACTTGTCGTCAAAAACTAATCACTAACTTACATTTGAAAAATAGAGTCTGGAGACCTTGCTTGAGGATGCTTGGAAGAGTCACCACAGCACAAAGCTGTCGGAGGAGCAGGCCGCTCCACTCATGGCAGGCGTAGTCCAAGTGCTCCACTACCTTCACACCATTGGCCTTGTCCGCCAAGACATTAAACTGGGCAACATTTTGATCGACGACAATGGCAATGCCAAGGTGGCCGACTTTGGCAATGCCTACTATGGGCAGAATGGACGAAAGTTGTAAGCCTTCTTTAATTATTTGACAAACTTACTTCATGAGACACCAATGCGTATATTTTCTATCTAATACACTTACTCTTATTCTTTCTCGTAGTAATGACAAGGTCAAAACGGCGTATCACGCCCCAGAGATGGCGAATACGGACGCGCTTAGCCCGGCCATTGATGCCTACGCCTTTGGAGCGACGTTATACCGGCTCCTCGTTGGGAGTGAGTACGATCGTCAGGGCTGGCCGGATGTGACCACTGAAAGTGTCAGCGAGTTTGCCACAAAGGTCCAAAGAGGCGCTTTTGATCCATTCACGTGAGTGTCGTCCCGCAAGTCGTGTCAAAAAGTGTTCAAAAGAATTGAGTAAGTAGCATGTAATTAATTACGTTTTCTTTTTGTAAATGTAGTTGCCAGGGCCACCTTCCTCAATCTTTTGAGGTACGACTTCTTCGACAAGTACATCCCAAAGGAGAAAAGAAGTCTTGAGGGTTCTGGTCATGCGAGTGAAACGCCCAGCAAGTGCGCAGCACATGGAACAACTGAAGTCCTGGAGGGCACAGCATCGTCATCTCTTGCCTCTACAATACCCAATCCTGTTACCTCCTCTTCCTCTTGCCCTTTCCCCTCCAATCCTCCACATGTCTTCCCGCCTTCTTCAAACGAGACGAGAGACCCACCATCGCCCGAGAATGATGACTGGTGGTTGGAGGACGGCACCGAAGATGAGGAGGAGGAGGAGGAGGGCGAACTAGAACCTCAGGGGAGGAGGATGATGATTATGGCAACGATACCGACAATGTCGATGACGATGATGCCGAGGTTAAGGTTGCCCAGGATGTCCAAGCCGAGAATGTCCAAGCCGAAGATGTCAAGGGCGCCCAAGCCAATGAGGGTGATAAGGGCAAGGAAGCACAGGAAACCGCCAAGGATGACCACGACACCACCAACGCCAATATCGCCGAGGAGAAGATCAAAGACAAGGACAAGAAGTGCCTTTGTATCGCTCACATCTCATCGGATACCGACAACTACAACGCATCAGAGTTGGTCAATCAGGCACCTCTTCCCGACGCCATCCGGTAAAGAGTGTCCCCGCCTCCGCCTCTTGTTGCCTCATTCCTCCTTGCACACACTTGTCACACATCAAATTAATATTTCTCTTTCCTCGTCACAGTCAGAGGGCCAATTGCTTCAAATATATTCCCATTTTTCCTCGAAGGACCCTGTGACGCCATTTGCCAAGCCATGCCATGATATGAGAATGTAGATCGCGGAAGACCCAAAGGCTGACCTACAATATGGGGTTTCCAACTTCGACATGGCCACATTCAAATCGAAGCGTAGTTCGAAATACATCAGCCCTCGAGGAACGTATTCCCATGGCGGATTTCCTTAACGGCGCATTTAGTTATACGCCGTCAAATGTCAAGGTTGGATCCCCTAATAACTGCGTGCCAAGATGTATCGAGCATCGGTTAGACATACAACTTGTTGGAACAATATCGCAAAAAGGACGAGGGTAAGGTAGTTTCCAGATGAAAGCAGTGTTGCTTTTTTCATACGCAAGAACACACTGAAGCCGTAGTCGAAGGAAGGAAGGCGTTGTATGGAGTCAGTTTATAGGAGGGTTGGAGGTGGAGGTCGGGAGGTTGAGGTCGGGAGGTGAGGCGAGGCGTGAGGTGGACTGGGTTTGAGAAAGGGTGAGGACAAAGTGGATTAAGTCGAAGGGTAATAGAAGGACTGAAAGAGACTTGACAACGGAGAAAGAAAAGGCCGTCTGTCAAAGTCGAGTCGTCCAGAGTGTGAGGAAAAGTGCATGTTGCTGTCAAGGTGAAAAGACGTTGGTGCAGGGTTGTCCGAAGCATTTACGAAGAAGGGTAGAGGGTGTTGGTGGGAGACAGCGGACACTCAGTGAAGAGCGAGGAGTGAAGAGTCGCGGTAATGGGGAGTCGTGCATCAAGTGCCAGTGAGAGCTATCGTGAGGGTAATGAGTCCAGTGGTTGGTGGCATAGCTAAGGTCGGGTCGTTTATTCTTGAAGTTTTGGGTCGTCCCGTTGTGGTGTGATGACGGCGGTGCAAGGAGGATGAAAATGTGCGAAAAATGAATAAGTGTGAAAAAAACACAATAACGTACGACATGATTTGCCATACGCGAAGAACGTGTTTTCCTTGCTTGATCTGCGTTCGTTCAAACAACCCCAGGCCCGACAAACGCGCTTCTTAGAGGACGTACGACCTCAGGCAAAGACAAGGGGATATGCTCCAAACCTAGAATAAAAAGGCTTTGTGCAAGAAGCGACACCATATTAGAACACCAAGAATATCACAACGGTCCCCACAATCCACATCTCAATACTCGCTCAATGAAGTGTGGGCTTGAGCGATTCAATTCTTCTCGCGTGATGCTTACTCCTGTCGCTTTTAGGGCCCAGACAGCAGAGTCGAAAAACATGCAAGCTCTATGTAGAAGGTCATGCTCATCGCATTCTCTAATGAAGTCATACTGGACTATGTGTCCAAGCGAGATAGAGTTGGCTGTCTCCCTCTCTAGTTTGTTTTTCTTGTATTAGTGGATGAATGGATGGACATGGATTTAGTCCAACGCCTCGTTAGCAAAAGGTGTACCTTCCTTTGGATGCACCATTGTTTTAAAAATAACTGGCAAAGGGTCAAGACCTACAGGTACGAAGATCCTAGCGTTTTTAATAGTTCCAAAAAGAACAATAGAAAAAAAACAACAGCCGTCGCCATGATGTCGTTCAATTATTTTCGTTCAATCACTTGGATAATGTTTGCACTGCCTACTGTCGTTCCTCGACCATTACCATAGTAGCGACAAAAGAGTCGACCAGCCTTTGCCTCTACAAGAGTACGCTTTCCTTGCCACTTGGTTGTCCATGGAGCAAGAAAAGAAAACACGACCATCACGATCTGTCCTTCCTAGACCAACGGCAACAAAAGGGAGGACAGTAAACAAACAACAACAAACCGACGACCACATCAATAAAAAACCCCTCATCCCCCCACAAGATTTCTTATTTTGCAATGTGAGCCCAATCCTCCCCAATTGTTTGCTGATTTTCCTTGCGACTGAAAGTAAAACAGCAGAAAGAGGCGATGATTGAACCACAACGGAATATCAAGTACCTCTAACTATTCAACCGTGTGGAAATGCATGGCTTCCCTGTGGATAAAACTATACACAATGCACGCTGGCCCCATGGCCCATCCCTCAACCTCGCTAGTGCGTCTTTTTGTCTATGCTCACACAAACCCTTTGAGGGGTGGAGGGTCAAGCGGGCGGAGAATATTATTCCATTTGTCGCTTTGACGGGCTATCGCTGGACTGAATTGTCTGGCTGGCTACTCATGCTGCGTGCATGAATGGCATTCAGGGTTCACCTTTTTTTTTTGCGAGGTCGAGGCACTAACACTGTGCAAGAGGATAAAAAAAAACTCTTTTTTTCTCGATCCAGGCACGAGTTTTTGTGTAACGTACACTTATTTTTCTTTTGCGTGGTCATGATGACCTTATGTGCAAGGCACGCTGGTCTTTATTTTCTTACAAAGCAGGCCCAAGAGTACGTCTGGGCGGATAATAAAAAAAAACAGCCAAAAAAAAAATGGGCGAAATGGGTCTCCGTTTCTCGCTTTGCCTCTGTTGCTTTGTTTGAGTTTTTTCTTTCTCATTGATCGTTCGTTATGTTTTCTTTCAAGGTACCTTTTTTACGGTTGTTGGGTGAAAGCATATTTTCGAGTGAACAGGATGGATATGGCGGCAATGACTGAACTCAAAAGAAAATATAGGTTGGGCGAGAAACTGAAAAAAGCCTTCTCGTGTTGATGAACTCCGCCTCCTCTCCATTTTTTTTCTCTGCCTCCACTTGTCACCTCTTGATCAATTGTTCAAGAATGTAAGAAACTATTCAGGTCAGGTACAGGGCTAGGTGAAGAGCGACACTTTGTTTTCTTCAAACTCTTTTTTGTTGATATTGTTGTTTCTGTTGGCTACGATAGAAAGTCCTGAGGAATGTGGCAAAATAGAACGAGGTCGATAAAAAAACAAACAGTAGCAAAGTCATCAGTAGATCATGCCTGCCTCTGTTGACAGCAGAAAAAAATAACGGAGAAAAAAATTGCAGAGAACAAAAAAAAATCATCCCATAACAATTTTTACTTCCATTGCCCAGCGGAGAGAGGTCATTCGAAAAAAAAAAATTGTACTGTACCTGAGGCTGCTGCACGATCTCCCGTGCTCAATGCACATCCCTTAGCACTTCCACTGTTGCTATTTTTTGTTGTCTGGCTCGCCCGGACCTGCAGGAGCACCCGCCTACTACTGTCCCCTACACATGCATGGGGGATGAGCATATCATGTCATAGTTGTGCAATTGAGCCCAAGTCCCATACCTCTGTCGACCATCATCCCAGAATCACCCTTTTTTAGATCCAGTCCAAGGGATGAAGGAAGGCATGCAGGCACAACAGCAAAGAATTGAACAGTACAATGAGTAGACTACAAGGAATAAGCATGACTGAATCAATATTAGGGCGCCATATTCTTGAGTAAATCGTGCATCGTACTTCACCAAGAGAGTTTTGGTTACTTGATATGGAGAAATTGTTCATCCACACCATTATTGAGTCTGCATTTTCTTGACTCGTAGCCTTTTTACTTTTTGTTGTTTCCAGTCGTTCATGGCTGAGGTCATGAGGACCATCCAAAACAACATGGATGTACTGCACCTCTGTACCTGTTCGTCCGTCCGTTCAACCTGGAGAGCATATTTTCGCCACGTTGAGGAAAGAAAGAAGTTCTCTCTGTCCAGTCATGGTGCCATACCCGGCCCGTGTGTGTACTTTCTCTCTCTCCGAAGTAGCTAGTACGCGTCCAAGGGAGGGATGCGAACCAGGTGTTCATGTGGTGGTACCATATCATATGGCTTCTCCCTTCCCTCGTTTCTACTATTATTAATATTTCAGCTCCGTTCGTTATGGACGACAAAAAGTCATCTGATGATCCCAACAACCTAGCTCCTGTCCATTCCTTCTCTTCTCTCTCCCTTCTTTACCCTGTTCTATATTCTTCTTCTTCACCTATACTCTGCTTACAAAGCCCAGAGCCCCAGCTCTCATTCAGAATTTCCAATATGCAGCTCTCTCGGGCACATAGGTCTGATCATTTGTCAATTGGGTCTGGTCACTCTCATTATTCTTGAGGCACACACTCATCCAAAGCTTTTTTTTAGTGTTCGAGGTCATGATGTCGTATCTCTTTCTTTTCGTTGGGCTAGTGCCAAAGCTCTGTTCCTGAGCCGATTCTTTGTAATTGAGTGTATGTGCGCGTTCTTCCGCGGTCGGGACAGTTCCGTTTCATCTGTTGACTCTTTTCTTTGTAGGAACCGTGCTAGTCTTTGACAAATGCTTTGTTGCTTGTTGTTTTGCTGGCAGAGGAAAGGTCTGGCTCTCCAAAAAAAAACGACGATTGACCATTACCAAATAGAGTACATGCTAATCGTTGTGGTGGAAAAAGTGAGATCACAACCCAAAAAATAAGAGCAGCTGGTGAAAATCGTCTGGAACTGCCATAGCGCGGATGGGCCTCTCATCACTGTCTCTCCCTCTCCCTCTGTGTGTGTCTCTCTTTCATCCTCCATCCAAAACTGAATCGAGAATGCTGATCGTCAGTTTAACAATACACTAGCAACGAAACGACCAAAAAAAAACATTAGAAAGACAACAACGACAGAAAAAGAGCGACAAAAAACAAACAAACGCGCTCAAGCATTACTCAATTGAAACGATGGCATCGTCTACCCCCCCCCCCCCCAGATGACTTGTCTGCCTTGCTGACATACACCAGACACAAGAAAATACATAACAACAGACAAAAGCAAAACAACAAAATCAAACAAACAAACATGCCCTGGCTGGAGGCCCTTCGATTAAAATAACGGGTCACTGGTTGATCCACGCGTTGCGCGTTTTTTTTTTTTTACTTTCTGTCACAACAAGAGGTTCCTTGTTCGTTTGGGACAGTATCGGAGGGTTTTTGTGAAAACCTTTTGTTTTGTTTCTTACTC